TGAAAAAATTCCGAGGAAAATGCTCGCCTTCTATTGGAATCTCTCTCAATCTTTTCTCGTTGAAAGTGTCGGGAACTTACTCTCCCTCGAGTTGTACGCGAGGAAAATTCCCTTTTCCAATCGAAGGAAGTGGGATCGAAGGAAAACAAACCGGGATTCACCTTTATGGAAATGCCGTTGGATCGGCAGGGTGGTCAAATATTTGGCAAACCAACGCCGGAACTCCCATTAATTTCCAGCCTGTTTTCAATTTCCCCAAGACGCTTCTATCTTTACTCGTGGAGAACAGTCAACGATCAGCATTCCCCCTTGAACTCTTCCTTTTCACCCGGTTCAAACATTTTACTCTCTTCCTCTCTGTCTAGTCGGGTTCGATGCTCAAACAATGTCGTACTTGGAAAGAGAACAGTCTCGCTTGTCATTTGTATTCCAGGCGCAACCACGTACCGCTTTCGGTAACTGTAATTTCATCCCCTAAACGGGAAGAGGGAGGGGAAGCACTGCTTTCGTAAACTATATACGCTTATAGATAAGTTACGGGAAGAAAATTTAACGTTAGAAATATAGAAATTTATAAATTTTCAAACTGATAAATTAACCAGCTATCAGTGTATTCGAGTGCACGATATTACGGGCTCGGGTGGACTCGGAAAAAGTCGGGCAGGCTCGGGTGGGCCTCCGATACATGCGTGCAGTCGAGTATCCCGACTATTTCGGGCCAGGTCGGATAAAGTCGGGCAGCCTCGGGCGGGCCTGTGATTCATGCGTGCAGTCGAGTATCCCGACTATTTCGGGCCAGGTCGGATAAAGTCGGGCAGACTCGGGCGGATCTCCGATACGTGCGTGCAGTCGAGTATCCCGACTATTTCGGGCCAGGTCGGATAAAGTCGGGCAGCCTCGGGCGGGCCTGTGATTCATGCGTGCAGTCGAGTATCCCGACTATTTCGGGCCAGGTCGGATAAAGTCGGGCAGACTCGGGCGGATCTCCGATACGTGCGTGCAGTCGAGTATCCCGACTATTTCGGGCCAGGTCGGATAAAGTCGGGCAGCCTCGGGCGGGCCTGTGATTCATGCGTGCAGTCGAGTATCCCGACTATTTCGGGCCAGGTCGGATAAAGTCGGGCAGACTCGGGCGGGCCTCCGATACATGCGTGAGGTCGAGTATCCCGACTATTTCGGGCCAGGTCGGGCCAGGTCGCTACTTTAGACTCTAAAGTTTAAGGTTCGAATCGAGGCACGTGGTAATTTTTAGAAACACTTGGATTTAATCATTCTCGATTACGCTACGAAGGGTGAGATATACGAAGGTGGACAACGTTAACAGACTATTTTTAGTTCGAACCTCGAATGCACCTTCTTCCTTCTTTGCGGTTTATGTTGTTGTAAGTTTGGCCGGATTTGTATGTTGCCTTTGAACGCGACGCCTGCTGAAACATCTTACACGGCTTGGATTAATCTATTTACACTTCGGTTTTACCTCGTCGTATATTTTGCTTAGCGCACTTGTGGATCCTCCGAATATAACTCGTTCGTTCCTTGTCTGGAATAATTTTAACTCGTTTCTGAAGGCAACAGGAGAAACGAAGAATGAATATTCAAATGAACGATGTTTGTTTGTTAACCATGAAAAAAAAAAGGAAATCACGTCGAAGAGATTCTACCCTGGGGCAATCGTATTTCTCTACGGTTTTTCGCGTTTGCGATCTCTCCACCCTTTTATCGCCGTGAGATTGCCTTTTCGCGGCGTTATTCGCGAAAATCCACTTACAATGGAAATTTCCCAATTTCCATGTGTAACGCCTTTTTAAATGACAGTCAAAAGAAGTTTGCTTGACGTTCTTTCGATTCGACTCAGTGATAGTCTGTTTATTTATTTACTTCAACCAATTTGATACGATCTTAAAAATCAATTTCTGACATTTCTAGAAAATTGTAAGGTTTGCAACAATGTTGCACCGGAAATATTCCCGTGTCAGCCCACAATTTGATTAGAAGAAATCGAATCTTCGAACATCCCTCGTTCCATGCTATTGGCTTATTTCTAGAGATCAGAGACGGATCCATCCAGCTTCCAATTCTCGTTTCTCTCCCCAGAAAATTGGTACATCTGCGTATCGAAGAAGGAAGGGTGATTTCTAATCGAATCTTAACCCTTCTGGCTGAACCTTGAAAGGGTTGTATCCACGTGAAACGAAATACTTATTCGTTTCAGACGTTTCCAAGTGAATTTACTATTCCAAGTTAATCTCGTTATGATTTACCACGTTTAGATCGATTTATCAGAAATTAAATTTTCTTGTGACATTTGATCACATTGGAAATCATTGTTTAAATTTTTTTTTCTTTCGTTAGTCTTCGGCCACGGTTTCGTGTGTGCTTTACAGAATCGGTAGACCAAAGGAAAGCTGACCTTTCGTCTAAAAAAAAAAAAAAATAACCTGCGAGTTTTTCACGGTTCGATTGATCCGGAATTAATCGACTGTTAAGGTTTTCCGATGGACGAGGTCGACACGTGTAGAACGGAATCGATCAGAGGGTTGATCTATGTTTAGTAATCGAGGCTACCCTCTTTTGAGTAACCAGCATCAATCGCGAGATACGTGTTATTTATAAGAATTATATAATAGATAGGAAGCGATAATTATTGAGTAACGTCATCGTTAGTTGTGTGACTTGGATTTTGGATGGGGTAGATTAAGTCCCTTAGCTTTATTAACAATGTTAATTTTAAAATTTTTAGAATATTAGAATCTGAAAGTTTAGGAATTTTTGAAATTGTAGTATTTTAAATTGCAGTATTCCAAATTGCAGTATTCTAAATTGCAGTACTGCAAATTGCAGTTTTCCCTAATTACAGTATTTCAAATTGCAATGTTCCAAATTGTACTATTTTAAATTGCAGTATTCCAAAATCAGTATCCCGAATTGCAGTATTCTCTAATTGCAATATTTCAAATTGCACCATTTTAAATTGCAGTATTCTCTAATTGCAATATTTCAAATTGCATTATTTCAAATTGCAGTATTTCAAATTGCAGTGTTCCAAATTGCAGTTTTCCCTAATTACAGTATTTCAAATTGCAATGTTCCAAATTGTACTATTTTAAATTGCAGTATTCCAAAATCAGTATCCCGAATTGCAGTATTCTCTAATTGCAATATTTCAAATTGCACCATTTTAAATTGCAGTATTCTCTAATTGCAATATTTCAAATTGCATTATTTCAAATTGCAGTATTTCAAATTGCAGTGTTCCAAATTGCAGTTTTCCCTAATTACAGTATTTCAAATTGCAATGTTCCAAATTGTACTATTTTAAATTGCAGTATTCCAAAATCAGTATCCCGAATTGCAGTATTTCAAATTGCACCATTTTAAATTGCAGTATTCTCTAATTGCAATAATTCAAATTGCACCATTTTAAATTGCAGTATTCTCTAATTGCAATATTTCAAATTGCAGTATTTCAAATTGCAGTGTTCCAGATTGCACTATTCTAAATTGCAATATTCCAAATTTCAGTATCCCGAATTGCAGTATTCTCTAATTGCAATATTTCAAATTGCACCATTGCAAATTGCAATATTCTCTAATAGCAATATTTCAAATTGCACCATTTCAAATTGCAATTTTTCCTAATTGCAGTATTTCAAATTGCAGTGTTCCAAATTGCACTATCCTAAATTGCAGTATTCCAAAATCCAGTGATTGGAATTTTGGAATTTTGGAATTTTTAAATCTTGGAACCACGAGAGAATCCACACTTTTGGGAGGTCAACTTTGCCTCCCCCAATTCATCAGAAATTTAACAAACTACTCTAAAAGTAATCTCACGTCCCTTTATAACGCATCAAATAAATATCATAAAAGTAACAGCGATAGCGTACACTGGTCGTATGAAAGATTGAAGGAAAACAGAAAACGGTATTGCTTTCCCGCCGGGGAAATGGCTGTTTTATATCCTTGGTAAAGTAATCGTAACGGATTACTTTTCCTCGTTAACTCTTTGCATCGGGTTAGCAACGGCGAGGTTGAAACGAGCGGAAGGGAAGCGGAACACGCGAGCGACACGACCAATCCCGCGGAAATGAATCGGGATTACTTTTACGGCGCGTTTGAAAGTTCGCGATGAACGAGACGAGGACGACGTGGTTCGAGGGTTGAGGGACAGACAGGGGTGAACAGAAAGAGAGAGAGAGTTTGACGCGAAATTCCGAGTGGTTGGAAATTAGCTTACTTAGCTGGAAATATTGGCAGATAAGCGATGTAACTGGCGATCAACCGATAAACGAACTGTAGGGTTGTTCTGGACTCTCGATAGGACCCTCCAGGAAAATGTAGCTTATTGTAAACGCTGCTTCTCGCCAGTCAACAGAAATTCAATATTTCTGAATGTAAGAAATATTGTACAAACATTAACCCGTTGATGGGCCATATTTGGGTGTCGCTTAAATTTCAATAGAAACCCATCACTTATACTATTAGAAATTCTTTGACTTACTTAATTGGAAACACTCGTATTAGAAAGTTGAAATTATGGATAAAAATATAATGAAGTATTTTAAAGATATTTTAATATAAAGATTTGTGAAGACAAAAGTAATACTTATGTTAGATTTTCAAAATGATAATTGAAATAGTAAATAATTTATTTAATTTCAAGTTTAATATATGCTCTAATTTTATTTTTAAAATTTCAAATATTTTATTCGCTAAAATTAGTTTATTTAAATTAATTAGTTAATAATTAATTAATTAAATTAAATTAAAAATGTATTAAATAGTATTTGAGCATTAAAACGTTACACGATCAATTAAACGAAAAATTAGCTCTGAAAGTTATATCAAAAGAGAGTAGGAGGAAGGGTTAGAAGAGAGATGCTTGTTCGAGAGAAGTTCGAAACAGGGTTTCCTTTAGCGGTATCAAAAGCAAACGACTAGCAGGCAGCCAGGTTTTTCCAAGGCTCGTTTTAATCTCGTTTCTCGTTTCGTTTTTCCAGCAAAGGAGCTGAAAATATGCGGCAGCGTGAGAAGCGGCGGAGAGGTATGCTGTTCCGCGGACATGGAAGTGAGATTGCAGGCGAGGGCACGTGACAAACATGAGAAAGCCACCAAAGAAACTCTTCACCGACTGCATCAGGTCCTGTCGACCAGAGGGACCAGGTTTCACAGTAAGTAGAACCTCCCTCTCGTAACCTTTGCGATTTTAATCACTTCACAGTCAACTCGGCGTGTAATTTTGCTACCTGCTACGCTCAACTATCGCCAGCCTCTAATTAGTCCAATTTCATTCAATCCGATTGAATCATTTTTCTTTTTTTCTTTTTCATTGATAAACGCAACGAGAGTGGTAAAACGAAGGAAAATGCGAAAGAAACTGGTCGGTCTAGAAAATCGAACATCCCCGGTCCATTATCCTGCTTCTCTCGGGTCACAAAAGGACTTTACAGAGTAGTTTAATCGGCCGGACGTCCTCGAGGCCGGCCGGCCGAGTGGCGTCGACAGGCAGAAACGAGATTTCCAAGCTCGACACCCAAACAAGTGTCTCGAAATGAGATTTCTGGAGTAACGGCGACTCCGCGTCTACCTTTTCTCGCGTGACCTCGCGCGGATGACTTCTCTTGGCTTAATTAACTTCGCTGGAAAATTAACCGATGTAAACGCGTCGTGCTTGCGATTTAACGAATTTTATTCGCGAGGGTAGAAACAATGGGTGGATTAAAAAATGCGGAAGAAGATTTTTTTCTAGAGCCACTTGCGCAACAACGGACAAGCGTTCCTATGGCTAGTCTTATTTTCATCCCCAACGGCCGGCTACGCCACCCCTCGACGCGTAACCTCGCGAACGTCAGAGGACTGAACCCGTTCTTATCGTCACTTTAGCCGCGAAGAATGTGATTAAAATTCCTTTTAACGACAAGAGAGAAAGAAGAGGGTAGGAGCCGGCTGTGTAACGAATCGTCGACGGCGGTGTCGTCGACGCCTGGGTAAAAAGCCCTGGAAGCCGCCGTGTGAAAGGGGAAGGAAGCACTTAGCGTCGCGACGACTGGCTAGAAACTTTGTCGGCGCTTTTAATTCGCGATATGCTACTCTACTCTGCCTTATCCGCCTACAGACTCATGACTAATTTTCTTTTTCTCTCACCCGAAAATCGTAGGAAAAATCGAAGAGTCTAATCAAATTCATTAAAAAATTACTCCCTTTGTTTCATAATGATAGTTAATATTTAAATGGGAATTGTTGGCGAATGCAGTTGTAAGTTATGTTGCGAAAAATTGCGAAGCCTTCAATCAAAATCAATGATTCATGGCATCTGTCATTTGTTTTGACACATCTTTCAATTTTTAGGGTAAGCTAATTATTGCGAATTATAACGGTAAATATTCGGAAGTGTCACTCCTGCTAAAAAGAGGCTGTACATTTTTTTATCGCACACGAGTTGAACAGTAAGATATTTAATTCGTTTTGCTTTTCCCTTAAATACTACATTAACTAATACCGATATCCATTTTTAATATAAGGAGTGAACGCGTACATGCCATCTTCGATGCTATTTAGCAATTTTATAATGAAGAATTGTTAAAATAGTTTGTATGTCTATTGTATTTTGAAAGAACAGAATATTTCTTTTAGAAATCTTGAAAAAAAATTCGAAAATCGACGAATAAAAATCTTTAAAAGGGTTAATCAATTCGATCAGTATATATTCTTTTTTTCAAATTTCATCCGCTGATCGAAATCAATTGTTTTATTTCAGTTGAATATCAACCCATTGTAAGATGAAAAAAAGAGTTTTCAAGCAAAGATCGAGTTGCGATTGTCCAGTTCATGCCAGTTTAAAATGCAGTAACGAAATTATTGAAAAATCGAGAAACTATCTGAACGCTCAAAATAAAAATTAGGAGTAATATTTTTAATTTATTGTTTAATTTAATCTAGCTTTTTCATAATAAATTATTACGGGACAAATTAAATTTGTCAACTGCTATTATTATGCATCCATTTTATATAGGAAATTCAAGTTGTGCAGATTTCTTGTCTTCAACTGTTTCTTCAAATTTCTTTTTCATCCTTTTCTTTTTTTGCTATCTACCCATATGCATTCCACACCCCATCACTCTCTCACTCTCTCTCCCTTTCACCCTCTGTTTCACACTATCTCCCAGCCCCGATCCGCGTCTCGCCACTTTCCACCGGCTTTTGCTCCCTTTTCAACGCTCTTTCTCTCTGTCAGCGTACTTGTAAGCTCGGCGAGTGGCAGGTAAAGTGGGTACACGTAGCTGGATGCGGCTACGTGGTAGGTGGCTCAAAGGGAAGCACGACGACCGTCAGAGAAACCGTGGTCTGGCGGAAAGGGCAGGAGAAAGATTGAAGCTCGAACAGGGTAGGCCAGGCAATGGGTGGCGCGAACTCGCACGCCGCGCCGCCAAGTAATTTCGTTAATGAGAATCGTTAAGGGAGAGGGGGGGGGGGGGGGGGGGGGGGGGGAAGGACCCTGAGGTTTTCACCGTGGCCTCCGTCTAATTTCCGTTTGCGATCGCCAAAGTCACTCCGCTCCTTGATGCACTCCTTTCGTTTCACCCATTACCTACAGACAGGATCCTCTCAGAGGACAGTTTGCAGTTTCCTTTCTCTTCGAAACTTCGGATCGAGTGCCGCTCCTCTTTGAACTCTCCTCGATCGTCCACAAGATTACGTCGGGAAATTGCAAGTTTTTAGTTAAACGTATTATAATGCTTTCTCGCGAACACCGAACGTTGAGATTTTTCAAAGCTTCACATTTTTCCCGGGCAAAAGTGAATAACGAATGAAAAGTACGACGGGCTAACGAGATCGACGAGCGCTGGGTACGGTATCAAACGGGAATTACGTGGCCGAAGAGGGGTAAGGATTAAAAGATTAGCAAAATTACTGTTCCAGCGTATCCATCGAGTCACTGTAGGGGTGTTCCCAGAATTCCGAGAATTATTTCCTTCGACCTTTAGTCATCTCTATTTGCATGAAATTCTGAATCATTTAAACTTTCATTGATTTTTTTAAATATTCTAATTTGCACTTACTTTTCTCAAAATTTCAAGTAGTCAAATTCGCGACAGAGATGACTCAACGGAAATGTTTTACGCGCTATCGAGAGGCAAACATTGTTAACGCGTGATCAGTCATTTGAAGAGGGATCGAGACTGTAATTGATACGCAAGCCTCGAATAACAAGGTGTCCGTCTCTCGTCTCGATACGAATCCTTTCCATTCGTAATTATCGCGCGACGAGGATATTTCAAACAACGGAATCACCGGCTTCGAACGGTGTGGGGGAATGTTGCAATTAAGGAAATTACATTTACCCTTCGCCCTGAGAAAGTGATTGGCATTTTGTAATAGATTATCGATAGGGAGGAAGAAATTGATTTTTATCAGTGACATAAAAATGATTATTATTATTATTATTACTTGATCCAGACAATACTTTCGATCCAGGGCCAAATAATTTAAAGATAACTTAAAAATTATAATACATTTTTTTAGAGAGAAATAAATAAAATTAATAATATAATTATGAATTAATAAATAATTTATTGATTATATATTGCAGTACTGAACAGTCTTCTATATTGAACTCACCAGCAGCTCATAGTTACATAGTAATCACTCATACTTATTTTAATACTTATTTTAAAACATTTTAATAACATTAACAAGGAATCTGCTACATGACTATTATTTATTAAGTAGCATGTCTCTTTTACGTAATTAGTTGTGTGTATTGCGTGTTTGAATTTATATCATGAAATATATTAAACTCTTTTATAAATTATATCCCGTCGAGTAAGAATTTAATGTCATTTTTATTATCGCTAACATCTCTTTTTCTTTTTCCTGTTACAGATTTCTTTAAGGATCTTCTCGCGACTAGTAAAAGAGGATTCCACGAGATGTTTAAGAAAACTTATGGCATTCTGTACGAACAGAACGCTTACGTTTTCACGGATCTATTTAAGGAGCTGGAAAATTATTACGCCAAGGGCACGGTGAGATTTTATTTAAACTAAATTAATCATCCAGGAAAATTCAATGTTTCCACGGTTAACGTTTCAAATAAAATTCCGCGATAGAATCGACAGGGGGTGGCAGGTCTCGCTTTTCAAACGTCCAAGAAATTCACCCCCGTACATACGTTCCGTCCCGTGTCTCTTTTGTGCTGCTACGGCAGGTCGCAGGAACTTTCGGAACCGGCCAGAAACGACCCTCGTCCGGTCGAGTTTAACCGCGAGCCAACGGGATTTGCCGATAGGGTTGGCGAAGGTCTCGTGCGAAGTCGAGTTTAATCAATGCTTCTGACGTTCCAGGATCGTGGCGTTTTCCAGCGAACGGCCAAAAAGTATCCTCCCCAGGCTCCTTCGTGTCCACGAAAATTCATAGACTCTTATATTTTATTTTCGAAATCGTTTTCCGAATACGAGAAACGATTCGAATGTTTCCGTCTTAAAGGGGAACTACCCAAGTGTTACACTCACTTATTAATGAAACTTTGCCAGCTTAGAGCTCGTCGAGCTGAACACGCCTACACTCCCTTTTGAGGGCAGACGGCTAATTGTTTAAAAGGTACTAACAATTACAGTTAGTTACTCCTTACATTCTGAAGTATGACAAACTCACACATACAACTCGCAATATAGAGATCCACAGTTCAAACCCTTGGTTCCCAACACTTTTTTTTTTTTTAATAATAATTTGTCTCTTTTTGAATAACTATTACATAAAAATTATCATAAAAAAAAAAAAAAATTTTTGGGAACCAAGGATTTGAACCTAGGACCTTCAGATTGCGAGTCATGGATCCGCTCCGGATGACTCGCAATCTGAAGGTCCTCGGTTCAAATCCTTGGTTCCCATTTTTTTTTTTTTTTTTTTTTAATTTGCCTCTTTTTGAATAACTTAAATTCTATAAAAATTGCAATGTATGTAATTCATTATTAGTAAATGCAATGATTATAGCACAGCTGTAATAGTTATTCAAAAAGAGACAAATTATAATTTAAAAAAGAAACTTGTGAACAATGAATTTGAACCGTGGACCTTTAGATTGCGAATCAAGCGTTTTACCACAGAGTTAACCGTTTGTATGTGTGAGTCTGTCATACTTCTTAATGTAAGTAGTAACTAACTTTAATTATTAATATCTTTTAAACAATTAGCCGTCTGCCCACAAAACGGGGTATAGATGTGTTCAGCTCGACGAGCTCTACAAGCTGGCAAAGTTTCATTAATAAGTGAGTGTAACACTTGGGTAGTTCTCCGTATTAGAATTCTCCGAAATAATTTTTCACGGTCGTTGCTATTCGTGGCACGCGTCGGATCGACGCATCGCCTCGCATCGATCATGCCGAACAAAAAGGTGGATTAAAACAAAACGAAAGAATGCAAAAAAAGGATAGAAACGAAAGGAAGAGAGGAATTGAGACGACATTTCGATTGTCATTCAAATGGTTTGGAATTATTCAACGGCGCCACTTGGACCTGTTCAGGTTGCCATGCCAGGGGTATAGCGTTCAAAAATGGTCCCGCATGAATATATTATTGTCGCGATCGAGCGTCCATTCTGGTAACGAATTTATGCCGATGATATATCGCGTCTATGTCACGGCTATCCGTAGGATACGAATTTATCCGTTCCCTCTCTCGTTCCTCTGGCAATTTTTCCCTCGATAATACGTCGAATATAATCCTGAAATAATTCTGCGATCGCTGCGGCCCCGGATATCGAAGCCCGGGAATAGAAATTAAAAAGAATCCCCGATTGAGAATGGCTGATCGACGATCTGCCCTTTAAATGAAACCTTTCCTTCTCCTTTTCCATCGCGATTTTTCATATTTTTGCTTCGACCCCGTATTTCAGGTCGACCTCGATGATCTCATGGACAACTTCTTTAACACCCTCTATCAGAAGATGTTCACGGTGCTTAATAGCCAATATAACTTCGACAATAAGTACTTGGAGTGTCTCGGTGATCACATGAAAGAGATGAGACCATTTGGCGACGTTCCGCAGAAATTAGGGGTGCAGATAAAGAGGTCGTTCGTTGCGACCAGAGCCTTCAGCCAAGCGCTCACGGTTGCCGCTGATGTCCTGAAAAATATGCAATCGGTATGAATACTGGTACATACTGTTTAACCCTTTCGCTGCCATGCGAATTTTTGAAGTGGGCCACAGTATAAATTTCGTATTAAAAATTTTATAATGGCAAAGAACTGCGAAATTTTAAGATCTTGTAAGTGAAATTTTTATTTTTTATTATTGAGTAGCTCACTTTTTAATTTATATTTGCATAATTTTTATTCTGATCTATTTTACGATCGATACAAGTTCAGTTTTTGAAACAGACCAAAATCTATTCAAATATCGTGGAATCTATTTTGTGATCGATATAGATCTAAAAATATTGAGATAAATTTTCTATTTAAAAATTTAATTTAAATGGTTAATTAATCCTTCCCGAATGAATTTTATTTAAATTTAATTTGGATCTGTTTAAATATAAATTGTATATTAGTGGATCGATTTTTGAAATTGAAATCTATTCAAATATCGCAGAATTTATTCACCGATGACCACCATGGTCCAAATGAAAAGACCACCGTGGCAGCGAAAGGGTTAAAAAAGAAAAAATCTTACAGACAATGTCCTCTTTTTAACATAGTCTAATCATTACAACCCGTCTGGTACTACTTTGGAAATCATGATTCCTTTCTATTTAAAAATGCAGTTGAAGCCGTCTGCGGACTGTGCAGCTGCACTCACCAGGATGACAGTTTGTCCGTCGTGCAGCGGGATCACTGGGAACGTGTTAGCATGCGGTGACATGTGTGCCAACGTGATGAAGGGTTGCCTGGCTCAGCATGCGGCTCTGGATGCTGAATGGAATCACTTCGTCGGTGAGCAATTTTCCGTGCATTGTTCCGTCGCAATTACACCCAACGATACTCGATCGACCGGTCGGTTTATTTATCGTCAGATCTCGTGGGAAAAGTCGGTGGACGATTTTGGTAGAATCCTTGGTAGCTGACTTTCACGCGTTCCATCGATTCCATCCCTTTACTTAAATACGTGTTTCCTCCCTGTCTCGATCCGATGGACCGTTCGAAATTTTCAGAGGCCGTGGACAAGGTGGCGGACCGACTGTTAGGACCGTTCAACATCGAGATGTTGGTGCGACCGATCAATCTGAAAATCTCCGAGGCGATAATGAACTTCCAAGAGAACAGCCACGACGTCTCTCAGAGAGTGTTCACCGGTTGCGGTCGGCCGGTGTTGGGCAGACGTAGACGAAGAGATAACAGGGAACTGGAACTAGAGTCGCTGAACTTCGATCAGGATACGTTGACCGAGGACCGTGCCTCGACCGCCGCGATCCTAGATAAGCTGGTGAAAGAGACCAGGCAGAGGGTTCGGGATTCCCGGCAATTTTGGGTTCTCTTACCTTACAAGCTTTGCAACGACGGTCTAGTCGTTCCGCCCAGCAACACGAAGGAGTGTTGGAACGGCACACACGTGGACAAGTAAGTAGATCGCACCGTGCGTCCAGAATTCTTCTGATTGTGGAGCTCTATCTATGGAGGTTTTCTTTTTCCTTATTATTAAATTCACTGTATTCGTTGTTTTTCATAGATACATATACCCGGTGTCGTCGAACGGAGAGACTCAGATACTGAATCCGGAAGTTAGGAGCTCGGGACCGAGGCCGACCATCGTGAGAGATCAAATCTACGCGTTGACAACCATCACGAATAGACTGAAGTCAGCGTTCAATGGCCAGGATGTCGACTGGATAGACACCGGTAAGTCGATTGATCCCTGGAACTCCTTTATCGAGTAGATTGTTGAGACAGCAGAGATAGATCCCGATGCTGAATGCCTATTGTTAGTCGATGATTAGATATTGAGTATCGTTTGAAATTAGAAGCGATTGTACAATTGTATCTTCAAAATTGACCAAAAAGGAATATCAAACCTAAGGAACACTTATCAGTTGCTCGATCACATCCCCGCAAGCACATACAGCACTCACGTTTTCCTCTTCAATCTCCAACCACCACCGAAATTTACGAAATCCAAGGAATCCACTCAACAAGAACACCTCCAGCCTCCGCACCTTCGAGCTATCCTTCAAGAAAATCCTCTCTTCGCCAAACTCATCAGCTGATCCATAGCGTCACCGATGTTGAATATAAATTTCAGAGGACACAGAATGGAACGGTTCCGGTAGCGGATCCGGCGACACTACCGACCAGGATCCGATCACCGACGACGAGGACGGTTTCAAGGAAGGCTCCGGCTACGAGCCAAAGCCCTCGCCCCCGGAGGTGCCAAAGCAGTCACCTCCGGCGGTGAATCCGGATGTGGTGCCTCCTCGGGTCGACGTGGAGCCGAAGATGAACGGCAACAGCAACAACGGCACGTCCACCGTGGACAATGGGGCGAGCAGACAGAAAATGTCTCTCTCCCGTGCCTTGACGACGTACCTCGTTCCCATAGTGGTTATGTGGTTCGGTGGTTGTCTCACCGAGTGGCTGTGATCATGTGGTGTTTCCCCAAATATATACTTCAATGTAAATAATATTATCCGCGAGCGTAGCCTCGTCTCCTCGACGAATTCGTGAACGAGATAAAAACCTCGTGATTCTCACCCAGACCCTGGTCGACCAGTGTTCCTCGATTTTGGGCACACGCTTTCTTTCAATCGCTTCTCGCAAGGATGCGTGTATTCTCGAAAGGATAATATACCAATGGGAAAAGATTGATCTTTACTTAACCCAGGAACGAGTCCGTTCGAAGAGAAGACCGGACTCCGTCGTTGGACGATTAGAACACGGACCTCTGGGGACATTTTCACGACTGACGAGCGTGCCTTCAGGACGAGTGGCATGGTCGGCTCAATTTTCATTGGGTTCCAGGCTTTTTACGATCTTGTTGACGATCTTCTCTGAGCCACTGTGTTTGTTTGAATAACAAAAATCATTTGAAACGGATTCGTACACCTCCCTGACTGTTGGGAATGTCTTTTTTTCGAATTGGAATTTTTCAAAATGACACAGTGTCGTAAGAGAAGACGAGGGTTTCGATAGCATCGAGTCTATGTAGAAACGGAACCGAGTATACGAGAAGCACAAGGATTGATTATCGAGCGTCGTATTTCCTTTCCAGCTGCCTTCTTCCCCTGAACGTTTGAAAGATTCATGGCTCGAAGGGAGAGCTCGGGACGACTGTTGGACGAAAAAGAAATCGATTAGGATAGGGATCTCGATGACGCGGGACAGTGGTTCAATTTATTTTTACGTTCATCGAATGATTTTTTATTTACACCAGGCGATAAATTAATTTTGATTTGAAGCGTATCGATTAAAGAAGAAGTTTAAGGTTCTCTTCGTTAATTGCTTTTTATCACTCGCCGTTATGATACTCGATTGAACGTATCAAAGCGTGACGCTGAAACGCAATAGAAAATGAGCTCCTGTGATAAAATAAGAAAAAGAAAAAATGAATAACGTGGTTGCCTTCACATCCTGGCGACGATGAGCTTAAACGCAGGCGAAAGAGACAATTTTACAAATCTAGTGAAATATTCAAATAAATATTATGAATAATTATTTGTAATTATTATATTATATATAAATATATATATATTATAATTATTGTAAAGTGAAATTAATATAAAAATTATACATTGCGTGTCGAGATACGCTTTCGTGTGGAAACAATAGACGCAAGAAAAGGACAGGGATCATCTGTCCATTGCTAAACGGTATCTCGTGATTTTATTCATTTATGTAAAACTTTTAGAGAAGAGGATCGATGATGATTTTTCAACCCTTTACTGCATGATTTTTTTTAACTCTCTCGATACGACTGTGCGAATTACAGATATAAGTTATACAAATTAAGAATTGAATTAGAAAATTGTGTAATAGTTGACGATGGGAGTATACGCAAAGATTAGAAGGATACAAAATTAATTTTAGATTTTTGCCATTTTCAGTGGCGCTAGAAAAAGACTGTCGCCAATTACTGCCCATGTTTTTCTATAAAAATGAACATTTGTATGGGGAGAGTTAGACAGGGTAAACACATTTGAGTGAAATACATTTACGTTCTTTTATTATTATTCTTAGTAATATATTTATGTTATTCGCCATTGTAAAAGGTAACGAGCAGCGATGATTTACGTGCAAAATATTACTTCGCCTAATTTTCCTTATTTTTGAAATACTACGTTGTCCTAAGGATCGAAGGGTGGCTTTCGAAGGGTCAAGCCGTCTATGCCATTCAACGCGAATCGCAAATTATATCACATTTCATTCATGATATTCGATCTACAGAATGTTAGAAAAAAGGGTTCAGGACAATTATATTGTTTATAAACACGAAGGAAAGTGTACAGGTATCATCTTCTTATTTTGATATTTGCGAATGGTGTTCCAAGTACTTTCTTTCTATTTCTACACTGTTCAAGATAAGAGCATTCTTTTAATTATTCAAGAAGTTAGAAAAAATTGCTTGTTTAATAAAAATTTCAAGAGCACGTGGAACGTCTCTTGTAAATATTTCATCAAGAATATGTTCATCTAAGCTTTTATTCGTGCAATTCTGATAACAAGTCCTGAATTTCTTCCTTTATCGAACACTTTGTGAAACAAAGTTGTTCAAAGGAGAAATATTAAGAAGATAACTCGCTCGTCCAACAAAGGACGTATATATGCGACAGAGGATCGATTCAACTCTGTAAGTACCATTTTGTACGATCGTAATTGTGGTGGTTTTTCTGAACTATCGTGATGAAAGGTCGAAAAACTGTGAGGACAACTAAAAGGGTAAAAGGAATTTACGTAGCCAGAGAGAATGAAAGCGAGACAGAATGATGGAGAGAATGAATGAGTCCCTCATACAATTATCATAAGAACAATTAAATGTTGCCTGTTTCTCCTCCTACGATACGATTAATTTGTTCGAAACTTGGAGAAGAATGATAGATATGATCTCGTTCGAAGAGGAAAAAAATTCAATCCGACAGATTGTAATAATTGTGCCTAGGATAATTTATAAAAAAAAAAAAGAAAAGAAAAAAAAATGAAGAAATTAAAGTGAAATCTTCCGCCTTCGATTTCTACTCGGCCTTTTCTGTTGTACATACATAAAGTTCTTTTTAAAATTCTCGTAATCGCTGGATGACGAGAGGGAAAGGATTAAAACAATGAAAAGAGGAGAATTTCGAAAGTGCCCCGATACGAAGGAAAAGAAGAAGATTTATATAATTAAATACGCGAGATTGTTTAGGAAAATTGAGAGAGTGTTGTGTGTGCAATCCATGTTCATTGAGTTTCTTATTTTCTTTCTTTTTTTTTTTTATTGAATTCCTTTTGTAAAATTATTGCAACACTTTGATGGCTAGTGTAAAGCAGAATTTATATTATTATATTAATTGTATCATGCACGAATTATACTTTGAAATAATTTCACGTACAGTACAGGAGCAGCCAAATATAAATCTATCAATAGCCTTAGTTTAGGTAGGGAAAATTACAATAGTCGTAGATCCTGTGTGGCTATCGAAGTGTTGAAAATTCTTTCGAAGGTTTCATTTCTAATCAGCTTTAGTAGATACAGCTATTGAACTGAATGTACACTAAAAATGAATCTTTTCAAGGAAATCATTACTGTAGATCCTTGGTAGATCCTTAAGTTGACGAACAAATCCCTGATTGAGGAATAAAATCAGTGATCAAGAGTTACTAATTAATCCTTGTGTTAATAAGCAAATATTCATTTTCAGATTTGTGTTAAAAAATTCATTGTTTCACTCTGGATCTTCGATTTTTTTATTTTATATATAATCTAAAAAAATAATGTATTATAGAAATGAAATATTTTATAGAAAATCATTAACACAAGGGTTAACGATCATCGTGTGACCCTTTACGACGAAGATGAATAGAGAAACGAATGTGCCATAGTTGGATGTGGCTGGAACATGAATATTCTTCAGTAGCGACATATTACGTTTTACACGTTATTATTATTAATATTCATTGAAAAGTCTCTCGCTATTCGCTGTGCAGGCTTGCGAGTGTTTCCGTGTACAGTGTACAGAAAGCACCTATAAGTCTCGCCGTTACGTTCTTACAGTGTGCTAGCATCTAATTACGAGAATTTTATTTAACGACCGACCGTATGGAATAAATTGAAATATTTAAAAATTCATCCGTCTTATTTCAATTCGTTCGCATGATCGCTGCCTAAGAATCTAACAATTATTTCTAGAAATTATTCCAAAGGTAAGGGGTTGATAATAAATGGAATTAAATAATTTTAGATTATAAAATTATATTTTAAGCTCGAAGAAAATTACAATATTTTCTACACTTATAAAAAATACGATCGCGTATTGCACATTAGGAACTATTACGAGTACAAAAATGAAATAATTAAATACATATAATTTACACAAAGTACGAAACAATTAATCACTATTTCTGAGATAACTCTTACGCCTAAATATTTTATAATATCTCAAATATTATAATTACAAATAGATTTTACTTCCTCTTTGTCAATTAAAATTAAATTACAACAATCTTAAACTATGTATCACGGTCCAACAGTGTTAATCAATTATCAAATGATAAATGTACCGTTTCGTCTTCTCTTTCGACCAACACTGTTGGAATTTTCTTTTAATTTTCTTCGCCTCTCGGGGCTTTCTATATTGGATAATACTTTAGAAGAGTGTCTTCTAATTTTGCTGCTCCCCTTATCTACTGAATCCTCGTTCGAGTTAGTGATACTCGTGATATCGTGTAATAGTACGTTTTGAATAGCCTCATTGGATTCCTCTTTACTTTCGAGAGACAATTTGGCTGCCACGCTACGGGTTACTATTTTCGAGGACGCCAATCCGCCAAAAATACAGCTGATCGATGGGAAACGTTGTTTGCCCTTCGTACGACGCTGATGTCGACAATTCCTTAGTTTCTTCGCTGGTTCGGACCATTTCCATGCATAGTAAAAGTCCACCAAGTCTTTCTGTAAAATTATCGAAGGACTCGTTTTAGGGAAATTTTTAGAAAAATTCGGAGTGAACGCGATACTAGGGAAATTATGGCTGCAGTTCCACGTTTCACCGTCCGTGGAACCAAAATTAGGATATGTCCCCTAATAGATCTCAACGAGTCCCAGGTTGCGCAAACAAATAATGAAAAAGTTATAATCGGTTAAATTTTTGTATTTTTTAAAGGAAGTTTAATGTTTTTATTTATAATAGCTGTTGAGTGGCGCATAGGTTAAGGCACTTTTCGACTGCGAGAGCGGGAGTTCGAATCCCCGAGGAGCAAACAAAAAAAAACAACAATTTTTTTCCGAAAACCATACAAAGCTCAATCGCATTTCCTCTCTCGATTTAATTAGGTTAGGTTAGGTTTGGTTAATTTTTTCCATTTGCGCAACAGGGCTCGTCGAGACCTTTCAGAATATATTTACAATATCAATCATAGTGTAATTTCAAATAAATTATTGAATATTTTAAAGCTTTTATCAGATGATTATGTTAATTAATTTAACACTTTCATTAAATAATTTGATTTATGACATTTGCTGCGGTTAAAATTGGACTCCAAACTCAGTGCTTTTTCACTAGACGAACGGACACTATGATTGATAATGTACATATATTGTCCTATCTGTACACGAAATTATTTTCTTTCTTTGCATACCGTGTCCTTTTCCGGCAACAAATCCTTCCGTATGTTTGAGAAATTCTTGCCATGTTTGGTGATACCCTTGATGAAAAGCTCCTGTAATAGAAAATATGAAAAAGGAAATTTAGAAATTTTGAAAGAGGAACAATTTTGAGCTGTAAATATTGCAGGATGCTTACGATATCGGTCGATGTCCACCTTGCGCACAATTTTCGTGGTAGTTCCTTCGTGAACAAGGTCCTCAGGGCCGTATCCGCCGAATACTCCGAGTCGTGGAGAACATCGGTGATGTATTGTTCCGCATAACCGGTGCACGAATTCTCCATTGCTTCCCGGTTGGAAATTCCTCGCCTCTCTTGGACGAAAGTCAATACCGAACGAGCCATAAAGACGTAGAAGGGAACCCATTCGTTCACTTCCTCCTGCGGCGTCCAAATTTTCTCCTCCGGGAAATCTTGGTACTCCCTATCTACGTCGATTTGTTCCCGAAATTCCGGGATCTCCGCGACGCCGTCGAAACATTTCTGAAAATCCAAATTAGTCGCAAAAAATGAAAACGAAAGATAACAATTGATTTCTTCTTTTAAACGTGATGTCACCGGGCCGTTCCGACTTTGAAAAATTAATATTTCCCTCGTTTTGCAATTCAAGGATCTCCTCTTCTAGTTTTCTTATACTTCGCAAAAAAGAATTGCTAATAACGAACATTGGACGCGATAGAAATAAATGAAACGAGGAAAACCCATTTGCAAAAAATAAAGATAACAATTCATTTTTGAGGAGCCGAATTCTTCTTTTAAACGTGATGTCACTTTCGACTTTGAAAAATTAATATTTCGCTCTTTTTGCAATTCAAGGATCTCCTCTTTTAGTTTTCTTATACTTCGCAAAAAAGAATTATTGCTAATAGCGAACGCTGGACGCGATATAAATAAATGAAACGAGGAAAAGCCAAGCGCAAAATATTGGTAACATAGCGCGATAAGGCTGAATATTTAAAAATTAATTTCTCAAACACATCCGCAACGAATTAAAGATTCTCTGACACAGAAAATTGATTCAATCGCTTCTCCAAGAATTTCAACGCGCAATCAACAACGTTCTGAGATCATTAATCAAAGTGGCTATTAGGAAACAGATATTAAGGAAAATAGGTCACAAACCTCGTTTCTCTCGACTCTCTCGACATCCGTCGAACTATGATCCATCTTCTGTTTCCTCTCGTTCTGATGGATACCCATTGCGAACTTTTCCGGAAATTTCTCGATAACAACGCTACCAGGTCCAAGGACTTCAATGATCAGGATAATTGTCGTAGCCGCTTTATACGACCTGCAACGACCGCCCTTAGAGAGGAGGGTGGATATTACCCCCTCCACCCTTACCTCTCCACGCGGTCAAGGCAGACCCTTTCGCAACAAGTTACACGATTTTCGTTTTCCAAGTGCTTTCTTGGAAATGTTTTCCTTCACTTCATCGATCTCGACCAATTGGACGACGAGATCCGACAACTCCTTCGAGCTCAGTTTCTAAGGAGGGTAAAAGAGTTCCTTGTACGAAACGATACACCTCTGAATTCGCTGAATATTTTTATCTTCGTATTCGATTTGAAAAAGAAAAATGAAAAGAGTTTTGAAATTCATCGAATAATTCTCTGAATTTGTACAAATATTTTTAAGGAATATTCTGCGATGCATAAGATTTGACAAGAAAATAACAAGTAAATAGATAAGGAAGAAGATTGTTGATAGTACGCTCACCTTTTAACGAGAAACCAACGAGAAGCTCCGGTATTGTTGCTCATTGTTTTCACAGATTTTTAGCAACAAGAAGAAGAATAAGAAGTCACGTAGATGAAGAGTTATCCGAATGAAACATCGATGATATAAAAATCAGAATCGCGTGTCACCAGCGTTTTTCGTACACGAACAAAGAGATACGCTCTTGCATGCACGTTCCCCCTTCGTTGAATGACCCACTCGTCGAAAGAAAAATTGAAACGTTCCGTTTATCAGTTGTGTACGTGCAGTTTCACGTGATTTATTAAACTAACCACGAGCCCCAGAAGAAAACTGGACGGAACTACGGAGAGCTCTGACGAGAGACACCGTGTCAATTCCGTGAGATAAGATAAGCCCAGAGGATACATCCACAACTATACAGGGTATTTTTTCAAATCTCTTTCTCTTCAATTAATACAATTTCACGACGTCCGAAAGTATCCCTGATTGTTTTATTATAAACGGACAGTTGAAAAATTTCATATTTTTATAACAAGATTAATTGATACTCTAATTTATCTGAAATATTAATCAGTGAATTTGGAAAGACAGTTTGGAAATAAAAAGATTCTTGAAGATCTAGAAAGAAATTCTTGTTAAATTTTTATAACAAGATTAATTGATGTTCTAATTTATCTGAAATATTAATCAGTGAATTTGGAAAGACAATTTGGAAATAAAAAGATTTTTAAAAATCTAGAAAGAAATTCTTGTTAAATTTTTATAACAAGATTAATTGATATTCTAATTTATCTGAAATATTAATCAGTGAATTTGGAAATAAAAAGAAATTCCAGATTTTCTGACGGAGAAAATTCTTCCTTTACTCTGTTCATTTATATCTCATTTGTTATTAACATTCGCGCCATTCTTCTCCCGAATGCGTTTGATCCGAAAGGACACGCAACCGTTTTAATGAGTCACGTTATTTGCTCAGATTGCTTTCGATTCCAAAGCCTACGTGACGTCATTTAAGCAGAGTACATGCTGCTAAGTACAAAAGGGATGTGTAAACAGCCACCGGAAGTTTGCATCCAAATCAATAATATATCAATAATATTATTCTCTAAAATTTCTTCCTCGGAGCAACCGGCTCCTAACCGATGTCACGTTTATAGGGTCGATCGCTTGTTTTCCTCTTTCCATTCACAAGAGGATTCTGCGAATGCTAATTGTACAGCTGGGAAATTCACGATAATAAGTCGGTCGTTGGTGCACAGGTAGAGAAAGGTGCAGATTATACAGCAGGTATACGAAAAGGTACGCGAAGCATTAACACGCGTACGTGTAACTTCTGAAATGATCAGGTTTCTTACAATTTACAGATGCATTCGTGTATTTATAGTCGTTTATACAAGGTTTATTCGTACGTATTTATACTTAAAGAATCATAATAATGAACGATAAAGTGCTCGAAGCGTTATCTTTTATCCTACGATAATAATTATACATCACACAAAAGGTATACTTCATTTTTCTTTTCAACGATCATCCCCATTAAAAATAAAGTCATCGCGAGGATCATTGCACAGCCATCGAGTACATAAATGGAGCTAGCGAAGAATTTCGAACGCGAGGAACCGACTTGGTACAAAAAGGCGTGAAGAGTGAATGGGGAAACACGTTTCTTTCAACAATCATTATATTACTTGTCAAAAGCATTGGTAATATCGAATAATAATGTTCTCTCGATGCTTCTTACACGCTACCTACCAAGTAAAATGAATACAATTCATAATCCATTCGATTGGATTCGCAAAGAAATGATAATTAGTTAAACGATAGCATAGCGTTCCCGTATCGGGAACGAGTAAAGCTACAACGCTAATTAATGAACAAATGCAAACCTTCTATGAGTCGATATTACATGAACTTTCATGTATACATATATAATATAATACAGATTAAATGAAAGTCGAAATTACTTTCGAAATTGTCGAAAGTATACCGATTGTTTTGTACAAAGTAGAGTGCTACTTAATTGTGTTAGCAAGAATATCATCGTCGACGAAAGATTGTGAAGAAACTATTGAAGTAGTCGCTACTGATTATCTCGCGTTTACTTTTCAATCTACAAGTATGTTATTGCTACTTAATGATCAATGAACGGACGATATTCTTGCTAACGTGCAGTTAAACGCATCGCTAGAAGAGAAGGAAATTTGTACATTTGCACAAGATTACGACTCAATCTCGTCTACGCCATGTGAATTTTGCTCTTTGACTTGACGGTTCCACCGTAGCCGGCATCGGATGCGAATACGGGCATGCCGGTTTCGTGCAAAATGGATGATACTTGCATTGTTGAGCGGGATGAGAGAACACGCATCCCAGTTTTGTGCAGGATAAGCCGAATTTACATTTCGGATGCTTGTAAGCACATTTGTCCCCAAATTTGCACGCCGGGAACGCGCTGCAATTGAAAGAGAAAAAAATAGTATGATTGAGAAATTTTGTAATACAGTTAAAGTAACAAAGAAAAATTTTATTCAGAAAATAACCTGCACATAACAGCCGGATGGAGATAGGAGCACTTATTTCCTAATGTACAATTTGGCCAGTATCTACATTTTTCTTTCGACTTATCTATAACCGTTACTGAATTCTCCGTTGATGCCTTTTTTTCTAATCCTAAAATCATAAAAACAATATTAAAGAATCTATATGATATATAATAAAAATGTATAATTGGTATTGCTTACGTTTCGTTAGTACTGAACTTGTTACCAAGGTGTTAGACTTTAAATCTACGGGACTCGGTGAATGGGATCTGTTATAAACAATTGGACTTAATTTTCTTCTCCTTCTCGGTGGCTCTTCGATCTTCTCGACATTTTCGGTGTTACAATTCTCATTATTTTCGTCGGTTCTTTCCTTTAAATCGCCCTCTTCTTCTGCTTCTGTTATTTGAAAAACAGACGTTTCTGATTCATTTTGGACATACATATCATTTTGTATTGTTGAAAGTGCAAGTTCATCGTCTTCGTTTACCTGTGTAGAAAACAAGGGAGATCCCTATCATAAATTGTAAGTAACAGAAAAACAAGTAATCGTTCACTGAGCATAGTTACTAGCTACCTCCATTTCCAAACGTTCCTCGTCGTCAGACATATTTTTCTCATTCACGTGATTGTTGTTGTATCCGTTCAGTGTGACTAAAAATTTCTGGTTATCGTCGCTCCTTTGGAATAAAGACATTACGACCCCCATATGCTCCTCGGTAACTGGTTGCGGTACATCTATAGACCGTATAATACTAAATATGTTAGAGAAATAATTTTAGGTGTTACGTATATTTGCATACACAGACGCGAAGAATACTTACAAGGTTTTGCTTTCATTTCCGTGATATCTGTGTTTAATTCCACTTGTATCTTTTCCATGACTAATCTCTTATTAGAATTGAGATGTACCGATAAATTTTGACCCACGTCCCTCACCGGGGCAGGTTTAAGACGTTTCAACGTTTGTTTCTTATCCTACAGGAACAAATGTATTAATATAAATAAAACACGTTTGGTATCTTTATTCATAATAATAGATTGTTATATAGGAATATGTTTATTGTATTATGAAAACTTATCTATTACATTTTATACACACCAATAGAGATGGCTCTGGATTTTTTTGGGTAACAACCGACTGATTTGCTTCTGCAACAGCCCTTAATAAAAGTGACTGCGTAGCACGTTTCTGTGCAGGTTGCAATGGTTTCAATGGTCTTGGTGTTACGATTACTTTACTAGGTATCTTTGTTTCTTCCATATCCTCATCCAGATCACTCGATTGTTTATTTCCTCTTTCTAAAGACTTCAATCGTTTTCTTTCAGTCTTAATTGGTGCAGGTTTATTTACAGCTATTATGTGGGATTTAATAGGACCAGAGTTCCCCACTGATTGGGCATCATCGTCTAATTCCTCTTCTGCACCTAAGTTCAGATAATCATCGTCCTCGCTACTTTGAGACTTTCGAATCGACGAATTGAAAGCACTTTTAATATTTAATGGTTTGAAGTTATTCTTTAATGGTCCCAATCTATTCTTTATGTTTTTGTTGATAGCTGAAGGATCACGATCTTGTTCCAGAGGTTTACTTTTAAAATCTATCGGTTCTTTATTTCCTAGCTGTTTTGGTAATTTATTAGCGATTCCTAAACGATCTTTAATTGTACCCCCTGTTTTTTCTACTGATCTTGATTTTACAATAGAATTAACTTTCTCTTTTAAATCTATGCTTTTGGGTGTTTTGTCAATCTTAGTATTTCCTAGTCGAGTTTTAATGTTAATAACTTTATCAGACTCGTTGTGTTTTAAATCAGTTTCGCGATTTCTTTTTGACCGTTCGTCCGCATCAAAATTCCTTCCCCGTTGGAAGTTACTACTACGATTACTATCCAATCTGTGCTTCTCAAGATGCTTTTCATTCTGTCTATATCGACTTTCGTTATCCATCCTTTCTCTATGGACTTCGAATTTCTTCCTGGGAGATACCACTCCTAAACGATTTTTAACAGATACAACTGAGGTAACTTTTGGCTTGTTCACGCAAGATTTTAATTTCTTTGCGTTATCTTCTGTTGTATCCTCGCCATTTTCTTCAATTTTGGATCTCTTCGCTTCAGTCTGTTTCTTTTCTAAATTGTCCTTATAATTATTTGTCATCTCCAATGGTCTTTTGAGATTTCTGGATGATTTATCATCGACTTTTGGTGGATCCCCAGATTTGCTGTTCAAAGTTTCAATGGTAAAAACTTCTTTATTTACACCGACACTTTGATTATCAGTAGTCACCTGCGTTCTTTTTATCACAGGCTGCTGAGAAACAACATGATTTGGTGTGCCATCCAATTTGCTTTCATGACTTATATTCTTTACAGACTTGTCTATATTTTTATTCTGAGTTGTGTCCAATTTTTGACTAGATATGGATGCTTTTGTGTTCTGCTTATGGAATGATTTGTCATCCTTCAGGTTCTTATTGGATGACTTATCGGTAGTCTGATTAACGGTTTGATCATCCAGAAAGGAAGTTGTGCATGCCTTTTTCTTCTTCCTTTCCTCTTCCTGTTTAACCACAACTGTGGGCACAAACTCTCTCAACGATTTCTTTTTAGCTACAGTGACCTTTTGCAATTTTTTCAACACTTGATCGTGCAACCAATCCACAAACGGCGTTGTACAGCTCTCCAAGAACAAATACAAATCCTCATGCATTTGCTGACGGGATTTTTTGTTTACAACCATCACTAAAATATAATCCGGTAGTTCTTCATCGTATCGTACTCCGAGCTCCAACAATTTAGCACGAATTGCACTCTGAAATTAAAGTGGCATAGATTAAGGTAATGTAATTAAAATAGAAAACATTAACACTAATTGATATGCGCAAATTGTGAGGAAGGAAATAAAAACTCATTTTGAAACTCAAAATTATTTCTGCTGCTTTACAAAATATAAATGTGTATTTCATTTTACAATATTCCATTTAATATATTTGCTTAAATGACGTTTACATAGAAAATTATTAGAAGTTTAATCAACCAATACATAGGAAATAGTTTTGTTTTACCATAACTAACGAGACTTACAATTATATTATAATAAATTATCTAAATGCGGGCAACAATGATACGGTGGAATCGTGAAACTATTAAAGAAGGGCTCGCTGAGGATTCTGTAAAATTTATTGAACACAACTCGATGAGTAGGAAAAGGGAATACCTAACTAAAACCACCGATCTTGTACTTACTCGCAATTGATTCGTGACTTCTATTCCACGTATATCCATGTCTAATGATTACATTTAATGGACTGAATACACGGAAGAATAAAGCAACAGTCGAATCAAAAAATCGACGATATTATTATGGATATTAAAGAATAAAAACATTCTCCGCCACGAAGAATCCAAATGCTTCTTTGCACCGCCTAAGAATTTAACTCAGATAGGATACTATACGATCATTCTTGGGAACATTCTAAATAAACCTTTATTTTCTCATTAATCATTATCTGTACGTAACTAAATCAATAACCAAATGGTAGTATTATTAATTATTATGCAATTGTATATTATATTTAATTAATGTTCTTTTCATAGTAGCTGCAATATGCAGCCATTCATTCTGCATCGTTAAAAGCCTCTATATTCTTTACACTTTGTGGTTCAGTGGAGGCGCGAAGATATAAATCAAATTTCTCTTTGAACCAATTTATTAAAAGGTACATTTCTTACACTTTACCTTAAATTGATTTATAACTGATTTGTTAGTTTATTTTATAGAAAATCATTAGTAAAACTTTATATATTAAAAAGTACTGTGTATAGTGCACATCTATGAAGTTTCTAATTAGAAACAAAGTAATACCATAATTATCGTTTGTCAAGGAATTTAATGAAAGTATTCGATCGGTATAAACATTGATTGATATATTTGTATAGTGGAGTAATTAGTTTCATGATGAAAAATTATGAGAAAATATATATTACTATTTTACTTATATCGCAGTAAAAGTTATCATAAACTCACGTTTAATTATAAAACTATCAATAATAACCTGTTCAATTAATTACACCAAGATGCCCAGTGTAATGAGTATCTTTAAATCCTCTCATTTGCATCTACTGTACGATCTCTTCCGGTTATCAATGAGAATAGCTTTTGCTATGATCCTAGCCACATTTAAAGTGGTTTTACCTTGTCGAGGAAAGAGTTTGTTAGGAGAAACGGTGTTGGTAAATGAAAACAATGTTCTTCCAAGAATTTTACCACTTCGATTACATTATTTTCTATTAGATCACCGGTGCTGGACACGGAATTGGTCGCGAATTGGCCGTTCAGTTAGCTTCTTTGGGTTGCATAGTCGTTTGTTGGGACATTGATATCGAAGCGAATCGATCAACAATTAACACGATTTCAAAAAACGGTGGAGAAGTAAGAAATAAACATTTATCAATGTATTTTTCCTATGTCAAATATGATAAATGATTTTGAATAGGGATACGGTTTCGCTATTGATGTGTCGAAGAGACTGGAGGTACGAGAAACCGTGCGCTTGATGAGGAAATCAGGTATACCGGAAGTGTCAATTTTAATTAACAACGCAGCCGTGTTATATCATCGTCCTTTCCTGAAACAAGATCCAGATATCGTGGAGAAGACATTCAATGTGAATGTTTTGTCAAATTTTTGGGTGCGTTCATTTCCGTTCACCTTAAGGGTGTCTCGATAAGCAAAATTACAAATTTAACGCCATTTATCAGACGATCGAAGCTTTCTTACCGGCCATGATACAAAACGGAAAGGGGCATGTAGTATGTATGAGCAGCATGTGCGGAATATACGGAGTGTCGCAAAAAGTAGCATATTGTTCGTCCAAGTTCGCGGTTAGGGGTAGGACTCGAAATGAATTAGAAAACAATTAGAGAACAAATTTGAAAATGGAATTAGAAAACATTTCCATTCGTTAGGATTAATGGAGGCCCTTCTCGAGGAGTTTAGATTCGATTCGAAGGCTTCCAATATCAAATTCACCACTATTTATCCATTTTACATCAACACCGGTTTAGCTAGGGATCCAAAGTACAGGTAAAAATGAAATAACTTTAGGAGAGGGGAGAAGAAGGCGTTTCGTCTCGGGATCGTTAGTGGGGATGACAAGATACGATCCCTGCCCCAGACACCTATGATACGGCAATTCGGAACTCCTATACAGGGTGTCCCGTAACTCCTGTAACTCCCGGAAATGGGGGGCTGCTAAGGTGATTCTGAATAATATTTTCCTTTACCAAAATATGGTTTGAAGTTTCGTCTTTGAGTTATTAATACTGGCCAATCAGAGCGCGCCTTTAAAGAATAAATGAATAATGAATACGTTTGGGCTGTAGTTCCGGATACGACCGGTCGCCGATCAAGATTAAATTTTGAAGGGGCGGGGGAGGGGGGGGGGGGGGGGGGGTGGGGACCCCAAATATAAAGTGGTATCTTTGGCTTCCTATTAGTTTCCGAGATATTAATTAAAAACTTTGCTAAGTATCAAACAGCCGTTGATGCAGCGGGGGTTCCAACCTGACTATCTATAAGGTGTCCTATATAAAACATTGAAGATACGACGACTGTTGCAGCGTTGCCGGTCGGAAATTTATTTTACTTAACCTATCCTAACCTAATCTACATATAAATGGTAACTAACGGTAACTTACGACAAGGAAAGGAAAATGTTACGAAAAGTTAAAAAAAAAAAAAAATGGATTTTACATGGGTCACCCTATAGAAACGGAAGCCGATATCGCTATGTTGTGAACGACTGTTCGACACTTGACGATGACGGTTGCTACAGCGAGGACGGTAGTGTTAGTTGCGTCGGTATAGGAAAAATTCTATGTTTTGTTCGAAAGTTTTAAATTAATATCTCGGAAACTAATAGGAAGCCGAAGATACCACTTTATATTTGAGGTCCCCTCCCCCCTTTCGTATTCGGAACTTTATCCTGCGTTTGTGCCATTGTGCCGTTTGTTGCGGCTGAAAGCCAACGCTCTCGTTTTTCGTTAATAACTCAAAAACGAAGCTTCAAACGACATTTTGGTAAAGGAAAATGTTGTTCAGAATCACCCCAGCAACCCTCAATTTTCGAGAGTTACAGGAGTTACTCTGTTTTTGGGTGCGTCCATTTCCGTTCACTTTAAGGGTGTCTCGATGAGCGAAATTACAAATTTAACGTGTCCCCAAGGGACACCCTGTATATTTGGACTGGATGCCGGGCGACCACCAGCGAGAACGCTGTCATCTCGCCGCCACCTAGCGGTCCCCGCCCGAACCAAAGGCGTCCGGGGAGACGGAATCCTCTCCCCCTCCACTAAACGCCTACACAATACCTTCCTCGTTCTGAAATATTATTTTTATCCTAGGTTTCCTTACATATTCGGAGCGATGTCGCCGGAATATGCGGCGAAAGAAGTGATTAAAGCGATCCGGAGAAATTATACCGAATATTCTATACCGAGATGTCTTCTTACATTAAACGCTATCAATAGGTATATATCATTATGTACTTATCGCTAGACCTTAGTGTCATTTTCGCCTTCCACGTTTACGGTTTCTAGAATCGTTCCCGAAAGCGTGATGCGGTTGATCCTGGATTTTCTCGCGGACGTGGAGCGGAAACAAAAGGAAGCTACTCGTTGTTTGCAAAAATGATATTCTCGATTGCATAAGACGTCACGATATTTGATTAATCGTCTGCGTTTCACTATTGCGTTTCACGATCACTTGTGTAACATAGGCATTTTAATATTACTTATGATTTATTTATCGATAAATGTTTATTAAGAACTGATCAAAGTTTTTATCAAGCTTCGAGCTCCAATATCTTTGCGTCATCAAATCAGGAGAATTTCATTAGATTCTAAGTTCATCTGCGTCAGTGATGTGCATCTTCGATGAAAGAGGCAGTCCTTGACCATGGACGTTGAACTGAACTGGTTCAAAGTCTGCATCCGTTCGCTTTAGTGAAACGGCAATCAGCCGGGCAAAACGTCTTTGCTGCAGCTTCGCAAATGGATTACGTCCGACCGTGATTCATCCGCCAATTTATGAGGTAATCGAACGATTTGTTTTCGCCGTGATTTTATTCTGCAGGTGTAACTTTATCGCTCCGTGTCCGGAAAAGAACCAGTTGCTTCTGGAACTTCAAACTCGCACGGCGAAGTGCATCCTGCAGTCGCATTTTGCATCGTTCTTCGCTGCATCTAAGGTACTTATAAAATTTTTCTTTCTTTATTTAATCGTTGTTTGCGCAATGGAACCTGACAGTTTAATAGCTATTGAATATCCTTGCGGGCAGAGTCAGTTTATAGATCACACGTTAATCGTGACAAACAAGCCACCTCCTCGACAGGTAGGAGACCTTTCCCAAATAGAAATCCATCTATGGCTAATAGAACATTCGAACAGTTTCACTACTTCTTGGAAAGGATGTTAAATTTGCAACGTTCACGAGATCACACTTTGGTTACACCTGCGCTAAATTTACCAATCTTCCTTTCGTAATATCTTCTCGGGTACACATTTCGTTCCCGAAGAAATTGAATTTCTGATTTTTCGAAAAATGCAATTTTTTTTGTTCTTGTATTTGTGAGATGATCGAGCAGCTTAATTTAAAAGAAAAAAATCCATTATTGTAACATAGAATATAATTAATTTAAAAGAAGTATCGAATGATTCATAAAATGCTTTTAGAAATAAAAAGTGTAGTATCATTAATATCAAAACGGGTCGGTTCTTTCTTGCTCAAGGATCCCCCGAAACGGTCGAAATCAAAAGAAAAAGATACTTTTGCTATTGAATTTAGAAAGAGATGGAGCAGGACGAAAGAAGGGCGAATGGGATGGCATGGCTCGACTTATTTAGAAATACATATGTATATTCAAGCGGATCAGTCAAGTTCAAGCTGCTCGAGCTGTCAGATACACAGTTGAAATTTACATTCGTGCTCTTCGTTTCAAATTATCCAGAATTTGTTTTCAAGTGTAATATAATTCAGGGTGATGTTGCTCAATTAAATTAGTGTTTTCCAATTGGTAAATTGGAAAAATTTTGGTAAATATTCGGAAGTGTCACTCCTGCTAAAAAGAGGCTGTACATTTTTTTATCCCCCACGAGTTGAACAGTAAGATATTTAATTCGTTTTACTGACTAAGGGGCTGAGCCCCCCCAGACCCCCCTAAATGATACCGATACCCATTTTTCATATTTTTCACCGAGCACAGTGAACGCGTACGTGCCATCTTCGATGCTGTTCAGCAATTTTATAATGAAAAATTGTCAAAATAGTTTGTATGTCTATTGTATTTTGAAAGAACAGAATATTTCTTTTAGAAATCTTGAAAAACAGTTCGAAAGATCGACGAATAAAAATCTTCAGAAAAATATTTATTGACATTATTTTTGTTGATGCGCTGCCATAATAATATTATATATGATATTTTCTAACTGTAAGAAACCACAAAAAAAAATCAGCTCGATTCTGACAGGAGTGACACTTCCGAACATTTACCAAAATTTTTATTCAACTATTTTTTTAAATGTGTCACCAATTCACAGGAATTGGGAAACTTTAGTTCCTAATTAACAATTCTTAATTCCTAATTAATTAATAGACCTTGGGGATCGTTTGCAAGCCTTGTAACAAACACGTGCTGTGATGTAGAATTCTTTCTTAATCAATTCGGCATTGATCATAAAAGTACAATTTTTTCTGCTTATAATTCAAGGAACTACAACTGGTTTTACAGTTTAGATTATCGCTGATCGAAGCACATAACAAGTTGTTGCAAAGAAACTCAATTAGATCAAGAATATTTTGAAAAAGGAAAACATATGACAGTGATGAAATTATATCTAGTCATACATCAACTTGCATGTACGTTATCTTGTTTATGAATCTTGAATTATAGAGTTCTGGTTTGAATTCGTCATCGTTTCCGTAATTGCTCACTTATCTGGTTTCTTTCCACAATCGCAATTAATTTTCAATTTCTATTCATCTTAAAATTGGACTGACTTGATTTTTAATGACAGGAAAAATTTCAAATAAATCTCTCGACGATGGAATTTGCTCTGTGGCAATCAAGACCAATTATTGAGCGAAGCTCAATCTCTCCCGAAAAATGTATTTCGTTTTCCAGAGACTTATCCGATCTTGACCAAATTTGGCACTGCGCACCATGACCACAATGTAATAGTTATAGGCTATTGAAATAAAAAATCGGACCAACCATGGTGGAATAATCACCAAAAAACTGATCTTCAAAGGAAAAGCATTGAAAAAAGCTCAAGTCATAACGCGTAAATTTACAGTTAAATAAATTAGAATTGTTTTTTTAGTAATTTTATGGTACAATTGAAAATGAAAAAAAAAAACGCCGCTCTGCCGTTCTTGTATCACCGCGAAATTTCGCTGTATGAGAGAATTAGAGGAGAGAGGACCGAAATTCCCCTCGAATCGTAACGTTCCTTCGAACCGATTTTATTAACAAACGCGCCAAGGTTCTTCGCTCTAAAAATTCACGCGGAAAAAAGTTGCTAAATTTACTATTACTTATTGATCAAGCCCTTGATCAAGCCGAAGCGGACAACAGATCTAGTAATAATGATTCATAATTCCAGCCGCGCCTAATCATAGTTTACTCGTGTACATATATGTTAATATAAAGTAATAACTAGGTAATTCCTACAAAGGAATTACAAAGTAATAACACCACTCCTTTGATCTGATATTCTAACAACAGCATCATTCTGTAATCCATCTCAGAGGTCTAGGTCACAACTGACTCAGCATCACCGTTCCAGGATTAACAAGTTTTAATACAGCGATGGATTTGAACTCGATGCTTCGTGTTTGAAGAATTACTTTCTCGTCCACGATATCAATCTTGGATGGCCAAGTCAATGATTCCAAGTCGAGTTTCCTGATTCGTGGATTGTTCACCTCAGCAGCGAGGCACAACAGGTTCAAGGTAGGAATTCATTCGTTTATTTTTCTTCTTTCTCATTGTAACTCAAGCAAAACGAGCGTGATTTATGGAACTTCATGCTGCTTCGTGCTCTGAATTGAAAATTCATAGTATTTCAAGTAAAACGCGAAAACATGGATTTTGAAGATCGTTCTGATCGTGCGCAATGATATACTACTGTGTCCAAAAAATAAGGTGACTGTTTAATTTAAACTTCGCGGCTTTATCCTAATTGAAAAATGTTTTCTCTGTAGATTGGCAGCTCTATGACTGTCCTCTCTTTCGAATATAACAAAAGTCACCTTATTTTTTGGACACAGTGGTATACCTAGTAATGGTTCTTTAAACCATCTCTTTTTCTATCCTATTTACGAAGGCTCTTTCAGGGTAGCATAAACATGTTGTGCAACTATGATCGACGTGTATGATATTTTGTTAACAAAAACCGGGATTTTCTGTTCTGTTTCGGTGAACTGCATTTTATTTACACTATTCACGGTGGAGTGCTTTCGAAGTCGATGAAGTCATCGAGTAACAAGAAGTTACTGAAGCAACACTAGTGGATAATGAATGTCAGAAAAGTTGGAAGTCATTGCGTCATTGATAGAACATTGAACTTGTTTAAATCCATCGATCAAGGTTTCATAGATTTTATATTTTTCTAAGGTGATTTCAATAAAGAAGCAATTGGAAAAATTTCAAATTACTTTTCAATAATGAATTTTATATTTTTCTAAGGTGATTTCAATAAGGAAGCAATTGGAAAAATTTCAAAATACTGTTCAATATAGAATTTTATATTTTTTTAAGGTGATTTCAATAAAGAAGCAATTGGAAAAATTTAAAAATACTCTTCAATAAAGAATTTTATATTTTTCCAAGGTGATTTCAATAAAGAAGCAATTGGAAAAATTTCAAAATTCTCTTCAATAAAGAATTTTATATTTTTCTAAGGTGATTTCAATAAAGAAGCAATTGGAAAATTTTCAATATTCTCTTCAATACAGAATTTTATTTTTCCAAGGCCTCCTCTTCAGGCCTTGGCCTGACTTCTTCTCCAACATCTCTCATTTATCATCATACGCGACTACAGAGCTTCGATACTCTTTAATAAAGAAGCAATTGGAATTGGTCCCCGTTTTTAGAAATTTACCGAATCAATAGGGGAAGGATGAGGATTAAAAGTTGATCGCCCTCCTAAATTACTCTCAGTCAGTGCGACTCCTTTCTCCTTGAAACGTCGATTTACCTGGTATCCGGTGCGGTGAACGATTCAAAAATCTGGTTTTTAGATTCGAATTCTTAATCATGGTGAACAAGCACCGTTAAGTCATTCTAATTACCATAAATCGAATTGCGAGCGGTGAACGGAAGTCGGAATATACAGGTTTGCCTTGGCAGATACCTGAAGAATCTAGATACAAGTTCACGATAAACTTCGCACGAACTAGACAGCTGGTTACAGTGTCTCCTGGCCAATGACACCGAGAATACAAGGTTGCTCTCTGCATTCGAGCTTCCTACACCATCATTCTGGAATCAGGCCATTTCCACCAGTTATTTTCGCAGCAAGTCTGGTAAAATTCTGGATGATTCGAGGTATAATGCTTTGAGATTGAAATATTTTTCTTCCAGATAAGTTCATTGGAGCTCTGCTGTTAAACGATTGATCGGGATTTTTGTGAATTTTTAACTGAAAATCTAGATTATCAATTTTGACCATTCTCTGCAAGCCGATCACAGTGGTCACTGTGAGCGTTTATATAGAATAAAATCAGAGATCGGTGGTGTCTTTGAGGAATGGTCACGGAAACCGATATTGCACGAGCTTTGAATTTCGTGTTCCTTAAATTAAAACTCTGGTTGTTTTGTTTTGATCGACTTTTAAATCATAATATCGCTCCAGTATGACAGCCACGAAGCGGATGGCGGCCTAGTGTAATATAGCGAAGACAAACTGGAACACCATATGTGATACAATTTAAGTATAAGAAAATTTTGTTAGATAAATAATTCTGGAATTCAATTGTTTATTAACAGAATGAATTAGATCGTGCGATTGCTTATATCTTCAACTGTATTTCTTCATTGATTACGCTTCTTGGGAAAGACGGAAGTTGTTATAATTATACACCCGTCTACAGCATTAGGAGCTCGGAGAAAGCTTAGTTATTAATTTTCCTCCGCACTGTTATTTGCCCCAGAAATGAAGAGTAACTTAAAATTGTTTCAAATTCAGAAATTATTAATTTTGAACCATGATTTCTCTTAGAAGGCGATCGACTTTCTTTTCCAGCATTCTATTTCAAATCTCCCATTCGTTCTGCAGAGACAAAAGAATTCACCATCGATTAGAACAGGTTCCAGCAAAAGAAAGATAAAAGCGTAATAAAACGCGGAAGCGATTAACAGGGCATGCAATAGCCTCAGCACGTGTAGCAAGTAAAATTGTACGCTCGTATGCAATCATTGAGACGGGCAACGCTTTCACGTAATTGCCAAGATATTATGTAAGCATAATACAGATTTTGTCGTTTCTGATTTGACCGGCTGATATCCACACCCTGTATCGCACCACGTGTTTCTACAACAATCAACAAAGTTGTCGTTCTGCGTGGTTTAAACCTTTCACTTTCACTGATTTTTATTCATACAGGCTATTTGAAATTTCGACTGGCCGAGTGAATCGTGGTTGCATGTTACAAGGAAATTGTTCGAAGGGAAAGGAAATACTTAAATTGCCATCAATTTTTTGGTTCTTACATATTGGATAATTAATAAAAGATTAGATCGCGGTTAATCGAGGCTCTGATTTCAATCCGAGTAATTTCACTACTGTGTCCTTTTTTTCATTGATAACAGTATCAGGATTTTGCAACTTTCATTTATTTTTATTTTCAGCAGACTATGATCTATTCAAGAGACGAAGCACTGATCGTAAATCCGAGGATGATCTACCCTTCGTCGACCTTCTGGCTATTTTTCACCGTTGAATTTTTAATCGGAGCACTTCTATCCGCTTTTCTTGCTGCTCTCGCGCTATTGAAGTCCCTGTTACCGAAACCGCCTCGAGATTTAACCGGAGATGTGGTCGTAGTAAGCATTCGAATTTCCTATATTAATAAATCATCATTTCTTGTAGAACCTCTTTTTGTCAGTGGATTTCTGAAATTCATTAATTCTTCTACTGACAAAGTATTTTCCTTTTCAGGTAGCAGGAGCCTCCTCGCCCCTCGGCAAATCCCTGGCCGAAGAATTCGCGAAAAAAGGATGCACCGTGGTTTGTATTGACAGTGACTCCAGATCCATCCAGGAAACAGCTTGCAAATTGAAGGCAACTCATCCTAGCGTTGAAGAAATCACACCTAGACACAGAAAGGACGATTCCTCGAGGCACGAATCAATGATATATGCTTATCAATGCGATTTAATAGACAGGAATGATATTCGGAGAACGGCAGAAAGAATCAAGGAAGATATTGGAAGGGTTGATATCCTGGTTACCTGCGTTGGTAATCCGAATCAGGATATCTTCGATGCGACTAGTAGGACTCTGATGAGTCATTTTTGGGTAGGATTATTTATCTAATAAGAGAAAATTTCTTAACCCTTGAGTTATTAACCCTTTGAGGACGGAGCATTTTTCAACTTGCATAGAGTCAATGGCAGTGTGGAACTGTAGCACCCCCTATTTCCTCTTGATATTATCGATAACATTTAATATAATGGGTCCTTTTTTCTTTAATTCTTTCTTTGTACTTGTACAATATATAATCCTTAAGCTTAATATCAGTAGCCATCCCCCAGTTTATGAAAAAAATACAAAAATCTTTGTATGAAACTGTGCGCTTCACAGTTCCAGCGGCGTGGTGTTTAACTATCGCGCGCATGCGCACATAAGAAGCTGCGCGCAAGGCTGCGCAGTAGAGAGAGCACTGTCGCTCCTGCAGTGCCAATTTTTTAAAACAAAAGCTAACAATTTTCTGGAACAGCACCCCCACTAATTTTAGCTACGAGCCGCCACTGCATAGAGTATTATTAATTTAAAGTAAAATAAGTAATAATTCGATCCTTCAAAGCAGATATTATAAATCTTTACTGTCTACACATATAGCTGTGTTTCGAATTAAGAATATAATGCAACAGGTACGGAATTATAAATTACTGTGACAATTATATTTGGATCGTCCGCAAAGGGTTAAAGGAAAGGGTACTATAACAGCCTTTTTCTACTTTCAATTTTTTTTGGTTTATAGACAGCCATGGCATTCGTACCATTAATGTTGTATCGCGAACGAGCTCATATCGTTGGCGTAACTCCCGTTGCGTCGAGTCAAGATGCGTTCCATGGTTCAAGAGCAGCGATAGTCAGTCAGTTTTTCCACTGTAACATACTTTATCATAATACAATCTTTTTAATAAAGTAATTGACGTTGGATGGTCTGTACAGGTCTGAAAGAAAGTCTTTGTCAAGAATTGGGTAATTTCAGCAGTCAGCTGACGTTCCTGGCATTCACACCGATCGTCAAATCCAGGTCTAGTGTTTTCAATTATGTAACGACCAGCTATCAGATTTGTTAATCGTGAATACAGAAATTTTATTCGCTGAACCTTTCACAAATTACAATAGATTAATCTATTTCTATTGGTTCTTAAAGCACGCCGAAGGAAAGCGAAGAACAAGTGGCTCGTAACATCGTGCGTGCTGTTAGAACGGATCAGAATACATTGAGCACCGGTTGGGTGTCCAGATTCTTATACCAAACAAGGTAAGAAATAAACACTGCAAATATTGAGACGGGAATAATTTAATTTTATTATTTCAGCTGTGCTGTTTACTATGGAATAACGCTCGTCACGCAATGGATCCATTCCCAGGGATGCGATTATTCTACATAAGTTTTATTTATAAAATAAAATCAATAGAAAAAAGGACACAGTAAAGATGGACAGTTCGATGGTCTGCAAACGATGATCGGGGCAAAAATTCAAGTGTTTTCCGTTACTATTAACAAATAAGACACCAATAGAGATATTTATCCTAATTAAAAAAAGGAACATTAATTTTTCAATATTTCTGCAGCACGTCGAGACAACAGAAAGTGATCGAATTTATATCAGGCACAGACATTCTCTTCGTCGAAGAATGCCCGTCATTCGGGAAACAGAACGTCGTAATGACCGTTGTCCGAGTTTCCGGTGAATAATAGCCTGGCGGTCTCGTATCGAGAGCTCACGTGATTATGGAACACTCGTTTCAGCTCTTGCCTTTCGTTGATTTCCCGGTAGATCGATAGATTCATGTAGTACATCTTCGTTGCCACGGTGCACTCGAGCTCGCTGGCGAACGTGCCAACCATGTTCATGTAATCGCAGTACGTCTGACGGTCGGATATGTTCCATTCGGCCATCACAAACGGCCCGTACTCCTGCCAATTTTCTTTGATGTGTTGTACGACCTGATGAACACCGTTCACATTGAGTTTTATACATTTGTAATAATCTACTGTGCGTTATTCGAATGAGCCAGAAATTAATTCTTAATTAACATAATACGAATAAATATTTGTATTTGAGAAAAATATAAAGCACACCATTGTACGTAGGTAGCGGTGCTCGTCTTCATTCCGCCAGAGGATGTAACTGATCGCTCGGAACATGCAATTGCCATCGCCGTAAATGCTGTGCACGCGAAACGTGCCCTCGGTGCACCTTAAACGAGCCGTACCTAATGAACGTAGATATAAATTAATGAACTTAAACAGAAAAAAAAAGATAGTGAAAATTAATCAGGGTACCTCTTTTGGAAAAGATAGAACGCTCGTTTTTGTTTTGTTTGATCCAACTGGTTCTAGTGTCCTGTCCTGGGAATTCAGTGTAAGGGATCCAATCGTTCTGCCGGAAGGAAACGTACTTCGCTCGTCGAATTCTCGAAGCGCTGCCAATGCTGTTAAAGTCTCCACGGTCCAAATACTGTTCGTGTCCGAATCTATTATACCTTTTTGCATTCTTGACCAGCGACGAGGGACGTACGCATCTGTCTATTAATAAGATACAATAATAAATAGAGAATCGTACGCGTACGTTCACTTTGAATGAAGCTGAAACGTTTTATTTTATGTATTCTATAATTTATATACTATGTTAATTAGGTACTTGATATATTTTCTAGATTTGTTTCTTTTTTTATTTACTTCGTGAGTAATTAATGCGTGTTTGCTTGATTAGCGTTGATTAAGCGATAGAACAATTAGCGTCGACCGAGCCAAAGATTATTATTATTATTAATTCGTTGCCGCTTAGAATAACTTACCGTCCTCGAAGATGTGGCTGCAGAAATAAAAGCACCACAGGCAAGGTAAAAAGAGGGCTTTCAAGAATGCTAATATACGGACTTTGGTGATGTCCAGTTTAGGTTTAGTTCAATACCGAGAGAATTTCTCAGCTTCGTCAATTGCCGCATGTTTTGGTAATGTACAAACGTGACTCAGAACGAGTGCAACGTATGTATCCCTTCGGTACGTTCGTTCACGCGTGCATAATTTATACGAGCATAATTTTTTACGTTGCCATCCGCATTTTTGAACGACGTGACATCTAAATTGATTTTCTGATGTCTTTCCATTTCGAAATGCTCGAACTTCATTACGTATTATCAGGAAATCAAAGTGTATCTTGTAACCTATTGATCAATATATGACTGAAATACATTTAGGAAAGGTAAAATAATATTCTTGGTAATATTGTAGTATTAAATATTTTATTATCACTTTTAAAATGTTACTGTAACCATATCTTTCCGGGAAGCATTTTCTACAACTTCCTTTATTATTTTATCCTAATTGTCGATAAACCAATTCAAAATTCAATACTGTCGCCATCTATTAAAAGATGGCGGAAACTACTTGCCAAATTATCGACACATCTTCCGAGAGTCGGTAAACCAATTCAAAATTTGATACTACCGCCATCTATTAAAAGATCGCGGAAACTACTTGCTAAATTATCGACACATCTTTCGAGAGTCGGTAAACACAAAAGATTACTTGCCGTGTCTATCCCTTTAAAGTTGTAATTTACTTAATAAATACATAAATTTTATATTCACAGGACATTATAAATATGAGTTCTGCTAAAGATGATGAGGACTTTTGGTACAGCAGTGAGAAACGGTCTTTCTGTTTCGAAAACAATGAGGTTAGGTTTAGGTTATATTAATTCTTTTAGTAATTTCTACATCAAAAACGTAGTCAAAAACTAATAGGATTTAATTATGTAGGTGGATCAATTGTTTGGAGTATCTAAGACTGATACAGATAAATTATGGGCTGGTATTTCAAACACCTCAACATCAGAGGCATCCTTAAAAACTACGAGCGATTATCAGCCACTTAAACCCATGTTATCTGTTATCTCGGAGAAAACACTTTCTTGCAGTATGTCAGTGAAGTCATCTACAAGTCAATATTCGCAGTGTTTGAAATATATTCTATATACATTGCTTATATCAATCATAGATCATGATAAGATGCATTGTGTACAAACATTTTTTTGTTCACAGTTTTGGCACTCGATAAATTACAGAATCTCCAACCAGAACCAACAGCTGTACAACCAGACATAACACTTAGAAAAATTTTACTTGGCCAGTCTTATTCTTTGGAACCATACAAATCGATTGCCAGCAAAACTGCCTTGTTAGATGCAGCTATAATAAGCGGAGATGGAAATGCAATTTTAGTTGTAATTGTTTTCACTACTCTGATTGTTTCAGTTGTTCTTATTAAAATTCATTTTATACATACTCCAATGTATGTTTCAGATTATATTATTTCTTACAAATACTCTTAAGAGATCTTTGGTTCAAAGAATATTAGCAGAAAGACCAGATGCTGTAAATGTTTACATAAGATATCTTTCAACAAGGATGCAAATAAATGAAATTACCGATATCTTGACGTATGTATTCTTTTTGATTTTTATAACCACATCATTATGTTTCCATTAATTCATAATTCTTACAGAATGCTAGGACAAACAATGGATGCTGCTGTAAGTTTCTATGTAATAGGATGTTTTTAACTGTTCATCGTATGTAACAGTTATGTTTTTTTCTAGATGAAAACTTTACACATTATAATAAAAAATACACGCGATCCTGACAGACTTTTACAGAAACTTCGAAATAGTTATAAGACGCAATTTTCGGCTTTAAATGATTGTAAAGAAGCTTCATTTGTTCAATCTTACATACAGTTACTGGGTAACTATCTCTTTTAAATATTAAAACAGTAGAGGGATCCGTAATTACAAAATTAGCAATGAAAACAGTGACTTAATTGGATTAATGCATTAACAGAATGGCAAACGGTAGTAAAGAAAGTAGATGGAAACGAAGAAATCGAACTAAATTCATCTGTTCTTGACTGTCTAAGACATGCATGTAAAAGTCATTGGAATGTAGCAGAAGGGACATTAATGTCTCCTACAAGATTATCTCAACAACACGATATATCTCCTAGGCAATATCAGAAAGTTGCATTAGAAGTTAGAACATCAGCTGGTGAATGGGATGATATTGATAAATTACTTTTAACAAAGGTGACACATAAAACTCCATATCAAATGTTTAAATATCGTAATAAAACTAACTTATGTCAATTCGTAATTGCTAGGGTTGGCTAAATAGTAAAAAGTTACAAATCCATCTGCCTATTGAAGATATATTAAAAATATTGCAGAAAAGCAAGGCACCCTCCAGTGTTCTTGAGAAATATTTGAAATACGTAGACAATATAGAGAGACGATTGGAATTAGCGAGAAATATGCATTGTTTTAGAATAGCAATCGACGTAAGTATAAGATCATTTGTAATCGATAGAATTTATACTTTAATGCGACTATTCTTTTTAGATACTTGTACAACAAGCAGATCGTGCTACATTAATGGAATATAAAACAAAGTTGCAACCACAATCAGAGGAATATTTTTACGCGGAAAGCGCTTTGCGTTTACCATCAGTTAAATGGAAAAACTAGGATTAATATTTTACTACGTTTAAATATTTATTATATAAAAAAAAAAGGACCATATATCTTTGTACAGTGGAGTTTGATTTATGCTTTCATATAATCTATATAAACTGCAATCCCTTTACCTTTGTTTTGTAAAATATTTTATTATATCAGATATCAACAGATGATAACAAACATGGCGATAGTAAAATTTACGTCAACCTCGCTCGCAATTTTTGTCCAAAAAGGGTTACTGTGATTGGCGAATAAAAACTCGCCGCGATGGTAATATTGGACACGTTGTGAGCTAGGGTTAAATATTTATCTCCTTCGTTAACGGGTATCGCGAATTCTTCGATTTTGAATGTATGTACATATCTCAGAGCAACGAACTCGCGTACCGGCTGAAATCTCTAGAGCGCGGTTGTAGTCGTTTGTTAATTCTTTTGACAGACGCGTTGAAATTGTTGTTGCTACGTGGTTAGTCCAACGGAATAGCTTTATCGGTTACGCGGTAAAAATAGATGCTTTATAAAGAAAAAGGGTGAAAAAGGAAAATATCCTCGCAAGTATCGTAGGATTTTTTTCTGCATCCTCCAATCGTTATTGAAGGAACCGTTAGAAGTTTCCGTTGTGTGCGCATTTGAACGATCTAGTTATACATTTGTCATCTGCGTGCGGGAACCACTCCCGATTGGTGTTACGGTGTTCCCACGATATTCGGTAAGCTTTTCTTTAAGTATTTTAATGATTAAAAATATTTGAAAGCTTTTTTAATGCGTTTTTAAGCTCGGAACCAGTGGCTAGTGTTACATGTTGAAAAAAATAATAGGTGTATCGAAGTCGAGGCACGTCGAAGAATGAACCCCGAGTATGTCGACTGCCCAGTGTTTCGAGCCAAAAAAGTGAATGGAATGTGATTCCTTTTAAGTCTGCTTTAAGATCAACCATTTAAGGACTATCAGTGATCACTTTCTGATTAACCGATTCATTTCTTATACTAAGCCACTGTGTTTAACCGCGGGCTTTTTAACCAATCCTTTCTACATGTAACATATACATCTTGTACAGTATAAGCATACCGATAACGTGTAGCTAATTTCATGTTTTATCAATCATGAATCATTATATTTTAGTTGCTGACTAAGGAGAAGATAACAATATGGCTGTTAATGTATATGCTACAAATGTGACAACCGAAAACTTGAGCCGGCATGATATGCTGGCTTGGGTGAATGACTGTCTGCAATCGTCTTTTACCAAAATTGAAGAACTATGTACCGGAGCTGTTTATTGTCAGTTTATGGATATGCTCTTTCCTGGAAGTGTACCATTGAAGAGGGTAAAATTCAAGACCAACCTCGAGCATGAATATATACAGAATTTTAAAATCTTACAAGGTGGTTTTAAAAAGATGAATGTAGATAAGGTAAGCGATCAAAATGTTAACACGATTCATTTAATAATCCTTAGGTGAGAGATGAGAAATATTTAGAAATTATTTCATGGTGGATTGACGATTACGCTATTAAATTTTAAAGTATCTTTATTTTTAAGTACAATAAGGTAGCAGTATTAAGTAGCAAAATAAAACGTTCTACTATAACATGAAATGTTACACCATAGAAAAGTATTGCGTTAAGTGCAATGTGCACAGACATGTAATCTTGTTACAAAAATGGTTCAGGTAATACCAGTGGACAAATTAGTAAAAGGCCGCTTTCAAGACAATTTTGAGTTTTTACAATGGTTCAAAAAATTCTTTGACGCAAATTACGATGGCCGCGAGTACGATGCTTACGAGGCTCGTGGCTGTGTACCATTGGGTTCTGGTGTTGATGGGACGCATAACTTGTCAAATCCCCAGTTGGTACCTTTACCTCCTCAATCAAAGCAGATGCAAATGCAACAAAAGCATATTCAACAACGTAATATTGTCCCTCGCCAACAGCAGGGTATAGCAACATCGTGTCAGTTCATTAGCAATGCTTTTGCATGTTTTTATATTGTCGTCTTTATAGTTCAATAAATCATCATGCGCTCCATAGAAAATGTACTCTGGCTGTGCATAATTGAACTCATAAAGCATTTTCATGTCTACAGTAAAGTAGAAAGCACTTTATGCTTTTGCAGTTTTTAATCACATGTAAATGTACAGACACACAATTTGAAATTTATAGCACAGTGTTTCTTTATATGTTGTTTATCACTTTTGAGTGTAAGTAAGAATCATCTTTTATGTTTCTTCCATCACATTTGTTTTTATGTTTTACATGCTTTTAATTACAAGAAATAGTTCCCTATTTTAGGTGGATATAAGTATGGAGTGTATAAATAAATATACTAAAGTGTGGGTGGGGGGGCAAAAGATTGTCTAAGGGATATAATATACTATTTGCTAGATTTAATCTTTAACCCCTTTGATATATTTCTTTATTTTACTGATTTCTCTCGTTTTACGTTTTAGGTATTATGAAATTTAATAATAAACGAGTAGATCAATGTTTGATTTTATTCTTGTTTTTCTAGTTTATTAAGGTTTCAGTTATTTTTTTATTTTGTTCCACATGCTTTTTTGCTAATCATTTGCAGATTGTTCCAATTGATAGGCTGGTGAAAGGCAGGTTCCAAGATAACTTTGAATTTTTACAATGGTTCAAGAAATTCTTTGATGCAAACTACTCCAGAGCAGAGCCATACGATGCACTTGCTATGCGAGGAGGAGAATCTATGGGTAGTGGTGGAAATAATGCACCGCATGGCACTAATGCAAAACGCACAACACCACGTGATGTAAATCCGTCTAAACCAGCTGGTCGTATTGGTATATTACTTCAAATCCTTTTTTCTTTCATTAAATTTGAATTTGTGTCAGTAATCAAGATACAGAAGTAAAAGATAATTGCAAACTTAACAGCGAACAGTTTAATCAAGTTCGGCTTATATACTAATGATTTTTTAAATTGTGAACACGTTCCTTAAAGATTGTGACGAATAATTAACTTGCTTTGCTTTCATTAAATCCTTTTTAAGCGATAATTGTATATACATATATAAGAAACAGATTTACTTGTCCTCATGAAATAAGAAATAGAATTTTACTTCAGGTCAAGGATCTTCACCTCCTGCACCTGCCACTAACATCAAGTCTAGTAATTACTTTTTTTTATAATTTCGTACTTGTTTTATTTGAATTTCTTTTTCTTTTATTATTGAAAAGTTTAAAAGAAGGTATTCATACAAAAGTATTTGTTAAGGTGTTGGTACTTTTAATTGAAACAATGAGTGAAATAATTGAAACCTTTTAAAACAGTTTGGTTGTCCATCCTTCATTTAACTATTCAAAAACTTATATTTACAGGGTGTATCGTAACAAGTTGTTACCATATATTATGATACACCCAGTATATTACGTTAAATTAACTGTTGCATGAAGTATAATAATTTATAAGAATTAGAACAAAATTTTATTCCAAGTATTTTGATGATTTCAAGAGATTTATATACACAGTTCGTTTATTTGTTTATTACCAATATCATGCATAATTGTATTCAATACCTGCTTTTTTCCTGTTGTACAGTTGTTGGTACAAATTGTTATGCTTTTCATCAGTACATTTACACTGCTTGCATAAATGTTTACATAGTATTATTTTCTTGTCAAAGTAGATTTATTGTTGAGTAATTTTGATTTTTTTTTTTTCGTGTACATATAGTAGAAATAGTAGTAAGTAATATATACGAAATAATAACGCAAAGAACTTTCAAATTTAGTTAACAAAGCACCAGCCCATCGTCCACAAGTAAAAACGGGAGGCATTGGAAATCGTGGGGATCCTGGTAAAGTCGAGGAACTCAGTGCACAGGTAAAATAAGATACATCAATGTTGTTTGTAATGATAACTTTTTATTAAATTGTAATGTTTTATCATAGTTGATGGAATTGAAAATGTCCCTGGAAGGACTGGAGAAGGAAAGAGATTTCTATTTCGGAAAATTACGCGATATTGAAGTTATGTGCCAAGATTGTGATAACAATGGAGATCCACCACCAATAGTACAGAAAATCTTGGAAGTCCTTTACGCAACGGAGGTACGTAAACTCTAATTGTAAAATTGACAATGAGGTATGTTTTTATCTTTAAAAATTTCTTGTTTCTTATTTAATATAGGAAGGATTTGCACCACCCGAAGAATTAGAAGGGGACGGACTCGCGCCAGACGAAGAGGAAGAATACTAACTTCAACCTTTTGTACAATCATTAAAACGAAAAAACCACAGCAAATTGTCCAAGTGCGTTTCAGTTTATTATGTTTGCGAGCCAGTATATACTGGGATAATTAATAAACTACAGTATCAGTTGCATAATTAATAAACCTACTTTGTATAGCTATTTAAGCATTTGCGCCTTCATTTTTGTTACAAAGTTTTCACCGAGGTTCGCACGTGATTAGGATAGAAAAATATCAGGAAATAATGCACTTGAATAACTTGTATCCTATTGACAGGTAATTATTATTAAGAAAGGAACAAAGTTAGCAGTCATAGGTCTTTATCGTAATGCGAAATAACGGTAGAGTTCTGAACATCGACAAGTCATTAAAACTACGAAGATTATAAGAAATGAAATGTTTGGACGGTACTCTGAGTCCATTTTGTTATACAGTGAAGTTATGTTAACTATGTTTCATTAATGTGTGAATGTTTTTTCGTTTGTAAATGCACTGGTTTTATTACCGATGTTTTCGGTTTGTCCTTTCGTACCTCGTTGTAGTTTTCTCGAAAATTGTAGACATGTTAAATCCAATGTATTTTAATTCACTTATCTTGTGCAATCGTGCAACAAAGTGAATGATTACGACCGATTATTTGTCACAAAATGTACTGATTTTTCCTGTTGCAGAACGATAATGTATGCCAAGTTTATCTTAATGCGCAATTAAATTGAATTTTACAAGTTTTATATTCACCTTATTTTTGTTTCTCTTAATTTTAGACTTTGCGTGAGAACACATTTTGTCGCATAATTGTACATTTGTAGGATGCGATTGTGGTTTTCAAATTGAATCAAGCGGCGATACGCGTACGTGTTTCAAAAAAATTATTATTCGACGAGTAATCGCTTCTGTTCCCATAATTGAATGAATTCTGGAGATGCGAAAGATTGCTAGATTTGATTCATTGAAACACGCTGTTCGTTTTAAGAATATCTTCGCATCTTCACGATCCGTCTTTCAGAATAAGAATGGCCTTAACGCAGCGATGAACTTGAGACGAGAAAAACAGAGGAATACTCGAATTATTTAGTGAACCAAAACGCAAACTGTATTTCCAACATGTTTGTTAATCGCCTTTCGAGCAAAAGCGATGCAACGCGAAAGATAAGTGAAAAAAAGGAGAAAATTTGTAAAATTGTATGGACGAGAATGAGTGAGAGACAACGAATGAAAGATCTAACACGTAAGCAATAATTGTACGATTATAATTTGCTACGTGTCTATGATGAATATGCGTGTTCTCTGAAGTAATCGGTTCTCAATCATGAATAAATTATACATAAATCTTTTTTTCTCTTTAGATTCTTAAGAGTAAATAGAATATGAATATTAAGGCAACGATTATCGTTATTATTGTTTTACTAGGATCGCGTTACGTGTAAGCAACTTTCAAAGATAGAGATACAACGCGTTCTAAACTGCGCTATGTTCATTGCTCTATATGTGCGTATACAAATGCGTTTCCTCGCGCGAATGTGCTTCAAAATTGAAATTCTAATGATGAGGTAATAAACGTTTAATAGGATATTCAATGTTTAACTTCTTCTTTTATTTCTTAATGTTAGATACAGATTTGTAATAGCGTTCTTTTTATGTGTAATAATTTTAAATTGAAACACGTTTTATTTATCCGTACAGCTTGGCTAGGATTTTATGATGGATCATGATTTTGGGAGTTCCAGTCATTCCCATACAACAGTCGTGCTTGTTTCACCAGCTCCTCTTTTACCATACCTTGCACTGACAATTGAAAAGACCCAATTTTCACTCCCTCTGATTCTATTTTCTGACAAGTCAGACAAAATCAGTAAAAGACCGAAAAATTATTAGAATAATTATTTGGCAAATATATTTTGAGAAGACCGCGTATTTTTAAAGTTCGACCACTGCGCCATCTATACAAGAGCGGCGGAAACTATTCAACAAATTACCGACATATCGACTGAACTTCCGACAGTCGGTAATCGACTCTTCGGCAGTCGGTAAGTTGACGAGTAGTTTGCGCCGCTTGTATATAGATGCTGCAATAACTGATGGTTTGGGGTGTTAGGGACCCCGAAGCATCGGTGATGCTATTTGCATATCAACATTACTGCATCCGGGGTGTCGAGGACCCCGGTGACTGCGTCCGACCTAATATCATCTTGGGGTGTCAGGAACCCCGGTGACTCTCTCGGCCCAACGATAAAATATCATCTTGGGGTGTCAGGAACCCCGGTGACTCTCGGCCCAACGACAAAATATCATCGGGGGTGTCAGGAACCCCGGCGACTCACTGCGTGCTGCGCACCGACAAAATATCATCTTGGGGTGTTAAGGACCACAAAGCTAAAATGTGCGACCCATAGACTTTCTATAGAAACATTAAAACCTCTGTAACTTTTGACTCCGACCACTTAGCCGCACAAACGCAACGGTTTTGAGTTAGTCCCAGCGAGACCTTTTTAACCACGTATACATATAAAGTGTATCTCTAACTTTAGTAGTTCTCAAATTGAAAAGAGACACGGACGGACGTCTTTGCGCTTTATATATATAAGATAATTGTTTAAGAAATGTAAATTCACTTCATGTGACTTGGTAAATAAATCATTTTCAACAAACAATTGAGTTATTCCTTAATTTATTCAATTTCCTTTCTGAATTATTTCTTGTCACAGTTATTTATTTATATAACATTCAGTAACTGCTTGATCCTTACTAAATTATAAACATTATATACAAACATTATATAACATTATATTCTTATAACGACCACCGAGGAGTGAAGATCTATACTAGTCAAACATACATATACCTTCAATTTGTTTTCTGAGTCCCTTTTTCTTTGTCTCCCTTATATCCCTGCATCCCTTACATCTCTACATTCTTTACATCTCTGCATCCCCTACATCTCTACATTCCTGCTTTCTTCACATCTCTACACCCCTTACATCTCTACATTCCTTACATTCCTATATCCCTTATATTCTTACCTATATCCGTGCATTAATTATACCCTCGCATCCTTTACATTCCTGCATCTCTTACATCATTGCATCGGAGAGCAAAATATCGAGGCAAAATTTTGCGAAATATAGTTCCCCCTTTCCCGCTAGAGGGCGCTGTTCCGATCTGACAATTTTAGTACGCATTTTTGCCGCTAGAGGGCCAAAATTAGTGCAAGGTTTAGTTCCTTTTTTTGCCCCCAGATGGCGTTGAACCGACGTCGAAATTTTAGTTCACATTTTTGCCGCTAGAGGGCCAAAATTTGGGCATGGTTTAGTTCCTTTTTCCGAAACCAGATGGCGCTGATTCGACATCGAAATTTTAGTTCACATTTTTGCCGCTAGAGGGCCAAAATTGGTGCGTGGTTTAGTTCCTTTTTCTGAAACCAGATGGCGCTGATTCGACATCGAAATTTTAGTTCACATTTTTGCCGCTAGAGGGCCAAAATTGGTGCGTGGTTTAGTTCCTTTTTCTGAAACCAGATGGCGCTGATTCAACATCGAAAATTTAGTTCGCATTTTTGCCGCTAGAGGGCCAAAATTTTTGCGAAATTTAATTCGCAAGGGCTACCTGGGTTGCTCAGATGTAAGGGTTGGATGTAAGGGATACAGGAATGTAAGGGATTTGGGGAAGTAAGAGATGCAGGGATGTAAAGATGTAAAGAATGCAGGAATATAATGAATTCAAGGATGTAAGGGATGCAGAGATATAAAGGATTCAGGGATGTAAAGGATGCAGAGATGTGAAGGATGCCGATATGTAAGGAATGCAGGGATATAAGGGATATTGGGTTGAGCTCCGTAAAGCCCTCAAATGGGGGTAAAATAATAAATAAGAGGATAAAATGATAGGTGAGGCATACAAGAGTAATAAAACGAACACGTTCATCCTCCTAATGAGTTTATTCAATAAGTTATGAAGATAAATACAGCAAATTTAATGAACACAGACGATAAAATAAGGGTATATGTACAAACAGGTTGATTCGCATCACTCGGCGGTCGCTATAAGACTGAGGTCCATAAAGAGGAATAGGATAATAAATAACTGGAAAGGATGCTCCCCGAGAAGCCCATAAAGAGGAATAAAATATTAAATAATTAGGAATTTTGGATCCTGGCTCATAAAATAGGATAAAATAATCAATAACTGAAAAGGATTTTAGGCCTGTAAAGAAGGATAAAATAATAAATGAAGGGGATGGTTTCGGAAAGTCGATCGGTAACTCGTCGAATAGTTTCCGCCGTCGCTGTATAGATGGCGCATCGATCGAATTTTAAAAATACTTAATTCTAGGCAGTCTTTTTAAAACACAAGTCTGTCAAGAAATAAAATTAAGAGAATCTAAAATCTTGTTTCTTTATCTAATACAAAAATGCGTCCATAACATAGGAGATATTAAGATTTCCAGGACCACAGTCTTCAAGATTAAAAGATTCTCTAAATAACTTTCCAAGCGTCTAAATTATGTACTAGCCTCTATGAATCGTATATATCGATCAAAAACCAATAAATAAAAAGCAAGTAATAATAATCCCAGCAGTTTATCAACGAAGAACGAAAACTTGTCGAAGATAACTGAAGGCGGATACGAGTTTCTCGTTGCCGATCCTCGGATCGTAGAACGGAACGAATTGCGCCGGGTGTCGCAGCAGAGGAGATCGATCGATCCTCCGCGTAGTCTGTTGGCCATGAACGTGCGTGATCACGAAGAAACCGCAGAGATACGGAGTCGGGCAAAGGTTCGCTGATCAACGCTTCATCATCCAAGTTAGTCGTTCCAGCGAGTTGCTGTCGAAAAGCACGATCGGGCGAGTTCCTTTCAGCTTTTCGAAGGAAGAGGGAGAGGGAGAAAAAAGGATCGCCTCGAAGGGAGCGCCGGAACGCTCTGAGAGCGTACAGGAAGTACCTCGGGAGAGACGTAGTTGGTGCATGCGCGGTCGAGTCTTCATCCAGGTGAGACGCAACGGAGCAAAGCAGAAGAAGCGTACCTTATTTTCTCTTCAATTTTTCCTACCGGGTTTGTCGTTCGTATTTCCCTGCGGTTTCTCATGGTAGCAACAGGGCACGCAGTGACTCGGTTATGTAATAGATATTTGCGGTCTTTCCTCGATACCTTTAACGCGCGTGTGTTGCAGTATTAAGTCCAGTTTCAAAGGCGTTTTGCGAATCCTCCAGAGTTTACGATTGTTTAGTTGTGCTCGATTTTGGTGAATGGAACGAGGCTTCGGAATAGATTCCTGTGGAAATAAATGTAGGAAATATTAGAGAACAGATAAACTGTAAGTTTTTTTTTATTATTTTGAATTTACATGGAAATGGAGTTTATGAAGTTTGACATTTAAATTTTAATCGATACAGTTATTTTTATAATAGAAATCAATTTTATTTAAAAATTTTTATATTCAATTTGGAATAAAATTAGTGGAGAAGAAGTTTCGTACAGAAAAGTTTCAAGTTGAGGAAGTTTTTTTTTATTATTTTGAATTTACATAAAAATGGAGTTTGTTAAATTTGACGTTTAAATTTTAATGGACACAGTTATTTTTACAATAGAAATCAATGTTATTTAAAAATTTATATATTCAATTTTCAAATAAGATCAATGGAGAAGGAGTTTCGTACAGAAAAGTTTCAAATCAAGGAATTTGCTTTGATTTACAAACCGCTCTGTCCTCTGTCCTCGTCGACCTAAACACTAGAAAAACGGGCTTCGTACAAGTTTGCTAATCGTAGTCGAACGCTTATTCTTCTCCAACGATCATTATTAGGTGAGTGTCTCGATTTCTCAAATTCTAGTTTCAATTTTAAGTAGGTAAAATTTAAACAAAAAAAAGAAAAAAAATATCGCAGAGAATTTTGGGAAGGCAGGTAATTGTTAATTTATATTTTTAAAACCCTCCTTTTTGGTTTAAGCATCGCGAAGAATTTTTATTTCGCCTCGTCGACGAGAATTTCTGCGTCCCTGTGGATAACGTTAGGTCATGCCTCTTCGATAGCAAATTATCATCACTATTCTTATTGTTTATTTATGACTGGCTCGTTCTGGGTCCCCGAGAAAAATTCTTACGCGAACGTTCATGCGATAGACGACGGTATAACATTTGAAAAAATTCAATAGGTGACAGTTTCAGAAGATAAATATAACAAATTTGTAAGATTAATGAACTCTGAATAATTCCAATCATTGGAAACACAAAATTCTAAAGAAATTATTATTTTTAGAGCAATCAGTTTTAGATAAATTTGTTGATTCGGAGAAAAAATTCTATCGTTAAAATGCTATAATTCATTTTAATATCAACTTAATTTCATCTTAATGAAAGTAAAAAAGTTATCTTCTTATATTTAGAATATAACGTTCTATGAACTTTGATTTACTTAAGAATCCGAAAAAATGAATGTAAGAACATTGATGGATTGAAAATTCGCTGTGGAATCGATGATGTCAGAGTCAATAATTGGACGACGAACAATTGTTGTTGTTTTCGTCCGTTTCAATTTCTTTTCTCAAGCCCTCATTTCGATAAATGTAATTAGCAGAGAGTACTTAAAATCATCCTTGAATATGTCATTCTATAATTACTTTCGTTTTTATAATCCCTCATTTACGAAGATTATTCATGGTATTATCCAACGAAAACACGTAAGTTTTCGATGCAACAGAAACAAATATGATTCATCGTTTAAAAATAGATGATTGAAAGCTGTAACACTTGTAGTTTTCATGAAAATTCATCGCGATAAGTCGCCGAGCGTAGATGCACTCGATTTATCAATAAACTAATTCATATTTTCCATATTCGATGCATCTCTAAATTCCTGAATGAAAAAGGGGTCGATAGAGACCCGGGCCGAAATTGAAGAATTCGTCGTGTTACGTTTTCATGAATGAAAGTTAATTAATGAATGAACGAAGAAAACTCTATAATCAGTTCATTTTTTTAAATTAACGATCAAAGTTCGTCAATGCATCAGTGTTATAAATACTGTTCTGTAATAATCGGGTTAACAGTGATATTTTTTAATCGTCTACAAAAGTGTTGTCCAATAAATATATTTCAGAGATGAAAACTAATTATTCAAACTTCCTTGCCACCTTAGGATGAATAATCAATAGCTATGTAACTTTAGAATAAAAATTATTCGAAAAATAATTATCATCGTTGAAAATAAATTTTTGCAAAGATTCAAACGTTCATTTGTTCAGCTGAATTATTTTCGGAATGATATTTTAACAGAGACGCCAGGGTGGTGTATCTTTTTATTTTAAAACATTTTCCAACGACATAAGCACGATTATGGGAGTTTCTGCGCTTGGAACGATAGTAAGGGGTCATGCCTCCACGATAGCGATTTATCACCGTTGCATTTCTTATTGTTTATTTATAACCGACTCATTACCGTTTAATGGAGAAGAGAGAATTTTATTCATGTGAACCCCGTCAACGAACTGTACGAACGCTCGTGAACAAAGTCGAAAATCTTATTTAGGTTCGTGTCATAGGGCAAACGTGTTTCTATCACGAAAGCTCTACTTTAGGCGAAAGCTATGTGTCTTTAATTAACTATACAGAGGATTCATAAATAAAAATTAAATGCTGGACCGATTTGGCTAATTTCTTTTCAAAAATGTTCCGAATAAGGTTTTTAGCAAAAGTTGTCCGGAGAAATGGAAAATTCGGGCTTTTTTCTATGGGATTTTATCAAGGAACGGCATTTAATTTTTATTTATATAGATAGAAAATAATAGCTCATTAAAATTCCCGGGCAGAGCCGGGTAACGCAGCTAGTAGAAAATAAATTGATAATTTTAAACAAAACAAGGTGAGATTTCATATGGTTACGAGACACAATGAGACAAATATTTCTGAAACTTTTTTATTTCAAATGAACGTCTCAGCGATGATAACCCCCGCAAGATTTTATGGTAACCTTTAAACCGTCGGACGTTTATTTAGCTAATTTCCCGCCAAGAAGAACAATCGGTTCGAGGTCGTACGATTATGGTGTTCGAATCGTGTTTCATTGCGTTCTGATTCCTCTAACTTCCTCTTTTTATATTAAAAAAAAATAGATTTAAAGAAAGAAGATTGGACTGCGTTAATTACGTGAATGAAATAATTATTTATCATTGGTTGTATCATAGTTCAGAATTTTAATCATCAAATTTATTGATACTCATAAGCAATATCTTCATTAGATTTAAATAGCCTCGTTTACAAGGGTTAATAATGTTATCATACTTGTTTAGATTGGCTTTTTGTAAGCGATTTGGATTCCATATTTTTGACTAGGTTTTACAAATTACGCTTTTATCGAAGAAATAACGTTTTCCAACTAACACGCATCGTGGCTGATTAAAGATTAGAAAAATCATGTTTCTCTACAATTATGTTAATTGTAATATTTTAATTAAATTCATCTGCCCTGGATTCTTTATGCAAATGGATCGCTTCTAGCGTTAATTAATTCTATTTTATTCATTAATTTCCAGATTGAATTTAACCATGGAGAATGAGGGATCTCCATCCGTCGTAAGTACCAAGCATCAATTTTAAATAAAATATGAAATTAAATAAATTAATTCCATATGATTTTTCTGATTAATTAATCAGATCATAAACGAGTCGACGGAAGGTATACGAGGGTGGATAGAATCGGTGGTAATCACAGCATCGCAAACCTCTGTGGGTCAAGCATTGTTCAAACTCCTCGATTCGTTTTTGTGGGTCGTCGAAAAATCCGCTCAGTGGAGTTTACCGTCTCACGAAGTCGCAGCAGGTATTTGTTTATTAAAAATGAAAAATTATGAATCTTTCAAAGTTTCAAGAAAAACGTAACACCATACGTTCTAATGTTTCATTATCATTTACAGCTTATTAATAGCTTTTGATAAAGATTGATGGTTAATTGGTTAATTGTGTGGATAAGAAATGAGAGATTGCTAAGTTTCTAATCTGTATAGTATGATAATATCCTGACCAATTGAATGATATTAGATAATCTTTCAATTTGATTAATTGTCGTTCGATTGCAATTATTAAGAATACATTTATTTCAAAACAGAAGAGAATGGAAAGGTGTTTGGAAAAATTGAACTGGTCAGACCATTGCCATGGGTCCTTTTTCTACCAGGATTGGTCATCCTTCGCATCATCAGGGTGGGATTGAACGTGGGTGCCTTCGTGCTGGGCTACCCAAAAATCCAACCAAGTGGAATGGTGTGTAATTAAATTTTATGCAAACCCCTATTTTTTATAAGAGCAAGACTGAATTCATCAAGGATGAAATTTTCAATTAAAAATATTTTTACAGGTAAAATTTGTTCAGAAAGGCCGCAGACGATTAAGAGCCTTTAATTTGAAAGCAGTGAAGTCTGTCAGACGTACCAGCAAGGTAAACCCCAGAAAGAAATTATTCTCGTTTCGTACGTTTTTTAGTTGCGTTCATTTCGAGCATGAATCCTAAGAATTTTCAATGTTTTAATTGTTCATTTTATTTATGGAATATATTGGAAAGGTATGTTGTTTCCTGGGTCGGTTAGTTTTTAGACAGACTATTAAAATTAGCACGATAATAGTTTCGGTGATGGATGTAGGACAAGAGATTGACGATGATCGAGGCGAAGAAAGCCCTGATCAGATCTATCAGACTGACTCTGTCGACATTGTCTTGTCTGGATTCGTCTAACTCGTCGCCGTCGCCTCCGCCCACCAAAATTCATGTAAGCAAGATGGAACTTGAACCGGTAAGCAGAAAAATAATATTTGTGATAGCATGCTAAATTGGTAGTATAATAGTAGACTGTGCATCTATGTTGTCTTATGCAACTGGGCTAAATAAAAACTCCATAATGATGCAACATAGAGAGAAACGTCATTAGGGAAAATTAAATGGTGCCAAACGGAGCATCACCTGATGCATGCACCGGCACCGGAAATGGAAGCGTTCCAAAGATTTCTAGGTTACCTCTATTCTTTTCAATGGAATTATATATCTTGCGATACATCATTTTCTGCGTCTTTTAATCCACTATAAGAAAGTATTAGGGTGCTTGGGTCGAAAATTGAGTGGTTCAAAAGATATCCCAGGGAGAGACTGCCGGTCTCTCCCGGTCTCTCCCTAAGATATCTTTTGAACTAATTAATTTTCGAGCTAAGTACCTTAATAATTTTTATAGGGAATAACAATATGCAGCGGTTGACATCAAAGGAAGTTCAAAATTCCAAAAAATAATTTTCAAATTTGGAGGACCCAAGTCACTCCTTAAGATATTTTTTGAATTAATTAATTTTCGAGTTAAGTATCTTAATAATTTTTATAGAGAATAACAATACGCAGCGGTTGACATCAAGGGAAATTCAAAATTCCAAAAAAAAGTTTCCAAATTTGGAGGACCCAAGTCTCTCCCTAAGATATCTTTTGAACTAATTAATTTTCGACTCAACTATCCTGATACGTTTTTATAGAGAATTAAAAGACGCCTCGATCGACACCTGGCAAAGTGAAAAATTCTAATATAATTATTTCAGATGAAATTGCACGTTTTGTTAATTAATTTAACATTTTTTTATGTATACATGTTCCTATTACATTAGAGGTATTTAAAGTTATTTCTTAACAATCATAGATGGCTACTCCAGATGAAAAATCGACTACAGAATCAGTCGGAAGTCCCATAAACACGAAAATCAAGCGGAAGTTCTCCGAGGTGAGTTCCGACAACGAAAGCACTGATGAATCAGAAACTGAAACCCTGGATACAAAACTCGAGAGACTCGCACTGGAAAGTAGCACGGATGATCCTGATTTCAATGTAAGTAGAAAAAAATAGAACTACCTCTAATTACCACTCGCAATTAAAACTACGAATTAATTGAAAAATAGATGATTTGTTAAAATTGAATATTCGATATTCAAAACAAACTTCTCGAATTCTTTGAAAATGGTGTCCAAGCTATTAATATTAACCGTGACATACTTAAACAGAAATAACATTCTCTGAGAGGTGAGAAGATACTCGCGTGGTTCGTCTTGCGATCAAAAGACGAGCAGAAAACGATGAAGAAGACATCATTTAAAAAATTCTAATTAACGATTTCTTTTTAGCCAGCCGAATGCAGCACGGAATCAAGCTCGGCGAGTAGCGAGAACGAAGTGGAAAAGGAAATGAGCTTTGACGAATTGGTGGAAGTTCAAGAAGAAGCTAAAGAATTCTACAACAGCGGCGAAGAGAAGCCTCTCATAATATCTCTTGAAAATCTGGTAAAATCAATATATGTAATAGTATTCTGTTCGTATTGTATCTCGTTCTTAATGTGGGAATAAGAAGACATTTCAATCGACTTACCGACATCGATCAGCCGAAATAAATAAACTTGCATCGAAGGAAACGAAATAATAATTTAACTCATTGAAAAGAAAAAAGAACTAGAGATTTATCATAATCTAAACCAAACTGAAAATAGTGTAAGGTCGATTTTCGTATCTCGCGTGAGGAAGGAATTCCCGTACAATTCTGTCGATAAATTACAGGAAAACAATATTAGTCCGCATTAGCAGCTATAGAAACCGTACAGATAAATCCAGACTCATAGTTCATCGGTTCTTGATACAGACACATGTTTGATATATATAAAAAAAAGAATAAAAATAAAGTCACTCTTAATCATCTAATTACGAGAAACGTTGGAGATAACACGGTGAACAGGATGTAAATAGACGTTTGTTTTAATCATTTCTGTCTCGTTCGTTTTGAGTAATCAAATCATTCTTGTTTTCTTTTTTTTGCTACGATTTACATTTATAATTAGTGGAATATTTTAATAGAAACGATAGGAGGGGTGGTTTATAATTATGAAAGGAGGAAACTGTAAAATACTCTGTTCGAAAACTGGATACGACGCACCAGGTGCGTCTTACCTGGTATAACACACGACGCACCAGGTGCGTCTTACCTGATATAACACACGACGCACCGTGTGCGTCTTCCATATAAAATTATCAAAATTTCAAATAAAATAATGGAACTCTTAATTAACTTTTAATTTATGAACCTTATGAACACTGGACTTCAGTCAATTATACATTGTAAAATTCAGAATATGATAATAATTAAATTTAAATTCGATTGATTCGCGATCGATGGAAAGTAGGGTATAGAAATTTTCTTTTATATATAATTTCCAATTTTGTTACGCTTATTTTATATTGTGTATTGTCGTGTTAATTGCAGAAAAGGAATTCGAGGAAAGATGAGGAGTTGGGAGAAGAGGTGAAACACGTGGACAGTTCGGGTGAGTCCGTCTACTCATCAGCAATGGAATTTGATGAGGACAACGACAGCTTGTTTTATTCAGCTATCAGCTGGCCGAGTGGTTCACCGGAACGATCACTGAACAACGATCCGATCGTTCCGGTGAACCACTCCTCCAGTAGATAAATAACGATCGACAAAAATTTGCATTTTTTTTTCTTCCATTTTTTTTTCTAATCAATTCAAACGATTCGAATAAAGAGGATTAAGATATTTTTAAGCGTTCTCGTGGACTGTTTACTTCACGATGGCCTTTTATCCTAAATGCTTTTTACAGTCATAATAATTAACCCTGGTTAATTACCCCGAGTTATTGAGTGGAAAAGAAAAATCTGAAGAATTTATATTTTAATAACACAGAGTATAATTTTGTAGAGTCTCAAATCTGTTGGCTTAGAATATAATTGAATTTGTATCAAATCAAGGAGTGAGATTCTTTTGTCAAAAACCAGAGAAACGAGAGATTCCAGAATCCTAGATGTCCTGATTTTGATCAGTATAAAAATTTTCCGATAACGCGGATACTCGATCGATTTTCGAAAACGAGTTTTGCAAACTTGTGTTTAGAGATTTATCCTATTTTTCAATTAATTGGAGTTACATTATCGTCAATAAAAAAACAGAAAGAGAAACGAGAATTCTATTCAAGTTAAGTACAATTTCCTTAGTCACCTTTCAGTTTCCTATTTTAATTGTAAGTATTAGTAAAGAAGTTATGGTATGATGTAGAGTATACAATGTGTTAAATCGAAGTGATGAGAGAAATTTCTTATCTTTATAGAATCCAAGGTGGAAACAGTCAGCAGCATAACAAACGAATTCATCAATGGAGAAATCTGTTCCACGATTGATACACGATTGACAGGTACCTTGATTCATTTTGATTCTTTCTTTTAATAACTTTTTCATAAATTCAAGTTCAAAATTCCAAAATTCAAACTGTCTTCACGCGATATCGCGTGCGTCACTGTAAATTATCGCGCCACTCGATATCGCGTGTTAATCGCAGAAGATTAAACATTGAGATACACAACGAAAAAAAATCAATTAATATTAAAATAAAAGTTCTTCCAGAAGAAGTACCACCACCAGCACCTGTACTAGCACCAGCACCTGTACCAGCACCAATACCATCACCAGCATCTGAACCAGTACCAGTACCAGTACCAGTACCAGTACCAGTACCAGCACCAGCACCGGAAGTCATCGAGAAAGTGTCCCCCAAGAAATCACCCCCGCAAATTCCAGCAGCGTCTCATTCACGAAATTTCATTGCAAAAGAAAACTCGTCCACGATTCCAGAAAGAAAAGGTTACAAGCACAAGAAACCAGGCCGAAGAGAAACCAAGTAGAGGACCCTCTATGCTGGAACCGGAAATAAGAGTCCTTACACGTTGATTTTCACGAAACGAATTTTCTTTCTTCTGCTTCTTATTCATCTTTTTTTTTCTTTTTTTTTTTAACGAACGTTGGCGAGATTGTAAAGAATCAATTGATAGAGAAACTCGTTAATGATTATTTTTATTATCATTTCTTTTTATATATTCAGGAAAAATAGTTTCGTAATTTCGCGACGCGATGACGGCACGTTTCTTCTTTCTTTTTCATTCATAGCGATAAGAAATTGAGAAAGATGGTTAATTAAAAAATATTTTACAAACAATTGCTGCGATTCGATTAAACAATTTTGTACGTTTGCGTGTTTATGAACGAGTGTATGTATTTACGTATTATTAATTTTTCTTTTGTAACAGAAATATGGTTATTTATTCAACTCATTTTTTCATCGGTATAATATTTGTTCAGCAAAGAAATATGTTCAATTTCAGGCTGTATCATTTTTCTCTTTCTCTGAGATTTCTTTGAAATTTGCGAGTACGTCAGTGTATATACGACTAATCTTAATAAACTTTTCGTATGAAAAAATATTAAATTCTGAATAATTATTTTGTAATACTTTTAGAAGTAAAGACTGCTCAATATGATCAAAATAAAAAAATGAAATATTACAGTAATATACAAAAAGATATTGTATATTAATATTACATGCAATAATTAAAATATACATACGCTAATTAATAGAAAATGAAGTCTAATTATTTTGAACATACCGCACCGTATTAATTAGAAATTCAAAACACGGTCTAGAAATTGTTTTTCTTACCTTGATCGATCTTCGATAAACATTTCGACTGATAAAACGACGATCTCAAAGAGATAGAGAGAGCAGAATTTCGGGGAACTACTCGAAGCCACAATGTGGTGTCAACTAGATCAGCACCTAGAAAAAAAAAAAAGAAAAATTAGTGAATGTAATAATTGATAATAGTTACGCGATCCGTGGAACAAACGGAACGATTCTAGACGTTATTGTGCAATAATAATAATAAAAAAAAAGGAACGTGATCTATTGAGCGTGGTGTAAAGTTCCACGACGATTCTCATTCTGCTCAAAGTACAAAATGGGGCTCGTTATCTCAGTATGATAATTCCTGTGGCTATCGTTGTTGTTGCAAATTTATTTTTCCTTTTTTCCTACCAAGAATTGCTAAGAACTCGATATTCCAAAAATAACATTCCTTTTTTTTTCAAGTTAATCCGATGGTTTAATTTTGATTGATTTAATCATTGCTTAATTTCATCAAATCTTTGTTTTCTGTTTATCCAATTTTATAAATAATTTTAATCGTTCATCTTCATTTTTAGACAATGAATTATTATTCTGATCCTCTTCAATATTTCATTACGATTTTTATGCAAATTAAGTAGATACTTTTAGTCTAAGGAACATTGAACCAACGTGAATATAAATTGTTATATATTGTTCATAATTTTAACAATACAGATACGTTCTGTCTCGCAAAAATAAAGTATCTCTTATCAAGAGTCACGATAAGTAGAGATTACAGGCCATATGTCGTACATGTGCTCGATCGACAGATAACTGAGTTACACTGTCCTAGAAAATGATCGGAAGAAAGCTTCGTCTATCGTTATTATTTGTGGGTCAACGAGAACTCCAATAGACACAATGTAGGGAACTTTGTTTGGGGATCAGCTAGTTCGCCTAATTATTCTTTAACACTAGAACTACCAAAGGGGTAAAAATGACTAGTTTTCATTTTCTTATTTTAAATTATCAATATTATCGAGTTATCGAGCTAAAGAATATGTTTCATCCTTTATCTATTTCGTAATCTACATAATTTTTAACTTAAAAATAAATGAACATCAAAGGTCGATAGTTCTAGTGAAATATAATTCTAATATAAATCTGCTGAATAATTTCTAATATTGATTTTTAATTAGTAATTAATTTTTTATGTGGGTGGAGGGGTGAGCCACTGAAAATTTTCGGGGGTGACTCAGACTCATCTTGCATCCTACTTATTCAATGATTTACATTAGCGTTGAGTAACGATGGAAATGTCACAATTTTCTGTTTATTCATAATCGAATAATCAATTCCTTTTTTTTGACGATAAATGGTACTTAATGTGTCCAGTTAAACTTGAGTTAAATTTACTATAATAAATGAAATAAATAAAATAGTGGTCCAATGGGTTACGACTATATTATTGAAATCGATGACCGATTATCAATATCGTTGCATGCATAAGTGTTGATACCGAAGGAAAGGTTTCGTTTTATCAGTCTGCACTCACGACAGACTCTGTTCGGTAGCACTTGTCGGTTAAGCCTTGATACTTCACCTCGAGGGTCTCTTGTCATTAACAAATTGTAAGGTAGAAATGACCTATCGAGTAGCAACAATTTATTAGAGTCGGTTATCTGTCGATTTTTCATCTAAGCTCCAGCCACATCCTTGACATTTAAAGCAGACATCGTCTGGAGGATGAAATTCAATGATTTACATTAGCGTTGAATAAGGATGGAAATGTCACAATTTTTTGTTAATTCATAATCGAATCATCAATTCCTTTTTTTTTTGACAATAAATGGTACTTAATGTGTCGAATTAAAATTGAATTAGATTTTGTTAGATTTTGAGATTTTGCTGATTTTGTTAGATTAGATTTGAGTTAGAATTAAGTTCTCTTGATTAAAAAATGAGTCAGTTAAGTTTGCATTTGAAATGTCTAGACAATGGTTAAATCAGATCTGGATGAAGTTGAACGAAGATAATGATCTAGTTTAAGTATTGGTAGACTCGGATGGATCTTAGTTAAGACTGACGAGAGATACGAGTTAGTCATAGGATTAACAGGATTGAGCTACTTATTTTGCGAAGGTAATTAGATCTATGCTCGAGTGGTTTGATTCTAACTTGAAAAAGATTATTACTACTATCAGTAACTTAATTACTTAATTGTCCTACATCGAGTAGCATAAAATCATTACCGGTAATGATACTAGAAAATTGTTATCAAAGTACTAACAGCACTACCAATAATGATTTATCGCAGATATTTACAATAGTGCCGTGTTTCTTATTTAATCAGCCTATATTAAATAATATAAAATTAACAAGGGTTATAATAATCTATCAGAATCTGAACGTGTCAATCGCAGCATAGAAACAGTAAGACAGAAAATTATCATTGGTCCGAGATATCAATAAATCGTCACACCTGAAAGATAGGGCAATCAATTACTTCCTCGTTGCTCCACGATTTTTCTATTTCTCCTCGACTTTTCCATCGATCGCTCAACTTATCGATCAATTTATCATTGTTATATTATTGCAAAATTATCTTCGGTTTCAAGTATATACAAGAGATCATCAATTAAAATTTTACTTTTGAAAATCAATGAAATCAATTAGAAAAGTATCGATTACTTACTCAATAAAATGTAATCTCTTTTTATCGATCTTTCATAAATAATATTGACATTTTCATGTATTAAAATATTTTATAATTCTAAGATTCATCATTTTTCTAGCCACTGTTAATTTTTAAAAAATTTCTTTTTAATGTAATAAAATTTGCCAATGGCACAAGGATTAAATAAAAATCATCCTGCAGACAAATTACGAAAGTTTCTGGGAAACCATTGTCTCAAAATTGTTCCCATATCAAAGTTATCATTTGGTACTCTGACGTTACAGTAGTCAAACTAATCTATAAAGGGTGTTATCGAACAGATAACGTTGCTCGGAGCTCCTATCTGGTAGCCATATTTTCGATACAATATATAGGTGATCGATATATATATCCAGGTATAATTCTCAGTAAGTAAGAACACCTATCGCGGATTGGACGAGGTGAAAATCATTTACGAGTGCCATTTCTGTGTTCTTCTACCAAAACATCTTCTCGTGGATTGAAAGACATGCAAGAGTGCCTCGTTTCGTATCAAAATAATAAATCCATGCATCGTTGGAAAAGTTGAAAAGAAAGGATTTTGCAATTTTGTAACTCAAGTGAATCAAATGTGGTTTCATTAAAAAATAATATCGTTTCGAATGAACTGTTCGCCAAAGATCAGTCATTTTCGAATCAGAAAGTGAACGTAGGGCTAGATTTATCTAAGTGCAAGACTATTCCCGTGAAATTTCAAGGAATTTTCCATCAAAACGGAAAATTTGGAAAATGGCAAACGGATACGACGAATGCTATGACGCCTCCTGGCATCTGTTCCCTCCGGACTACGTCGAGGACGAGTACAGGTAAGGATTTTTCACAAAGGTGAAACAGAAATTTTTGTAACAATACTGCTTTACGATTTCTCTTAAAATATAAAAAAATAAATAAATAGAAAATAAAAGCGATAAAAATTACAGAAATTGTAACTCGACAAATCAATGCTGTTATAAAAGATACCGATTTCTATTTCACGATAACGTCCTGAAGAAATCATTTTTCCTAACAAATCACTAATCTAGATCGAAGATTAACGGTAGGAAAGAAAAATATCGGAAAGAAATGGCACGATAGGAAAACATGCTTATCTAAAATGTCTTCTGTTACCAAGAAAGTTCCATAAGATGTTGCACAATTGAGAAAATCCTTTGATGGACTTAAAATCAGATGGCAAGGTGGCGATAATAGCCGAGGGTCGATTAGCATATCTGATTAAGGAGATAGCACCGGAAACCGGAAGTGAACGTTTAAGAGCAGTCACGCATATCGGTTTTGCCGAATCCTTCGGCATAGAGTGGTACGCCTTGTTACACGGCAGGACACGCGAGAACTGAAAGGGCCCAAGTGCCAACACCTGTTGGTTTCCACCATAAATTTCGGATTAATCGTAACGCGAGATCCCCATATTTCTACTTGCGAATTCGAACTCGTCGATTTTCAAATCGCTTTGAAATCATCAATATTCTAAGAAATTTTTTAATTTTTCTGTTTCCTACAAATATGAAGACCTTAGGTAAGAAGAAAAAGTAGGTGATTTGAAAAATTATCATCGTTCCTCTCTTCGATTGAAATCACACGGAATTGTTATGATTCTATTCTAGATAAAAATGAACATTAGATGCGATCGACTTGCGACCTACATTCGCCTGATTGCCATTGTTCAATGCAGATCGATGATACGTTCATTTATTTTTTTTTTGCATTACTGTCCATAGTGTCTCTTGTGATTGATGATTAGATAAAATTGATAAAATAATTTCGAAACACCATGAAATATCGCTGCAACCTTTTCGAAATCTCTTCGGCCCGTCAGTTCGAAGGATAAAGAAAAAAACGAGTCAAATATAACATGGCGATGGAAAATGGAGTTCTACGTTCATTCATGGTCCATCGACAATGGAACAGCGGATCTTGGAGTCATGAATGAACGTAGTACGTTCTCGTAGTAGACGCCTCGACGGGTGGCCCTTTCGAAGAAGTCTTCTTTCAGAGGAGCTCTTTCTTTCGACAAGGCCTCTTCTTCAAAGTCCTGGAAGCCACGGGGCCAAACGTGACCCAAACTCGGCACGGCTCGTTAAGGACCAGCCACCAGGCATCGTTTAAGAAACGTTTAAGAAGTTATACTCGGTATACAGGGGAAGTTCCATTCACAATTTTCCATTATTCAAAAATGTTAAGGTCGAGAAAAAAGGACAATCGACAAGTCGGTTCGTAGTTTTCTCAATTTTCATTCGGGCTACTATTTCATTTTATTTATTAAAAATTTTCCAATATTAATAAATGGCACTTACGGCAGCCACTCGAGGGAAGCACTCGAAGGTTTTCGAGTTTAATGGTACTCGAGCTGGTTGAACATTCAAATTCAATCGGAAAGGAGAAAAAGAACGGTGGAACGAGGGAGGAGGTAGAAAATTTTCGAGGAAATCTTGCAGAGGCACGTACAGGCAATAAATAAGGACTATGGCACAGGAGCCTCAGGTGTTTGACCGACAGGTACCTATATTGTGATGTTAATAGAGGGATAGGAGGAAATATTCTGGTAAATGGATGAAGCTCCATTCAGCTTGGCACGTTTCATCCTCGACACCTGAATCTTTCTCAGGTGGTATCAAGTGGCCATTCGAGACGAGTACGAGAAGTGCAAGTGTGACCATAAACTGACTCGCGAGACGTTCTCGAGTACCATTCGATGACTTTCGAGTGTCACTTCTGATTCTTATTTTTCTTGCACCTTCATAGGATAAGATAATCGAGAATGCCAAAAAATAGAAGAGTCTAAAATTAAATTTGAATGATAGATTTGTAGTTTCACCTTTACAACCCCCCTATTTCTCATCGAACCAACGTTGCCACCAGCCGAGTCATAAAATTTTCCTCCGATGGGAAAACATGGTCGTCAGCCAACGACAGCTACGATTTATAACACATTGTTGCGGTACAGAGGGTTTTATTGCCACTAGTGTTGGGTCTAATTGCTTTACCAGGTGGCCAGGTAAAGGACGTACCTCGCCACTTGCAGCTTCGAAAATAATCTCGAGTCGACGTTGTACGATACGCTCGATTGAAACAGATCCGATTAGTTGTTGAAGAGAAACGAATTTCTTCAAACAGTGGATTAACTCGACCATAGGGATGGTTTAAATCGTGGCTCGAGTTAATCATTGTCTTGAATGCTGCCACCAGATTAGGGGGGATTTAAATTCCAAAAATCCCTCCTTTATGATTTTCTTATACCTGGGTATGAAGGATAGTGATAATAAAATTATCAGCACCAAAAGTATAAATTGGAACAATTCATTTTGAGTTACTGAAAATTTTATTAAATACAATTCTTCGAGAAATTAGGTTCCAAGGAATTTTCAGGTAACGCTCGATCATCGAAGGATGGTGATAATAAAATTTTCAACAAACAAAAATATAAGTTGAAGCAAGAAAATTTTATAAAATGCAACCCTTTGAGAAATCACGTTCGAAGGAATTTTCAAATAATGCTCAATCATCGAATGATGATGATAATAAAATTTTCAGTAAACAAAAATATAAGTTGAAGCAAGAAAATTTTATGAAATGTAACCCATCGAGAAATCAAGTTCGAAGGAATTTTCATCGAAGGGTGGTGATAATAAAATTTTCAGCAAACAAAAATATAAATAGAAGCAAGAAAATTTTATCAAATGCAACCCATCGAGAATTCAAGTTCGAAGGAATTTTCAAATAATGCTCAATCATCGAAGGATGGTGATAATAAAATTTTCAGCAAACAAAAATATAAATTAAAGCAAAAAAATTTTATAAAATGCAACCCTTTGAGAAATCACGTTCGTAGGAATTTTCAGATAAATCATCGAAGGGTGGCGATAATAAAATTTTCAGCAAACAAAAATATAAATTGAAGCAAGAAAATTTTATGAAATGCAACCCATCGAGAAATCAAGTTCGAAGGAATTTTCAGATAACGCTTCGATCATCGAAGGGTGGTAATAATTCCTGGCACGATTCGAACCCATCGACCAATGGTCGGTAAAACAATGAAACGCAGACAAATTGGGTTGCGTGCTCGAAACAAGTTGGCACAGCTATCGCCAAACAGTCGTGGGATCCGAGCAAATGTTGCTCGATTGCCGTATCTTTCCCCTTTTTGTTGCTCGCTGACGCTTACAAGTCTGCCGAGAAGAGAGTGGGAAGAAATAAGGGCGCTTGTCGTTGGAAAAATCACGAGAGCGTCTCGTTGAATTCGATTCTAACCGAGTTAATACGATGCACCATGGAAATGGAAGCGTTTCGTGCTACTTCCGTTAAAGAACTCTACATGATGACCGTCGTGCGTGATTTTATGAGATTCATTGATCTTTGTTGTTTCTAAGTAGCATTTAAAGGACATTTATCGTTTCTTTTGAACGAAAATGGAATATTACCAGAAAAAATTTCTACCTATTTGTAGGGGGTGGTTTTGTTAAAAATAAATCTCCACATTTTTCTAAAAAATTTCCAATAATCCAGTGACTGAAATTTGTCTCCGATGATAAATTCAAAGGTGGAGAAAAAAATTAGCAAGGTCAGCACCGCCCTTCTGTACTTTTTGACTTTTTCCTCGAGCAAGCACCCACACTACCCAACAAAAGGGAGCCTGAATGGACCGGAAACCCGCTTCATCCTCACCCTTGTCCCTTACCTGTTCTCACTCTGAATCACTCTGATTTTCGAACCATCCATACAACTACAATTTCCCTCAGGAAATTCTCGTATCTCTAGTACTTTCCTATTTTATATTATATTTATATTCATGCGGGTCATTTTGGTACAACCTGCAGGTCCATTATTCTGTTGAACCTCACCTGAATTTAATATCCTTCGAATATGACCCGATTTGTACAAGCTTTCGAAATTTCAATTTTATGGAGAATTTTCTTATGGTGATAAAGAACCCGCATAAGAGTAAAGAAATAGAAGAAATGGAAAATATTAAAAAGAAGGAATTTCTGAATTTCTAATCGAAATAATAATAATAATAATGAAAGGCATAAATGGTCGGGAGTTAACAGTGAACGGTGTTAAATCGTTGAACGATCGTGACTACGCCCGAGGACGCTTCTAACCCAGTTTCAAGCATCGATAGAAGGGTGAAAGGGAGAAAGAGAAAGATAAAAGGTATGTAAGATTGACAAGAAGAGAAGTAGAGGAGAGAAAAAAAAAATCGAAATGACACGGTAAAAGCACCGCTAATGCCCTTTCACATTAACACTCCACGTAAAGTATGCTCTCGGTGTAAAAAGGTCTGATCGATCGAGCGATCCGATTGGTCGGTTCCCAGGGAGGGCTGAAATCAACCCCCGACGCGTCTCTCCGCGATGATTCTCGACGTAGTAGCCTCGGATTGGCCGAAGGCAAGCTCCACCCCTTTGGAAACTTACCCCCGATTTCAACCACCCCGTCCGATCCTACGATTCACCAGCGTTCCTCGAGCCTTTCGCATTTCAATAAATTCTTATTCGAACTTCCGCTACGTTGCACTCACCGTCTTCAAAGTAGATTGCTGTTTTTCATTCGCGAACAAAGAATCCCCTCCGATTCGAGTGTTCTTTTCTTTTTTTCAATGATCTGAAATATTTTGAAGGGGTCGAAACAGTTATTTCAATAGGATCGAGTTAAGTTTCAGGTGAATTAATTTTGCACTCCCCTTCTCACTTGTAATTTACTGTTTAATATATAGAAGGGTTGTTCTGTTTGCATAAATACAAGTACCTGACACCAGACTTAATCCTTTTCAATTCAGGTCTTCGACCACAAATAATAGACTCACTCAATATCAGAAAAACTTGATGGAAAATTAATCGAAACTCCTCTGATTTAAATTAAAAATATTTCATTTGTCCAAGGACAAATATGGACGAATGATTTACATACACTCGAAGACTCGACGATCCACTCGAAAGAAAAAGCAAATTTAACCATCCCTTCCAAGCGCGTTCCCTGTCCGAATGACGATCACCCTTTCGATGGATGATTCTTTGGAAAACGTACCGTAGGAAGTAAAGATCGACCAGGTCGGTTGGTCGTGGTTGATATAGTGGAGGAGGGGTGGTGGATCGTCTCGAGCGAGGGGTGAACCCGGAATCTCCGCCCCTGCGAAGATCCGCCCTCGGCTTCGAGGGTGCTTGACGAGCGAAACTGCTCGGAGGTAGGGAACACTAGCCGTCAAGTGCTCGTCGAGGACACTCAAAAACTACAAGGAGAGCTCTTCACCGGGAGAATAAGGAGAGCCCGACTCCTTCTACGATCGTTAACCAAATATTTCTCCGATTTTTCCATCGTTCTGATATTATTTGAATAAGAGTGATTCACATTAAAAAAGAGTGATATTCGTGAGTGCCTGGATCGCACGATGACGATCGTGAACAGGAGGTTCAGGTGTACGGGTGAACGTTGAAGGACCGGAAGTGACTAGTGACAGAGACTGGACAAAAAGTGGACGAAGTGATAGGACGAGTAGAAGGTACGAGAGAAGAGAATTTTTGAAATTAGAAAAAAAAAAGATAAAGAGAAGCCACGAGGACGTGGTAAATATGTACTGACGCCGCATAAACAGCTCGAAATCGTAGCAAAAATGGCGGACAAGAATAAGATTCTACCCTGGCCGCTGCTATCGTATCCAACCAGTCTTTTGAATCACGTCTGGTACAGCCAGCTCGCTTTCAATAATAGGTAAACGAACCCAACGCATCAACCCGAATACCACGTGTACCAAAGCTTCTTCCTTTTTTGTTTCACGCAATTATCAAAGCATGCAGTTTTCATTTCTATCAGTTTTGATTTATCATTTCCAGAAGATTTCGAAGAATAGGGTAGAAATGTGTACCGATGATTAACGGGGGAACGAGAGGAGAAAAGTTGCCAGGGAGTCGATTGATAATTTTATCGATAATATTGTTGTCTGGTAATCGAGCGTAGATCTTGATGGCCCTCGAATTCTTGCACGTGGCATCGGCGAGATGTATCGGGGCTTATCGAAACGAGCATCCGTTCGATTATCGGTAGATATCCTTGAGTGAAATCAAGAACAACCGTTGCCTCGTCGATTAAACTTTGCATGATGATCGTAGAAAAGAGAGATAAATTCAAACAGCCGGGTGATTTAATTAAATATTGAAATCGCTCAGTGATTTCAACGCTTAATTAATGAATCTTCCCTTTTGTTAAAATCTTTTAACGTCCTTCTTTTCTTTATTCTTTGTCCAAAGATTTAGCGACTAGCTCTGTTAACGAAGTTCAATTTAATGAAAAGTTAGGAAGAAGATACACAGTGAAGTTTCTTCATTAGACTTCCTCATGAGGGAAATAATTTTCTTACATCGCTTTAACTTTTCCTGTTACTTTTAGAAAACTTTGGGTTAAGCTTGAAATTCTTGTAATATTGGATTAAATTAGTAATATTGGAAAATTAAGAAGTTTTAATTCTCCTAGCTGGCTTTAATTTTCATTGAAAAATTTTTTAATTAGTAATATTGGAAAATTAAGAAGTTTTAATTTTCCTAGCTGGTTTTAATTTTTATTGAAAAATTTTTTAATCAGTAATATTGGAAAATTAAGAAGTTTTAATTTTCATTGAAAAATTTTTTAATTATTAATATTGGAAAATTAAGAAGTTTTAATTCTCCTAGCTAGCTTTAATTTTCATTAAAAAATTATTTAATTAGTAATATTAGAAAATTAAGAAGTTTTAATTATCCACGAAAAATTGTCCTTGAATTTAATTTTCATTGAAAAATTCTTAAAAATCAGGAAATGGAAAAAGTATTTTACCAGTTGGTTATGGTGTTTTTATCGACAAACAGGAACGTGCCGTGATAATGGATCGTTTGGCTTAAACCGAAAGGGCAGAAGTTTGCTTCTGTGCCGGGGACAGGTTGTTTGGCATGAAAACTGCAGGTATCCGCGAGCGGTGTGTCTTTTGACGAGAAAGACGCGTCTAATCGGCTCTTAAGTGTCCCGCTGGCTTCTTGACGCTCGTCGTTTCCAAGCCGACGGGCAACTTTGAAAATTGGATTGATTCGGAAACCGAGCTTTGTGCCGACTTTTCGACTCGCGAAACCCTTTCGTTCAAACCCAAAATTAGAAATCTTTCTTTTTATTTAAAAAAAAATAGAAATTAGAAGTAGTCCACCTCGACTAGAGAATCCTCGAATTTTATAAAATTTTCACTCAATTTCTCGTCGACATTTTTGTGTTACAGAATACTGGAGAGCATCAAGATGCCTAGGACAAGTTTTCACATCCATGACATCCTGCAGTTGGACTCCAAACCGTCGCAGGAAGAGACAGAAGTCCAAGGTAAAAGAATAACCCACCATCGTTTCCACGGTGGTTGAAATTAATTTCGCGTTATAATTAATTTCTATGAAAAATTTCTTTAACCAGGCAGCACGACGGTTTTACCGACGACGAACGACGTACCGTCGGCGTACCAACAATTTTTCGAGCACACGACGGCTATGTTGCAACCCGCGATATACGCGAATTTAAACAGGGGTACGTTACCCCCTCCGCCACCTGGATTATTAGGCTGGCCCACCGGTCCAACCTTACCCACCACCCTACCTCAACCCTTGGAGGAAGTAAATGGTAAGTGATAAAACATTTCGCGTGGGTCGTCGATGGTCTACGACCTTATCTTTGCACTTGCAAAAATTTCACAAGAAGCGACCATCTTTTCTTTCGAGGGGGCAGAGGGGTAGAAAATTTCTTCTCGATCCGCAAAGCTCGCGCAGAAGATCCGTTGATAAAGGGTCCCACCTCGAAACCCTTATTTATTTAACACCCTACAATTGGCCCGCGTCGGCTAAGCAGGATCTAATGGTCCTATAAAAGGTCCTTGTGGGTCCTGTGTGCCGATTGGTTCGAACAGAGGAACAGATGTCCCTTCGAGGACAGATGTATGTTGCTCTGGATGAATCGAAATTGTCACGCCCAAAAAATCCTCGGCTAGCCTATCCGATCTCTTTATCTTTCCTCTTTCTCTATCTATGTTTCTTTTCGACCATTGAAATATGTCACCTTTTTTTAAGACCGAAGGGGGTACACGGGGTGCAGGTAGAGAATCCTTTCCAATTTTCAATGTTTTATTACCCCGATGATAAAAGGGATCAGTTTCGTAAAATCAATTAACGTTTCTCAAACAAGGATCCAAATTAATCGTCGAATGGTATCTTTCGGAGGACGCTAACGTAGCCATTGCGAGTGGCTAATTGAAATCACGACGAGACTGCGACTATAGCCTAATCTCCCGTGAAAATGATACAGTCGATCCCATGGGGTGCAGTAGGGTATCAAGCAGGGCTGTATATTGCTTCACACCCTCCCCAACCAGGCTTAGGGATCGTTCACAAAGCGTATTGTACGCCGACCAAAGACAGGGGATTCGTCGTTGTACATTAAATTAGCGTGTCTCTCGGCCTCCGTGGTATTTGCCACTTTACCGTAGCTCTAATCAAAATATTGTTGCATCAAATCCCGTATACACGCTACAGGATTCCGGTATATTTTTTGAAAACTTTCTTCTTCGATTCGTCTGACTTAGAAAATCAATAGAAGCTTCCATCTGCCTGCAATCATCGTTAAAACCCAGCTGCAGATCTAGTCATTTATCCAATGACCTGGTTAGTTTTCTAAACCCTCATCGATTTTCGAGCCTTAATTAAAGTTCGAAAGCAATCATCTTTCCCCTGGTGTTTAAATTCAAATTTCAGTGGTTCTTAATTTAATTAAAAACCCTGCGAAGCATCGAACTGCACTTACGTGCAATTGCAATGATTCTTGATTTAATTACAGACCACCGTCGTCCCTCGAAATAACCCAGCCAATTTCACCATTCCAGTGCTGCAGCAGCCGGACTCGACCAGCCCGACCATCTCGGACCTATCGTTCCCACCGAAACAGGAGACCAACCACGACTGCAAGGAAGAGGAATCGGCCGACTTCGAGGACGAGCAACAGACGAACGAGACTCAACCACACGAGACCGAGCACAAGAAGAGGAAGAGACGGGTGCTGTTCTCCAAGGCGCAAACCTTCGAGCTGGAGAGACGTTTCCGTCAACAGAGATACCTGAGCGCGCCGGAGAGAGAACACCTGGCGTCGATCATTCGACTGACACCAACCCAGGTGAAAATCTGGTTCCAGAATCACAGGTACAAGACGAAGAGAGCCGCTACCGAGAGGGTAGAAGCTGGCGCAAGCGGATGCTCGCCGAGAAGAGTCGCTGTACCGTTGCTGATCAAAGATGGAAAACCGTGTCAGTCGAAGTTGATGGAACCAGCCAGTTATCCCAGCGCCGGACAAGTACCCATGCCACCGTACATGCAGAAACCATATTGGTGGTAAACATGGGTGAAATGGGTGAAATTTTCTGGCAAGATTTCGTCGAGGATCGTGCTGATTTTGTGAAGTAAATTATTCGGAAGCTTGTGAACTTCGACGAGGGTGTTGGGTTTTGTGATATTTGTGAAATATTGCCGATGATGATACCGATGGATTTGTGAACCAGTGTGATCGATATGGATCAGATGATTTTGAAAGAAAACTAGAAAATTCGTGAACGATGATCATAGTGATTAATCCTCGTTATAAAAATCAATAATTCCTAATTGATTCATAATAAGAGTGTTAAGAATCAAACGTATTATTAGCATAGATGTCCATACGGTGAAGATAGATTCTTGAAGAATGTTAAAAACAAGTAATCGTTTGTGAAAAATGATCACGTTGTTGTTTAGGGTAACGAAATATACTGCCAGTCGATGACCAACGACCATCTAGATGCGTTTTAATCAACGAGGCACAACGTAAATGTAATTCGATGAACTTTTGTGAAAAGAAAGTATCATCAGAGTGAAATGATTAATACACGTTGTATCTCGAATTTAACGTGGACACTTTTAGGGTTGAAACCAAAGATAGCGATCTGTGTTGAATTCGATCAACATATTCCATTTACAAATAAACGAAATATTTCTGTGAATATTATGGAAGATTAAAGATTTTATTCCTTTCGATGAATCTTGCTAATATCAGAAGTGTGTATATATTAAATATTCTTCATTTTCTCATTGTAATAAGGATAAATAAGCAGAATCCTTAGATTCTCTCTTTTCTTTTCCTTCTTTTACAACTCAAATCTTCTGACTATTCATTGTAAAAATTCTAGTGTTTTTTACATATTATTGCACTTCGATGATCCATCAGACGATTGTTTGAACAGATTAGATAATTGATCCATCGAATGGAGAAAACAAGCAAACGCAATGTGATTGTATAGAAAATAGTGAAATGTGTGAACAGTCTGTTAAGAGATCCCAGTTTATCGCCTTTAATTAGGTAGAATGTAATTATATTGATAGGTTGTATATATGTAAATTGTGTATAATACATAGTAGTCTAATATATCAGATAGATATTTAATAAAATCGAATCTTAAACGAACGATGCATCGATTCATTTACCCCTTTATATTAATTTATTCATTATTCTTTCTCAATGTAAATGTAGAAATATCATTCGATACGATTAAACAATACACTCGAGACGTCCTCGTCCCGTTTCCACCCTTCCTTTCTTTTTACTTCTCTTCTCGACCGTTCCATAACGCTTCCCTTTTTCAGGACACGCCGGAAGCCAGTGTAGCTTGAGTGACAAGCTTCCGGTTTCCGTTTCCGAGCAGCCATCTTGTTACCGGTTTAGATTTCCTGAGGGCGTCCTATCAAGCTTCGATGGGGAACACATTTCGACTTCTGTCAAAAACTTTTCGTTTCAATAATCGGTATTCATCGTCTTTGTAGAATATTTCAATATTAATAAATTTTAAACACTTTTTAAAATTCCTACATACTTATGTAACATGTAGAAAATGCGAGGAGATAATGTTTCATAAAAATAAATAAATTGCATAACGTAATCGACTGATAATTCACAAGAAAAAAAATAAAAAATGAGGATGAATAACGTAGATATATTAACACCACGTACAACCGACGACACGTGAACACAAAATACATCGTCAGTCGATTTACGCAAGCGTTCTTATCGTGAATCATTTTTTTTTCCACCTGATCGAGATCATCAGCTAATCAGATTAGGTGGATATCGGATCGTTTTTACTCATTTCGAAAAAAAGCACTAATCAATCAACGATTCCGTATCTCTATTGTTTGTCAAATTATCACGATCGTTACCAAATCGTGGGTTAATTTGTCGTATAAATAATTCCACGTTTCCATTTCTCTTAGACGAAGGAGAACTACTAAAATTCGAATTTAACAAAATACCCTGATATAAAAATATAAATATAAAGGAAAGTTATTTTACTAAAATTCAAGTTTCCATTTCTCTTAGACGAAGGAGAACTACTAAAATTCGAATTTAACAAAATACCCTGATATAAAAATATAAATATAAAGGAAAGTTATTTTACTAAAATTCAAGTTTCCATTTCTCTTAGACGAAGGAGAACTACTAAAATTCGAATTTAACAAAATACCCTGATATAAAAATATAAATATAAAGGAAAGTTATTTTACTAAAATTCAAGTTTCCATTTCTCTTAGACGAAGGAGAACTACTAAAATTCGAATTTAACAAAATACCCTGATATAAAAATATAAATATAAAGGAAAGTTATTTTACTAAAATTCAAGTTTCCATTTCTCTTAGACGAAGGAGAACTACTAAAATTCGAATTTAACAAAATACCCTGATATAAAAATATAAATATAAAGGAAAGTTATTTTACTAAAATTCAAGTTTCCATTTCTCTTAGACGAAGGAGAACTACTAAAATTCGAATTTAACAAAATACCCTGATATAAAAATATAAATATAAAGGAAAGTTATTTGACTAAAATTCAAGTTTCCATTTCTCTTAGAGGAAGGAGAACTATTAAAAATCAAATTTAACAAAATACCCTGATATAGAAATATATAAATACAAAGGAAAGTTATTTTACTAATATTCAAGTTTGCGAATGATCAGATAAGTTTCATTTTTATACCGTAGTAATTCATGGTGTATCTTTGTCCCTATCCGTCGATCCCTTTCTCGTGGCTAGTTATCTTCCCCGAGGCCAGGGTAACGAGAGAGATGACGTAGCAAAGTAAATGGAGTGGACAGCGGGCAGCATATGCTTTGTGCCGGTCCTTGTATAAAACGAAACCACCCCTGGACGAATATTCTGGTGAGCGCGAAACGTCGGTGCGTCGAACCGGAAGCGCGAGATAACATTCAGCACCGGTGCTAAGCTGGCCATGATTTATATGACCAGCCGTAATCTACTGAGATTTCGACTCGGTTACCTCGATCCACCGTAGCGAAGAAAGTGCTTGCACTTCCGGTCAGTTCACTGAGCTCTCGAATCTCCCCAAAAATGAATTAAATTTTTCGAGACAATGTTTTTTAAATAACAATTCAACGTGAGAATTGTTTCGATTCAAAAAGAGAATTCAAGAGTGTCTTGAAGAAAAGGAATCTCTCGAAAAGAAAGGGAAAATTGTAGGGTCCGGTAACGTCACGAGGTCCCAATCAATGAAAGAAGAAAATAAATTGATAGTTTGTCGAACGACGGGACGTCCCCTAATATTTCCGAATGTAATCGAGGGGGTGTACACGCACTTCGAGAACCAAGAAGAAAGAAAAAAAAAATAGAAAGTGGATGGACAACGAGAAAAAAGGGAAGAAAAGCGAAAAAAGTTTGACAATGCAGTTATGGGTCAGAGAGGACGGGGGTGAGTGGACGGTACCCATGTTCAGGGGGTGTTTTATTGGCTGGTTTCCGTGGGGTAGAAATTCTGCGTAATGTATGAGATGTTTGCCTGGACTCTTTTAACCCTCTAACCTTGCATACGTTATCGTTCTGTATTTGTCCATTGGTACACCCTTCTTCAAGTGTATTCAACGAATCCTTTGTATCTTATGATATTTTAATTAAAAAATTGCAAACACTAATTTTCATCAAATTTTGTAATTTTTTCTAGGCAAAAAAACAATGGAAGTAATAATTATTTTTTATACAGAGGGTCTTTGTGATTAAGGAAGTCGCTAATTACTTACAGGGAATCGCGATAGTGCATCAGGACTACGCTCTATTTTTGATAACCCTTCGGGTCGTGTGATCCAGTCGAATCGCAAAGTCGATTCTATTGTCTGTGGATTGGCGTCGGAACCGGAAACGACGTTCCCTCTTTATCAACGTTTTTTAAAAGTCACAGTAGGACACGTGGCAACAATATACGGGGGTGCAAAGACACGTGACCGGAAGAAACATCCTAATTGATATCGATTCGACGATGGTGTGTGCTCTTTTTCAGCCTGTATCTTCATCGTTCGATCTTAAAATTGTTTCTTTCCTTTTAAATAAATATAGTATAACAACAGAGATATTTTTAGAATTCACTGAAGTAAGTCATTTTCCAGCTATCGAAATGATAATCCAATTAATCCTTTTTCAAGATGAACGATATTAGAGCGAAACATGCTAGAATCCCCGGAAATGCACTAAATCATGCACTTTCATGCACTGCGCCCGTAATCTATGCAACTGTTGAACTCCCAGCATCAGCCTTCAAACTTCGCCAACAATGCATCAGTTTGATCTATTGCTCGTTCAGAATTCGCAATAAAACTAATCAACCGTCACCTAATTGCTATCCCACAATTTCGCATACCGTGAAACTGTGTTTTCTTACATGAATTTCTTGTTTGTGAACGAAGGCGGCTTTCGGAAGGAAAATTCCGAGCACGTGTTTGCGAAAGACGCGTGTACGAAATGGTTAAACACGCGTTAAACAAACAGAAGTTCGTTTAAACGGCAGTCAGCGAGCTGTTAGTCACAGTTAAGTGATCAAACACCGACACCCGATATCTGTGATCGCCCTCTCGATTATTATATGGGGGGTTGAAAGCGCTCATCAACGTATTAAATTTTATTATTTGAAAGAAAAAGAAAAAGGAACCTAATTTGAGGAAAATATATTTTTCTAACGCTGGAGTCGACACCCGATATCTGTGATCGCCCTCTCGATTATTATATGGGAGGGTTGAAAGTATTAAATTTTATTATTTGAAAGAAAAAAGAAAAAGGAACCTAATTTGAGCAAAATATATTTTTCTAACGCTGGAATCGACACCCGATATCTGTGATCGACCTCTCGATTATTATATGGAAGGGTTGAAAGCGTTCATTAACGTATTAAATTTTATTATTTAAAAGAGAAAAAGAAAAAGGAACCTAACTTGAGGAAAATATATTTTTCTAACGCTGGAAAATTGAAGAGAAATTTCAAACGAGAAAGCTAACGTTATTATATTTCTTGCGATTACTTCTCGAGTGCTCGTAACGAGGCTCGAGCGAAGAAATACGCTGGCACTTCCGGTGGTCGGTCGCCGTACAGGAAGAAAGGATAATCGCGAGCGTGGTCGGCAGTGAAAAACGAATTAGTTTTCCGTACGGGACTTTATTGATTAAGTAATCTTAATACATCGCTGAGCCGCAATGTACCATAAAGAGAGCGGAACCGGAAACGATCCATTCTTAGCGGGGAATATGCTTTGTCGGTGGTCGCTCGTCGCTCGGAATTTCTACTTTGATTAATCTTACCGTTCCCTCTATCTTTTCCAGCCACGGGCTTTCTATTTTTTTTTTTATCTGTCCGCAAAGAGTTATCATCTCGAGCTATGCACATTTTTTGGCAATATTCCAGTGTACTCTACGCACTTGGATCTTGCCTTTTGACTTTCCTTGTGCAATTTCAGGATCTTTCTCATTTTGAAAAAAAAAATAAAAAGAAATTGTCAATGATATCGTTCCATGAATAATTACAAGTTTCCCATAGGCTTTTTCGACCAGTTTCGAATCGGTTGTTGGACCATTCAACGTTCGTAAACTCCTTTCAAACTCCTAACAACACAATGAATCGGCGATCAGAAAGTTTTCGGGATTGAAAAACTTTCCACCGAAATTCTTTCTTACCCTCCAGTGGTCCAAGTTGGACGGACATTCAGATTTCCGTCGGACGCAACCGAGAGAATTCGGATCGAACGAACACTAAACACGCCTTTCGGATGATCTTCGATGAAGAAAAACTTTTAGAATTCCTTAATCCTTAACAGAATATAATAAATATACATTCCTTAAATTGAATAAAATATGAGGGAATGGTGTAACTGGAAAAACAGATGAGTTTCGTTGAAAAATATATCAATTTTCCCTGCTTAGGATCAGAAACGCAAGCTGCGAAACGATTTCCTTTTCAACCGAGATCAAGAGGGAAAAATTGTATCAGCTAAAGGAGATACGTTTTTTTCAGTCCTTTAATCTCGACTACTTTACACCATTGCAAGGGTGGCTCACCCTTAAACGTTTCCTGGTTTCGCGGGTAAATCTGCTTAAACGGGCGAGAAAGAAGCTGTTACAACTTTTTTCCCCGTCCCATCCATCCTTTTCCGTCTTTGTCCAGTGATTTACGGGAGTTTGCATCTTCTATGGGTGTTGAGTACAAAAGAATGTCATTATCATTCCAATAAATACTTCAAACAGAAGAAAGAACATTAATTGTTCTAAGAATAATTAATCCCGTAAAAGATCTCTCGAGTTTACAAGATGAAGACGTTTCTCAGATACCAACACTTGTAAATCGTCCCTAATAGGAGTATCAGGATCGCGTGTGATTTAAGGCCACCGGTAATCACGATTAAAGGGCCGTGTCGAGCGGTGCGCGACGGATCAGCAGTCGGAACACCCTAATTTCGCGGCTACCGGCAACCCTCCCACGCCCTATGGGGGTTATTTAGTCCCGTGACAATGGGACGAACACGCGTCCGACCCATTAACCGATAGTTACGCCGATATACGAAAATGTTTGCGAATCAACGACGACACCGTCGCGACCCGTGCGTCGCCGACTTTCCGGACGAATTTTTGGTACTCGTAAAACTGAGTTCCTCTCGAAATGGAACGAAATATTTTCCAAAATGAAATCCTATAAAATCTCGTTAATTCATAAAATTATTCATGAAATATTTCAACCGAAGGTAATACAATTTCCTAAGAGTTCAAAGGAAGGATCATGGTGGCAGAGTATTAATACCGGCCCAAAGCTCATAGAGATTATCCTACGGGATTGCTGGCCGCTGGAAATTCATGAAAACAGGACATTCAAACCGGGCGTTAGTGCATGCATTGATTTGCCGCTCAATTTCCTCCAAACATTTCTTCACGGGAATCTGGCTACCCAACGTACCACTGTTCCTAAGCCGACGTTTACTCGAATTGAGACACAATACGGGACTCGGTGTTCCATGAATAAGCCTGTTAAACGCGGGCAAACAGTGTATAAACGCGTGGAGTTTCATAGAAATGGAAACTGCCTGCTAAAGTAGGGTTGAACATTATTCTCCTTGGGAATTATTGAAAATTAAGCGAATTTTTTTTCTAATGAAGAAAATTAATCATTGGCACTTGCTAAATGCGTGGAGTTTCATAGAAATGGAAACTGCCTGCTAAAGTAGGGTTGAACATTATTCTCCTTGGGAATTATTGAAAATTAAGCGAATTTTTTTTCTAATGAAGAAAATTAATCATTGGCACTTGCTAAATGCGTGGAGTTTCATAGAAATAGAAACTGCCTGCTAAAGTAGGGTTGAACATTATTCTCCTTGGAAATTATTGAAAATTAAGCGAATTTTTTTTCTAATGAAGAAAATTAATTATTGGCATTGTTAATTTTAGAAAAAAGAAAAGTGTAGTACAAAGAGTTGATATGAAATTATTCTATGTTAATTAGTGACCAAGTTAATCATTAGAAATTGAGGATAAATCGATGAAGACGATCGTCTTCAATTTCCTCTCGAGGCAGGTTCCCTTCTCGTGCGCAACGACGTTCATGTGTGCGAGGGGTGCACCGAGGGGTGGAAACAGCCCTGAATGTTCACCTGGGCAAAGGCGTGGCTTTCGCGACAGTGGTCGATAGCGAGGCTACGACCCAGCGAAGCACACCCCTATTTCAGGGGTTGTGGAGAAAAAATAAAAGGGAAGAATCAGTGGAACCAGGAGGGAAAGGGCAAAGGCTGAGGACTCTTGGTAATCGACGCTTCGACGAGGACTTTCCGACGCTTCGAATCATCGACGATGGTGATTAATTATTATTGAAAGAATTTTGAAAATCCGAAGCGGCGATTGGCAAAAATTTAAGCAAAGGGGAAAAGTGAAAAAAATATAACGGAATGATATGAAAACCGCTAAAATCTTGTTGTGATGTATTTTTATGGTGGCCACATCGACTGGCTTCGATCCAACAGTGATATCGTTAATAGCCTTGCTGTCTCGATTTTCTTGCAAGCACGTCTGATACTTTTATTTTCTCGTCCCAGTTTCCACAGTGATCACAACTATTTTTAAAACGAAAGAAATTCAAGGAAAAAAATAGACGATTCGAGGCGATCAAATCGTTCCAGTCGAGAATCAACAGTTTAATATCTTTTTAAAGAATTCACTGAATCGAGAAATAGAAATTATTTATAAACCCTGACCAATGAAATGTAGAATTGATTTAGAAAGTTTAGAAATAAATTTGAAAGTTTTTAGAATATTACCATTTAGAATTGTTTTAATTAAATGCACAGTTTTGTTTTTTAATTATATATTATAAAACGTCTAGAATGCAACAGGCGTATCTTACAGAATGAATGCAGCTCCTGTCTTGAGTAATTAAACGTTAAGGAGCTGCTTTCATCGAGGGTGAAACCTTTTAAGATCTCGTTCAGAAGCCGACGGTGAAAACTTCCGACGAACGTGAAGAACCATCATTCTATAAGTCTCCATTTGATAATTGCAATTATTTTGATTAGAATTATATGGGAATGAACTAATTGATCTAGAAATAATCGATAGAATATTAACCGGATATTTGGAATTGAGTTCTTTCATAAGGATCCAAGCTAAACACATCGTGTCAGCGTTATACTGGTAAAGTGCTAGTTGGTGTTACCGGAAGCGACGTAATAGCCAACATGGAAGTTCGTCCTATATCCATCCATTGTCTCGAAACTAGCGGACACGGTGCTAACCATCATTTCCTCTTCTCAGAGAAATTTCACTTTTTCCAATTCCATTCACGAATTAATTTGATTAACTCCCGAAGGAACCCTTAATTGCATTAAGATTCAATTGCAATCTAAATGAATCTAAGTTAGTGAAAATTTCCAGAAAATCATAAATATTTTCAGCACCCTATCACAATCAAAGTCAAATGAATAATGAAACTTTTTGCAATGCCATTCACAAATTAATTTAATTAACTCCTGAAGAAACCCTTAATTGCATTAAGATTCTATTGCAATCTAAATGATTCTAAATTAGTAAAAATTTCCTAAACCTGAATTTTCCAAAATATCAAATATTTTCAGCACCCTATTACAATCAAAGTCAAATGAAAAATGAAACCTTTTCCAATTCCATTCACGAATTAATTTAATTAACTCCTGAAGGAATCCTTAATTGCATTAGGATTCTATTGCAATCTAAATGATTCTAAGTTAATAAAAATTTCCTAAACCTGAATTTTTCATAAAAACATAAATATTTTCAGCACCCTATCACAATAAAAAAAAAATTTTTTTTAAATGAAACTTCACCCAACTTCCCCTATTTTCTATCAGTGACTTCTGCTTCCTCTCGATAGTCAGGTAAAAATCGACATCCTTTTTCACGGAAGAGGCGTGCACGTCACTGGCACACGGCTACAAACGACCCCTAACATGACCACAATTACATGCCTCAGCTATGGTCCATGGTAGGCGCGACAATTGGCCGGATGTTTCCCCATTGTGATAGGCGGTATGCCCTATGGCATTGTCCACGGTTATGGGAAGAGAGAGGGTGCATCCTGAAAAGCGGCGATTTCGAAGGAAATGCCATTTAAACGCGGAAAATTTCGGCATTGTCGGTTACGTTGCTTCTGTAATAAAATTACCACCACGCTCGATGGATCGGTGTTCGTTTAAGAGCTGAAATATCAGTGAGACTTCAAGTTCAGCAAATGGAACGAAGAAAACGGGGAGGGGGGTGCAAGCTACCCTATAATTCACCCTCGCTATCCGATAACGTGACACGATTTTAAAGAGGGATTTTAAAGGCAAATTTAAATAGCGGTTCACCGTGATTTCCGCACGATCCGATCTTAATTTTCCGGCTACGAAAGAGAATCATACGGTCGAGCGAGCAGCAAATCGACAACAACCGGTTTTATGTTTTCATTTGGAAAAGTGCACCCCTGTCGTTCACCCCAGAGTCGTATCGGATTTTATCGATGTCTCCCCCCTGAACGATTTTCCTTCCTCATCGAAAACAAAGACACCAGAAACCCCCTTGAAACGAATATTACAATTGTATCCTATTAATTTTCTGAATTCATTTTTTGGAATTCCAACTCGAAATCCTGGAGCACTATTTCGAAACAGGAAGCTGTGTACTTACTTAGGACAATTCCATCGCTCTGCTCCTCTCCAGGACCCTTCTCGAAGGGGCAAAAGTCAGGATGGACGATAAATCAAAAATCGTTGGCCAGCTGGTGAATGTTGCGAGGCCGGTTGCGTGTCGTCGGCATTGTCACCGGTATGGTCGTTTAAATCCATTTAAAGCGTCGTAATGGTGCGACGTGTCTAGGGGGGTTAGAAAAAGGGAGGATCCTTAGGTAGCGATTTCTAGGAGTACAAGAGAGAAAAAGGGCGATTCCTGTACTGACAAGGCGTGTCCCGTGTTTCCGTCACTTTTTTTTTTAACTACCCCTCTGCTTTTCCATTTTCCAACGACAGATCGATGATCCATCGACGTTCACGAAATTTCTCTTCATATATTTCTGAACAGACGATCGATTTTATTTGAAATTGGAAGAAATTTTTAAATGAAAAAAGAAGAAATAATTAGTATAGAAAAATTAGGGATGTTAGAGGAGAAGAGGGTTTTAGAGGTGTGTTCTCTACTGCATATATTTCTGAACAGATGATCGATTTTATTTGAAATTGGAAGAAATTTTAAAATGAGAAAAAAAGAAATAAGTAGTATAGAAAAATTAGGGATGTTAGAGAAGTGTTCTCTACTGCATATATTTCTGAACAGACGATCGATTTTATTTAAAATTGAAAAAAAATTTTAAATGAAAAAAGAAGAAATAAGTAGTATAGAAAAATTAGGGATGTTAGAGAAGTGTTCTCTACTGCATATATTTCTGAACAGACGATCGATTTTATTTAAAATTGGAAGAAATTTTAAAATGAAAAAAAAAGAAATAAGTAGTATAAAAAAATTAGGGATGTTAGAGAAGAGGGTTTTAAAGGTGTGTTCTCTGCTGCAGTCAGTTCGGCCACCCTTTTAGCTTACGGGTCGAGCACACACCCCCGAAACGTCAAAGGCTAATTGATATAAACGCAGCGAGTAATATACTTGTCATAGAGGCGAGACCTCTATCGCTACCCGAAATGGAAAGAAAGGGAGAGAGAATGAGTGTTGGCTGAGGCTTATAAGCCTGGATTACGTTACGAGATATTAGAATCAGAGGTTCGATGTTGAACGATCGTCGTTAACATATGAATGAAGAGATTCAAATCTTTATTGGATAAGGCAAATCAAATTTCGACAATTTTTGAAACACTGTATGTAATTTAATAATTCTTTTTGTCTTTATTAACATACTACTCTGCTATTGTTGAAAGGTAGATTCATCGATTAGGAAAGATATACAAAGTCATCGGAAATAACGCGAAACGACAACGATAGGAAAATTGAAGGAAAGCCCTAAATGAGACACGAAAAGAGGGTTGAAAGGGATATTAAGGCAAATATATCGTTGACAGTCAGAATCTGTTTCCTTGATATGTAAAAATAATTTGGTTAAATAATTGATGTAACCTTGTAATCCTAAGATTCACCCCTTTTCTTTGCACCCTTCGGTGTAACAAAGATTTACGAAAGGTTCGTGGAACGAGTGATGATTCGACAGCGGTCGATTTAAAAAGCCTCGTTAACCGAGCATTGTCCCATGCCTGGCATCGCACACACCGTTTTTATCGAGCATTTAATTAAAGCTCATCAATCTTTATTAGCCGAGTACGAGGCGTTCATATCGACAACGGTGATTCGGTGACGTTTCCACCCCATTCGCACCCCTGTTACAGCCATGAATACGTTTATGGGAAGGGAGAGAGTTTCGAACCCCCTGTCAAGCCTTCGAAACTCGCCTAAGACAATATCCGCTTTCCTCGTTCCGCTCGTACCCTCCCGAGGATTATCCTGTCGACGATCGTTGTTCCCGTTATTTGACGACATTATTCCGTGGGTCAGAAGCGAAAACGATCGCTCGATATTTTTTAATTATTCGAAGGATACTTTTTTGAATATTTAAAGAAGATAGGCAGCGACACCTTCTTTTCGAAAGGTGTCACCCGACATATTAAGGTCGATTTGGAAGAATGGATAGAAAGGTGCGAGTGACTCGCGTCCTTTTGTTACGAGGCATCTGCCCATTGACAATGGTAATGGGCGTGAAATTTTCGGGAATCTTTGTTGGTCCTAAAGTCGAATGGATCGTTGACAAATTCTGTTTTATGGTAGCCAAGACGACCAGCTGGCCGAAAATTATATTCTTCAAAGACACCTTTGATACCTTGGAATGATTTAAACCTTTGCTAAATTTTTAATCGTGTAAAAATAATTTCCAAAGAGGATGGTAAAAAATATAGAAAATGAAACTGAAGAATAATCTAAAATTAAATTCAAATTATCCAATTGTCCAAGGGTTGATTTTATAAATATTCTCAGTTAGAAGAATTACCCAAACCAACACCCTGTCTGTAATCTTGTATGGAAGTAGAAAATATAGAAAATGAAACTGAAGAATAATCCAAAATTAAATTTAAATTATCCAATTGTCCAAGGGTTGATTTTTTAAAATTCTCAGTTAGAAGAATTACCCAAACCAACACCCTGTCTGTAATCCTGTATGGAAGTAGAAAATATAGAAAATGGAACTGAAGTATAATCTAAAATTAAATTAAAATTATCCAATTATTGATTTTATAAAAATTCTAAAAATGAACCTTATCCCTTTATCCAAACCAACACTCTGCCTGTAATCTTGTATGGAAATAAAAAATATAGAAAATGAAACAGAAGAATAATCTAAAATTAAATTTAAATAATCCAATTGTTGATTTTATAAAAATTCTCAGATAGAAGAATTCTAAAAGTGAACCTTATCCCTTTACCCAAACCAACACACCCTATGTGTAATCTTGTATGGAAAAACATATCGTTCGTGTAATCCTGCCATTAACAAGGATCCTTCTCGAGGAATGAATTTTTTCAGCTGCAGTCCAAGAAGGGGAAATGTGTAGCGATTTTGGTGTCACTATTGGCAAAGGGGGGGCGTCGTCGCGTGAAATCGTGTCTACCCAAAATATTTGTATTTTCCATGTATTCTCCATTGACGCTAGGTATTGTCGCTAGCCATGGGTGCCCTACGGTGCCTTCGAATGGCCTGTGGCCAGGAAATTTTCCTGAATGAGTGCGCCGAGCCGACGGTAGCCCACCCAAATCGCTTAAATATCTTTGAATGTCCGAATCTGACAAATAGTTAACAGTTGGATACCCAATGAAAAACTTCTATCCACCTAAACGCTTTGGAATACATCTAATAAAAAGAAAAGGAATGTCGATCGATAAAAATTGATCAAAGATTCTTATTCGTAGAAATTTCTTAGAAATAACCTTCCTAAAAAGGCTATGAAAGTTCTGGAAGGTACATACGTAGCTGTAATAGCGAAAGAAGTTTAGAGTAGAATATAGTGATAGAAGAAGGAGTTAGGTTACTGCGCAAGAAATTCAGGAGCAGAGGTCCTGTGAGCGCATGATCCTCCTGAGGCTCATAAGGTGAGGAGAGTAGCTAATAAGGCGTATCAGTTACCAAGGAGACGAGGTCTCCTTAACGCTGAAGAAGAATGGCGGAGCGAAGTAAGAAGAGGAACCGGACGGCTTGACGCTTGGAAAACTCATAAGTTTCAATTTACCCGGGGATCAGCGTCCTCCGACGAGCTTTACAGGGTAAAGACTCTGCGCCTTATATTGATTTTCCAACATTCTCAACCTCCGCCAGAAAATTTTCCAATTTTCGCCAAACGAATCCTTAACCCCTTAACGCACAGTTTTTTTTGAAAAAAATCGGTCAAAAGAAATCAATTTTTTTTAATTTAAATACAACGCCGCTCGAATTAACTCGAGCGTACAAGTTAAGGGGTTAAGGGATAATTTTGATATCCGCGAAAAATTATTATATTTGACAAACGAGGGCCGCTAATAAAATTCCGTCTAACGGTTTAAGGAACGCGGAGATTTTCTAGCACCGGAAATTAGAGGTCTGCGAGTATTCGAATTTCGAGTGAAACAATGATCGGTCGATCGAGTCGAGTTTGAATTTGCCGAATTATTCGAAATCGACGAACTGTTTGAAACAAAATCGAACTACTCGAATATTCGAGCTGAAAATTCATCTTCAAACAAATCGAAGTTTTACGACAGCTCGAATTTTCGAGTAGCTCGCTTTTGTTTCAAATAGTTCGTCGATTCCGAGTAATTCGGTGAATTCAAGCGCTCGACTCGGCTCGAACAATCGAAGCGAGTTCATCACTGGAAATCGATTCCAGGATAAGGTAATTCTGAAAATTTCGATTCCAAGCGTAACTATGCAGAGACGTTTGTTTTGCTGCGGTCACGATTCGCGATGCGAACACCTTCGTCATCGGTTCAATTTTAACTAACTGTCTCATTCATCGGCTTTCGCAATCGTTCGCCACCCACGCTTCAAATCCTTTCAGGCTCATTTTTAACTCGTCAAGGTAAACGAGCCTTGATCTTCGACAAGGTGATCCCGTGTTACGCGGTGTTTATTCCAGTTTCGCGGACGCGTGTATGAAAATACATTAAACCGACGAGAGAAACCGAGGAATATATTCCACCCTGTACATAATGGCAAGGATGTGGGTGATGAAAAACGTGAACGTCTAAATTTGAAACGGAATTGATACGAAGAGCTGGGAATTGGGTCAAGCGCTAAAACTTAGCCTGTTTTAATAGTTTTCTAAACTATAAATTTCGTAATCCTCCTTTTTCAACTACCGTGTATGCGTGCCAACAGGAAGTCTTTGTCTATTGTATAATATAAAATTTGCTTGTAGAAAATCAATCTTAAATTGATTTCATTAAAATTTAATTATTCCTAGACCACGAATATTTATTCATGCATATAAAAAATAAATTGTTTAATACTTTTATAGAAGAACACCCGGTATATACGAGGTGTAGGAGGTCGTAACGAACGACTGAAGAGTGCCAAATCTGAAAGATCACATTTCTTCTTCTGAACAAATGTACATTCCCTAATTATTTTCCCCCTTTGTAAAACTTACATTCTGTATTGAAATTACATTAATAACTGAAAATTGTTTTTGAAGGAAGGTAAATGTTATGATAATGAAATTATGAGCGCAGCCTTGAAGAAGGCCTCTGTTCAAGGAAAGAGAACATCGAATACTGCCAATGTTATTTTGCCTTCACTCTTCTCGACATTTGACAAAAATAAATAAATAAACATTAACATTGCAACGAAGCAATTAGCGCATAGCTATATAGACATCTACTGCCAATGATTCACAGTGTATATAAAACTAATTAGATAAATATTCTCTAAGATAGTAACGTGATATTAATGGTTCTTTGGCCGTGGGTATACACGGACAAATTAAAGGGACGTTTAATTAGCCACAGTGACTCATCGTCAAATGCTTAAATGATTGTTTACGATTGAATCATTGCCTTGTGATCATTGAACACAAGGATAATATTTTTGTTTACCGTCCGAATACTTTCCTCGTTGTGAAAGAAATAAATTTCTTCAGCGATCGTCTGAGCGCCAGATCGACGCGGGGAAATAAAAAATAGAACGCTAATGACGACTGATTTAATTAAAGACTATAAATTAATTTCAAGAAAGTATTGTAAACAAGTAACTTGATATTCATAATAAAATTCCTAACGTAGATGTAAAAGTTGCGACAACCTCTTGACGTCATAAAACCTCATCCACCCCCTCGGATTTCTGCGATCTTACAAATCGATGCAATACACCCGCTAAGAAAAGAAAAGAGAAACTCGCGTGGGTGCGTAAAACAGCGACCGTGAGGACACGTCGAGGTTGAAACAAGCGGACGCGAGGTGTAGTCAACTAAAGAAGAAGATTCTGAAGAGGAAGAAACTTCGCGGTTGTTCGACCAATCGGAGTACGTTGGCGGGGGTTGTGCCATAAATGTCTCGGGGCGAGTAACGGAAACCCACCGACAGATCGGCGCCACCGTCCCGACGTCCGGTATACTAGTCCACATTTTTGGCGGCAGCCGCCCAGTCTAAGGTCCAATCCCCGAACCGAACGGTCGTCCGAAATACTTAGGTAAAAAGGAAAGGGTTAATTTTCAATTTACCAAAAATCAAGTTTATCCATCGACATTTTTTTTTTTTAAATTCCTTTTCTCTTCATTTAATTTTCCTCGCGAAGAACGAAACCGAGAGTTTCGTCGGTGAAGAAAGAGATTGAAATTTGAAAAAGAGAAAATAATTTTCATATAATAGGAAATAATCGTGAGTGCAACGATAGAAGTTGATCGAAGATTTATCAAGAGGTCCTTTCACGAGAGGGAAGATCCGTGGATCCTAAATCACGTTCGCAATTGCATTTTGTTCACCGTGTGTGCGACAGTGTGATAATTATATTATTTAAAAAACGTGGTCCTGTTTTGCCACTTATCCTTTGTAATATATTTAGCAAAGGAATTCGTTCGTCTATTAACCCAAACAGCTGTTCCCAATTTCACTCACCTTCTGCTGTATATTTCATTTTGCTACGCTCTGTTGCGCGTATTTTTAGGACTAATTGGCGCTACTAACCGCTCTAGATAGAATAATCTAATTGTAGTGAGAGAGAACAGATCTATGCTGCTCGATACGTTCCCTGTGCGCCGATACGTTTAAGGGTTGTCGAGGGGCCACGCGGTATCGAGTGGGCGGCAGCGAACGTGTTGAGTTATCTCGAGATAGAAACGATCGATTGAAAATTAATAGCCTCGATCATTGATCAATACCGAACGATCGTTTCAATCTCACCTATGAAGATAATACAATTTTCCTGTTGTTTATATTGAATATTTGTAACAGAATAATATATGCATGAAAATACTATGAATTGTTCATTAACATCTAACCCAAATCCTAATATTGTACGTTTGTCGTGTGGCAAGATTAATTAAGAAACCAAAGTGCAAAGTACGAGGCCTGGGTCACAGTTGATTAACACCTTTTTCAATTCTAAACGAAGATTATTATCAATACATAAAATTGGTAAATTGAAGATTACTGAGACACTTAGTGCGATTTATTACTCGACCATTGGGGGTGTACCATAACCCCGTTGCACAGGTTGAAAGAAAAATATTACTCAGCTTTGTAATATAATCGGAGAATTATAATCAAGGTGTTAAAAAAATATAATAGAAAAAGGAAGGATTTAATAAAAATCAGTGTGACCTAAACTAATTGTGTTACATCATCGGTCTCGTAACTCTAGCGTCTTATCAAAAAGAGGAATCTAATAAATTTTTCAAATTAGATTTTTTCGAAATTTCACGATCGCGTTTGTCGACAAACACGGGACTGCGTCCTGAATCGAAATTCTAATTTCGTGGAAGAGCCCGTTCGCAATAGTTGGCGCGCCTCGCTTCTCGGTTTCGCTCTGATCGCATACCAATTCGAGGCAGATCGACGGTCTGCTCGAAAGCTTTCCGAATGATGGACATCCACATATACGTACAGGCGCATGGCCGTTGTCGAGTTCGTGCCAGTCACAATCGGGTGAATTGTTTATAATAATTGGCAGCGATTTGTTTGACAATTATGTAACGCGAGACAGAAATAGTCAGGCGGCTTCGAGTGCCGCCAAGTCCGATGGGTCTGTTATAGCCGTTCCCTTTTCCGTGGTTAAATCGCGAAACACTTTTTCGCCAAGAAACCTAGCTGTATCTACGGTGATCCAGATACGAATTAAGTTTCACTTTGTAGAAAATTAACTTTGCAGTTAAAGAAACGGTATTCTAACGTTATAAAGTTAGAGTCGCGTAACTATGGATTTTTGTAAGAATAATATATAATGAGTATAGAGTTACGAATAGCTTAAATGACACGCTCCAGATTACTCATTCTCTTAATATCATAGAATACGTCACAAGTGCCAAGAGGCGCCGCTTGACAAGCTAAACTGCGCGTCTGACCGAATTAAGGCGTCACTACTTTCGGCCACATCCGGCTAAATATAACGCCGCGAAAAGGCTAGCCATGGCAAAACCACCAATCAAAACAACTATAATCGATCTACGTCCTCCAGATTTCAATGAAATTCTGATTAAAATTTAATTTACATTCTGCGACATAAATTAGCGAACGGTGATGATTTGTTAACATAAAATTCTCAGTTACATGGTATTTTCAATACTTTCAATTTTATAATAAAAAATAAACACCTTTCAGTGGTGTGATTGTTAGACGTCTGATCAATGGCTGACTAAAACCCCTTAAAAACCTCTGATCTCTTTTCACTTGGATCTCTAAGTATTAATCCTTGAAGATCAACAATTTTTTGATAACAATTGTTGAAAAATAAATTGCTCGAGAGGCCATTTCTTTTGTTTCCTTCGATATATCTTTGTTCAGGTATTTTGGCAAGGAACAATGAAACAACAGGTGGAGGAGCACCTATCGCTATCGACTGTCGTCACCTATGACCCACGTGTCTGCCGTGAGTCTGGCAATCGTCTCGTGATTATTTAATTCTTCTGCCATTTAAACGTACGGCCACGATGACGCAGCTAAGCGAAAACTATGCTATCGTCTACGTAGCAAACGATAAAAGCTATGCCAGCCGAGGCGTATTTCAGTTTTTGGATCTATGCCCCAGATGATTTGCTTGACCGTCCCGAGTATTTTTAGCAGCCATCTAGATTACACGCGAGTCCGGATGAAGATACATCTTCGTGTAACTATCGCGTCTCGCCCCACCCCCGATTACTCTATTTTTCCCCCGTGACAAAAATCGGACTCTTTAAAATTAAACAAGCGCGTCAGAGCGACGGCAATGGCCTCGAGGACCTGATAAAATTGCGCCACCACTTGTGATTCATTATTTGGAACGACTGAAAGAAATATTTGATGATGTTAAAAATCAGGGGAGGTAAAAGAGAAGATATCCTTCTAAGAAGATTTAGTCAGACACTGATCGGATATTTAAAAATGTTAAACAAATTAATTCAACACTTTTATACATGGAATCCCATGGTTTCGAATGTGACGGTCATTATCGCGAGGATAAAGTAGTCCATTCCAACGGGATTAGCGAAAATCGGTCAAAGTCAGTCGGAGACTCGTCGGCTATGCTGCCTTCGTACAGCTTGGATGTCCACCTGTTTCCGACTAAAAACGGACCGGGGCCCGGGCAGCCTAAATATAACGACCGCGAATCCGGGACTCTTACGTCACAAACGCATCGCTTCAGACCACCACGACTACGACCACTGAGCCTTTTCTTATTTTCCCTTTTTCCGGCTCAACCCTGAGCCAGTATTGCCAGCGGTAATTTAACTACCGCGTGTGGATGAAATGGATAGGTCAGAGTGAAAGATTTATTAAGGGACAGATACCTTAATAGTAATTAGAAATCTTGACAATCTTAATTTTAATCTATTAGGGATGATTTATAATTATTTACCATTACGAAAAATAATCATTCTCAGAGGAAAATATATTAAATAATATTTTTGTACCACTTACCATTTGTTGAACTCCATAAAGGGTACTCTGAGTAGTTGCACCTCGTTTCAGAACTGCTACGAAGTCTGCAACACGTGCTCCTTTGGTGTAACCTTCAGAGCCACCTGTGAACATAAACACGCATTAGTATCTGCCCTGTCTTATCCTGTAAATAAGTTTAACACTTATTTTCGAAGAATGCATGGAATATAAGATTAAAATGATAAATATTTTCAACTACTTTTAGTAGACATATGGAAAGTTATTATAAAATGTTTTATCATTGTGTAAATTATTGATAAAGATAACTAACCTCTATGGGTGATGCTCTTGATGTACGTCAATCATCTCCTTTAATCGCCAAACGCTGAATTAACAAATTATTACACACTAAATCATGTTTTTACTGTCAAATAACCACTGTCACTGTTTTGAAACCAGTAGTACTAACTTAAAGCCCAAAAATCTGCCATGTTACCAACCGAACGCTTTCAAATCAAAGTAAACGTTCAATTAATATTGAATTTGTAATTTTATCTTCCTTCAATTTGCAATATTTTCATTTAATTGCTCAATCAATCAAATATTGTGTATTAATAGTTAAAGGAAAACACGTGTCGTCGAATTGGAATACGTATGATTATGGTTACACGCGATCATAATTACCCACGATCAGTCAGTTCGCTAGAAATAAGCATTAATGGACGGCGGTCAATTTAGATCACGTATTCCAAATATATTTCCGATGACCTTCGGTCGATCTTGCCGAGAATGAAACAGGAATACGTGCGAAATAGCGTTCGAATGATCCAGGGCGGTATGAAGTACGCGCGTGACTAAAATTAGCGACGGCGTTGCGTCAAGGAAAAGAAAAGGCGATGCTCCTGTTCGTGTCGCGCGCGTCGATTGGCTGATCCGAGGAATGCCGCGACCAATCGCGGTACACGTAATACCGCTCGGTATTCGACAACGTTACGGCGCGATTTTCGCGTACGACGGCCAAATTCGAACTTCCTTAACTCATTCAATCTGTTTTCATTGATATTTAACCTCCTAATGAATATATTTAAACGCTTTCAATTAAATAAACTCGTTAAATGTTAGTAGATGCATTGAACTCGATTAAATTCGTATGATATATCCAAGATTTGTACAAATCATTTATTAAGGGAAGGAAAGTGTCCCAAGTGATTGCAAAATCCCGTTTAGCAAGAAATAATCAAGAAATCGACCGTGAAAAATGCAGGAGGATATATTTGGAGAACGACGCGATGCCAACAGAAGGCTCAACGAATTATCAACGATAGTTCTCGTATTTTTAGCTCGTTCACTCAGTCTGCTGGCAGTTACGAAACATCGAAATTGTCGAATTCGTGCCATCGTACTCGTGCTTATTATAAACTACTCAAAATCGATTGCCTCGTAAATGTTAGACGTCAAAGAAAAATTTTCTGATCCAGCAACGTTTCGAAATTATTCTAAATACATTTCGTCGGAAGACTAAAGTTATTTTCGAGATTATTTATACGAACTTGCGTTAGAACCGCTGGACGCGTTTCAACGATTAGTATCACTTCTGAAAAGCACTTTCTACGAATCCGTCTTCGCACGGCATTCGTTTACAACAGTGGCAAACAAAGGAACATAGAAAACGAATTTTGCGGGATAATGGATCGCGGAAATGGGTTACCGTTTACAGAAGCAAGGTTAAAAAAGCACTTCCAGGTTATAAATATAGCGTTGCTTATGCAATCGATGTTATGCTATTACGCCTTCGAATTCCTGCCAGCAATATGCTTCCAAGTTCCTCTAACCATCCTCAATCTTCCCGTTTCCTTCGGCAAAGTTTTTCACTTAGAAAATGAACAAAGTAATGGATCTTCCCTCTCTGATGCGAACAAAAGGATTTCAATTCATTATTATTCCATCGAACCGAACAGTAAAATAATTGCCAAATTTAATACGGATTATTTTTATTAGCTAACGAGTGTGGTAAGCAGTTCAGTAGAGCGGCAAAATGGACGCGCGCTTTAGAAGCAATCTCGACATGATTGGGCGCAACGAGCCCATCACAAGGAAGGCCAAATTCTGGCAAAGTTATGTCCGAGCCTTGAAAGGTACTCCCTCGAATATTAATGAAAATTTGAATAAATTGAAACCTTGACGTATGAGGAATTGATAATTTTTTTTTTTTTTTTATAAAAGGCACTGATGACATGAGAGCTCCGGAACACACGCACAGACCCCGCAGTATTTTCCGCTCGGATTATCCTGAGCTGCATTCCACCTCGTGGCCCTTTGGAAAATCCATCTTTGAAAACCCCCTACACGCGGCCGATCGCGTCAACGTTCCTGGATACAGGTATTTTTTCTTATTTTTATAAAATTATAACACTCCATGTACAAATTGACTAATTAACTAATAGTTTGAAAGTACTAAGGATCACTACAGGGCCGGCGTTAGGGGGGCGCCGCAGCCCGGTGTCCCTAGTTTATTCATCCCGTTTAGATTAATAAAGCTGCTATGTAGTTTAACAATTATTACAATCTAACTACAGATTTATCGTTTCATATTATTTCCTTGTCTTTTTTTCTTAAAAATTTTGAACCCCTGAATGGGATAATCTTGCCCAGGGCGCCAATATTGCTAAAACCGGCCCTGGAACACTAATATTTCAAGACTTTAGAATACTTAGGCTAACTTTTCGATATTAGGGATGGTTGTATAATTATCCAACCGCGTTTTTGAAGAGAGCAGACGAGTCAATAATCAAGCAAATAATTTTGTACTCCATGAATTTAATTGGAATTGTTTAACAATTATTACAATCTAACTACAGATTTATCGTTTCATATTATTTCCTTGTCTTTTTTTCTTAAAAATTTTGAACCCCTGAATGGGATAATCTTGCCCAGGGCGCCAATATTGCTAAAACCGACCCTGGAACACTAATATTTCAAGACTTTAGAATACTTAGGCTAACTTTTCGCTATTAGGGATGGTTGTATAATTATCCAACCGCGTTTTTGAAGAGCAGACGAGTCAATAATCAAACAATTAATTTTCTACTCCTTGAATTTAATTAGAATTGTATTTTTTTTTAGGTACCTGCCCCTCCACCGTGACATCTACGGTTACTCACCGAGGCAGATCTACCCGCATCAATACAAACCTGTAGAACGCTTCACCCCCGGTATGTACTAAAGAAATCTGAGCAAAAAGCAACAAAAAAAAAAAAGAAAGTCCAAAAAGAGTGAACGACGTAATAGAAAAGAGAATATATCGAGAAAAGATAAAGCGCGAAACGAAACGAACAAGTTTGAATGCTTAACGTTGTATATACGAATCTCGAACGTTCATGAACGATAGAGAGAAAGAGAGAGAGAGAGAGAGAGAATGAAAGTCTTAAATAACGAAATCAATTAAAAACAACGAAATGATAAAGGAAAATACCTACGCGAGAACGATACGAGAGATCATCGCACATCGTCACCTGTAATCTAATAATTTATGAATTCAATAACTACTCGTTCTCCGGGTTTTCCTAGATAATAATTAAGTTCATGTTGTTAATGTAATTATGACACCAGGTGCTTTTGGCTTCTGGCAGGGAAAAATGACTGGTGATCTTTGAAAGGGAAGAAGAAAGGCAAAAAGACAATTCTCTGTCGGAAGTTTAAGTAACTTAAGATTTATAGATTTATATGAAGTGTTCCAGATTTTCTTCTAATTAAATAGAGCGTATTCTGTGAGGATTAAAATAAGAAAAAAGATTTTCATATACAATCTTTTCTTCTTATTTTTATCTATAGAATAAAAGCTCCATTATAAAGAAAAATTGAAACACTTTGTATATCTTAAGATTCAGATTTTCCCTCCAAGGTATTTCTCAGAAGCCAGAAACGCCGTTCGGAGGATCCGTCTCGTACCCCAAGCCCTCCACCTTTGCCTGCACTCGATCGTGACTAAAAAAAAAAGAAAAAATATTTAAAAAAAATATGGGATGCTCCGTTCCTGAAAACCTTCGATTGTTATGTGTCATCCCTTTCGACGTGTGAAATGCGTATGCACTCTTGGACACGTAAAAATCGGATCATGTTAATAACTTCAAGTTCATTGTTATTGATAATCCGTGTACCTCTACCTTCATAAATATTAAAAAAAAAAAAGAAACCTACACACAGACATAGACACACACATCATACCATATACGTGTAATACTAATTGCTCTATTACGCACACTTTGTATCTAAGTTATTATACTTATATGTCGCTATATGAGAACATGCATCAACATAAAATATATAATATTATGTTTAAATATGCCCATCAATTATCTGCCTCGCGACTATTCGATCCATGATTATTTTTTTTCTAATTTATTAATTGGGAGTTATGATTTAATTAACACGTTCATTGCCACCGACGATAAAATAGTAAATTAGAATATTTGAAAATTAGCCATGGATGTTTCTAATGTGGCAGTGAACATGTTTAGATGATAATTATATTTTTATAAATTCATCAAACGTTAAACCATCGGTGGACGTGTCTCAACGGAAGTGACGATGGATGAAAATGGGGACCGATCTACGTTCAGACGACTGACGATATTCAACCATCATGGATCATCGTTCATCGATCACTGATCATCTAACGTTTCGTTCGTCAAGAAATGAAAGATCATCATCATCCTGTCGCTGGTTATTGCACTTGAGATAGCCCGACGAACATAGAAACCGCATGCAGCCTCTGATTCTAATTTCTTTGCAGGCGTTAAACCCGTCAAGTGGCTTTTACTCAATCGCCTCATCGATATGAGCGACGTTAGACGACGACAAATTGAACGAAACTGGCAGATTAAAGAGCGAAACACGCTTACGAGCCGAGTGCGACTTCGTCATTGCATACGAAGGAAGGATCACACCCTAATATTCGAATAACATCCCCTTATTCATTAGTCATTCGTCTTGGTATCTTGAGCTTCAGAATGCCAGATGTAGTAGTTTTTCTATTTTTCATAGATTCTAGAAATGATTTTGTTTGAATGTATACAAAGGTACGAAGTGTGAAAAGCTCAAGATATTAATTGTGATATTAGGAGATTAATTGGTGATAGCTAATTAACATGTGACACTAAATGCTACACGATTACTTTGAAATTTTTATTATATACTGCTCGAAATTATAAGCTAGCAAATTTTAATTAATAATTTAGAAATAGTAATTAATTAATTTAGAAATATTATTTAATATTAATTCGTTTATTATTTAATTTTGGGCAGTATGTATTTCATCAGACAAATGTATGAGATACATCTTCCCCAAAATCAAATTAAATTTTCTTAATTTTCTTTTTTTTTTTCAAAAATGAAATAAGAATTTCCAACAGTATTTCATATTTTTACTTCACAATAATATCTACATATTCGCAATAACTTTGCCATCCACACTAACGTTCCAAAGCTTATTTTTAACACAAGAAACAATCATACATACACAAAACTCACATACGTGTCCCTGTTTTCTCTAAATCAATGTGCTCAGACAACTGTCGAGAGACTTTCCATGGTTCACCATGAAAAAGGAAGCACTCGAAGCCATCATGAAACAGTGGCTGAAACAACTGGATGAAATACAATCTAGAAAGCTGCTGTACACTGTGTAACAGAAATTTTTGGAATAAAAATCGATAGCTCAAGGGAACGAACATTTTTTCCAAGGAATTTTCATTTTTCAAACACTGTAAATTTTCTTCGTCATCGACAATGGTTTTTGCGTTCTCTGAGAATTTTTGCAATCTCGAGGAAACTTGAGAAGACGTTAACTCTTGCAGCTGAGGTGGAGGTCGCAGTTTAACACAGACGACTCGAAAATGGATGAAAAATCATTTTTATAAAAGCGATATGATAAAGAAAATTCAACCGAGGACAATGTGACAGCTTGAGAATGATTGTAGTAGAAGAATGAAGTTACCATGTTTATAGCCGTGAAAAAAGAATGAAGAAATATAGAAGGAAATTCAATGGCCGCCAAACTTGAAAAAGCTGGAAATTTTCTCTCGACGCTTTTCGCGTTCTAATTTTCAACATCGTTCCTTGTCTCCTTTCAATATTACATGATTTTTTTATTTTTCTTAATTGTTGAATTACATGTTCTGTAAATTGGCCTTAATTAAACAACCAAGTTAATTAATGCTTGCGGAAGATACAAGGACGATGTAGAGCAAACAGATAATCAACAATATTAATCACTATATTGGTAATACACGCTCTAATAACGCACGCGTATCCGAGTATTATTTTTCCGACTAACAAGGGGCAATTAATTACAACCAGACCCAACAAAAAATTTCTATCTTTTTCAGGAGATGGCATGTACGTTTCTTTTTTTCCACCCTTACTCTTTCCTACAAACTTGCCAGCTTGAATAATCCACCGCTGATTACGCAACCGTAATTCTGTCCTTACTCTATTAAAACTTAATTAACGAAATAAGGAGACAATTACATATTTGTTGAACAGAAAGTTGCAATGACGGACAAGCGCGTTCTTTAATTTCGCGACGTGGAAAATACATCACATTCGCCACTTGGTGGACGAGTTTAGCAGACCTTTGCGCTCGTATAATTAATATATTTTAATTATGGAGAGTAGAGAAATCTGGCCCGTTAATTGAAGGAAATTAATTACCACATCTCGTATTATATTAAATAAACTATTGAAAGGAAAAAGATCTCAGTTAACGGGTTAATAGTGTCCTCGAGCTTTTTTTGTCAAATTTCGATGCAGCTTTTTCCCTCTCGTCGGGGAGGGTGATTTTTCGCAGGCGATTTTTTATCCTCCCACCAGGTTAGTATACTTTTTCACGTGACGTCGTGTTATCTTTTTGTGAGAGCGAACTATCTTTTTTTTTTATTTTTGTTCCAAGTTCTTTTTCTCTTTTAGAAGGAAAGAACCGTGCAAATTGTATCGAGTAGGAGGAACACGCACGGCTTCAAAATCACACGAAACAAGGACAGAACCCTTGTAAAAGCTAACATACTTTGCACTTCCAACTAGTTTCACCTTCGTTGAATCTTTTCTTAACAACTACATGTTCTGACATTTCTTTATCTATTTTTTTTTATGGATGTTTCGAACAAAGTGTAAGAAATTTCATGAATTATTTTAGGAGATCTTGCTCTTTTTCATTATTTCATTTAATCTTCATTTTGCTTGTCTTTGTATAAAAATTTCTTACACTTCTTGTTTACTGATGATTTCCATGAATGCAGCATGAAACAGAAGCCTCGAATCATAACAGAAACGCGCTAATTAACAGAGAAACAAATGTTCTATTCGCGAGATAGACGCTTATAGCTAAAACACTAAAATAGAGAAAATGGATCGCAAATATGATAATACATTTCGGCCAGATTCGGGATGAAAAGAAACCGATGGTACGCACGGTTTTCACAATTAGGTGTCGTGATTATTCATTTTAGATTGATTGTTGCATACATATAAAACGATTCATTGAAATACGACAAAACGGAGAAGAAGAATCTCGAGCCTCTTCATAGACTAGTGATATGTTTTTTCAATGTGGACCTGTTACTTTTCTTTCTTTTCTTATAGAATATTTTATATGCATGTAGACGTTTTTCAAGTTAAAAAAGAAAAATCAATCATTTATCGTCAGAATAATCAGAACTCCTTTTTAATTGAAAGGCGTCTATAAATTTATAACAACTCGAATTTCATTGAATAAATGCAACCTTGACAATTCAAGATTTTCAAGGTTGCATAATGCAATCCATTGTATTCCTGCAAGGATAAAGCTCTGACGAATTTGCGAAAATAAAACAAATTAAATTGCAAAAAGTACCTTATTCTAAATAAAATAAAATGACGAGCTGTGACAATTACCGGGTTCATCAATCAGATAATGTAACCAGAGAAGATTTGAAAGATACACAGAATACAATAAATTTAGAACAGGTGTTGATAACCTTCTCAAGTGTCGGACATCGTGTTGACAATGCAATTTTCAAGTAGCCGATCCTTGAGCAGTGAAATAACTGATTCGCCAAAACAAACCGGCAGGAATACAACTTTCATTGCCACGAATATTTGTTTCATTGCCACATTTATATCACGATACAGCGAGACCATTCGACCCTGAGAAAGCTTGGACCGACCATCTGAACCGCTTGGCAGACATCGACAGGCTGTATCCGAGCAGATCGCCTTTGCTCTCTCGGCATATCAGCCCTCCGCTCAGTACCAAACGACTGTTCGACATCCACGGTGAGTACTTGACTTTGCTTGTCACTTAGTTCCTTCTTCAACTTTGTCAATCTCTGGTATCACTTTGAAAGATATGCCTTCTTGATATACCTGATACGAGATTATTAACACAACTTTCCAGATTTCAATTCTCTACTTTCCCTATTTTCCAACTTTCAATTTTTCAATTTTCCTATTTTCTAGATTTCAATTTTCCACTTTCCCTATTTTCCAACTTTCAATTTTTCAATTTTCCTATTTTCTAGATTTCAATTTTCTAATTTTCCCATTTTCCTTGCCTATTTCCAACTTTCAATTCTTCAAATTTTCCCATTTCCCAATTTTCTAATTTTTTCAAATTGTCAATTTTCTAATTTTCTAATTTATAATTTTCCAACCTGTCAATTTTCAAGTTTACCATCGTCTGATCTTCTAAATTTTCCAAATTTCCAAATGAAACCTCGAGTCCCAATCAGCCTGCATCCAGTACACCAGCTTTGAACTTTGGAGATCTGAAACAATACATAATGATTGATTAGTATAAAATAATTGCTTTTCTTTTAATTCCTAGGTAACTTGGTGACCGATTACGATTATTTACCGTCGTTCCCTTCGTTGCTTCGCAAGAGACCATTGTTCGAGCTCCTCGAACCATCACCGATGGCACCGATCAGTGCTTTCACCAGAGACCCATGGTGGTACCCAGCTTTTGCTCCCTATATTCCGAGCTATGCTGCGAGAAGCACCCCGTTTTTCTTGAGGGACAGTTACCTTAGTCCTGTAAAACGTAGCTACCTATGGAGCCGACATCCGATCAGGCCTTTTGGTACGTACTCTTTTCCTTATTCATACTTTCATTAGAAATATTCGATCACTCTTTATCTGAACTTATCAGGAAAGTAGAATTTTTTAAAATGATCAATTTAATTACTTTCTCAGACAAAGAGTGAAATTTTAACGAATTCAAAGCCACGTTAAATATTATCACGTTGAATGCCATGCCATTCACATTTGGATGACACTTGAATTGTCAAAGGAAGCTATTACCTATATTATTTGGAATCCGGTTAATTATCTAATTAGAAATATTTTTATTAGGTATTTGAAATAATGGATGAAATAATAGTAAATAAAATTTTTTTAAAATATAAATATCTAATGAAATTTTCAATAGCGTTTGCCTGGCAGTCGACGTGTTAATTAAAATGAATTTCAACAGTGTAAATTTGTTAGAATGAAATCTAAAATTAAATTGGATTTAAACAATAACATCCTAAGATGATCCGGTTTACAAAATTATTTCACTGCAGACTAAGTAAACAATAAATCAGATATACAGGATATCAATGTCAAGCAGTGATACAATAATACTTTACAAACACGATTATTTTGAGATCTCCTTCACTCGGTTGCATAAGATTAAAAAACACTCGATGAAATTACATTTGGCATTGTTTGATCATTCGTTTACCGTTTGGCACGAGTGCAGATATTGTTGTTCCTTTAAACGATCTGCAAAATTCGAGCTGCCTCGTGCCAGACAATGATCCTCAACTTCCGTTTTCGAGCCAAGTATTTCTTCCTCTTGGCACTTCATCAGTTAATTAATTATCTACCTCCTTATTTATCATTATTATTATAGCCTCTTGGTAGCCAAACGACGAAACAAAAATGTATTTAAAAAAATGAAGGAACATCTCAAAATAATGATAACAATTTATAGATGAGTAAAAGTTGCACCTTTATCGGAGATAATAATGGGATCAATAATACAGTTTATATATAATAATAACTTCCGGTACTGGGGGCTGGCTGAAATGCCACGATAATGTCAAAGAATGAATTTTAATAAACCAATGAAATCTGATTGATTACGCAAACAATTCCCGGAATAAACACCTCGAAAATCTGCTTTGCAACTTTTACTCATCCGGGTCGGTAACTTCAATGACAATACCGCTGACTTTGCAGTATTGTTTCGTATTGAACGGGCTTCATCTGTTACCCGAAGCCTTCTATTTGCTAGATTATTTTCTCAACACTGCATTACCCTAAAACGTACCTCTTTCGGTCAACATTTCAGGGTTAAAAAGAAAAATCCGCGAATAGATGAAAATTAAAAAAAAAAACAAAGATTCATCGGTAAACGGAAATGATATGCAACCTGAATATGTCTGTTGTATTTCAGGTTCGTTATACTACTATTATTCGCAGCCAGTTCCACGATTTCACTTTACCCGCCCGTGGTACAATAAACGTACCACGTATTAAGAAAAAAAAGTGAGCGATAAGATAAAAATCTGGTCAAGTGTTTTTGCAACCCCCTCTCACCCTTACTCGTTTAATTATGTGAACAAAATAATCAACAGAGAGGAGAGACGATTACCCCTGTACATATTTCCGGCTACGATAAGACGTAGTAATTAACACACAACTAAACGTAACAATGATTAATTAAAAAAAAAAAAAAAAAAGATGAAGAAATCACAGGGTGGTGATTACCATAGGCTGTTCGATAAGAACAATACCAACTATTGTCGACCTTTTAACCGTGTCATTGTAAAAAATCATAAACTATGTGATCATCTAATTAAAACAAAGAACAATTGTTATAAAACAGCGTCACACAGCTGTCTTGGATTTTCTACGTGACTTATGTGCCTGGATTTACAACGTCCCCTCTAATAGGTCTTTCTTTCTGTTTATTTCGAACGTGCCTCCTATATGTACATTTCACTTGACTAATACACATATGTATATAAATTGTGTACACATCTGAACGAAAAAATCGAGCCATCATCTACCCCTTCATTTGTTAAAAATATATTCTAATATTTATCGTGTATCTATTGTGTTCCAAAAAGAGCCTCGAGAATTCTATAAAATTGGGGTCACTGCTGACCCAGAGCCTGCGGAATTAAATAAAAAATAAATAAATGAAAATTCGACGAAGAATGATTTTTATTTAGAATTCTCGAAGCTATCGTTCGTCTTATCATTGATTCTTTTGTGTCTGATCGCATAATCGGTCTTTTTTCCAGCTCACGCCTACTGATGACCGTGTCACCCAGCATGGAACGCGTGATACGAAAAAAATCAATGAAAAAATTCAAATAAAGCCACGTAAAAAGATATGCAACGTATCCCAAGCAATTATTCGATACCTATCGCCTGACTATTATTTTTCTCACAGCGCGTATCATCGTCCACGGAGTTCTATTTATTAATTATGTTTCTCGTCGCCATGGTTTATTGTACTTTTCGTTCGTTCTGTCTACGAATAAAATAAACACTGCCCAAATTTTATTACAAGATGTTTTTCTTTTTCTCACGTCGAAACGTATATGTAAAGTGTCTGATTAAGATATTCCGGTTAGTATGGGACGTCTAACCGGAAAACTAAACGAGAGCAGGTTTGTACAACAATATGCATGTTTATTATCTGAAAGTTTTACATCTTTAGGATGTCATTGCATTGCCGTGTTCCGTCGCAATTCGATCGATGGACAAAATAACCCACGCTTTTAATTACAATCCACCTTCTTCGTTCAACCCTGAAGAACCATCATCGAATCACGACTGACCCGCCGTTTACAAATATAGTATATCTGTGTATATAATTCACGATTTTCGGAGGAAAAACGCATTACCGAGGGATCACAACCGCTTCTTTTTTTTTTCTTCTTCTTTTTACGATTAAACTTATACATCAGAGGGAAGAAGGAACAGGGCTTGAAAAGTGGCGGGAAGAGAACAGCCGCTTCTTTTTTTTTAACGACCTTGCTTTTCCTGCAGGGATTACACTGAAGAATTACTTCAAACGATACTGTCATAAATTCCATTCATAGTCCATAATTAATAATTAAACGTCTCGTGAAGAAATAAAATTGACAATGGCTCATTTTCACCGTTCAAGTAACAATTTCTCAAAAAAACATAAATTACAAAATCACTGGTCGTATCTTTTCTTTTTTTTATCGTTTAACGATACACATTGAAGTTGATTATTTCACTTTCAGATAATACGCGCGTTGATGCTTTCTCGCTTCTCGAACTAAGTTTACTCTGACGATACAGTGCAATCTAAGGTAATTCTTTTTTTCCATTTTATAATTTATTGTTTCTTTTTTTGTTCTTTTTTCGCCTTTTTTATTTTTAATATATATATCCTTTGTAAATTCTTTTAAATCCTTATCTTCTATACAGGTCAGTATTCAAGTTGTTTTTCGATACTTTCTAATACGCGTTATTTTCTTTTATGCGAACTACATTTGCATAAATTTATTAGAAAGAATAAGTGTTCAGCGTAGAGAATAATCTGAAAGAAATAAATGCCTTGCAAAATGTAAACGGAAATGAAATAATATAATCGCTATGCTATTCAAGCGTGTACTGAAAAAAATTAATTAAATGCTGCACGATGCTTAACGTTTAAGCTGATGATAAAATATGATATTTCAAATGAGCAACGAATCGAAAGAAATACTGACAAAACATCTGAAAGTGAAATAGTAAGTTCTTAGAAGTGACAATCATCTGAGTGCATTGTATCCAATAGAAAGATTAATTATTAGTTTGAATTATATCCTTTCTTACAGACAACCTCTTAATAATAATATTCTGCGTTTCAAACGATTATTTTGAATTCTCATTTTACGAGCATATGTAATCTGCATAGAATCGTTATCTTAAAAATACTGCTTCTCTCTGTTCCTCTCTGATTTATCATTCTTACTGAATAAACGATTCAATATCTCTACAACGTATCTTGGAACGTGCTGTCAATATTTATAGAACATTAAAAAGTAAAATATTGAAATCTATATGGGCATGAGATGAAAAAGAAAAGAAAAGGAAATAAACACATGGAGCGAAAGAAAATGAATATCTATGTACATAACAACGCGGTAGCGCGTTGTTGAACGATTATATGTAATTAAATCAGCTGCAAAGCGATGGCAATAATAGTAGAATTATTAGGAATAGTCAGCAAATCTAATTAATTACACTGAACATTTAACGATGGAAGCAATAAATAATCAAATGAGAATGTCGAAACTTCATTAAACGCTAATGGCATGAAGGATCACCCGCATCTGGAAGATACGCGTAAATAATTTCCCAGAGAATGCGGAAGTGATCCTTGTTCAAAATTGAAGAAAAAAAAAAACGTATCGCTTTTTTAATTATGTTACTTATCTTATTAAGATGTAATCAAGGAAGATGTAATCTTACACACTTCTCTTGACGTCTTCATGCTGAAACATGAAAATTAATACTCATGAAAAGTATTAGCAAACTTAGAATTATCTTTTTGTTTTTCCTTTCTTTTTTCTTTTTGAACGTTCCCTTAGAAACACACTCGAACAGTTTCTATTAATACACGTATAACGTTTTAATCGCTAATCAGTCAACATAATAATTTACTTAAAACGCTAAGATTTAAATGATACGAGGCGAGAAAAGAACTGAAATCGCGTTTCAAAGTCTCTCACAATCACAAATAATTGCCGACGATCAAACACCACTACCATGCCTCACCTTTTGTTACTCATTCTCCGGTATAACGACGTTATCCCCTTAATGTTAATTAATTAACGTAAATTTTTCTCGGCCTACTAATGTTTACCTTAGAACATTAATAGGAGATATTTCCTTAAACGTAAAATCAGTTTACCTAACACAAGAGCATCCGCTAATGGCGTTGATGTCAGAAGATGAGTACAAGGCTGTCATTTCTTTTTGGCTGGATTCCTTTGTGGCGTAGATGGTCTTGTCGCTTGACCTGTATTCATGCTTAAGTACTGGTATTTAGCTTTCTTCTCGGAAGGTTTCAAGATCTGCGCACAAACAACGTGTTATCATTAAAATGGAAATACCGAGCCACCTGTGTGTACTGTCGAGAGATGGAAAGAATATTGATCACGCCTCGCGCACATGCTATTCTAAATTATCGCACGCTATTGGCCGATGCGATCACACAGTAATCGCGTCGCCTGACAAAGAAGAAAAATGAGACTTCGCGACAAAGCGAGATGGTATGAAATCAGCGATGCAGCGAATTTTGAGCGCGAGGATCAAACGTGGACAGGGCGGAGGGTGCGAAGAGCTCCCTTCGCCCCTCTGCCGTCCCGCTAATGTTCTTTCCATCTCTCGACTGTACCAGGGCCGCATCGAAAGCTTCTCGAGCCCTGAGCATACAACTGAAAATCGGAGCCCTCCGTATTATTTATTTTATATCTATTTTTGCCTGGGATGAACAGAAACCCGACCTGAAAACTGCACATTAACGTTTCATCGACGCTCATCATTCCGCCGGCGTTGTCGAATTCTCCGCAATAATTCGGTGCAGAAAACAAAGTGACCAGCTGTCGTTTCGCGAAGAATTCATAACCATCTTCAACAACTTGATGCGCTCTGCATATCAAGTCCATATCGTGACGATTTAAAAATTTCGACACCACGTCTGGACCAAAGGTGAAAGATACACCTCTGTCATTTTCACCCCATCCCTGAAAGAAAATCATGTAGTTAGTCGTAGGTTTAATAAAAATATTTAAACATTTATACCTGGACCTCCTTGTCCGGATCCGACCACAGCAGGTCACAGAGAAGGCCAGTATCAGGTACATCGGTTGGGCGCATAATTCTTCTTATTTGTTCCATATTCTATTAAATAAAAAATACCTTCTTAGTTTTAACATTCTCCTTACGTATAAATAAAAAATCGATATTTCGATCGGTCGGTTTCTTTCATAAAATACCGCGAAAAGGAAACCAAGAGCTTTTAATATAAATGCTACGTGAACTATATTTAACTGCATATTATTAAAATTTAATGCGACATTAGAACGCAATGCATGAGACTCGAAAAACGTTTTTAGAATACCGTCATAAGCGGAACCTTCGAGCGAATATAAATTTGGCGAGGATCGTTTGGAAAATTTTTCAGTTTTCATATATAAATCGTTTATTATTTTATCAATTAATCGGTGGTAGTTGGGAAGTGTTCTTAACCCTTTCACTGCCACGTGAATTTTTGAACTTGCACCAGGGGGCCACAAATTTCATATTAAAAATTTTATAATGGCGAAATATATTAAAATAACGGTACAATCTTGCCAATAGCATATTTTTCTTAGTGGTGGTCACCGGTGACCGCCGTGGCAGCGAAAGGGTTAAAGGTCGCATCTATTAACGCGATACTTCCGCGCGCAACGTTACGGAAATTACTTCCGGTCTATAATTCGAAATCAGTTTTCCCTTGGGAGCAAAATAATTAGTAAAATTGTCCAAAAGAATCCTCTTGAAATTCCACGATCGAATCACCTGAAGGTCCGGACTGAGCCCGCCATGGCAACAGAATATCTTCTCGTCGATGATCGCAGCGATCGGCAAACAGTTAAAGCAGTCGGTAAACGTCTTCCATAGTTTGATGTTGTACCGTCTTTTGCACTCGTCGTAGAATCCGTATATCCTGTTTATGCTTGCGCACTCGTGATTACCGCGCAACAGGAAGAAGTTTTCTGGGTATTTGATTTTGTACGCGAGCAGCAAGCATATCGTTTCCAACGATTGCTTGCCCCGATCGACGTAGTCACCGAGAAACAAATAGTTCGCTTCTGGCGGGAAACCGCCGTATTCGAACAATCGTAGTAAATCGGTGTATTGGCCGTGAATGTCGCCGCATATCTTAAGCGGCGCCTCCAGTTCGAGCAGGATCGGCTGCTGAAGAAAGATCTCCCGCGATTTCAGGCAAAGGCCGCGCACTTCGCCCTCCGACATAACAACGGTTTTTCCTGGTCGGCATCCTCTGACTGCGGCCAGAAAATATGTTCACGTTTAAATACGTTTTTCTCTTCAAGTTTCGTCGACGCGAGGTATCGAAGATTCGTTTTCACAGGTACATCGAGCATAACTCTACGCTGGAGCATGAAGGTGGCTGACTGTCGAGAACCGATTTCAAAAAGGGGAACAAGGGTAATACGATTACACGGATTCCACGGATCGTATCGTCTCATCATTTCAATTCCCGTTGCGTACATACGCTCCTGTTCTGTTACCTAAATTTTTACTTTATTATTCGTATATCAGATTTCGCTTGACTCTGCGCAGGAAAGTAAGTGTATCTTGGTTAACCCGTTAATGACCCAGGTCAGGGCCAACCCTGAGATTTCGGGGGCCCGAGGCGAGCTTCGAGGGCCCCTTCACATATATGACATAAAAAAGTACCTCAAAAAGTGAACCTTGGGGGGCCCTAGGCGGCCGCCTAGTCTGTCTAGGCCCAGGGCCGGCCCTGACTAAGGTAAACACCTTATTTGTCTGCCGGCTCCAGAAGCGAGTTGCGCGCGCAGCTACGTTTAAGCGTTTACAATGGGAATTAATGGGTTAGAAGGCTTTTTTTTTAAAATAAAGAAATTACTTTTCGAATGATCCAATCATTACGCGGATAAGGGTTGAATACTGTTCGATGACACGGAAGCATTACGTAGAAGATCGATTGTAAAAACATCAAGCAACCCGATATAGGTTTTCTCTTGATGCAATAACCGAGAAAACAAAAGGTTGTCGCACACATTGTAGTTATAATGCTTCGACCGGATTAAGTGGTTATATGAGTTCGAATAATACACTGGTACGGGTATACAAACTTGTGGAACACTCGAAAACAAAAGGCCGGGGCCGGTTAGTCACGTGTAATCACACTGATCGCGATATATGAATGTAGGACGTAGTAATAGGAGGAAGAATAATGAGAAATTTCGTTTTTCCCTAGATTGCTCTTTAGAACCTTGTATCAGTGTCACTAGATTATTTATAGCTATAAAGGAATTCACGATGCGGCTAAACTGGGCCGATGATGGTTATTGGAAAACTGCATATCAGCAAGGTCACATCAACAAGAGTATTTAAGCATCATGATTAATAAACAAAAAGATGGAAAAAAAGGGGGGGGGGAGGTATGATAGGATGATTCTAAAACGGCAAAATGTCGGAAACGGTGTCTATTAATATTTGCGGTTATTTACGGAAACGGAGCGTACGATAGAAAAATTGAGTCATCGTCATAATTATATTTGATCAAACGCGGTAGTTCGAATCATCAATTTGCGTATCGTTTTTAATAAAAAGAAAATTAAAATTAGGGCACGCAAAAAAGATTAAAACAAGATTATTCTTCGCCAAGCATTAACATCTTCATTCTAATTGTAACGAATTTCTTGTAGCTCTCGTGAAAAAGAGTTGTCTTATCAAAGAACAGTGTATATATAATGAACACATTAATCTCTGCGAAAGATAACAAGTAGTTGCGATACCTATATGCCAAGTGAGACACTTATTTTAAATATACTTAATAGCCAGTGTTGTAGCATACATTTATTAATGAGATACATTGAGAGAAACATGTGCCAGGATAACAAACATTAACATCAACAATATGTTCATAAAGGTACATCAAATTGTGCTGTAAGACCTCCAAAGAGAACATAATATTATTTCCATATAAAAGAGAGCTGATTTGTTGAGAGAAGATGAGAAAGACGTAATGTACTTATAGAAGCTTGGTCATGAACCAACACTGACAAATATCATATCAAGCATGCAAGTAAACTAATTTTCATTCAAGCAATAATTTACGTGCAAATTGCATCGTTACAAGTTGTATCCTTTATGTAACTATGGTCTCTTATTCGAAGAAATGCGATTTCAATTTAATGTCGTTATTAAATAGATAGTCCCAAAAGCTTTATGCTTAAATGTAACCAAGTTTCAGTACCAGCAATGATAAATACGCTCTGTTTACAAATATAACACAAAGAACTCATAATTTAGCACAGATAAAAATATAGTAGAATCAGAAAAGCTAATGGGACGTTAACAATATGATGATACGACTAACTGAGAACGAAGATGATATCTTGGGAGAACTTCAATGTTGCAGGTGCCACAATACTATATCTAGCTTCTACATCATTTTACATTGTAAATCATAAGCAAACGATGGCGAGCGTTCACGCACGACGTTGAGACAGGTAAAGACGCAACTAAAAAACGAAAAGAAACGAACTACATGGGGTGGATTTTTCCTTATTGCGTACCGACAAAATCCGACGAGAAAATATCTTTTAGCTTGGCTTTCTTCTGAACCTGGTCTTTCTGCGTGTGGTATACTTTACCGCAAACAGTTCCGACATGTAGCATGAGAAAAAGAAAACAAACAAAAGAAAATAGTTTTCGCCTTCTGAGAAAATAAAAAAAAGTACGGAACAAATCTGAAGACATCTGACAATGTAAGAATTTACGACGAGTGCAACACTAGAAGATCAATATCGGTTTTTTCTTTTTTCTCTTTCAGCGTGTTACCTTTTTTATTTTTTTCGATCTACAGAACGCAAGTAAAATAAACAATCGACAAACAAAGAGCCACGAAGAATACCGTTCACGGATTCGTAAAGCACAAGACATTTAGATGTCATAAAGTATACCGCGCAACGATTTAATATTGCTTTGGCTGGAAAGAAAATTTGTATGTATATACTCGATGTACGCGGCGCGACTTCGCTACGAAACGATCTTCAGTGGGTGTTTTGGAAAAAAAAATAAATATCGTTTAACTGTACACCAAATCGAAGATGAAATTACCGAGAACAATTTCGCACTTTCTTTTCACAGAGGCTTCCTTTTTATCACGTACCTTCCAACAATCTTTGTATCAGGTTGTCGACGTTCAACTCGACATCCGCCATTTTTTCTTGCCACTGACTGACTGAACCGATGTTTGCAGGCTAGACGATACGTTTGTGTATGTACGCATTTAACTCTATATATAACTCGCGTCGATTTCGCGTATATACGAGCTGTTATCGACTGACGGTTCTAAGTAAATAAGGAAATAAAGAATACGATAGGCAAATCCCGCAATGCACTTTTCTGTCACCCACATAAATCACTACACTTTTCTAATAGTTCGACTAGGCGACCTTTCCCCGTAAAATTTACACCCTTCATCAAAGTATTATAATCGGATCGATACAGCAGTAAAAGAACATCGCGTTATTGTATGGTAATTGATATAATTAACAAGAATTATTGCGCGGTACTTGTTTTTACGCGTTTCCCGACTCCCCATCGATGCGCGTTTTAAAACCGATACGACTTGCGCTATCTAGTGGCGGATATGAAAATTGAGCGGAAGCGTTTATTTTTTCGACGGAAAAACCAGAAATCTACGTATAATTACAGCTTATAATACACATTTTAGTTGTAATAATTTATAATAAATAAAAATATTAATAAAAAATTACCTTAATGGGAAGGAAGTTACAGATACAATCCTCCTAGGTAGCGTCGAAGTTCAGTCCTTCCGGTTTCAATGATCTGGTGGAAATTAAAAAGATTTATAAGTCAAATGTCCTCGAATACGTATAAAATTGTAATTAGGTACAGTAAAGTTGTAATATATGTATGTTTACAATAAATAAATGTTATTTTAGTTTAAATTAAAGCATATAGCGTTAAATGTATTATATTTTTTCTGTACATGTCAAATAAAAGATCGAGTTTACAATTTAAAATACTTTTGGATAATATTTAACAACGTGTAAAATTTGTCAATTTCGTTACAACCTATTTTGTATAAAAAGTAATTACAACAATGTCAGTACACATATTTTTTCGAACAAATATTGCAGCTGCCATGTAAAATAAATCTGAAATTACATTATTGCTTGAAGTAATTAAATGTATCAGTTTATTTATACTAATCTAGGCATATTTCCTATGATAATCAGGTGGTGAATCCGCATAATCTTGCTGCAAATTGAACAGTTCAGCATTGTTTTTCTGTAAATACTGTAAAAAATCGTGAAAATGGGATAGCAGCAATTGTATACTTCTTTCATCCAGTGTAGTGTACGACAACATTCCACCGAGTCTCACTAAAAAAATTATTCGAATAAACATCATTACTTCCATTAAGTATCACGATTTTAAGATACGAATAAAAGTAGTACCAAATAGCCTTAATAAATGAAATGCACCATATAACTGGCTGGGCAGTGTTTCAGGATTATCATTCATAATTTGAATGAATTGTGGACGTTCCCATTTATACAGTAACTGTAAACCTAAAGATATATTGAAGTATTCACGAATTCCTTTAGTTATTTCTAACGTACTTTCTCTGAAAGTTATACATAATATATATTAAATAAATAAATAAATAAATATGTCTATATAAAAATTGTTGGTATAAATACCTGACAGAATCATTTTTTCCTGATGATTTTGATTCAACATAATCATCAAGGATCTTATCAACTGTATTCTTTACAGGTAAAGCAGGTAATTTATGATGTTTTAATATAACTTCAGACTCATCTATAAGTACAAATTTTAATTCCTCTGGAATCTTAATTTTAACCTCTACTTTGGTGAGATATTCTTCAGTTTCACCAGATGGCTCTAATCGGCTGCAATAAATTTTAATTGCCTCAATTAGCATGATACAAGTTAATATGCAATTAAGAAAAGTTTGTTTAATACAAACCTCCGTTTTTTACGTGGAGCTTCTGATGTAGAATCATGAGAGGATGATGGTGTTACACTACTGCTTGTGCCTTTGCTAAATCGGCTGACACCTTTGTCAACTGTGGCAACAGGAGTGCTAGCTCTACTATCAGTGTCTTTTTCACGTACACCTTCACTCCTACGTCCCTGAGTTTTAGAGGAAGTACTGCCTTTCTTAGTTTTTTGTGCAGATTGTTGATTAGAATGTGCTCTTTGAACCTCTCTTTGTCTCTGCACATTTGCCTCGTTGTACTTGAGAACTCTACTTTCCGGAACCCACTCGTCCCAGCTATTTACATCATATTATGATTTGTAATTTCAATCACGTATGGAACAGATAAGATGGAACCAGATACCTACTTTTTATTCCAACCAGCATAATGAATAAAATATTTGATCTGTTTTTCTTTAGTAATGGAGGACTTTAGACATTTTGCTTCATAAATTAATGGCCCATGGAAACATAGAACCTTCTCCCCTATAAACGATCGTATAACGATTGTAAATAACATTCAAAATCCATTATAAACAGAAAAAATACGTAATATTCAGTTACAGGAATGGATCTAACGTACACTGGAACATTCGATAGAGTTGTATTAAAAATTAAGTGTCTACCTTCTTGAAATTTACACTTGGGTGGCATACTTGTGTCCTTTGAATTGCTTATTTTGGCTATTTTATTAGAATCGTCAGTTTTAAACAATACCTAAATTTAATAAATCGCTTGATAATTCGCGCCAACGGAAAACAATTGATTGCTAGCGATCAATTTAAAGCACACTTTGAAAGCGGCGTCTGGATATTTATTTTATGTTTATATGCGTTAAGGCTAGTACACAATGCGAGCTTACGATCTAGGAACATGGCTACCCTACTAGAGAATTTTCGTTTCTACAATTACTTAACATGTACGAGGAAATCAAATTCAATTCAAATTTAAATCATCAGTTCGAAACCTCAAATAGTTTTTCGATTTAAGCTGAATGATTGTTCTAACAAACTAATACTAGAAAAACATTTTATATTTTTAATTGAAATAAAATCAATGGTTTGTTACGACTGTTACAATTATAATTCATTTTATTTCAATTTATAATATTGTGGTGTAATAAACAAGCATGGAAGTAGACAATAACATACACCATACTTAAAATTTTATTTCTGTATATAATACCGTTCTGTATATAAAACGTCAAAATATACATAACGCAAGAAGACGCACCTACACCCGACAGCCGACGGCGCACGACTGACGGAAAGCCGCCGGTGGCGCGCATCTAACCAGAACCAAACGCACGCGCATGCGTACTTCGCCGTATAAGAAAAGGTACTTTATTCAATATAATTAACACATTATGGTCAATGTTTTTGCACCTTCCTCGACATTTCTGTTATTGAAAGTTTTTATTAAAATAATATATCTAATAAAATATTGCAAGATTACTTTATTCATGCAAAAATTCATAAAATGCTTTAAGTGTTCCGCTACTGATTCCATATACGTTCGTAACGATCAAAAATTCAAGTTTCGACGTTTTATTCTCTCAATCGTACCGTTTATACGTATTAAACATACATAAAAAATATTTCTTCTGCGTATACTATAGTATTCGCTATTTTGATATAGACATTTGCAAAGCATACAATTTCCATTGAACGTGAAACGGAACTTTTCACGCGAAACTATCAGAACGAACTTAAATTTAAAATCGAGTCTCAACGAATGATAGGTCTTACTTTTATAACAAAGTAAAAGGGTTCTTTTTTCACCGAAATACTTCTTTTCATTATTTGCACAAGACAAGCGAATACGAAGGTTATGGAAAATTAAAAAACATCACATCTCCCTATGACGTTACACAAGGTTATATTTTGTAACTTCGTCTTCTCTCTCTCTTCCTCTCTTTCTTTTTTTTTTTTTTACTGTCTTTCGGCGGGTCATGCCCGTTAAAATATGACAAAATTCACGTTCGTCATATCGGTTCATACATCGTTCAATTTTTGTTTTCCCTAAGACAATCGAGCAGAATTAATTTTCCTTTCTACCATTACTTCTGTACAGTCTCTCAAATACGTTCCTAGAAGAAAGTACGTTCCCGTTTTCTAACAAGACTAAATTTCTTTTTCAAATGCAATTTCATTTAAATCGTTGTTACTCGTTGAAATAATTTATTTCCGATGCTGTGCCTATAAAAGTCTCGCCAAATGAAATTCAAAAAAAAAAAAAAAAAAAAAAAAAAAAAAAAATAGAAATGAACGTACTCTGTAGCCTGTGTATAATACAAGAGGCGCCTTATTCGACAGACTGGCAGAAACGGGTGGTAGTAGTTTTACGAATATCGGGTTAAAAACGAAACGATGGACTGCCATCTTCATGATAAGTTATTATAAAAAGATCTGAGGAAGTCTGAGAACGTTTGAAATCAGTTATTCGTCTCATCTTCCGACTAACTCTTTCGAAAGAGTAAAATTATGAGAAGTCTCCCGTGCTCAGACTTCGTTAGATCCCCGCAAATATTATTCAGGTAGAAAATATTGTTAACTTCTCACTGGTTGTGCCAGGATCGAGATCACTGATCACCGAACATTCGAATCATTAATATCATTCGTTTGATCATCATTCACACATGTGTACCATTCACCCGTAATTTCGCTCTCACTTTGCTTCCCCTCTCGTTGCACGATGCGTATGAAAAAAAGCGCGATGCCACCAATGTACAATTTGAAAAAAAAAAAAAAAAAAAAAAATAAGAAAAAAAAATCAGAAACGAAAACTAATACACAATCCTCTCTGTTGCGAATCGGTGAATTGCGTGTCGAATATCGTGCAGAATAATCCATTCGCAACACATTTTTATATCCTCCTTCTATCACCCTTTTCCCCCTCACGACGTACACGCTATTCAATTGAAATAAATACACGTAGCGATAAAAACATTTCTTCTTTATACAAATATCATTCATCGAGCCTGCCTACACTTTTACATCTCATTTATAAAAAAAAAAGAAAAGAAAAATAAGAACGCTTGCTAGTCTTCTCTCTTTAAGTAATCCATTAAGTCTCTTCATTTTATTCTGCACGATATTCATTTTTGACTATAAAAAAACATACGCACTTATTACATATATACACATACATATATATAATAAGTAAAATTTATAAACTAACATCTCTCCTCCGTCTAATAATTAATTATTAATAATTAAAACTAACTAATCGGATAGTTTGTGATAACCGTAATGAGGTGTATTTTCGCAGCATCTGGTTTCTCTCTTTTGTATCCATCGGGGGGGTCCTCACTTCCTTACACTTCTATATACACACACACATATATATATATACACACACACTATATAAATGTATATATATATATATATACTTTGCTTTTTTTTTTTAATATATTTTTGTATAGTATGTAAACTATTTACAGTTACAGAAGGGTGTGATCATTATTGTGTAGGCACTATGGCTTTGGACGTACACTAAGTTGTACGTTAGAGTACATCCTTAAGAGACTTCCAGCTGAGACGATTCTCTCCAGTGCATCCTTGAATTATCTTCTTCAGGAACATCGAACAAATATCCTCAGTTTGTCTTATATAGGAGTTATATTATTATATTTATATATGTACGTTAAGACTCAAAGCGTTTTCTTCGTCGGTGCTGTACCAAGCACGGTTGAAATTCAAGTTGCACTGGCTTCAAAGTTCTCTTTGAAGAACCCCTTTCTTTTCACTTTTTTTTTTTTTTTTTTTTTACAAATCAAGTTCTGAACAAGTACTGTTATTCCTGAAAGGAATCTTAGACCTTCTCCGTCGTTACGAATCGAATTAAATACGTGTGTTACATGCGCGAAAGGTTACAGTCTAAGATTTGTTTCTCTCTTTCTTGTACGCTCGAGTTCGTCTCCGTGTGTTCGTGGCATCATATTCGATGCTAATCCAACGCGATTCTTTAATTAGATTTATATTATCAATGGTACCGTTGGATGACCGTGCGTGTATACGTGCCTGTATAGAATCAATGAATTTCTTATTTTCCCCATGGATCGAAATATACAAAAATTCGTACCGAGCAATTACAAAAGTATATAGAATAAAAACTATGTCTCCCTGACATACGTTTTTTTTTTTTTTTTTTTACAAACGATTCGCAATCGACAAGCTACACTATCGTACCGATAAATTTACCCGAACGCGATTATTCCTGAACGATGCTCTCTCGTCTCGACACCTTACCAACCGGAAGCTTATCACCAAATTTAATAATAAACACTTCTGAATCGAAGCAATAAAAATCACGTACACCACAATTAACGATCCGAGTGTAAATAACATTAGACTGATTGAAAAATAGAATCTATAACATGCCATTGAAAGAATCGAGACCTTGTTAAAAAGCAACAGTGCTTATCTATTTTATCTGCTAGCGATGGGTAAGGTGTCAAGCACGCGATTTCAAAAGAAAAAAAAAAAAAAAATAAAACAAATAGAGATAAAAAAAACGATTCAGTCCTAGCGACTAGAGAAAACAACCGTCCAGAAATTTTCCTCGATAGAAATATTTATACGCTAGGAGGGAATTTCATTTTTGATGAATTAATATTCACGCGCTATTCACTTTATACAATTCAATGATCGCAGAGGGGGGAAAACGAAAACCGTTATAAATTGTTCGTCACGAATCTGCAGTCTCTCCTCTCTTTGAAATTCTCGAATACATCTCCGTCTCTCTTTCCCACGCTTTTACTCTTACCTCGATATACAGTATTATTACAGATTGCACAGAAAAAAATTGGCGTCGTTTCGCCAACATAATTTAATATATTCCACAAAACTCGATATCGGCGTGAACCGTATCAAGCCGGAAATACTCGACCACCGCGTATTAACAAGTTGACCGCCAGTAGAGATACATCATGGATCAATAATAATTTCAATCTAATTGGTTGCTTTAAAATGACTAGTGTACATTTTTTTAGTAGCATTACGAATATTTCATCTAAATTGAATTTCAGTCGCATCGCGGTCAACGTGTTAACACCAGGCTACCATAGTACATTAGCAAACGATGAACGATAAACATTGACAAAAATATTTCTAACAAATGCGTTTCTATAAATTGGTTCACATAGCAAGCGTCATTTTTGGCTTGAAATGATTTGAATCGCAAGCGACAAATCTTGATGCATCTTCGTCGAGAAGACAATGATTTATCGCTTTAACGTTCATCCTTAATCGCTTGCCAATGTACTAGTAACCCGAGGCGTGATATGTTTGTCCCTTCTCTTCGCTTCGCAGTACTTCCCTTTGAGATCCTTTCAATGAGGCGGAATTTCGAAAATCACCGACGTGATACTGTATACGTGTATATGTGTGTGTGTTGCTGAACGAATCGCGATTAAAAAATAATTTTTTTTAAAAAATTGTCGGCAAAATACTATACGGTATCGCGAGTGATAAACGCCTTCTATTTATGTACACGATCGCGTATTTTTATTCTTTTTTTTTTTGTTCTTTTTTCTTTTTTTGTAAAACTAAGAAGCATGACTAAACCAGCGTATCAATCATTCGAACGTAAGATCACGTTTGAGGAGGAAAAAATAATAATAAAGATCGCCAATCGAAAATAATTATGACGTAAAATCGGTCATCATTGGATTAACAAAATGATCGCTATCCGTTCGAATGTTAGGGAGGCGAACTCAGAGTGGTAGTCCAAAAAGACAAAAGTGCTATCACGATTACGACAATCAGGACGACATCTTTAAAATTTGAAATCAAAAAGATCCGACAGCCCTTCCTCCGTGCCTAACGAGAACGAATAGTCGTTTTCGGAAAGAGGCGGTTCCAGGGACAGCAGGTGTTCTCCAAATTCGAAAAAACTTAGATCTGTAACAAAAAGAACCAGAAGATAGTTGGGCTTATTTCAGCCACTGTCGTGGGACATCCTCTGCTTTTAATATTTTCTTTCTTTCATGACTGGTGGTGTCTACATGTTATTTTATTTTAATTGGAATATCAATTGATCACAAAAATTTCAGTTTAGTACAAAATTAAAGGGCAATGCATCATAGGGCACAGATTAGAGGAAGCAGTTAGGGGGAAATTATTGTGCAGCAGATAAATGCTAGAAAAAGAAAAAAAAAAGAACGAAGCACATATTTGCGTTAATATACAAATAAGCAAATGATTGTTTTACCCATGAGACGTACCTTCGCGCGACACGAGCTTTTGTTGTTTGAAACCGTTACCTAATTAGAACTCTGCCTGTGATGTGATTTTTATTTATTTAACACACAAGTCACAGCCAGAGCTCCATCAGGGTACGGCTATCCTCCAATGTTGAAAAGGCAGAGGAAGAAGTAAGGAAGGTATAGCTTGAGTAAATGGAATTCAAATCGAAATAGAAAATAATTCTTCCAGACATGCACAATATTTCTTTTTCAAGTTGAACTAAAAAATTGTAAATTTATAAATTTTTTCACTATTTGTGTACGAAAAATTATTTATCCGGAAGTCTCGAAAGTAAAAAAAAAAAAAAAAAAAATTCAAGTATACCTCTGCAGTGTGTAGGTGAAGTATTAATTTATTATAAACAACTAAACGATTGAAGAAGATCAGAATAAAACTTGTGTATCATTAGTATTTTATGCCCAGCATTTAAAAAAAGATATAACAGTGCTTACATGCAGAGGAAAGCAACGTTCAACGTATACGCGAAACATTATAAAATAAAGAAAAATAAATATTATTAAATTAATAAAGCATTGAAATTAACGCAATATACAGCTATTTCACTTGAACGATAACGAGAAGAAAAATATGTTTAAATACATCTTAATTCATAAGATGGACGCTATCTTACCTGGAGTGTTGATTTGATCCTCCGTTTGAAGTTGGAATTTGCCACCACCCATTGGTCCATAGTCATCAGATTCGCATAACAATGCGTCCCTCATTCCTGCTAAACTGGTAACCGTAGATACAACCGGAGTACACGAACGAGTATTCAACGTACTCTCAACAGAAGGTACTGGTTCGACCCGAACCCCGCTTCCTCCGTTGACCAGCAGTTCAGGAGGGAGATCGGGTATTTCGGATTCTTTTGACGAAGGCACAGGTTGCGTCGTCGTATATCCCGGATTGGGAGACGTTTTAACTGTAGGGTCATCAGGACAGAGGAATACCTCTATTTCCCCATGAGACGACCTCATGTGCATTTGAAGCTGGAAACAGATCAATGGATACGTTGATTGCAATGAATTTTCACTCGTCTAACTGTTCGCATAGGAAGCAAGTAGTTACCTTTTGTTGGCCAAGATTATTGATAGGTTGCGGAACATGTAAAGTGGCTTCTGGCGGAGCTTTTACTGCCATTATAGCCTGGTCTTTGTACATTGGGACAGAACGTAAATCGTGATACGTTACATAAGCGTATTGTCTATCGGCGCACAATTCCCTAAGGTTTTTATCTGCACCATGAATTAACCGATCCAAAGTATTTTCTTTAGCTTCTAAATCAGCCACCTCTCTTCTGAGATCAGCGATATCGTTCCTATCGTTCGGTAACTGACCGCCCCTATAAAACACAATCATTATGTTCCATATTTAACCCAGATACATTCGAGATACAATTTTTTTGTCGGTAAATAGTAAACAACGTACTTCCATTGTATATTGTTTTTACTTTTCTTCTCCAAAATACCTATACCCTCCAACACATTTGTAATATCGTATATACGACGTTTCTGTACTTCTAACTTCTCAGACGCTACATTTAAATCTACAACACCGTCTTGACTGCTTTCAACTAAATGTATGAACTTTTTCGTAAGTAAGCTCAATGATGTATCATACCGCGTTCTCTCTACCGTTTTACCTGCAATTAAGGTAATATTTCTTTTTCCTAGAAGATGTATAACAAGTGAAACTTATGAATAAAACAAAAATACAATTTACTTTTTGTAGGTGTGTGGCCAGTTAGAGAATTCGAACCAGATCTCCTACGTTTACCTCTAGGAGCCTTAAAGGCAGATTGGCTGGGACCTGTTGCTCCCATTTCCAAATTCAGTCTTCGTTTCACCGCCTGAACCGATATTTGCTACAAAAACATACCAAAATAAGACGGTATTAAATGATTATCATTAAACGTTAGTCAAATATAAAATATAAAAAAATCTGAATATTAAACTAGTGCATTAAGAAAGCAACATTTCTTGATGGTGTTTAAGACCTTTAGTATATAAAAAGAAAGTTACCATGTTTGAACAATCATTTCACTAGTGAACCTTCTTAAAAATTATTGGTAAATACAGTCTTATTTACTTCAGTTCGTGGTGGTGGTTGTGTAGGTTTCCTTGTTACTTGATAACAAGGTGTTTGTCCATACTGATGGTCTTGAAGATGAGGACTTGGCGTTTCTTCAGCTACCTTTTGTGCTTGTACTTCATCCAAAGAGCCATCATCCAAGAATTCTGTTTTCACTGAAAATAATTAATGTATGTAGAAACATGTAGTGAAATTACAGAAAAGTTATACAGCAAACCTGCTGTTAATACATACTCAATTTGGTTTCCACCATGTCTGGTGTAACAGGCCTGGCTGGATCTTCCAAGACCACCTGTCTCCTTACTCGAGGCATCTTTATTGTTTATAAGAATCTACAACAGTCAAAATGAGATATATTAAATTATAGTCATGGGGAAACAGTCACATATAGTACATCAACAATTCTTGTATCTTTAGAACATGAAAAATCCTCCCCCAAGTGTACACTGATAGCAATAAAGTTTACCTTTATAATCACAAACATTTATTTACTTTATTTCAATGAACACATTTTTCTTTTACAATCTATTATTCTATTTTAATACGTTTATTTAAAAACGTTTTTCCTGTTTTCGTTCTGCAACGTTGAAGTTTCGAAATTTTTTAGAAAACGTGCCTCACATCGTCCATGAAGGTTAATAAGTGTACACTATTTTGGCGGACACGTATTTTTTATTTTTTAACATTCGATGTTAAAAGACAGTTTCCTTATTTTGGATTTGGCATTATTTGTGATGTGATTAATGAAATGTCGAACGTGAAGAATGAATGCGAACCTATAAAAATTGAAACTGCAATACTTAAATCAGATATCCAGATACCTTGTTAACCTTGTCGATAGTACGCTTTATCAAAAAATAGCATTCATATATGAAAATTATTGACAGTTAAATGTGCAGATTCATAGAAAACTTCTACCGATCGTCGTCCCTTCGTTCCCGAGTTTTTGTCATTGTCACTCATTTCTGACTGTATTTTATTCAGTCGCGATAACACATTTAAGGAGAAGCTACTTTTTAGATGCATATCAAAGAACACACAGTACAAGGGACAGCCTTTTTGTTCTGAAATCAAGTAACATTGGTAGATCCTAATAATAGAATTCGTATTTCAAAGAATTTTACATGCGTGTTCGTTGAGAAAACAACCAACACCCATGTCAAATAAAAAGAAAAATAAATGCTTAATGACAAAACATTGATTGCATAATTATATCATCTAACAGGAAAACCAGTGAATGAATTTTTAATATATCTATACAATTTGTATATCATAACAGTTGTGATTTTTTAATTTTTAAATTCAATTCCAATTTATCGCATTTAATCGTATAAATTATAACTTACATCCTAATTTAAAAACGCATTTTATATATAAACATAAAAGAATAAGGATAAATGAAAGCATTTGGAATATAAACGTGTATGTAAGTACATATGTAATCGTTCTATGGAATAACGAAACGGAAGTGGTGTCGAGCAAACGGCAAAGTGACAATTCCGCAAGAACTGAACATCTGGTGAAAATTACAGGTCAATTTCCATGTTGTACTGTAAGAAGAGCGTATAAAACCTCCAACTGCCGAGAAAGATAACAAAGCAAATAATAAATAAATATAAAATTTTCATCGCATGACTTTCCCATTTTATTTTATAAATTTTAACAACAATTAACAACAAGATTTCAATCTCGTATCGGTGTTGTTTCAAAACCAAGCCGATAAGCGAAGACCAATAAATCTCTGTACAGTATTAAGTATGCTTAAATGATATTTTTACATTCTCGTTTAATAACGTGTGAACGATTGAAATTCAAAAACAAACAAAATATAATTATTCAAAGTATGCAACAGTTATCCAATAAAAATTCGTTGAAAAATACCATCGAATCAATTTTTTGTACAACACACTGTTATATTATCTTTCTCGGTTAGAAATAGGGGACTAAACGAAATTGCCGCGAAAAAGAGTAGAATATTCCATCCTAAGGTCCCCGTTTTCAAAAGGCTGGTTACGCGCCTGAACAGGAGAGACCCACAGTGCGGCCGTACGAGAATTTTCGAAAAAAAGAGCAAGCGTCTCGAGTACACGAGGCAAGCGTTCCGGGTGTGGTTTAAAGAGGCATGCCGCAGGATCGTCGTGTTACAGCAGCCTTGCGTTGTAAGCAGTTTTAGAAGCAAACTCCCGGTTGAACTGCGTGGTTGTCTCGTTTTCACTTGTTTGGCCGGGTACACATCGCCGCGCAACGTACGAGATGGTGAGGCCAATAGCACTGTAAAGCGCATTCGAAGGTTGGGAGCAATGCACGATGCGGAGGCATTGATTGGTAGGATATTATCTCGAAGATAAAACCGGACTAGTGTAACTGGCGTCGACGGCACTGGATGTAGAGAGAACTAGCCGTGGCCATCGATTGGTAGACAGACCCGATGCTCTTTAAAACACGAATATTATCCGTTCTGGCGTCCTTTAAGGAGGTTGCAATAATTCCAATTCTTTTCTTTCGTTCGAAAACATTTTTATAATTCGTGTGAAGTATAAAAAAAAAAAAGATATATACTACACAAGAGAAGAAAATACACCAAAAAGACGTCCAATGGATATCGTACAAATAAACCGGGGCATGCCTCGTGTGCACGAGGCTTCAGGCCCCAGATGTGAGCGATGAACCTTACTGTCCCCCCTTTTTTGTGTTCTTCCGCTCGTGGAAACCGCACAGGTCGTAATGTCTATCGACGGGATCCCGAATTCTTCTCTTTCTCTTATCATAACCAAGTGAAGAAAAATAAAAAACCCCGTGTACATGAGGTAGTTCTGCTTCACACACATACATAGAAGTGGCCGCGATCAGCTGTTAACGTCGATCGAAGGTGTATGGGGTGGTTTTTTATTCGTTGTTCCTTTTGCTGAATACCGCGTGTCGAACACCAGTTCACGATTAAATAACAGACGAATTACGATCGTATTGAACGCGACAATGCGTACTCGCGCAATCCGCACGCTACGCACCGAAGCGGCCATGCATACGAGAGCAAACGAGCGAGCGAGCGAGCGGACAACGAGGGAGCGAGATTATGCGAACGCGCGCACACACACATAACATCGGTAGCCGCACAGATACGCACACAAAGAAACGTTACGATTCGCACGCAATACGTAGAGCCGTTTAAAGAGCCAAGCCGGGACTAGAGTATCCCTAGTTAGGCGTGCTACCGGCACGGTCATGAGGAAACCTAGAATCAGTGTACGCTTTCGCGATTGATCGTGTGATGCCAGCCACTTTCAACGCACCAAATCGGTTGCGCTCGAAATAACGGACCATTTTTCCATCTTTTTTCTCTGTTTATATGCTTCAGTAAGCACATCTTTTTCCCCTAGGATTACGAGAAAGGAAACAGTGTTGGCGTGCACACGTTTTTTTTTCGACAGGCTGGCTTGGAAAACGGGGATAGTTTTGAAAGAACTGCTAATTCCAGGGGTCACGATTACACGAAACAAATGAATATTGAAACGAATTACGCGTGTTTATTCACTTACTTGGCTCTCGAGTGTGCGGTACAAAACCACACACAGTATTTTGAGACGAAGGCCCACGCTCTCTTCCGGGAGGTTCAGCCAGCACACGGCGCGGCGCGTGTCACAGCACCGAGGAGCGAGGCATATCCGTGCCTCCTCGATGGCAAATACTTCGCCGTGGTGGTTATGATCGTTGTTGTCACGCTGTGTCGATAATTCTAGATGAAATTTTCACTGAAGCCTGTCGATGACAGGACAGGATAAAAACGTGCGGCTCGGGATGTCGAGTTTTAACCCGGTCTCCCGAGGCTAATCGTGCACGAAATGTTTCTCTTGCTTTTCGCTACTGTATATCATACACACACTTCGTACATACGATTATAATCCCTCGCCCTCGCTCGTTTTCTCTCCCTCTGTCCTTCTTTCTCAAACTTATACCCGTTGTCGTCGTCCTCCTCGTAGTCGTAGTAGTTGCGTGGCCTTTATTTCTCTTTCTCTCTCTCTCTCTCTCTCTCTCTCTCTCTCTTTCTCTTTTTCTATATATCTCTCTGTTTCGCTCTGTCTCTCTACCGCACTGGTGCGGTGTCCATTTTCTGCGGGGCCGATCTCGGCAATAGGAACGACAGCCAAGCAGACCGAGGGCCCGAAATAATCGAGTATAGGGGCCAAGCTGTTCGAGTATTCGTCGAGTTTTCAGCTTCTTAGGAATGTACGGGATCTAAAGTTCACGACAAGCCCCGCCTCGGTATGATCCGTCGAGCCACCGGCGAGAAAAACGAACCTTTTCTATCGGGGTGTCGCGCGCGCACACGAGGCCGGCTCGTGCGTGAGCTGGGTGATCGGATGGACGGGCTGGCTGGCGCGCTGGCAACTGGCTCGGGCTACGAGGCAGATAGAACCGCTTGTACCAGTGGTAGTAATACCGAACCGCGTGTCGATGGGCTCTCACAGCGTTCTATGTTAATGTAGTAGTGGCCTTCTACCAATGCTTCGATATGTTCTTGAACGCGTCCCTGTCACAGTGGTAGTACGTGCTTAGGCGCTTGTCATGTTTGGTGTGTTCGTGGACGCGCGCCGGCCATCTGCCGGTCGCACACAGGAGTCGAGTACGCGCGCCAAAACCGTCACTTCGCTTTTCTCCGTAAACCACCGCGCCGCCAGCTATCGCAGATATCCAAAAAAGTTCCTAGACCGTGTCAACTTTTGATTTTTTTCAACGAACTTACGTCTATCCCACTGTTTTATTCCTTAACCGAATCACTTGATACGATGACAACTTTCCAGAATTCGACACCGATGTTTGTTTGTATTTCTTAGGGTTAGATGTTCGACGATAGGCACACAACGTTGTACTTTTCCGGCATCTCGTGTCACGTTCATTTAGACGAAAATAATTGGAGAAAAACGATGGATCCATGGAACGTTTCAGGTAATTATGGATATTAACGAGCACACGCGCCAAAACTCTGTCCGTCCCGTTTTCCACGAAACTGCCACGCAAGCTCCGGCATGTAAGTGAAAAATCCCTATGCCACGACTTTTCCAACAGACGTTCGTCTCGATTCTATCGGTTATTACTTTCTGACATCTCGGAACGATGTTATATATTGTTTTTATAAATTATTACCGTATCGGTCCGCCATGGTCAGGGGTGTGCGCTTTCGAAACAACGTCCACGCTTGATGTTGGCAGTGAGTCCCTTTAACGTGGGCCTTATCACGTAGGAAAGGGGGCAAGGAAGAAACTAACGAGAAAACGCACTCTCGAATTATGTAATTTCAGAAACTCTTTGATTCCCTTTCCTCAATTGCACACACTTCCGAAGATTGGGAGGATCCCACTGCCTGTCGTTTCTTGCCCGAAACTAAGCGGGCGGTCGTCGCTTCCTTCACGATGGAGGGGTGTTAGAAGCAGGGCCGTACACTTTGCACGTGTAAAAGTAGGTCTCGGTTTCGTCCTCGTTTCACTTTACATATGCTTGTTTTTCAGATCAGAAGGTTATCTCTATTTCAACTTCTGTTTTCATCGATTCCTTCCAATTGAAATTTCACTCTACTCGCCATGAATATCAATCAAGATATTCATTATTAATTGTTACATATGATAACAAACATTAGAAAACGGTCTTTATTTAATGCATACAAAAATACACCGATATTCGATGGTACATATTTGATATACTCTTTGGATTTCAGGCGCAAATAATTCATTATTATGGTAGCTTCTGATAAAAATAATGAATCAAGGAATACTTACAGAGAGTAATATTAAAAATAAAAATATTTACATATGGTTAAACGTTGACAGAATTAAGTTGACGTTAAACAGTGTCTTTAATAAATCCAGGGTTCCGTGACTCCTTGACACGTACCTGAGATAGGTCGCCAAGAAGGGAGCCCGGTGTTTTCTTCGTAACGTATTTATTTGAACCCTACGCAACTACAAAAGGATCGTACCCTATGTAGGATGTAAGGGAGGTGTACCCTCCCTACTTGCTCCTGTATCCATGCGGTCGTACCCACTTTTGTATTTAAAGTGTTAAGCCAAGGGCGCGTCAAGAAATCAAACGAAACACCGAACTGGGCCCAAAACAACTATATGTCAACGATCACGAAAATTTCAGGACGTTCCGTTCGCGGACGATCGAGGATCTGCATAGCTGAATACGTTATAGCTTTTACTTCAGCATTCTGAGTATGTTTCCCTATTGTAAATTCTTCTCCATACGCTACTGCGGTGATCTTGAAGTTCTCGCGGTCAAACGTAACGATATCCACTTTCTGACAACATAAAGTTACCTTTCTTACAAACGGCTACAGGAAATTCTAAGAATACACTTTATTTTGTTGCTTGGATTGACAACGAGATAATAAAGCTAACTGCAGGATGTATAAAAGAAACAATATTTCATAAACAAGCTCGTATAGTCGGAGGTGACGACTTCGGTATAAAATCAAATATACCTTTGCGACGATGTATGGCTCAGCACTAAACATGAACAATAATTCATCAAGGAAATGAAAGAGAAGGCTCTCCATGTCATGCCCTTCAGCTTCCACTTTGTGTACCTGTTTTATTTGAACCCGCGCTAAATCCGTCATTAACCCGAACATGGCCATTGCACATTGTTCAAAAGCTTCCTCCATAGTATCACCCCATGCGTGTAATCTACAAAAATCGACAAACATTACAATTTATACTCAATTAACAATATTAAAACAATTTCTCAAGATGTACTTTTCTTTTTTTGTTAGTCTTAACAATTCGTAGTCCCGTATTTCGTTTTAGGTTATCCATGTAAGTAACCTCTAAAATACATCGGTCTTCATCACGGAGGATTAACAAATTGAATACTTACTGTACATCCGCTGTGTGATCCAAATCTACAACAAAAGAGTAACTCATGTCTTAGCTTATTTAAGGAGAAAATTCTCTATGAAATAAGGTTCTAAGGTTAATGTTTGACGCTTTCACATGTGGCAAAATGGATGCCGGTACAATGGCGCGCCGGCTGCCGATTATATCGTTATAAATAGGTTAAACTGTCTTTTATTGAATTTACTACATTGTTACGCGTATGGGATAATGAATAGGTACTTACATTCGTATTTAACTGGGGGTATCACAAAATCTTCTTCCTTCAACGCGTCCATGATTGCTCACAGCTGATCTAGCGTACGTGAATAACTGATCAGCTGATTCACTGACAGGTTTTATCAATGGTGGTCCAGTGGTACCTGGAAGGAATTATACTATGAAGATGGCGCTATGTACAAGGCTGCATTTTAACTAGATTACCGACCGAGCATAGCAGATTCAAATTTAGTTCCTTATTAGATAAAAAAGAAATTAAAAAGTGAGTAATTTTTAAAATTGAAATTAATCCTTTTGTTATTACGGATGATTATAGTTGTTCTCTGAGTACGACACTCGAGCCAGAAGGCATTTGCACTGACGAATGTAGGTCTACTTTACTGTTTATAAATTACTATGCAACAGTTCGAATTTGTGTCATTTGCGCGCATTAGTTTCCATGATAGCGGCAATCACCGTTCAGTGAGCAGTGGACCGCATAAATAGCCTGTAAATGCTAATCAGGAGACCTAAATATTTTTCTTCTGAATAAATGCGAGATGTAGTTGGAATATTTTCCAAAAATGCCAGCGAAAGGAGCAATGACACTGTAACTTTATTCTTAAATATAACAAATAAAGTCAGATTAGAAATTCTTTTTTTAATTTCCATTCCATCAAAAGCTATTTAAATTGAGGTATTTTATACATTTGAGTGCAAAGTATAACAAAGTCTAACAGAACTTAGGACCTAGGTTGGAGGAATCCTAGGGGAACTTAGGATATAGATTGGGGGAACTCTAGGGGAACTTAAGACCTAAGTTGAGGACCTAGATTTGGAGAATCCTAGATTAAGATTCCACCCTAGATTCTAAGTTCCCCTAGGATTCTCCCAATCTAAGTCCTAGATTCTCTTATTCCTAGGGTCCCCCAAAGATCGAAAGTAAATGGTGGGAGTCTCCTCCTCTTACCTTAACCAAGAAAAGCCTACTTTGCTCTGGAATGTACAATGGATTAACTGTGTCGATCGAAGAAACGAGTGAGAGCTCGACCGATCCAGGCATGCACCGTACCTACGTATATGTAGTACGGTTTCGTTGGACGTTTTTCTTTGTCAGTCGTCTCCCCGATGAAAACTAGTTTCTCATATCGATGCGATGTGATCCAAGGGCGTCCACTTCGAACGCTCGTAATGCCTGTTACATAAAACTACGTAGACGGTACCGTACAGTACATCCATAGGGACATCTCGTCATCTGTTTACAGTATCCGATCTCAATGCGTGTCGAGTCCAGGGAAGGGGGGTTGGTATTTTGCAATGTCACAAGATCATGGATGTCTACTTTTTTTAATTGATACACACGTGATCTACGCACGATCTAAGAGACACCGAGTTTTGTTGTTCTCCATTATTGTTCTCCTGATAGATCAGGGATTTTACAACCCTTACTGTTTATATGGTATCTTGTTTGTTCGTCTAATCGTCTAGACTCTAGTGGCTCCATTTAATGTAGGCTATTGATCTGCTCTATAATTCTATCATGTATCATTAGTTATACTTGCATTACAGATACTATTAATTGATTCTAACACTGTGTCATTAAGTGAATAGCTGAATTTGAAAGTATGCTAATTGCAATTCTCATTATATGCCTTATTAGATCTAGATCAAAGAAATCTAATACATTTTATTGAGATTTCTCAACTTGAACTTACAACCTGAATCATCAATTATTGATAAATTTTTGGAAATCTAGGCCCACTTTGGCTCCTGCCTAGTCACGTCTACGGATATTACGTTTTTTTAATTTCCTATTGATTAACATTTCGTCTGCTCCTCCCGTGACTCTTGTTTTCTGAATTGCGTGGTAATAACGAGTAATACAGAATTTTTAAACATTGGGTCTCGAGTTTCCTCACATCTAATTATCTCTTCATTGTACGAAACAGCATCACAATTTGAAAGCACGCAGAATTATAAAAACTACGTCGAATGAATTCAAAAAATAATTGCATTCTCATCCTTATTTGACTTTAATGTACAAGTTACTCCATGCAAATGGGATGAAAATTTTTCTTTTCAATTTTGAACTCCCTTGACGTCAATCGCTGCGTATTTAAATTCTATGTAAGAAAGTATTAAGGTACCTAGGTAAAAAATTGATTAGTTCGAAAAATATCTTAGGAAGAGACAGGGAGATTCCAGCGGTCTCTCCTTGGGATATCTTTTTAACTATTCATTTTTCGACCCAAGTACCTTAATATATTTTTGTAGAGAATTTAAATACGCAGCGAATGATGTATAGCAAAGTACAAAATTCAAAAAAAAATGTTCCATTCCATGTTAGTAACTACCCCTGATTGAGACACGATTATACCTCGGTTAGAAATATTGAGAACGTCCGAGTTCCATGGAAAAATAACATGATAGGAGGTAAACAAGCGTTGAAATTATTCCGACAACGGTTCCGAGAACGCCTGTACACGGATCGACGATCGCGAGAGGAAAGCGAAGCGAGTCATCGAGGCCGGGATGCCGATGCAGTGACAGAAAAGTCGAATCCTAGATCAACCTCCTCGTTCATAGAACAACTTGATCGATTTGTTGTAACAAAAGATCATGCAACACTCGTTACCAAGAATTACATCGTCGTTTTAAGAATTTTATCCTTTCTCATTCCCTTACTTTTAATATTGAAACTATGATCCTTGTAATTTGAACTATGCGCTTATTAAATATTTTTTATTATTATTCATCACCAAGAAAATTTAATAATTCAACAATTTTAAATAAAATAATTCTAAACCTTTTTGCATATTTCTAATATCTTAGTACTTACATTTTGTATAGCAACGTTATAAGTTAATGAAAAAGGGTTAATGAGAAGGGTTAATCACGAAGCACCCTGTCCAACAGGTGCAACGCTAGGGCGACACGCTGTTTGCTGATTCTCGCCTCTCACGTGTTGGCGCGCGCTTTAATGACATGCAATTTTGCAACGTAGCTCTGCCCGGAGTCCTTGGGGCTGGAAACTATATAAACGGACCGCTTATAATTAGCTAAGCTAGCTGGAAGATTTTTAACCACGCACCATGTTGTTCCGCGCGATTCGAACGATCTCCTTTGCGTTTGCCGTCGTCGCCCTCGTCGCTGCGGATTATCAGCTTCGTAAGTCAGAAAAATTTCCTTTTTCCATTATAAATTCTTCCATTTTATCTTCATTTATAATTACACTATAGATTTGTTTCGCTCTTCTTCTAAATTGCAACAGAAAGAATTTGGAGTTAACTGTTTATTATAAAACCGATTGGCAACTTTTCCTTTGCACTGAATTACAAGTAAAAGTTTCTGTGATTGCTTCCAGTGAACTGTCGAGTTAGAAAGTTACCGTAGGAAGTTAAATTTTAGCGAAATCCGAAAATTACCTCTCACTGCACAGCCTTCATTTTCTCTTCATTCATCGAATCATTTATTTTCTTCGTTCCTCAGCTCAGGGTGTGAAAACCTGCAAAAGGGATTCAGATGATTTCGCGTCGTGTCTGAGACTGGCTATTCAAGAAGCATGGCCCACGTTCATCGAAGGTACGTCATTATTTAATTTTTTCACATAGAAATATGGAAATTGTAAACAAATAATGTAGTAATCAAACGAGGTCTCTTTCCAAACTCGTCACAACCCAATAAGCACAATATTTTTCTTTTAATTAAACTTGTTTCGAACTCGTCCTTGCAACGATCCTTTTTCCATTTCTCTCTTGAATCATATTAAATCAAGACCGATTGCATAAAACATGATAAATAAATACTTTGTAACGTTCACCATTGTTAAGGATCTTTTTTATAATATCCGTGCTAAATCAGGCAATGGGTCATCGTTGTTTTTCTCGTTTCCATGATCTCACGATGATAAACTTTTTCGCCTCGAATTTGGCACCTCCGAAGTTTGTAAATCTTGCCGTGGTTTCTTAATTTCCCGTTTCAAATCATAAACATTCGCCGTTCACTTTGCGAATAGTTGCTGTTTTTTATTCCTTGCCCAGACATTCGAACGTTTTCGAGACCCGATGACGTGTCACGAATGCAAGTTCTCTAATTAATTTTATTTTTCGATTAGAAATTAACTAGATATCTTATTTTCGTATCGCGTCATTTCGAGAACTTTGATCGTGCTAATATTAAATATTTGCATAAAAGTGTTTACAAATTTTTGGCCATTTTCTCCAATATCTTTTTTTTTTTTAACCAGCTACTCGAATGCAAAACAATTCTTCGCTATGTTCGTGAATAATAATTTACTTTTTATAAATTTTGCAAATTAAAGGATTGCCAGATTTCGACATTCCACCGTTGGATCCCTATTACGTGGATTCCTATTCGACTGAGTACAAAAATGGCCAATTACGAGGAAAATTATCAGGTACCGATGTCAGGACGTACGGTCTTGCGAAAGCACGCTTCTTATCCGTGCAACCGGAAATGACCGACGACTTCTTCCGGCTGGAAATCGATCTCGAATTGCCGAAGCTCCTGCTCGATGGCAATTACGAGGGTGAAGGTTCATTGGATACCTTCAAATTCGGTGGCCAAGGTATAATTGAATAAACATTCATTTAAACAAAATTAGAAACATCTTCTTGCAATTTTAACACGAAAGATGCCCAGCTTATTAAATTTCTCATCAACAGGATTCTTCAATATGAGCATGGAGGACGTAAGGTGCTCGTGGGATATCACAGGACACGTTGTCAACGACCGATGGGTCATCGAACACTTCAGATTGCTCCCAAAAATAGGAAAAATGAGAGTCTATTTCAGTGATCTGTTCCATGGAAACGAGCAACTAAGTAAGTTTTAAAATAAATACCAAGAGATATATAAAAATTCTTTGCTAGACGCACCTGGTGCGTCACTACTAAAGTAAATCACTCATTAAAGAATCACTGTAAGAATCGATATGTAACAATAGAAATTACAAATAGTAATTTTTTTATCGCTATGGAGAATGAGTCGGTATAATAAGCGACGCACCAGGTGCGTCATCAATTGCATTCGATTTCACAGAAATATTCTGTGAAAAATAATTTAAAGAATCACTGTAAGGATCGATATGTATTATAATAACAGAAATTACAAATAGTAATTTTTTTATCGCTATGAAAAATGACGGTATAATAAGCGACGCAGCAGGTGCGTCATCAATTGTATTCGATTTTACACGAATATTCTGTGAAAAATAATTTAAAGAATCACTGTAAGGATCGATATGTATTATAATAACAGAAAACAGTAATTCTTTGATCGCTATGGAGAATGACTGTATAATAAGCGACGCACCAGGTGCGTCATTAGGTGCATCGAACAGATTACGTATACGGCGTGAAAGATTACGACTGAATGATTGCCATAAATGACGATATGACATAATACGAAGCAGGAACAGTAATTTACTGTTTACTTAAGGTAATCACCAGGAATTGACACGATACTGTCATTAGTCGAACAACATCGTTCTGGCATCCTATTATTACATAATATCGACGTATACGAATGGGTAGTAGAGTTACAGGGATTTCAAGAAAATCCTGTGCCATTTAATTAACGTGAAATAGCTGTTATTTGTTGTTGGGGCTTTTGTCCCTGTAACATCGTTCATTTTTCATATCGTAACACTGATGGACTATTATGCGAGCTGTGACTTAACATGGATTCTTCGATGATTCAATATTTACCTGTTTATTTTATTTTCTTAAGGCTTTGCGTTATTGAGAGTAAAGTACGATGGATTTTATTTATTCAGAATCTGAATTTAATAAAATTGTTATTTTCAGATCGCGCTGCTCTGATCTTCATCAACGAATACTGGCCACTGATTTTCCGTGGAATGTTGCCCAAAATGATGGACCTGTGGGACGAATTCTTAACCGAATTCACCAATCGTTTCTTCTCGAGAATACCATTTTCGACGGTATTCCCTTGAATCAGTCGATTCATAGTTGCAAAATAATGAAAAGTAAGCTGAAGAAGGTATCGTGGGAAGTTTGAGGGATCATTGAGTCTGAAGAAGATGAAACAGCTGGGAAGAGAGAAGCGAAGATGGTTTAATTAATGTTAAATATTCTGGAGACACTTTGTAAAATTTGTTTAACATTTTAAAGCGTGCTCTTCCAGCACCTCTTTTATTTTTTTTATTTTATTTTAACGATGGATATTGCACGCTGTTGAAACAGCAATTTATTGTTTTTGTTATTGGACGAAGTCTGAATGATGTAAATAAATAGAAAATTAATGATGTATTTCCTTAAGTCTGCTACATTAATTACATTTTCTTAATCCTCTTAATGTGTACCCAAAGTTATTATTCATTGGTGTGTCCTAACTCTATTTACAACTTAGCTTGTACTAATTTTCATTTTGTAAAAAAAAAAAAATAATCGAAGTGGTTAATGGCCAGAGAGAAGAAGTACGTTTAAGGTAACAAAAATACTTCAACTGGTACGTGACGTAACAATTGATTGACGATACCAGCGAAAAGCGCAGACAACTTCTTTTTCAGCTGAGGTTCCATCACCTTTAACACTTCCTGCCCGTTCTCGCGGAGGAACAGATTGGTCGCTTCGGCTATAAATTATAATTATCTCGTTAAATAAAGATTGAATTGTACTTATCAGACATCAATGGGAAAAATCTGAAATAATCAATAATAAAAATTCAGCTAATTAAATTCTAATTAAGATACTCACTGAGAATTCGATTATTATTGAAAATCTTGCGAACCCTCATCTGCACGTGTTTAACAACCAATTCAACGTCGAGATTCTCAACATTCAGATACGTCTGCTCGTCCTTCACTTTTGTCGAAACGGTGCCTTTGACTAAAGCCTTCACGTCATCGAATTTCGCATGAAACGTTCCGTTTCCACTGGCTGGGAGGATGATCAGCACCCCCGAGCTGTTAAATTAAATAAAATATTTGTTAAAAGGATATAGAATATTTAATTTTGTATTCTTTCAATTCTAAACCTGGAATAATGGGCGTCCAAAATAAGGGCTGGCATTCGTACGACAGCTTCGAAGGGTGAACCGAGTTTAATGTCCTCTACAGTGTAGTTACTCGCTCCCTTTACGTATAATTCGCGCAGTTGAACCTTGTAACCGTTTATACCACCTGTCAGGGAGAGAGTTAGCTCGTCCATCTGTTGAAAATAAGCGCAAAGTATATGAAACAAGGTGCACATCTAAAAAAAAACATAGATTTTAGATAACTTGGTCCTTCATTTGTAAGCTACAAAAATTTCTTTCTACGATTTTAATTAATTTACCATTTTATTATAACAGGATATTATGGAGTGTTATAAGCGCATAGTATATGAAATATGGTGCACTTCCAAAAAGAAAAACATAGATTTTAGATAACTTGGTCCTTCATTTGTAAGCTACAAAAATTTCTTTCTAAGATTTTAATTAATTTACCATTTTATTATAACAGGATATTATGGAGTGTTATAAGCGCATAGTATATGAAACAAGGTGCATTTCTAAAAAGAAAAATATAGATTTTAGATAACTTGGTCCTTCATTTGTAGGCTACAAAAATTTCTTTCTAAGATTTTAATTAATTTACCATTTTATTATAACAGGATATTATGGAGTGTTATCGAACGGAGTTCTATAGGCATAACATTGATTGGAAAGTTTGATAAGCAAAGTACTTACAGGAACAACATAATTCTATTAACGAGACAGGAAGTATTAAAGGTATAATGTCGAGCTTACGCGGAACGGTTCGACGGAAGGCAGCTCAATTTCCGGTATACCAACGCTTAAATACGGTCTCAGATGGTGCAGGGCATCGATCAGGCAAGCTTTCAACTTTGGGTCGCTTCTCGAACATTGTTTCACGTATTCAGCTGCAATTGAAACATTGAATAATTAAACAGCGTGAAAAAAAAAAAAAAAGAAAATGGAGAGTATTAATAAGCATAGGTCGAAGTGAAGCAAGCGAAAAATGCCAGTTGCCAGACAACCTATCATTTCTAACAGTATATTGTGAAATTCGAAGTTTCCGAAGGATATTTGCACGACTGACCTCTTTAGATTTATATAACGTTTTCAACATTCTCTAACATAGGCATCTTGTTTTTATTTTCTAACTATGTTTTATTTCACGTCGAAGATCACTTCCAATTTCGTTTATTTATTATAATTTTAAAAATGAAAAGAAATTAATTTTATATAGAGTGGAAGATAGAAGTTTCAAAAATTTATAACAAATTAAGGCCGTTTTCTAATTTACAACATAGCTATCCAATTTATGAAACTTTCACTCTGTTTTCTATAAACTTGACTCTGAAAGTGTTCACGCATCCAATCGGGTACCTTAAAGTAAGAGGACCGATAGCCAAAAATTCGAGTTACTCACGATTCGAATCAACAGAGAGAGTAGTCACTCCACTAAGGATCAATAGAAGACAGAACCAACTTGTTTCGAACATGATTCGATTCGGTCGAATAAAAATCTGATGGCGTTAGTTTCGATTGATTTTCAAATGTCTTCACTGGATAAGTTCGAAATCGAAACTACACAGCTAGAAGAGTTAGACTGACTATGCAAGAGGGCATTGACAGATGCCAGATCGTAACTGCACTCGGATACTTTCACTGCTGCAAGGTGCACCTGCGCCTTCATCGTCTGGGACGATAGACGAGTCTCGGCTAGGCCATTTTAGACCCGGTCGAAAGTATCCTAGATACTCTTCGATCTTTCCCTATCTCTGTGCATCGACAACCGGACTATTCGGGGTACAGTGGTCCACGAGACGTTCTTATCTTTCATTTTAATTAATTAGAAAAATTAACAAAAAAATTTGTATGCCAACACCTATTATTTAATTATTGAAAAGTGGAGTTGATGATCTATTTAGAACAATTTTGGAAAATTGATAATTAGAAAAATTAATAAAAAAATGTTGATGTGCCAACACCTATTATTTAATTATTGAAAAGTGGAGTTGATGATCTATTTAGAACAATTAAATTATCAATTTTAGAAAATTGATAATTAGAAAAATTAACAAAAAAATTTTTATGTGCCAACACTTATTATTTAATTATTGTAAAGTAGAGTTGATGATCAATTTAGAATAATTAAATTACCAATTTTCTTATTCTTTTGATTTTATTTTGAAGTTTTTATTATATTTTTATGAAAGTTGTAAAAATTTAATTTTGATTAGTATGTTATTAATTAGAATTATGAATGGATTGTGAAAGGTCTTCCATCATTTATACACTGCTGTATATCTGGTCATCTGTCGAAAGGCGTATAAAGATTCAGAATCATTCATAAATGCACTTCAATATTTTAAATGTTGAAAATGTTCACACTAGTATTCAAGATACCTTTCCAAGAATTTTAGAATGGATATCAAGGATTTATATAAAAAACTTGTACTCTATATATTTACCTGCGTGCATAAAATTTCATAATAAAATTTATCAAAATGCAATATCGTACAATTCTGTGCATTACATAAGTAACTTTCGCTTACGCAAATGTTACGTGTTTTCTTTAACTTTACAACACCTGCAAAATAAGATACAATCAAGTAAATTCCATATTCCTTAGAAAAATTATTGTTCCAACTCTTGAAGTACATCTATGCACTCTGTTAAAATAGATTCAATAACAAATTAAATGACGTGATTGATAAAAATTCAGACTTTGAACTGAAACAATAATTCATGTAAATTGTTCGCCTTCTACGTTAAGTGCAATTAAGGTTTTGTAGTGCGCACTTCTAAGAAAGCTATTTAAATCTTCTGTGTCTTTGATATGAAAACAAATTTATATTACACAAGATTCAATATCTGAACTTAATTTTCTAAATTAAAATTTAGCACTTAATTAATTACCTTCTTTAATTAAAATGCCTCATTTACTATTTTGCTATTTATTTGTAGAATTTCAATTGGCCTTTGTTTTCACTAAAATGAATCATCGAGTTTATATTCATTTGTTCCAATGTCCTCGCCAATTACACAAAAATCCTTTGTAAATGACAAACCTTTCTTCCGCGAACGAGCAGAAAACGCAATGTTCCTTATCATCCGACAGAAAATAAAGCAAGGAGAACATTGTATAGGAACGTTCCACAGAGCGAAATAGTTTTATTTTAATCAAGCTGGTTTCACGAGAAGGTAATCTCCCCCATGTTCCTCTCATATTATGTAAGCTCGATCGAAAATCCTGGCACAGAAACGCAACTCGGTTAATGGTTCTCTCAGATGTATAGTGGAGAGTGAAAGCGTAAGCATCGTTCGCGTGTTGCTGGAATTACGCCCCTCGTGTTCATCGAACGTGTTAGAAGCCGAGTAGATAATAAAAATTTTATTCGATTATTAACAGTGGTTGTTAGAATCAGAAATGCGATCAACCTTTGCTCTCTTTCTGTTCTTTATTTGCGGCAGTTTCGCCGCGGAATTCGGTGAGTAAATGGCACCTGAGGAAATTTATTTTTGGGGTAATTATGGTATTGAAAGAGACTATAATTGTTTATTACTATTTTTTTTTATTTTGATATAGCGTTGATATTGGGAAAGGTAAAGTGACGTACGTAAGTAGAATGTTGGTATGGTAATTATTAGAGCAATGAAGGTGAGTGGTATGTTGATATATTAATGAATAAGGCGAGGAATGCTGATGTGTTGATAGTTAAAATGATATTTCTGAGTAGAATGTTGATAGTTGAAATGGCCTAGGTGAGTAGAATGTGAACATAGTAATAATTAAGTTAAGTAGACTATTGATAAGAATGGCACCTAAGGAAATTTATTTTTGGGGTATTTATGGTGTTCATATGGTATTGAAAGGGACTATAATTATTTATTACTATTTTTTTTTAAATATAGTGTTGATAGTGGGAGAGGTAAAGGTGATGTGAAAGTATGTGAGTAGAATGTTGGTATGGTAATTATTAGAGCAATGAAAATGAGTGGTATGTTGATATATTAATGCGAGGATTGATGATAATAAGGCGAGGAATGGTGATGTGTTGATAGTTAAAATGATAGTTAAAATGATAACATACTAATAATTAAGTTAACATTGCTGAGTAGACTATTGATATGTAACGTTAATGATTATGGTGAGTAGCCTGTTAATGAATTAAGAACCAAAGCAATGTAATTAAGTAGACTGTTGACAATGTTAATAACAGAGGTGGTGAGTATAATTAACTTTGTAAATATGCTCTGAATGTCTCCTATCTTTCACGTAACATCTTAGCATGTTACGCGATCGAAAGTTTCGACAGATTCTTGTCAAAATATTACCACGATATTCGGCAACGTTAACTTTCACCGTGTTCGACCCTAATTCATTTGCATCTCACCGAAATTTATCGAAAACATTTGCATAAATTAATCGAGGTTCATTGATACATAGCGATAGTAACAATGTAACTCGAACAATGTAAAAGGATGGTGCAACGCAATAGAATGTGAATTATGCAAGCGAATAGTTCTCAAGGAATGCAAGAGGATGGTATAAAGAAAGAGACAGAAAGTTGCAGCATGTAATGTTAATTAATCGTCAAACTTGTTCATTTTCTCACTGTATATTCCCATACGCTGCAATGATGTAAAAAAAGGTACTGTTTCTAAAGAAATTGCGATTACTATGGAATGGGGTGATGATATTAATCAGCAAAAAACAAAGTAGACTGGTAAATTGGAATTTTTTAAAAATAAAAAAATTCATTTAATAATATGTGTTTTTACCATTAAGTGTTTTCAATAAAATACCACAAAAAGGTTTCCATAGCTCGAAGGCTTTTAAAAGTACGAATCCTTGAAACTTTCACAATCCTTACTTTTTTCAATATTTTGTATTCCAAAAAATAACATCAGAGATTAATAAATTATTTCTCTTTGTCTTTTCAGAGGATCATTTCAAGGATTGCCATCCAAACGTGCCAGGATTCGACTCCTGCATAAGAGAAGCATTAAACGCGATTCGACCGTACTTCAAAACAGGACTTCCAAAATATAATGTCCTGCCGTTTGATCCATTTTTCGCGAGGGAGGTGTCTGTGACAAGGGGAATGCCAAGTTTTGGCTTCACTATTACACTGAAAAACGTCACCGAGAGCGGATGGACTGCTAGCAAAGTGACGAAATTCGTTAGTGACTTGCCAAATTACAAGGTGATAGCTTTACTTCTTCTGTTTGTACAGATAATTAGGAACAATGATTCTTACAGCTATTGTGAATCTCGATTTTTTTAGACCTACCACCTTTGTTAAATTATTATTCAATTTCAGGTTGTATATACCCAGAGTTTCCCAGCAAAATTTCTGGCAGGTTCGTACGAATTTAAAGGAAACATGTTTGGCTCCAGTGTGAGCAACAAAGGGAAATTCACTTTGGCTCTTTGTAAGTAAGATTAAATATTAATTTATGCTTTAAATCCTTCCAAATCCTCTTACATCGCAAAATAGCAATCCTTGCTTTAATCCTTTCATTTTGAATGTTTTGAATATTTTAATCCTTTCATTTCAGACGATCTCGTCCAGACAACCACCGTCACCAGAAGACCAGGTCAAAAAATAAAAGTCAGCGTGGACGTGCAAACGATTCGGGATCTGAAGCTTCACATAACAAATTTATTGTTTGGCCGACAAATTCTCGAGGATATCCTCGACAGGATAATAAACGAAGCCTGGCAACCAGGATTCGTGGTGACTAGACGTCTGATAAACGATCTCGTTTCTACCGGGTTCACAGAGATCTTTGGAAACGCATTTCGCAATTTTCCATTCGAGAAAATCATCAAACCAAAGCCCGATGCTAGTTAAAGAACGAGTTCATAATTATTTAAAGAAATAAGTTGGAAGATAGAAATTCACAGCAAATAGAGAAAACTATCTTCGATTATTTCGAATATATTTAGATTAGAATAATACATTTAGGAGATGGACTTCGCAAGGAAGATCTTGTGATCTAAACAATCAAAGGAAACCAAGGAATTCTAATTTTTCATATTTTACAGCTGCACAGAGATAAGTGCATTCTGTGGTTAAACAATACTCATAAGTTTTCTCTCGGTAAAACTTTTCTTAGCCGTTAGTTCAATTACCTTTTCTTTGTCAGGCAATCTACGTTCAAGGATCCGTCGAGAGCTTGTCAGAATTGGCGATCTTCAGTTGTTACCGTAGGGAATACTAGCAGGGAACATAGGGCTTTCCTCTTCTCTTGTCAAGATAGCTGTTCGCCTTGAGAAGTTGACGGTCCCTGACCTCGCATTCTTATGGTGCACGCATCCTCAAGACGATTCTCATCGACTATTATCAATAATTTCCATTGAAACGAACGATGTATCTGAAGATAACGGAGCGTTCGAACAATTCCATCAGGAATCGTTAATGAATTCTTTACCCGTGTGAACGAAAGTAGTACGGTTCGATCCGCCTCATCGCGATCGATCATGACCGATTTCGATCGTCATCCTCTGTTACGGTGCTTATTAACGGTGCTTAACATTCTTTCCTCTAAGCACCACATCCGTCGCGTCTATGCTCTATGTTCCCTTAGTTGAAATTTTTATTAAAAATCGTTAATTAGTAATTTATTGATCAACGTTATAATTCATTATAATTTGTCAAATGATTATTTTAGAGAATATACCATAAAACAATTTATAGTATAATTGTAGATATAATAAGAAATGTAAGATACAGAGGTGCCAGATACCCGGAATTAACCCATTATCCGCCAATGTCCCATTTTTGGGACACATTTTCAAATTTTTTTCTTTTAAAAATTATTAGTTATTAAAAGAAAAAGATTATCTGCCAATGTCCTATTTTTCGGACACATTTTAAAATTGTTTTCTTTTAAAAATTAGTAAAGTTATTAAAAGAAAAAAACTATCCGCCAATGTCCCATTTTTGGAACACATTTTCAATTGTTTTTCTTTTAAAAATTATTAAAGTTATTAAAAGAAAAAAATTTGAAAATCTGTCCCAAAAATGGGACATTGGCGGATAATGGGTTAATAACAGCGATCTTGCACAGCAGTGCGCGCATTGAAATCACCGGAGTTCGTGTACCTTCGAATTCGGAGGCATTGAAATCACCGAGAGCGTTACTGTTTTACCGATAGAGATTCTAAGATATATTTTATCTTCTTTTTATCGACTCAGTTTATAAAACTTTCGTTACTCCTTTTTTTACTAAATAATTTGTACAACTTAAATTTGTAAAATAATTACGAATCTTTTTGTATTTAAAAAAAATACCAAACATTCTTAACATTGAACCCTTAAAAAGATTTCCTTAAAAATCGTAAACGAAATTCCTTATCCCGTCTCTGTTTACAAAACACCCTGGCACAATTGTCGAAAGAAGAAATTATATAATACGATGCTTTTGGAAAGTAATAGTAGCAGTGTCGAAGAAAGTCCTTGGGGTAGGGACAGTCAAGATCTGCCGTAGCTGGGATTCTATCCTGTCCTCGAACAGTGGAAGCCGAGGAAGGCATAGCGGGGGCAATGTCAAGGTGCTATAAGGCTTGGCTCATCCCTGTTCGTCGGTCATTCCACGCGGAGAAATTCGATCGAGTTGCTCGGTAACGTCGACAGAAATAGAATCAATCACGATGACCACTAGACTGATCGGTTTGTTATTGTGCTCGTGTTCGTTGTTAATTAATGTACAAGCAATCGGCAGGTACAGGGGTTTAGAGTTTTTGGAACCTTGCTCGAGGAGGGACCAAAATGTGGAGAGCTGTTTAGCGAGGTCGGTCAATGTCCTCACTGAACACTTCCGTCATGGTGAGATTCAAATCATTCCTTCTTCTTTTAATTAAACACTGCTTTTCAGCGCTGAATTTTTTCTTATTTGATAAACCGGTTAATTATTCATTAATCAAAAATTTCCAAAATTTTAACATAACACGTTACAAAATTTCTATTTTCCTATTCGTGAAGAAATCGTGGTCTCATTTTCGAAAAGTAAGAAAAGCAAGAAAGATACGGATGTCGAGAATAACAGATCTCTGAGAGCACGTGGTGTCGTAGGGAAAAAAGGAAAAGAAAATTTTCTTATTTGATGAACCGGTTAATTAATCATTAATCAAAAATTTCCAAAATTTTAACATAACGCGTTACAAAATTTCTATTTTCCTATTTGCGAAGAACTCGTGGTCTCATTTTCGAAAAGTAAGAAAAGCAAGAAAGATACGGATGTCGAGAATAACAGATCTCTGAGAGCACGTGGTGTCGTAGGGAAAAAAGGAAAAGAAAACGTTGGCGGTAAAGAAGCAGGTTATAACGGTGTATTCGAATGGTCACCCAGTGTCCTACATTCTTCTCCCTCTACAGACGTCATGGAAATAGGTTCGACGTGCTGACGTAGATTGAATAAAAGATCATTTAAATTCATTGTTAAATACTTTTTCACTGAACGGTATAAAGAAACATCATTTTTGATAAATAGGTCCCTCTCCTTTCACCTGTGCAAAGATAGTTCACCTGTGTTAAATGAACTTTATCTAAAAAAAAAGTGGAGGACTTTCTATGCGGGTGCTTGTAAAAGCATTTCAATTTGCATGCAATTGAAATGAACCATTTCAATTTTTTATCATAGGTTTACCTCAATTGGGCTACCCTGAAGTGGAGCCCATTATTTTGGACGAGCTCCACATATCTGTCGGGGGTGGACCGGAAGGATACAGAGCTCAATTCAAAAATATCACTGCTAGAGGTGTATCTTCCCTAAGAATAACTGGACTGAGGACCAGGATATCAGAGGACGAAGTTCAATTGCAATTAGCACTAAGTATACCGAAAATCAGAGCTGCTGCAAAATACAGATCCAGTGGGACTCTGCTTTTGGTGAAAGCCAGTGGGGCTGGAGATTATTGGGGCGAATATGGTAAGAATGGATGATTTCTTAATCCAGTGTCGCGTATTTTAACCCTCGAACGAGGAGAATCGGGTCAATCGTGACCCAGACCTACGAATACCATAGTGTATCATAGTAATGTCTTCGTTGAATGAAACTAGGTTACTGGAAGGATTAAAGTATCAATTAATGGGATTCGAAAGGCTGGGTATCGTGACTGTCGGCGGGCAAATTATAATTTGAAAGATAGTTGTAATAGAGAATCGTCCAGTGAAAAGGCGTCGAGTAAAAGTTGCCGACTTTCACCCGCCGACGCAATGCAAATTTGTATTTAGCTGAATTTTATACACATTTCGTTTCGTCGAATCGACGAAAATGTACTGGAAATTTCTGAAACTAATTAGCGAGATAATACCCTGTCTCGATATTGTAAAAATTCGATCTGTCTTAAAGAGAACATGAAATTTCAAGGTTTGTCTTTATCCAGTTCACTTGTGAGAAACGTGTTGTTATTACCATGTGAATGGTACCATTGACCTGAAATCCATTCGCCTTGCAGAATGCAACCAGTTCGGTGCAGCTGCATCTCTCAGTGTCAAATGCATCAAGTGCATTTAAGCATTAATCTTTCTGAATCTCATCTTTCTTCGTTTGATTGTTCCATTTCTTTATAGAGAGTGTTAAGGCGAAGGTATTCATCAGGGCAAGACCATTCTCCTACCAAGGACGAGATTATTTAAGGTTGCAACAACTGAAAATGGACTTCAGCGTGCAGAATATCAAAATGGGCGTGGAAAATATCCGCGACAGCAACGCTATAATTAGTGAGTCAATTTCTCGAATAATTTCATTTCCGAGTGGCCAATCCTTTGGAATTCTTTGGAAATTTTTAAATAAATTATGCAAAGAATTCGTGAATTTAAAAAAAACAAAAAAAAAATTGGAGGATGGGCAGAAGTTTAACTGCTTCGAAGAAAAAACTTGGCCGATGTTTAAATTTAAATTTTCCTATTCTGAATTGAGAATTAAATACTTTTTTTTACCTCCTATTGCTTTTGAAACTTCCTTCTCAATACGAGGAACTATCATATGGAAAAAAACATCTAAATTATTGAGAGATTTATGCAAATTGCAACATTATTAATGGAAGATTACACTACAGCTACTTTGAACAGTGAATGATTTAAAAGTGTAATTTACCAACGATTAAGTTTAATGACACTTCTTTTTTTTTCACATTTTCAGTCGCCGCACTGAATCTGTTCATTAACACAAACAGCCAGGAGTTGTTGAAAGAGATGAAACCGGATCTCCGAAGGAAATTAGTCCAAGTAATGTCGACCTTTGTTGAGAAGATTTTTGCTCAAGTACCATACGATGCATGGCTCACCGATTAAAACGAAGAAAATAATGTTCACCGTGTCGCTGTTAAACCGTTGCCTTGAAATCAAGGATGAAAAAATTTCATTTCCGTGAAGAAGAAAAATTCTTACTCAGATAATGATTGAACGAAGGTTCGTTACGTGCAAAAATTCATTTATCCAATAATTAATTACTCGAATGAGCACGTTTAATTATCAGTGACGTAGGATAATTTGATATAATTTTGTTAAATGTGTGAAAATTTTCATGTAATTTACAGTATGTAGTATTATTATTAATACGTCAAGTGTTCTTTTTCTTTAATTTGTTATTTTAGTGTTATGGATGTAAAGTGTCACGTTGAATGTATGCTTTAAATTATTGCACGTATATATTGTTAAATTATACTATTTAATGTTTTTAAGAGTACTTATGGATAATTGTATCATTATGACTAATTGAAGAGTGCAAATGGAGGAAGTTATAATTGTTATTGCTTAGATTTTTAACTGTTTCAAAAAAGTATCATTTTGAATGATTATAGCTTTTTTATTTCCACTTTTCAATTTATAACTGTTGAATAATAGTTTATATTGGCGTTTAAAAATTATGTTATATACTATGTATGTACCACTTTTTAATTTTTTTTACGTATTTATCATAGGAAAGAATAAATATTATAAATATTATGAAATAAAATGTGAAATTCTTTCTCTAAATACCTTCTGTGCCTTGGCATTCGTAAAAGATGAATTAAACATTTCAATTGGTACATACCATAGGAAAATACACCCATCATTTATGAATTATTCATTGAAAAAGTTATTTTAATATAATCTGATCCAGAAACATCTTTAAGGGCAGTATATTTGAAAAATATTGAATAGCAATAAAGCACGTGATCATTTAAAACTTAATTATCCATTAATCATTAGAGTTGAGTATATAATAAGGAAACATTCTAAGATTTATAAGAAAGCGGAAACTATAACGAAAGAAAATTGAATAAATTTCTGCAATTCTATTTCGAAATCAATGAATAGAGTTCTGATGTTCAAGACCTTTGATGTTCTAAAAATTGTGTTCTCCTTTATATTAATATTATTCGAATACTTGCATCGCAAATGTTTTCTGCTTATTCCAAAAAATAAATTATTCATATCGCAATTCTTCCAACAGGTTATCAATAGAATACACGATCGATTGATTCAACGTTAATTCCTAATTACCTTTAACAAGAAATATGACTAGGAAATTAGACTGGAAGGAAAACCCCTCTAAATAGAAGCAGCATGAAGAATAATTAATCATCTAGTGGCTTGAAATTTCCGGAGACTTCAAGATGATTTCAATTGTCTGATGTTTGATATGTTTGGACTGAATAATTCACGAAAATGATGGATCATATAATCTAATTGCTATTGCATAATAATACAAAAGAATTAGACGAACTTTGCATCTATCATTAGAAAATTAATTTTATTTCACGATATAATTGAGTTTCTCTCAAAATTCTTGTTAAATAATTTTCCCAGCTTGGAAACAGGAACAGGTGTAATTTCATTGATTTCCAAGAAACTTTTAATTATTCAAAGCACTGCTATAATTTTAGGAGGGAAACATTAAAATATCAATTATTTAATTAGCAAACTTGCACCATCAATTTCTAATTATTAACACAGACTTTTAATTAAAGCCTAACATAACTGGAAGGTTAATTGGAGGTTTCAATTAATATTGGAAAATTTAATTCAGTAAAATAATTTTACTGGAAATTTTTCATCAGCTTGTCATTCCAGTTTCGTAAGGAACAAAAGTTCATACTTTAATATTTCATTTTACTGGAATCGTGTAAACAAGAGGGAACATTAAACGTGACTCGATTTCCAATTTTTAATATTAACTTCTCAGACTGATTCCGTTATGCTTTCGTTTCGCAAACGTTACACAATCTGTTGTTGTTTCTTAAAAATTATTCTAACAGTTTATCATAATAAAATATTATGTTTAATTCTGAATATAGAAAATTCTTTATTGTCTTCAATATGGGATTGCACGATCTTCTATGGTCCTGTACTAATTATGATAATTAAATAAATTCACAGTACTTCGAAAATTAATTTAATTATCACATTTCCATAGCTACTTGTATTTTCAAAAATTACAAGCGAGCGAGATACACGTGATTCCAGAAAAAGCTACCGACGTATCATTACAGGAGCTCGGATTTATTTTCTTAAGGAAGCTGGGTCAGTTTTAAGTACACTGTTTGAAGTACGTATAAACAACATTCTTGTTAATCCAATAAAAACATATTCAATAATTCATGCTTCGAAACACATGGTTCAGAACACTGGTATTCCTTGAATTTATTTTTCACTCGTCGTTCAATTTAAACCAAACGCTTTTTATATCCTGCTCCCGACAATTTCTATTTAAATAAAAAATATTAAAAAGGTTTCATTCTACATTTTTTCTATATTATTTCCCCTATCACAGATTCGTCTCTTTCAACGCGATGAATTTTAACAGAAAAGGTCGAGGAGGTCGTAAGAATCGCGACATCATCGCGGTGATGCATTCAAAGAAGCGAATCGCGTTTTAAAGCTGGAAGAATCATCTTGATTCTAATATTCCAATCGCGTATTGTCTCTTTTTTCCAAGAAAAAACACGAGCAGCCGTACGAAAAACCAGCCAACGTTTCGGTGGCTTCGTCGAAGGACAGGGTCAAGGTACCGAAATTCTTTCCGTTTCATTAATTTACCTGTTTACGACTTCCACGACGGTTTTTTGAAATATTCTAACGGTATCGTTTTACTGACAATTAATTTGTTAATTTAAAGTGTGATAAAAGGTGAACGAAAGGGGGTTAATTTAAATCCTTTAAGAAACCCACCCCGATATAATTAGTTTCTGCAAAATTAATTTTCTTCCATTTCCATGAAACATAGTATAATTTTTAATATAATCAACGACCGGTGTGTAAATTTCAGTTACTCTGAAACACGTTTAAGTATAAATTTCCATTTAAAGGTACTATTTTGGATAGAAACATCTACGGTCAATGAACGTAAAACGTGTCATGGATCACGTACTGGAGATACTCAAAATTCCTCTTAAGTCGTCCCTGTATTCGCACGTAACAATGCTCAATTAAAATACTCCTTAACCGATTAATAAACAAATTTTCTTTTTCAAACTTTCCATCAACAGAAGAAATTATGTTGCAAATAATACGTTCTTTCTTATATTCGAAAATTGATTGATTAACATTTAAGGAAATTTTATAATCTCTGCGGGTATGCAAATGGAATAATCAAGTGGAAAAAATTCATAACTTATTCATACAATTGACCATTCACAATATACCTCAAAGAAGACGAAATTCAAATTGTACAAATAATTTTAACGAAATGTAATATTGAGTGTTACTCGAATCGGTGCTTAATATCAGAAAGCACCGTGAAACGTCCAATTAACGAGTAAGTACGTCATCGTTGTGTGCTCAAGGTTCAAGATCAACGTACAAATCCCTTTTACACCAAACAACATGAAACAGCAATTAAAGCAGTTCGCAGACCTTCGAGTTATTCTCTACATACGCGTTGGTCGTGAACCTCCATACGTGCTCAACATTCATAATTTATTCTCAAGTATGGAACTAACATACAGCCGTTCATTAACACGTTCCATCACGGTAATAAGGATTAATTTTTCAATTAAATATTGGAACCTTCATATTTATCCTCGAAAAGCACTCAAAAAACTCTTTCTTCAATTTTTAATTATTTTACTGAATGAAATTTTCGAGTATTAATTGAAACCTATAATTATCCTTTTAGCTATGTTTCAGCTCTAATTAACCTTCATATTTTTCCTCGAAAAGCACTCCAAAAAACTCTTTTCTCAATTCTTAATTCTTTTACTGAATTAAATTTTCGAATATTAATTAAAATCTCTAATTAACCCTTCAGCTATGTTAGGATTTAATTAAAAATTTCTGTCAATAATTAGAAATTGATGGTGCAAGTTTGCTAAATAAATAATTGATATTTTAATGTTTCCTTCCTAAAATTATATCCAGTAGTGCTTTCATTAATTAGAAGTTTCTAGGAAATCAATGAAATTACACCTGTTCGTGTTTCCAACAAAAGTTGGAACGTATTAAGCGTTTGCACGAGCACACACACATGCGTTAGCACATGCTCAGAATTCGTGATGGATAATACCTACCTCATCACGTTGATCTGGATGCTCTGGAGCGGGTATCATTGACGAACAACGAGAAACAACCGGCCAGAGGGGGGATAAAGGTAGATCTATAAGGACTTGGGGCTGACCTCCACCGTATTCATTTCAAGTCCAGCCATCTGATCGTTCGTGGGTGACGAAACAACCCTGCAGATCTTTTCCGCCTGTTCGACGAACGTCCGAGATCCTCGTTAATTTCCAATTTTTTCTTTCTAAAGGAAAAGATGAGAAAGATTGTGTTAATAGGACTGGTCGTCGCGACGATCCTTTCTACTACTTTTGCACGTGATTTGCGTAAGTGAAATTCTATTTTATTGCGACAGTGATTTAATAATAAAATTGATTCTCTTTTCATTTGGATCTCTAGCTTTTATAATATATATTATTATTTTTAATTGAAGAATTAATGGGAGTGCGTGGATGTGATTGAAGCAAATCTATTGCACTTTACAGTGATAATTATTTGATAATAAAATTTAGATCTTTGGAGTGTGTAATTTTAAATATAAGAAAACACGTTGCTAGTTAAATTCTTTACTTCCAACTCAAGTTTAATGACAGTGTTATTTTTAAAAAAAGTAGCAGTTTCTTCGTATTTGAATAATTACAAATAATTACAGGCATGTGGAATAATTACCAAAGATTTATCGGAAATTTAGTCTAAGCAAAGTTATGGCAATGATTAATGATTTAGCCATTTGAATATAGAACTGTGATTACTAAGTTTTTATATGTTTACAATGTAACTTGTAACTTTTTTTTTAAAACACACCCACGTGAACTTCCCATGTCTTAAGTATATTAATTATAATAATCCTGTATACTTGTCACAATTCACCTTTGTATAGAATTAATTACTTCTGACATCGACATCATTAATTTTATTAACATACTGTAATAATAAATCATAGACATTCAATGATGACAGCTAGTGATGACGTAATTAAGCTATTAAATATTTAAATATTATTTCGCGACTCCTGTTTCCTGCATTTCAATTTTTCATCTTCTAAAATCTTCCTCTCGAAAAAACACTTAAAATCGATGTTCGTCAAAAAGACTTCATTACAAATTATAATCATTTTTTTTTTAATCAAAGTTCATTGATGTTATTAAAAAATATTTTCTTTCGTCACAGCTGATTTTCTACACGTTTGCAAAAGAAATGATCCAAATCTGGGTGACTGCATCAAGAACAGTGTGGAGAATTTCAAACCACACTTACACTCTGGATTACCAGAATACAATATTCCATCCTTGGAACCATTGTTCCTGAAAGAATTGGTGGCTACTACAGGAGCTAGCATCAGACTAAAGCTGTCGAACATTCGTGTCAATGGTGCCAGCAATTTTGCTGTGACGAGATTGAAGTAAGTTTTAAAAATAATTCCTATTCATTTTATTTAACTGTCATAGAAACAAAATTAATTAAAAAAGAAGGAAAGCAGATATAATTTTAAGAAGTGTTACTATTCATAGTGGGGGGTGAATATTACTACCACAGGGTAGTTGCACTAATTACTATTATAATCATAATTAGAAAATTTTAATTTTTAATTAAAAAATTGAAGGATGTATTTTTTTATTTGCAAGAAGCTACAATTTTTCATTCCTATCACATTGTTCATTATTCATTTCCTGACTCTAAATCAGTAACAAGACTCATTGAGAAATGCAGTGTGCTCCCAGGCAATCATCCAACTCTTTAACGCAATTATTCTCCCTCGTGAGATGAATTTCAGCTATGATCATTGCGAAAGGTTTACGTAACCCGTTTCTTTTTTTTTTCCTAAACACACTGAGTTTTAAAGACAAAAGTCAAGATGGTCATTATGTCAAATTAAACAGAGAGTGACATATTCTACGAGCTCGATGACGAACGATTCGCCTTGAAACAGTGTCCGGAATCAAAAATCGAAACCCGGTCTTCAAGGACCAGCACGAAAGCGAAAATATACTCGAGGACGATCGGATTAACCTCGAATCAAATCAATTCGATCCTATCATCTTTGGTACACGTTTGTTTCAGCTTTAAATTAATATTTAAAAGAAATTATCTTCGATCAGATAAATGAAATTTGCTGATTCGAATATCGAAAGGGATAGTGAATAATTGTAAGAGGATGATTTATAAATATCTAGGTAAATTAATGTAACCATCATGGTAAATAAAAAGATTCACTTTGTTTGTATTCCATGTGCACACCAAGAACCGGCCGTGACACAAACTCTTTTCCAATTGAAAATAATTTGTATGGTGAACGTGATAGACTAACCGAGAAAACATTGGTCTCATGGAAACCATGAAACTGTACAAAGGAACTGATAAATATCAATGATCTATTGATTAATTAAGCACTCGTTTATACTTGCTATTTTTAACATTCCAGATTAGTTGATAAATAATAATTTACTAATTTAATAAAATATCTCCTAGTTAAAAAGTTTTAATTTCTAACTGAAACAAACTCTTTTCCAATTGAAAATAATTTGTATGGTAAACGTGACAGACTAACCGAGAAAACATTGGTCTCGTGGAAACCATGAAACTGTCCAAAGGAACTGATAAATATCCATGATCTATTGATTAATTGCACCCGTTTATACTTGCAATTTTTAACATTCCCAAATTTTTAAATATTCCAGATTAGTTGATAAATAATAATTTACTAATTTAATAAAATATCTCCTAGTTAAAAAATTGTAATTTCTGACTGAAACTTACTAATTTGGTTCACGTTTCACAGGGCCAACGTGGACACTCTTCGTTTTGTCATCGAACTGGATCTCCCAAGGCTCTCCATAAACAGCGACTACGAAGTAGATGGAAAAGTTTTACTGCTACGAATCCAAGGAACAGGACTCCTGAATGGAAACTTCACAGATTGCAAAGCATTGGTGAAGATCCAGGCTGAAGTAACGAAAGGGCAGGACGGTCTGAATTACGTGACGATAGTCGACCTGAAAACAAAAATATCAGTTGGCAGTGGTGATCTGAAGTTAAACAATCTATTCGGTGGCGATCCAGTCTTAGGCGAAGCTGTTAATGGGGCCATCAATAGTAATTTCGATGCCTTCATCGACGAATTGAAACCCGCCCTTGAAAATGGTATTTCTGAAACATTCATCAAAATTGCAAATGGTATTCTATCGCAATTTACATACGAAGTACTTTTCCCACTTTCTTAAAAAATTTCTTTCATTCTGTTGTAAATTGACAATCGACAGAGAGTTTTGTAAAAGATGTTGATGGAAGTGAATATTTTTTAGTCTTCAAGCTTTTGCTTTATAATATTTATCAAAATGAAGAAGAAAATATTTTTGATTAAAAAATTTGATAAAAAATTAAAAAATTCAGAACTGTTTAATTTTTAAGGTATCTTCTTTAAAGTTTCTATTTTATATTTTGTATTATTTGAATATTCGTATGTAATTTTTTAAATAAAGAAGATAGGATGTCATAGACCATCATTGAAATACTCTTTTCTTATTGATATTGTCTTATTATCGTAATTATAATAATGTAATTATAAGGCAAGGGGTTAAAGACCATTGGAATCATATTGAAATTTGAATATGGTTTGATAATTTATACTTTACTCGTGGAATATTTGTTGTAAATATAAACGATGAACAAAATTGGAAAAATGATTGTAGTATATAGTGTAATTGTTTTATACGTATAATTAAGAATGTGTCTTAATTACCGAATTTATATTCATGAAGTTATAATGAATTTAAAAATCCAAAAAGAAATTTTTATAAAAGAATTATGAAATTTTAATCTTTTAATGAAAATGTTTCCTATACTATTAGATCTCAATTTTGTTAATTATGTTAGAGAAAATTCTAATTAGCAATTATTTGCTGAGTAAATGAATTTTTCTATTTTTTTAAAATATTCGATTTTCTTTTAATCTAAAAATTAAAACTTACTCTTTTGTAACATAAACTGATTTGCAATAATCTAATTACTAATTAACTTAGAATTACATTAATTATATTTACCAGAAATCATGTAATGTTACGTGTAACGAGGCAATAATCGTGCCAAATAAAAAGTATTAATTGCGATTGTGAAATCGATTTTACATTTTTCCCAGCGGATGATCTAAATTCCGTAGTATTTTTATTTCATAAAATAGAAACAACGATACAGTGTAAACAAACAATAAAAATATTCTCTAAACATACATAACTTAACAACAAGGAGTACAATTATAACATCATTAAATCTCAAACTTTTAATTAATAGACCAATTAGTTTTTGAATTTGTTAACACGTTCTTTTTACCATAATAATTTTATTCTCGATCCGGAAGCAATTCATCGTAGGTGAAATGCTTGCCGATTTTATTAGCCATACTTAAAACTGTCTCTGAAATGACTTTCTCCAGATTTGGTTTGACAGCATCTAATATTTCTTGACGACTGTTACCCAGAGCCTGGCTGATGGCATCGTGCAGAGAATTATCAAAATTCTCTGCTTCGAATTTCAGATCGTAATTCTTTACGTCCAGATTAGTGGTCATCGATGGGAAAAAGACATACTTTTTGCCTGCATGGTCAACGAGCTTGAAGTTGAGATTCGCTTTCGCAGCCACGTTCTCTGAAAGAATAATAAGAGCCAGAATAATAAATTGCTCTTTGTTCCTATTTTTCATGTTAATTATTTTCTTCTGATCTTACTTGCTACCAGGGAAATCGGTCCTTTTCCAACAATAGGTACCAAAATTTGAGCAGTGATGTTGAAATGTGCATCCAGCTTATTTTCTTCGAAATAAACATCGATGTCTATCTGTTGTTTCTTCAGATCCACGTGCAAGAAATTAACATGGTAAGTCAAAAGACCACGGAGTATGATGTCTGTTGCAGTTGCCTTGAAACTCGGCGTATCAATCAGTTCCACTTTACTCATTTTTAATGGTTCCACAGGTGGAATATCCAGTTCCGGAATTCCATCACGAAGTTTATCGCGTAATGATTTCACACTGTTGATCACACACTCGTCCAATTTTGGATCTTTTCTCCCACATACATGGATGTACGAAGCTGGAAAAATAAGAATTTCAATCGGTAAGTAATTTTCTTCTCCCAATCGATTAGTTGAATTTTTGAAAAGTAGTTTTGCATGATTTATAATTTTTTAAATTTTAACATTGCTTAAACGATACTGCTGTTAATGCTCGTAAAGATTTCACGAGGAGATAACTTTTTCTATTACAGTAGAGTATATGTTAATGAGTAATTAAAAATCCTTGTCATTGGTTGTTGGACAAACACGAGAGATAATAAAATTGTGTTAATGTCAAAAGTAATAAGGAAAATTCACACTTCTCAGAATGTATTCAGTTGTTTGTAAAAGAGAGACGAGAAATATTCTCTTTACAAATTGATAAAATTTTCAAAAAATTTAAAAATCATTTATAATAAATCAGTTAAATTTTCCTGCTCTTCTACATTTCATTTCATATTTTCTTTTGTCTTATATAAAGATTGTTAACGAACAAAAAGAAACTCGTTGAATAAATGATCATTCAGGGTTTCTATTGATGTAAATTTCCTGTTTTTTCAATTGTTTTAATCAATTTAATCCCCTTGAAGAGCGTGAAAATTTTCTTCCGCATTCTATGATCTTATTGATCGTGATCTTCAATGCTTATGTTAATTATTTTATCGCAAATGTCAGTTTCAATACCAATCAGCACCATTTCCACAATATATAATTTAGAATGGGAAATGGACACATAAAAGAGTCTATTGATTTCAATTAAAATGCAAATTTAGCTTTTTTATAAACAAATGATAAATTATGTATTAATAACATATTTCGAGCACTTGAATTGATCAAAGTTAAAGCTTGTTAATAAAATTTTTATCGAAAATTATTTATTATTTTCGAGTCTATTGCCTAATATCTAAAAGATATTAGACACAGTTTAATTAATCAAATTTAATTTATCTATGAGATTTTATAAAAAAAAAATGTACTCACGAACTTCGGCAACTGCCATACCAATGACAGTCATTAAAAATAAAAGTTGATTGGAGAACATCCTTGTTACTTTTTCTCTGTCTGGTTTCCTTTCTCAGATAATCACAAGAGAAGACTAATCACCGACCGATTCACGTCGATGTGCAGAGATCAGAACTGATCGTTGTTCATTCAGGAAGCTCATATATATATAGTCTTCGCGATTCTGATTCATCTAAGTCCGTGATCATGGTCGTACCCTCGTGAAACTTCTTCCCCACCAAAACTCAATTTTCATTGTCGACGAGCAGGTTCCATGAAAATCAAGCCGAACAATACTGTTCTCTTTTCTCTTGTTGCAACAAGCTCTGTTCTTTCCCCTTCATTCAACTCCTGTTTGTTTCTCTTTTTTAATTTACATAAATCTAGTTTATGAGGGGTAGTTTTTGAGAAGTGGGGAGGAAAATTTGTGCATTCAATATTACGTTAAAAATGAAAAAAAAAAGGTATTCAAATTTTCAACCTAATTATTATACTTTAGCAGTATGGTTTTTTCAAAATTAAAAATTTATATTTTGCGTAAGCTCTTGAAGAATTCAAAAATTTCTTAATTTTTAGAATAATTTAATTTGGAAAAAAGATGGAATTTACCTGCTAAAGTAATTTGCATTTCTCAAAAATAAAATCTATGATTTTTCAGACCATTGGCTAAGCATTCTTTTTTTTTTTAAATTTATTAATTAAGAATAAAAATGTCTAATGGAAGATATGTTTAAAAAAGAAAATTAGTTCATTGTTTCTCTTCGTTTTCAATTCTCCTGACGTCACTGGAGTACATACGAAGGACGATTATTTTCGTGGGTTTGGAAACTTTTTTCAGCAATTATGCACGCCTTTCGACTTCCTTGTGCCGAGAAGACAGACGATCGTATTCAGGACACGTCATTCAGGATACAGAAATCGCTTTTTGCGATTCAAACGATGGGATGGAGGAACAATACTGGCGAGGCCACCTTTGTTTTAAAATTCAATCTAAATGATTGGAAATAAACAGGAACTATGAGTAAACTTATGCTTCTCATTTCCTGTTACACCTGTAAAAACAAAAGTCATTCCAAGGTAGAATTTATTTAAAAATGATTGAAACTGTAATTTTCGAAATAAAAATAATTCACAGCAGCGATATAACGTCTGGTGATACTTATCACATTGGTAATTTCCATCTTCTAGTCGTTCATTTTTTTTTCTTTTATAAAATGAATAATATTACCGAATGGTAACGAGAAAAACTACCTCGTGATGCATAATTAATCGTAAAAATCATCAGAAACTGCATTACTTAATTGTGAATTAATACGTTGACTGCCAGGTAAACGCTATTGAAAATTTCATTGGATAATATTTTTATATTTTTCTAATTTTATTTATTGTTTTCCGAATATTTTGTTATTTCCATTATCTGTTATTTCAGATACCTAATTAAAATATTTCTAATTAGATAAATAACCAAATACCTAATAAAGCTATTGAAAATTTAATTGGATAATATTTTTATTTTTCGAATATTTTGTTATTTCCATTATCTGTTATTTCAGATACCTAATTAAAATATTTCTAATTAGATAAATAACCAAATACCTAATAAAGCTATTGAAAATTTAATTGGATAATATTTTTATTTTTCGAATATTTTGTTATTTCCATTATCTATCATTTCAGATACCTAATTAAAATATTTCTAATTAGATAAATAACCAAATACCTAATAAAGCTATTGAAAATTTCATTGGATAATATTTTTATTTTTTTCTAATTTTATTTATTATTTTCCGAATATTTTGTTATTTCCATTATCTGTCATTTAATTAGATAAGTAACCAAATGCCTAATAAAAATATTTCTAATTAGATAAGTAACCAAATTCCTAATAATTAATATAGATAATGACTTCCATTGACAATTCAAGTGTCACCCAAATATGGGTGACATGGCATTCAACGTGTTAATACGAGTGAATCTTTTTATTTATTAATTTTTGTCCTTATCACACTCTCAATCAATTATTTATTATTCAAAGAGCAGCCAGCAGATATACAGCTGATCATTGCCATCATCAGACGTCAAGTACCAATTCTTATGACATTAAATTGCTATCGCAATTAGAAGAGGCAAAAAAAGCTGAACATTAAAGTTGCAACATCCATCCACGGAACAGCTGGACAATGATTAGAACTAGATTAGAAGTAACTAACTGTACTTGTTCGCATATTTTGTTACGGATCGTAGGATTTCGGAGTAACCCAACGTTGATCGTTACTTTCCCCGCTCTTAATGGGCTAGTAAAAATTCGTAGAAATTGGCGAGGGCAAGTTTTTCCCCTACCTCGATTCCATGCTGGAGTAAACGGAAGAATGTTGGCCTATTGAACACCAGCGTAGCCATTTATGAACCGGGCTACTCGAAACCTCTCCGAAATAAGGGTTGCTTCATCCTTCTTCAAGTTCTGTCACGATAAAAATGAATATTTAAATTGTATTGCAATTATGATTGAAATTATTATAATTAGCGAGGTTCTAGCGAAGGTAAAGGATTATGATCTTACTTACGCCAATGGTATTGGACCATGTGAATTGGCGATCACGCTGTCGTAACTACCGCTCGCTTTTTTCTCCTCTTTTTCTACCAGTAATCCATTATCATTAGCCAACTTCTTAACGAGCGGCCAACACGGAACAGAGTAAAAGTCCGACATTGTTTAGCGATTTTTATTTGTAGTTACTCACTTTTACAGTGGCACAACTGCGTATTATAGAATTCAATTGATGCAAATAATACTGCTGGCATAATTATGCACAATGTTGAAGAGAAACTGGTTCTCGAGGTCTAACGAAAGCGACAGTGTTGGGGGATAGAATAAATTCATTTCAATCTTTGGTATATCTTCTATTATAAAAGTGAAACGTTAAACGTATCAAAAATAAAATTATTCTTTGACAGAATTTTTAATGACTTTTTTGAGGAATTTAAAGTCTTACGATTCGTTCAATTCGAGTGTCCCTTTGATCCTAAGATTGTTAATTAAATTTTTCATCAGAATTATAAAATAAATTAATTTCAATCTTCGGTATATCTTCTATTATAATAGTGACACGTTAAATGTATCAAAAATAAAATTATTCTTTGACAGAATTTTTAATGACTTTTTTGAGGAATTTAAAGTCTTACGATTCGTTCAATTCGAGTGTCCCTTTGATCCTAAGATTGTTAATTAAATTTTTCATCAGAATTATAAAATAAATTAATTTCAATCTTCGGTATATCTTCTATTATAAAAGTGACACGTTAATTGTATCAAAAATAGAATTATTCTTTGACAGAATTAATTACTTTTTTGTGGCATTTAACACTAGAACTACCAAAGGGGTAAAAATGCCTAGTTTCCATTTTTGAAATTATTTTATCGAGGTACTTTTATTGAAATGTATGTTGGCTATTATCGAGTTAAAGAATGAATGTATATATTAAATTATGTTTATCTATTTCGTAATCTACATTATTTTTAACTTAAAAATAATTGTCGGTAGTTCTAGTGTTAAAGTCTTAAGAAAAGTGTAACCCCTTGATCCTAAGATTGTTAATTAAAATTTTCATTAGAATTATTTTGGAATTTCTGTCTCTCAGATAAATACAATTTCCATTGAAATTATATATTAAAATTTACCAGATGTTTAAATCAATCAGCAGATGAAATACAACCTGGACAGACTGATGAATGTTAAATTCTAGATTTGCTGGGGATTCCAAGGAATCCCATCGCGAAATGTCAATGGTGAATCGAAAATCGTAGGGGAACTGGGTAAAACGCAACGAAAAATTAATTCGAAGGCGATCCATACTCAACACCGTTCTCCAGTCGTCAACTTCACTAAGTATCGGCGGACCAGGGCTGGACCAATGACCGACAAGTAGCACGAGGCAATCAGCATGCCTTCAACACGATAAGGCAATCCCTGCTGTTCGTTCGGGGATCGTAGGCTTTTACATATCATCCCCGTGGTGTGATCGACTAGTCGCCGAGAACCTGCTGACCAGCCGCGATGTACGCTCTTCTTGCTCGGGTTTGGTACGAGAAGATCGATCCTTTCTTTTCTTTCATTTCTCTCCTCTTTTCGTTCACTTAGGGCCAAATTTATCATTCTATGGGGTTGTTTAAGAAAAAAGGAAATACTGATTTCATTCAGTGCGGTGATTGATATTTCTTCTTGGAGAAAGATTGAAGTTTGAAAAAGGGTGAAGTGTGTTCAATTGATTTTATCAAGTGTCTAATTAATAGATTAAATAGGGTTGATGAAATAGAATTGACGAGGTTCATTTGATCATTATTTTTGGAAGAGAATTTAAATTTCATGGTGAAGTGTATTTTATGGTGTTTCAGGTGTTTGGTAATTAATTATATAAATTGTGGAACGAAAAGTGGATTATTATTGAAATTTGTATCTTCCAAAGTAGATTTTGAAAATGAAGAGAAAAAAGGAAGTTGCAGTTTTGCAAACCGCAGGTGCATATGTTGCGGTTTGGAAATGCACCTGTGATGCAATAATGGAGATCATGGGAATGTTGTTATTTCAACCTATTATTTAATAATAAATCATAGTGTAATAATGTCACACTTTCCATAATGATAATCTTCTAAGAAATGTAATTTAAAATTCAAAAATATCATTAATAATCCTCAGTGCCCTTTTAAAAATATGAAATCCTTCGAAAAGTAATAATTCAAAATTGCTAAATCTCATAAATTCATGATTGCTTAATTAAGATACAGCAAGGAAGGAAAATAACATTCATTTATGCTGCAGAAAAAAGGTTCGACCTGTAACAAGATTATCATAGCTAGAAAAAAAAAGAAGCAATAGATCATGAATTACTGCAATTCAATTGCATTTTATATTATGTAAAAGTGGAAGATGTATTTATCATAGAATTTCCATCGTTTCCAGCCTTGGCACTATTCGTTTAAAGAGTTTTACAAACACAGACTTACTTGCAATATTGCTGGTAATAGTTGTGTACAATCATGATGCAACCTCTAGTTTGATGGATTTGTGTGTTGAAGTAAAAAAAAAGAAGAAAAAATATCAGAAATGAATATCTTTACTTGTTTCTTCTTTCCTTTTTTCAGCCTGACGGCGGCTCTGTTCTGTGAGGTCTCCGCTGTTCTACGTGAGTATTCCTAAAAGAAGATAATTAACACCTTCCAGGAATGAGGATTATTAAAATTTCATATCCCGTGTATATGCAAATTGAGAAACATCATTGAACACGAATCGATATTAATTGAAGATCAACGAAGTACATGAACGAAGGTAGAAATATTGAAAAAAAATTAATTTTCCCAAACTTAAATTAAATATGAAAATTTTTCTCGTTTGTAATAAATGAAGAAAGTTAAATAAAAATAAAATTGACAAGACTTAATCGATCGTGGAAGACGTTGACATTAACCATCGATTACGAAATTCCAGTTCACCGTCTGTGCTGCAAGAATGGTAAAAACGTGCCATTTTCCAAATTTAAATTAAATATGAAAATCTTTCTCGTTTGTAATAAATGACGAAATTAAATAAAAATAAAACTGGCAAGACTTAATCGATCGTGGAAGTCGTACGAAATTCCAGTTCACCGTCTGTGCTGCAAGAATGGTAAAAACGTGCCATTTCCCAAATTTAAATTAAATATGAAAATCTTTCTCGTTTGTAATAAATGACGAAGTTAAATAAAAATAAAACTGGCAAGACTTAATCGATCGTGGAAGACGTTGACATTAACCATCGATTACGAAATTCCAGTTCACCGTGTGTGCTGCAAGAAAGGTAAAAACGTGCCACATACATTTTAACGAGACGATTGCAAAATTCATCGTGCGCTGCTTTCGGTTTTCAAAACCTCGCTTGCACTGATAGCCTTGAACTGGTTCCGATGAAAATCAAGATCGTCGATTCTTGATCACGTTGTTCCCGAAAGTTGGACCTGAAAAGAAGACAATAATATTAAAATTTTCTTTAATATTTCTTCTCCAGCGCCATACATAAAACCGTGCAAGAAGAGCGAGCCAGACATCAACGAATGCATCACAAACTCAATCGAAGAGCTTCGCGAGAAACTATCCGTAGGAATCCCGGAATTAGAGGCGCCTCCGATAGAACCACTTCTCTTAAAGGAAATTCGTCTGACTCGAGGGCCAATCGGTGCGAGACTCGATGTCAATCTGACGAATTTGAAGGTATAATAAACGAGGTAACTCGTTTTGCAAAAAGGGCTAACTGAAAATAAATTAAACATAATTATTGGATAATTTTAGGTATCTGGTCCTTCGAGATTCAAAGTGAGGGACTTGAAAGCAGACGTGGAAAACGTGAAATTTACCTTTAAAGTATCCTTCGAGAGATTGAATTTCGAAGGGAAGTATCAGATCGACGCAAGGATACTTTTGCTGAAGCTGGCAGGAGAGGGAGATCTGACTGGGAACTTTGGTAGGGTACTTAATTAATTAGCACCTTCCCCTAAAAATTTTAATCGAATTAGCAAAGAATTTTTCTTTATTTTAATATCATAATTTGAGGAATTTCTTCTTTATTATACAAGTAATGTAAAATACTGACTGTTAAGTCCACAGCATTAATTCAACGAGTTTCTTCTTTGTTTTCAAGACAATTATGACTCCGACGTCGTTCTGAAAGCAAACAAAGTATTCAGAGACAACGATGTTTACCTGAATTTCGAGGGGATGAAGATTAAAATCAGAATTGGAAAAGCCAATTTACACTTCAGCAATTTGTTTGGTGGTGATACTGTGCTGGGTAAGTGGATCATCTGTTTACAATTTCAAATTCTGATTTTAATAAAAAAAGATTCAGTCATATTTAATGAATACTTTGTAAATTTTATTGTAGGTGCTGCCAGTCATGAAATATTAAACAGCAACAGTGAACTGGTAGTGGATGAAATAACACCTGTATTGGAGACATCTTTGGCAGAGCTCTTCACAAATGTTGCTAACAAAATCACGAAATCCTTCACGTACAAAGAATTGTTCCCTGATGGTTAAACGAGCCTTCAACAACAGATATAGTTATTTATAAGCATATTCGTGCTGATTGTTGAGATTCTATAATTAATTTTGTTACTGATTCCAATACGGTTTTGGTTGGTTATCTGTGTGATACGATATTAAAACTTCTATTAATTAAACACGATTCTTGAGAATAAATTATTGATCCTTTTCTAGAAAAAAATTTCATTGAAATTAAAATAAGTTTGTTTCGTTTTGTTACCTTTTCTAATACGATTAATCCTGCTGGTCCTTTTAATTAATCTGCAGAGATGAATGTATATTTTTTTCATTTTATTATTAATTGTGGAACAAAGTAGTAAAAAGTAACATTAACGTGAATACAATTTGTATGTAATCAAATTTATTAGATTAAGTGTATAATAAGTATTTCAATGATGAAGAAGAAACGAAGATTAAGGTGTATTATTATTCTTTTATAATCACTGATCTGCATAATTATATTCTTAATTTTCAATAATGAAATAAGGTTCATCCTTATTGCAAATCAATTGTACTTCACTGGAAGGTGATCATCGAAGAAAATAATTATTTCTATTTAGAATAAGAATAATCCTAGTAAACTGAAAAATAAATCCCATAAGTAATGCAATTTATTTACCAATCAATAAAATTCATTTTGCGAAAACAATTTCCTTTGCCCTCGTTTTCCGCAATGAAATACAAATTAAGAAAAAGTAATTATAAAAATGTTTACCATATCTACTGATCGATATAAAAGTACAAATAATTAATTTGCTGAATAATTTCAATTAAAGCATGCTATCAGTAATGACAGCGTTCTACATTTAATCACTAATCATCGAGTTGTACTCAACGTGTATCACGATCAACAAGACTCACTCGTTTCAATCAACGAAAGCTCGTTGTATTATTAGCCATAGAAGCAATTACTTATGGAAGAAGACTAAAAATAATTGTAGGGACTAGGGGAGTAATTCTTCTTTGGTGAGGGCACCCAATGCTCTGGCAGCCAATGCTCTGCTCACAGTTGCAGCAGTGTCCTCGATGATGGGGCTAGCAATGTCCAGGACTAAACGGGGATTCGAATTGAAAAATGTGGCTGCTGCATCAGCTGAAACAATAAAATAAAATATTAGCAAAATTAAAGAAGAAGACTGTTGGGATGCGAGGAGAGCTCTTCAGTTGGTGGAATCATTCTAAAAATGTTAATGGTGTTTGAAAATTTGATGTTCCTTTTTACCGGCTAATGTATGAGATGGAGGCGCTTTTAATTTAATATTTCCATCGCCAACGCGGATTTTTGTCACTAATTTGTCGATCTCGATCCTCTGGACTCCGTTCTTGTCCGTCGCCTCTTTGCCCTGGGCGTTTACAAACACTTCTGTGTCAGCTGTAACACGAATTGTAATATTAGAAATTTGCAATATTATACTTTGAAAACATTTCCAATATTCGAAATTCTAACAATTCTAAAATTCTAATATTATATTTTGAAAATATTTCTAATATTCAAAATTCTAACAATTCTAACAATTCAAAAATTCTAATATTCAAAATTTGCAATATTATATTTTGAAAACATTTCTAATATTCGTAATTCTAACAATTCTAAAATTCTAACATTAAAAATTTGCAATATTTCTAATATTAGAAATTCTAACTATTCTAAAATTCTGATATTAAAAATTTGCAATATTATATTTTGAAAATATTTCTAATATTCGAAATTCTAACAATTCTAAAATTCTGATATTAAAAATTTGCAATATTATATTTTGAAAATATTTCTAATATTCGAAATTCTGACAATTCTAAAATTCTAATACTAAAAATTTGCAATATTATATTTTGAAAATATTTCTAATATTCGAAATTCTGACAATTCTAAAATTCTAATACTAAAAATTTGCAATATTATATTTTGAAAATATTTCTAATATTCGAAATTCTGACAATTCTAAAATTCTAATACTAAAAATTTGCAATATTATATTTTGAAAACATTTCTAATATTCGTAATTCTAACAATTCTAAAATTCTAACATTAAAAATTTGCAATATTTCTAATATTAGAAATTCTAACTATTCTAAAATTCTGATATTAAAAATTTGCAATATTATATTTTGAAAATATTTCTAATATTCGAAATTCTAACAATTCTAAAATTCTGATATTAAAAATTTGCAATATTATATTTTGAAAATATTTCTAATATTCGAAATTCTGACAATTCTAAAATTCTAATACTAAAAATTTGCAATATTATATTTTGAAAATATTTCTAATATTCGAAATTCTGACAATTCTAAAATTCTAATACTAAAAATTTGCAATATTATATTTTGAAAATATTTCTAATATTCGAAATTCTGACAATTCTAAAATTCTAATACTAAAAATTTGCAATATTATATTTTGAAAACATTTCTAATATTCGTAATTCTAACAATTCTAAAATTCTAACATTAAAAATTTGCAATATTTCTAATATTAGAAATTCTAACAATTCTAAAATTCTGATATTAAAAATTTGCAATATTATATTTTGAAAATATTTCTAATATTCGAAATTCTAACAATTCTAAAATTCTAATATTATATTTTGAAAACATTTCTAATATTCGAAATTCTAACAATTCTAAAATTCTAATATTATATTTTGAAAACATTTCAAATATCCCCATCACAAATATCAAAGGACTCACTGAAATTTCCCTTAAAACTCCCAGCACCATTCAGAGGAAGCAACAGTAGCCTTCCTTGCACATCGTAGTCGCCATTCACATGGACATGGGGCAGTTCCACTTTGAGTGTGACCGAGAGGTCATGAGGGTTCGCTTTCAAATCATCGATGTGATAATTTGTCGCCCCGTACACGCGTATCTTCGTCATATTCGCCTTGATCTTCAACGATTCCAGATTCCTGTCGACGGTTAGCGAAGGAAGGTACAGCGGGTCCAAGGCGGGCAGCTTTAAGGATGGGATACCGTTGGCGAGGTATGGGTTGATCGCCTTTAATTGTTCCAGCACACATTTGCCGTATTGTGTCAGGTCGGTGGTTCGGGGACAAGACTGTACACCAGGTGCTGCAAACGACAATCCATTGTGTCATTGACATAGTTTGTAAACAATTTGATTAAACGTTTGCAGATGTCGATTTCGAAATCGCATTTATTGATAACATTTTTTTCTTTATATATAGTCTAAACAATTTATGCTATTTTGAACACTGTGATTTTGTATTTTTTTTTATAGAATAGACAATTCCTAATTAATTAATTTATTTATTTATTTTAATGCATACATTTGTTATTTAGAAATGTTATTATAAAGAAATTAATTTTAAATTGAAAATTTTTCATCTCGCATCAATGCGCGCTTTTGAAATGGCACCACTAGCGCTATCTGGCGGAACGCGCCGGAACTAAGAAGAGCGCAAAACGCTATTTTCAAAAAATGAAAGATGTTTCAATTTAATAAATAATTGCAGAGCATTCTATAATCATAAAACTATTTATATAGTGTTATAAATGTGCTCTAGCATTATTAAAATTCATACCAAAAAAAATTGCAATCATGAGTCATAGTGCAATTATTGAAATCATTATGTGATTACGAAATCATCTACGCAAGCTAATTAAACTTCAAAGTCCTCATTCTGCAAAAAATGCAACGATCTACTTCAACAGTGTCTCTGTTTATTAGAAGATGACATTAGCAGTCCTATTTTCAATTTTGTATTAATCTCAATTAAAATGAAACAGTGACTGTTCATTGTACAAATTTTATACAAGTTTTGCAACATTGCAGAGGTAAAAGCTATGCTATTAGAAACGCGTTGTTACATGCGTTAACGGGGACACTGATCAAACAGGTATCTCGTCAAATGGAAAATCACCTGTACACTCTAACAATTTTCCATTGAGTGCAATTAATAAAAAATCATTTATTTCCTCTTCGACATCTCTGTATCTGAAATACTTAACACCATAAGTGCCAATAGAATTAGAAAAATCATTTAACGATTCCAAAATTTAAATAACTAAAAAAAGCAACGGTGTAATACGATAAGAAGTAACGTTAGATTTCTGTAGAAGTCATCGTACCATGTTGAAACGACAGGTTATTGAACGAGTGGGGCCTCGATGACTAAGCCGTCATGGTGGAGTGCGTTTTTACCTGGTGCTCCCGAGGCCAGGCCTAAAATCGAAAGTGCGCTCGGTAGAAAGTGAAATTACGAATCGAGCCATGCCTTTTTTTTTCCTATTCCTTTTTTCATCGACTATAAAAGCGAATTCCCGACGGTGGACCGAAGAAGAGGACGGAAACGCACGTGTTCCTACAGCCGGCTAGAAAGGTACGAACCACGTTGTTGATTGATAGATCGCCGGTAGCTAGAAACTGTACAACAACCACAGCCAATTGATCACTGAGAGAGAGGACGATTATCGTGAAAGGAGAGCTCTACGATCCAGCCGGTCGTTCGACCCGAATTTCTACGATAGAAACAGATTGGTGAAACCAGGGGAACAATGGGTGCTGAACGTAGAACAATTAATTTCGTAATTAACACGATGCACACTAATTTCTAAGTTGAAAATAATACAGAAAATTAAATAAATACGGGATGAAACATAATTTAATCTTTATCTCGACAATAGCCAACATACATTCTAGCTAAAAAATTTCAGATAAAATTTATAATTAAATGATTTTCCTAATTCTATTGGCACTTAGGGTGTTAAGTATTTCAGGTACAGATATGTCGAAGAGGAAATAAATAACTTTTTATTAATTGCACTCAATGGAAAATTGTTAGAGTGTACAGGTGATTAAAATAAGAAATTGGAAAGCAGTCATTTGGTAGTTCTAGTGTTAATTTTGCAATTAATTTGGAATTTTTTTGAAACCTACGCGCGAGAGTTTCGTTATAGATAATTATTTAATACGTAAATGTAAAAGGAATTCGAGGAACGAAGGCCTGTGATTGATCACATTCGTATCGAAAAATTTGTCTGGGTACTCTTTGACGTGTTCGTTACGTCATATTTTACACAACGCTCCTTTAACAGGGGTTTACACATGTCAAGTTTGCTGAGAGAGGAGAATGAAAGTTTCTGAGAATGTTTGATGAATTCCTTCCCAATCTGATGCATGCCTTCTGTCACGGTCATTGACTATCGTTTGTATCCTGATAGTTTAATCAGTTTTACCAATAATATTTAACATTGCAAATGATAAAACATCGTATCATTTAAATAGAAGTTTTTTTTTTCATTTTTGTTGATGCAATTGTAGATGCAATTTTAGATACAATTGTTACACTTAAAATTGAATAAAAGAATATTCACTTTCTAGCTTAATGTGACACCGTTTCATCTTTGATTAATTCATTTACATAAATACCGTCCTTGTAACGTTTCTACTCTTGGTTTCAGTGTAATTACACGTCTAAGCTAGTCGCGTGCCTGAAACTGGTACATCAGATTAAAGTAAAAGCATCGTCGACCAGTTGACATTAAAGTTGTCTCAAATGAGGCACGTTTGAAACCTTCATTGAATATAAATTACATTGCACATCCCCTGTTTTCTTTGTTTTAAACAACAAATTTTAGTTTACATCTACATATTCTACTTCCCCTTTATTCTACACTATTCTACTTCAAATGATCATCTTATTTTTATTTTATTCTACTGAATCAACAAAAACCCCCATATAAATATTTTCCAAAAAAGGCTGGTGTCCATTCAACAAAAATTTCAATATTCAAATGTTCCCTGAATTGCATTGCACCAGTTTCAATTTTATATCTAATTTTCACAAGAATCCCATAACAACCCTCAGTCCACTCAGCAAAAATGGTCTCTAATGCTTTTTCTAACTCCACACACCATGTTCCTTAAATTTCATTGCACCATAATTAATTTTCACATGAATTCCATAACAACCCTTGACAAAAAATGATTATATCTACTCACGTAATTCAGCAACGGTGATACCGGTCCATGTGGCTATCGCTAACAACCCGATTAGCATCCTCATCCTGCAGCTGCCTGTTAGATGACCGGTGATTGCAATTAGCAAGAGCGATATCGAAAATGTGCGCGATGGACCGCGTTACCTAGGTATATATAAACTAACAGCACTTTCTCCGCACCATGGATCGTCCCCACTTGTGGCAACGGTGAATTTATCACGGTAGAATGCCTCCTTTTAACTCAGTCAGGGCCGTAACCAGCCATCCACAAACGATGAAACTCCTCTTCATGATAGTTACGTGAATCTGACGTAGGTCAGGATTATTCTAATGATCGTTGGCTATACACAATGTTTCTTAATACATTCATACGAAAAATTATTTTTTTTTAATTACAGTGGAACAATTAGGTTTTCATTAATTACACGAGATCACGAGAGTGATTACACTGTTGTATAAGACGAGGACCCTGCAGAAGGTAAATTTTATAAAATAGGAATTAAAAATAAAAAAAAAGTAATTTAAAGTAATTTTCTCATCAATTATATTCCTCTTAATGACACCTCTTCGTTGAAGTTGAATTGACGACCAAGATTCTCGATGATGATCCTGCCTGCTATTCTAATAGCAGCCTCATCCTCGTCGCCAATTTTCCCTAATGCTTCCTGTCACAAATCGTGATTTCGAAAGAGGATAACGAGAATCACATTCCATGGAAAATAATTGCAATTTTTCCTCACTGCTATGTGGGTCATCCATGCTGCTATCTTAAATTTATTAATAATAAAACAATTATGGATGGAAAATTGCAGGAAAATTTTTGCCATCATTCTAAATTTGTCTAATGTTAAGGATTAACATTAAACTTGAATTATAGGTTCATTTATTTCATGGCTTCAAATAATCTTACACAACACTTACATAAACTTAATACATAACTTATTAAAAATTCATTAAATTAATCGTAAATATTCTTATGAATCTACGTTAAAAAATAAAATAGTTCTCAAGCCATGAATATATATGTTACAATATAAATTGCATTGCAATGGCATAAACAAACTCGTTCGATCGATTAATAAATGCAGTGATCAAAATCGCTCCTGATTCGCAAAACTTTATTCCCTGTTTACAACATTCGTTCATCGACTACTTTCCCCGTCGAGTAATCCTGGAAATCGTTGGTGTAACACGTTGAATTTCCCAAATGCGATTATGTAAAATCTGACGGATCCGAGTGGTTCCGCTATGGCAAACCATACGTAACGTTTGCAAACCCGTTTGCAAATCGGGTGTGCACGCGTTTACGTATTATTCACCGGTATGACACAATCAAACATGCCAATTTAACGATACGATTCTCCATTAGATGAAGCATTAAAAAGTAATATCTTTGGTGACATTTTTAAATTTTTCTTTTACTTCATTTAAATATGAATAAATGATTCGAGAACTTGTTCTGTGTCTGTAAAGCACCTTTTTATAAAGATACCTTGCACTATTTCACTTTGTTCATAAATGAGCAAGTTTTTCAATCAAAATATGATTTGATGAATTAATTAAAAATTGTAAAAACTAAACTAATTTAAAATTTATAGACTATTTATAATACCTGCGTACGTAATGTATAACATTTGTGTGTCTCGTAACAATAACCTGTAATAAATTAAGCACAATACTAATAGTAAGTTAATAAGTTAATGACTACTCAATGTTATATCATTCTCTCGATTGAATACAGAATGAATAAATATGTATGAATACCATACAGATATATTGGTTAATAAATTAACAATATTAAAATTAATTTTAGCGAGCAATTTTTCAATATTCAAAATCTATTATTCACAGCAAGGGGGACTATTAATTCCCACGAATTAATTAAAGTGTTAGAAAACAATATTAACAGATTCATCAATCATTTCCACTGTTTTAATCAACGGAATCAATTGATATAAAAGAAAAACCATGCAACAGTGTACCGTAAAGAATAAACGTCCAAAATCCAGTCGAAAGTGTATCCTCCTGTAAATTAATTAACAGGAAGATTTTTGTACATTTTATAAATCATTGCGTCGGCTGTTCTGTCGTTTAAAGCTTTGGTTGCCAGGTCATCGGCGAGCATGGCAGCTACGGCTTCGGCAGCCATCAAACCTGTGAACGAAAGTCAACGTGAAACTATTATCAAGCGAATTCGTATGATGAACGTGGTTGATTGCGGGGGTGCATGAAAATGTTGCAGAAAGCGGACGCTTTTACTTTGCTTGATCGAAGTCGATGCACTCGTTGACCAGCACTTTTACCTTCTTCCTTTCGTTTCCTGGATTTCTTAACGATTTACCAATCATTCACTGCGAAGCACTGTTCTCCAATTTAAAAATTTAATATTTTCTTATGAGAAAATCTCGATATTCTCTCTGTTTGCTTTTGAAAATTACTTAAAAAACAAAGAATCATGGTCACGTGTGGAAAATTGAAGGTGTAGGGAAAAATAAAAGAAAGCGTTCGCGAACCGGCTCGTTTTACATAATTCCTTGGCTCGAACGCGACTTTCCGATCGATTGACATCGACTTTTCTATTTGGAATTTCTCATTTCTATTGGTCTCTTTGGTAATTGCTAATTACGGAAGAACACCGGTCGCACATGACGCAACGAAAACAGACGAAACCGCTTTTACGTAATTGCCTGGAACCGGCTTGCATTGTCGATGCCCGCGCTGTTTGGATTCTGCCGAGTTACCAACACTTTTCACTGTTATTTCCCTCGTGAAAAGCCTTCCTTCCTGTTTACGATTTACACTAATCGTAAGAAGTTTCCGTAGATCGATTCGTTTAATTAAAGAAGGAGGAAGCTGATTCCACATTTGACAATGAATGAAAGTTAATTAATAAAAGGTAATTAATGAAAATGAATCAATAAAATAAATGAAAGTTAATTAATAAAAGTTAATTAATGAAAATGAATCAATAAAATAAATGAAAGTTAATAATGCATACTTACCGTGGGTGAGAATCGATTTTACTGGTCCCTCCTCGTCCATTCCCTGAAGGGAGACGTTTTGCTTTTTGGCATTTAATTTGCTCCTGGCTGCGCGTACAATTAAAATGTCCTGATCCTTCATCTTCTTCAATTCTATAGTGAAGTCACCTACCAGCTCGCCTAAACATTTTTAATTATCTTCATTTAATTACATATCTGACGAGGCACAGAATTCTAAGATTCCTCTATTGGAAAATGTTTTCTTTTTTTTTTTTTTTTTAATTTTGCAATGACTCAAGTTGTCCTTGCGGGCAAATGCTCGCTTATCAACTAATAAAAATTATCTTGACGTTGCCAACATGAATGTATGGATTCCTCTATTGGAAAATGTTTAATTATTCATTTTTCTAATCTTGGATGGCGGACCATGGAGAGAGGCACAATTATAATTATTTTCGTTTCGTAAATTTTACACTGTTCCTTCCAAAATTATTCTTCCCATATATAAAACTCTTGTTCAAAAATTGAAAGAAAATTTTCTTACTGAAGTTGCCACTGAGTTTTCCAGTTCCTCTAATCAATTCCTTTCCAACTTTTCCATTCAACTGATAATCCGACTTGATGCGAAGTTCAGGAGCACGTATCTTCAAGATCACGTGCATCACGTCGTCCTTGAATAAACAGCAATAGGATTAATTTAACCCTAAATCATTATTCTTTTCAATGCTTACATCAGTCTCGTTTTCTTTATGGGCACGTTTGTATCTCTTTCCCAGTTCAACTTTTTCATTCGCAGGATTTCCACCATAGTGATAAAGCAGTTGCATTCCTTCCTCGAAGTACCCTTCCTTCTCCTGATAATTCCTCGCGTACCTAGTCAAATTATTCAGGTCCTTCGAATCGAAGGCAGCCTTCACTGCCTCGTTCCTCTTTGTCAATGGCTCTCCCTCGGTGCAGTTATGGCTGATGCCCTTTCTACCTTCCAAAATTTCCTATTTCCAGAAAATTAATAATTTTATTAAAGGCCCCAAAAAGAAATCAATTTTCAGCCAAGTACCTTCCGCACATCCTTCATTCCGAACACCTGAGCATCCTGCTTAGACTCGATCCTTCCATTTCCGAATCGTTTCACACTGCCATTATTATTCCCATCCGCATAAACGATATCGATATACCCCGGCTGTTTCTCCAGCCTCCTATTTTCACCTTGGTACACCTGTTCCCTGCCAATATACGGAGGGAACACCCTCGGATCCTGCCTCCTCTCAACATTCTCAGAAGCTGAAGTTTCAGGATCCTCGTATCTCGTTTCGCTTCTCCTGCCACTGTGGTAGCCTCTCCTCTGGCTCTCCCTAGCCTCTCCCCGTCTCTCTCCAAAGGAAGCAGACCTACCTTGATCGTACATCTCCCTCTGCTCCTGGTTTCTCGCATTCAGAGCAGCATTAATAGCACTCATCGCATAGATCATCTGAACATCCGCAGGATACCTCATGTTCGCAACGATTTGACTGGTGTCCTGTTTCGATACCACTTTAGCGCCCTCCATGCTGAAGGTTCCGTAATTTGAATCCTGAGGAGAGTTTTCAGATCGCTCAGGCTTTTCCTTCATTTTATCCGCTTGGATCTTCAACAGGAACGGATCGTACTGTCTGAATCTATCGAAACGGCTGTCCTCCGGGCTGGTCATGATCTTGCTCTCCTGGTTGGTAGCCGAGACGATGGCTTCGAAGCTCTCGTTCTGGAGCTTCGGTTCCTTGATCAGAGTGTGGAATCTGTACCTGATGGAGTCCAGGTCCCTCAGATCGCTGTAGCTCACGTATCCTGCCTCCAGCTCGCTCAGGTTCGACTTCAATCGTCCCCTAGCGATGTGGATGCTGTCCAGAGTGGACTCGTTCAGCCCGGTGATCTCCACGTTCCTCAGGATTATCCTATAGCTGGTGTCTCCTTCCGACTGGTCCACCTTGATCACTGGGACTTTCAAAGGGTCTAGTTTACCCGTCTTGGAGAATCCTCCCGTGAGTAACTTGGTCCAGAGTTCCTGGGACATCTGCAACAATGAACCTTGACATTTGACCAAGGATACAAAAAGTGCAACCAGGTACAGTGTCCTCAGTATCTTCGCCATTTTTGCTGATTTTTCTTCTTGGTTTTTTGAGACACTTCACTGCTGCGTTTCGATCTGCCAGACGTAAACGGGCTTGAATAATAAGAGAGTGACGATGGTAATCACGATGAAGACGAAGAGGAAGCAGAAGAGGGCGACGCACATCAACACTCGTGGGTGAAGGCGAACGATTTCCTGCGATTCCAGGATGATCGATCGAATGTCGATCAGAAATCACGGCGAAAGATCATCGGATGTTTGGTTCGAACGTACGGTCCGAGAGTGTGGACGAGGAAAAATGTCGTTCGTCAGCGAGTACGCCGGACGTTTTTATACTTCTTGCTGGAAGGGCATCGAAACTGGGCCATGGACCAGAGATTCTTGACGCGCATCAACTAGGTGATGTCTCTAGTTGCTACTCTTTCTTCTTCTTCTTCTTCAGACGCTGTCCTCTTAAGCTGAGCTCCCGTTGCGAGCTTATACAGGGCAAGGTCCTTCCCCGACCTTAAGTGGTAAAACCATCGACGACGATGGTCTGGGTGCAAAGCCGCAAATAGTACGCCATAGTTGTTCGGAATTACGTAATGGATTCTTCTTAAATGTACATCGCCGCGGGTACGCTTGTTCTGCATCTTTGTGTTTAATGGGGAGTGGCGAGGTGTTATAGATCGACTTGGTCATTTTATTTTAACGCGTTCAATGTTGGGGGGATCATCGATGGGGCAGCAAATTAGATATTCTGAAATGATTAAAGAATATTATTTTTAGTTAGCAAATTTAATAAATAAAAAATTAATTTAATTTAATTAAAAAAAAACTAGATATCATTAAAATTGAATAATATCTAATCTCTAAATATATTTATCATTTTAATTTCACAAAAAAAATTTTATATACTTAACCCTTTTAATTTCGAGATATTTAACTAATAAAAGATTTTTAAATCAACTCGGATACCAAAGGTACAAAATTTTACTTCATTTATAAAAATTTTAAAATTTCATTACTATATTTATAAATAAAATTTATTATTTCTTAAAATTTACTTTAACTTTTCATTATTATAAAAGCTTTTTCTAATATATTTTTATTTAATTCACAGTTCGTTTCACAGTAGTGAAACGAATAAGAAGTTTAAAGTTTGATATTAATTATTCCTATTCTGATCTCTTCGACGACGGACCATGGAGAGAGTCCCATTGTTTTCTAAGTTTTACACTGTTCCCTTACAAAATTATTTCTCCAATATACGAATCCCTTTCACTAGAAAATTATACATTTAATTTTAGCTTATTATATTTTAATTAATGTACAATAATTAATTTGCTGGACTGCTGAAAATATAACAAGAAAAATGCGACAAGCATGATGCAAATATAGAGCCAAAGACTTGTGCAATCCGTAAAAGGAAGTGGAAGCGAAATAGAAATAACAATGTCAGCGCATTGTCGATCGATGGCACGTACGCAATTTTCGATGACAAACACAGTTTGGAATTATTCCATGATCGGACCTCCTCGTAGCAACAATGAAGATCCAGAAATCTTTGACAATTCTTTTTCTATACATTTATTCATCTGCTTCTTCACCGATTCCAGAAATTCGTGAGTATTGTATTTCATAAAAAGACTTCTTTGCTTTTGATTGAAACCTATTTCTTTTTTTTTCAATTAAAAAAATTTAATGACATACTTCTCAGATGCCAAGTGCATAAGCCTGCATCTGGAGCGCGCACATTTAATTCACGATGATTCGTACAGAAAATCATGCAATGAACATTCAAAGTATTCAGGTTTACTGCACGAGCGTGTCTAATTTTAATTCTCGACAAGTTTAACGACAAATTAATACCGCAACTTCTCGATTTGCAATTGTAATTAATTTTTGGGTCCACTTTAATTTTCAGCATCATTTTTAAAAGTATGTCATCGAAACGATCCACAGCTCAGCGACTGCATCAAGGAAAGCATCAACTTGTTAAAACCGTACTTGAAAAATGGAATTAAAGAACTTCAAGTTCCACCGTGTGAACCTCTTCATATTAAAAATATTGACATCGATCAAAGCTCTGGACCTATTTACGTTCATGCGAAATATAAAAATATATCCATCTTTGGAGGAACTAATACCATACCAAAAAGCATCAAGTAAGTTCATTCAGTTTCAATTCTAATTGAACAAATTAATTAATGAATCTTCTTTCATTAGACTGGACTTCGATAAAAACCGAATGAGACTGAAGTTGTATATTCCAAGGCTCGAGATGATTACTAATTACAATCTTGACGGCAAGATAATGATGCTGCCGATCACAGGAAATGGTGTAGGACACGGAAACTTCACAGACATCGATGCAATTATCACCTTGCAGATGGAACGATACAGAAATCTGGATACACAATTGATTCATCAAAAAGTAGACGATATTTACGTGGATTTTGAAATAGGTCGTGCAACTGTGCACCTGGAGAATTTATTCGATGGCGATGCTACCATGTCCAGTGCCATGAATTTGTTTTTAAATGATAATTGGAGAACAGTCGTGGCGGAGATCAAACCGAAACTCGAAGAGACCATAGGCGAATTGATTAAGAATTTTATGAATAATATTTTCTCCGTGTTCCCCGAGGATTCTTTATTACCACCGTGATGGATTTTTATTGTCTGAAGAAAAGGTGTACGTTTTTGGAAAAAATAAAATTTTTAATTATATGCCTTTGTCTCTTCCTGTCTCTTCCTAGGATATCTGGTTCCTCCTCGAAAAATTCTATTTTATCGATGGATTTTGATTATAGAATTAGTACAGAATCATTTGCATATAATTATAAATGATTTGATTAAATATTTGAAAGCGTATAATTAATAGAATTAATTAATTTTTGGTAAAGGTAACACTAAAGAAAAATAGAGCTACTATATTCAAAATAAAATTTTTTGAGTGAAATTAAAAAAGAAGTTTTTTAAAATTTCATTAACAGTTATTTTTTTATCTAAATGTTTAAGTCCAGTACACGCCTAGTAGAAGATAACCATTTTCTGTGAGTGTAAGGTGGAGTGCCATGTTACAGGCGCAGTTTTCAACTTGATTTATTTACTGTTCTGTTTATAAAAATTGATATCTATTTCTTTCAAGTTAATTAAACTTCCCTATTAATACCAAAAACCTTGTGTCCTGAAACTTCTTTCTTAAGCAATAAGTTATTTGCGTCGCGTTCGAATTGTAAATTACAGTCTGAAACGAAGTAATTATTTTAATATTAGCTTCCGAGATGAGCATAATAATCTTACAGAATTACTGCTTTCGTAGTATAATGACGTTCTTGTGAAAGAGGAAATTAAAAAACGTTCAAGAAAAAAGTAAGAGTACCTTGATGTAATTTTTGCTCTACTGAGCGACTTATAAATATTTTTTACTGCGAGTGTTCTTTAAAATATTGAAAAATTCCGTCCATTTATATGGGGAGACTGTTACAAATTAACAAGAAGCCACTTAATAAATATGTAAAATATAAAAATCAATTTTGCAAATCATTTTATATATCAAAAAAATGTCGAATGTTTTGCTTACATAATGAATGAGAATGAAACGAAAGAGAATTTCTTCAGAAAATTTCGATACTTGTTACATAATTAAATAGCTACTAGTACTAATCTCTATTTATGTAACATCATTTCTTTGTGCTATAATTCTAAAAAATGAAATCATATTGACAGTAATAAGAGTAGCAATAATAATTATTACCAGTGTCATTTCTTTTTAATGAATACTATTTTTTATAAAATATGAAAGTTCATTTTATAATCACCGGACAATTTTTTCTCTAAAAACTTGTATCAAGGTGACATGGAAATTTCTTAAAAATCAAACATCTTTTTTTGATCCAGTAAATGTCAAAATATCTCATGGAAAGATCTTAAGGATCATTAAGATCGTTCACGGGTCGACGAGTCTCAAAAGCATCGCAACATCTGATTTGCATTTTCCAGATGCTCCTATCTTTTTTTCTAATACGTTAGAAAGCCATCTAAATTAAAGATACAACCGTGGACAGGTCGAAGGATGTCTGGTGAGCAATAAATTAGGCAACCTTCTGTTTTGGGATTTCTCCAATTGCTGTGAAACCAGAAAGTTTCAAGGTGTTCAAACAATCGAGAGGACTTGAAATTAGAAGAGTCGCAAAGATCCTTTTCACGCAAAAACCAATAATAGAGCCAGGAAGTTAGGTGAAATTCTTCGAAATTTCAGACAAAGATGTGTGAGAACTTTCGACGATTAGAAATAATTGAAAAATTAATTTAAAAGCTTAAGATTGAATTAGATTCTCCAGAAAGAAAATACTTGCAAAATCCACCATTCTTTGTTCCTTATTTCCGAGTAATTTGTCTTGTATGCAGCTCACGTGTTCCATCAAGGACCAATTCGAAAAGACAATGCGATATTAAAAATTCATGGTCAGCTATGCAGTGAATAGAAGATCGTGACTTACTGTTATTGTGTATTAATATCGTCCGACGATGTTACTTGAAAATAAATCATCGACTTTTGCATGATTATTCTATTAACAATTTAATGTTGCTCAAGAAAATCGTGGATAGGATGGCATGGGAGTAGGAAATACGCGAAACAAAACGAGAATTTCATAAGAAACGGGATGGTTGTGATCCCACCATGGGATTGATGTCATTAAAGCAGCAGTAATGACTCGTTTTGATGATGTAGAGCTCTTGTAACGAACTAAAGCCGGTGTTACGCAAAGTATACTATTCATTCGAAGGTGTACAGTGTATGCTATTATCTTTTTGCCTATTATACAATCGTCATGAGCTAATTTTAACCCTTTTGCATCCACGTGAATTTCATTTCAGACCTTCTTTTATTTTCATTTTCCAAATTTTGGAATATTATTTTTCGGACTTTTGGAAAGTTTTTCCTTTCAAAATTTTAATATCCAATTTTGATCAATATACATAGGAATAGATTACAAGTGTCTTAATTAATATTAATGAGATCCTTTATCTCAAAACGAACCGTAAATTTCCACAAAAGCGAATCACGAGGTTCGTAAGAGTCAGAATGCCGGTTCGAATGGTGGAAATAGAAAGAGGCGAACCCGTGGCGATGTTTAAAGCCGAACAGAAGTGGCCAAGGTAGGGGAACACTCTCATATAAGACAGAATATGAAGGGAGTCCGTGTTTAGTTTAACAGAGTCGATCCACCCAATCACCGCCTGTGAAATCCTTAATTAATCATCAATGTGTCTCATTTAAACAATGATATCAGAAGCATCGATCAAACGGAGTAATCTAACGAACAGTGAGAATCAAATCGACAATAAATCGAGTGTGTTTGAATAAAAGTGTATCAAGGATAGAAATAGATCATTGTCAAGGACCAAGGATATCGTACACATATTTATTCGGATTTTACAGGATTCTGATTGATGGAAGATACTGGAGGAATCTAATTCAAGGTCTTCGAAGTCAGGGAGTAATTTTCGTTGATACGTGGGCCTAATTGGGGTTAATTAGTCAGGATGATATCAGGATCAAGGATTGCTTGTGTGATGCTGGTTGGACTGTTAGCCGGTGAGCTGGTGTCCTGTCAGAAGAATGATCCTGTATTGAACGAACCTGATTTCGAAACTCGTAAGTTTCTGTGATATTTTTTTATTTAAATTTTGTGTCAGCAAAGGTGATTTGATTGAAATTGAACAAAGTTTGATATTTTGGAAAATGATAATAATTATATTAAATAATAATAAAAATATTATTAAAATTATTAAGAAAATGAAATAGTACACAGACTAATTACTAATGCAAATTAGACTCTAATTAAGTTAGCAATGAACCCTGCTACTCAGGAGGATATCTCAAACAAGTTACTAATTTTTCATGATAATTAAGTAATGAAACAATCGATAGATGATGATGTAGATATCAGTGACACTTGATTCGATGCAAGTACAATTATGCAACCACTCTCAGGGTTTCTTGAAGGTTCGATCGTTCGAGACTCATTTCCTTCAAATTAGCTTCATACCTGTCATAGACTTTTCTAATGAATAATAATTAAAAGGACATAATCCTGTCGATCAAGTAACAATAGAGTTTCTGATCAACGTATATATACGTCCTTGAAAAATCAATTGAAATTGTGGAAATTTTAACTAAATTAAGCAATAAATATTTTGGAAGTCCAATTTCATTTAAATATCGATGAATAATTGATGACTATTGAAACAGGTTAATGTGGATATCATCAAGAATTTCAATTTATAGCAATTTTAAGAAGCTAATAAATATTTATTATTCATTATTAGTGGATAAATTTTATGGCGATACTAATGGCAATCACGTGTTAATTTTAATTAAATTTTTCACAAGTGAGATAATATTAAAAATTATTAAAATCCATCTTTTTCCATTGATAAGACTTAGCTTCCTTTTTTTTTTTCAAACGTAACAAGTCTTCATTCCAGACGTAACACGTAACAATGAGTCTACTCAATACTAAATCATTCCTAGTATTTTCCTTTTACAACCATTGAGCGTATCTGCCTTTCTCTTTCTTCGTGTAGGGTAATTGTGGGAAATGATTATATCACGGAAGCATATTCGCGTTTTTCTGTAAAATTGTTCTGTAGCAACATAGTAAGTACTTGAAAAAATTGCAGACAGCTAAACACTGTTTTCCTTGACAGACAGAATCGTTTAAATAATCGTAAATCGTACCGCGATACACCTGTAATACCTGAAACGAATACTAATCGAAGAACAGCGCAATAACTTCGAAATTATTGATTGAGGGCACCATATATAACCTGAATGATGAAAGCAAAGAAACCATCAATAAATTTTTCATTTCACAATTTCTGATTTTGTAAAATTCAATAATGCAAAGCATTATTAATATTATGTATTATTATATACTATTATGATTATAATTATAATAAATAATATTAATAATGCAAAGCATTATTGAATTTTACAAAATCAGAAATTGTAAAATGAAAAATTAATTGATTATAATTAATAATATAAACGCGAACCTACCCTTATTTTCCATAACATCCCCATAGTAAATATTAAAAACACTAATTTTCACTTTCCCTTACTTTTTCAACCCTCAATCCCGAATTTTTCAAGAACAGCTTCCAAGCCCTCCAACTCATTACCCACCCCATCAGCTTCGATTCTGCAATCATGTGGGTCAAACGATCACGATCACGACCACGGTGGAACCGTGTCCATCGCGCAATCGTGTTCAATTCGTGCGCAATTGGTTCCGTTTCGAAGTAAGAAAGCCGGTTAGAATTCCGGGATCGTCTGATGGACATTCAGAGGTTGGTCGGTGGAAACGCTTAGAAAGACATCGCCTATTATGCGATGGCGTCGGTCACCGGCTGAAGATAATGGTAACGGGCATGGCGTAACGGCTCTCGATGGTGCGGCGAAGGTTATGTCAGAGATTGCATAACGAGAAGCCAAGGATCGACGGCAATCGGTCGGAGAAAGTAGCGACGGATCTTACACGACGCACCGGTATCCTCGAAACGTTCCTCCTCTTCGTGTATAAACGCTTCGAGTGAAAGCGATAACGCGGTACGTACACCTCGGGTGCATCGAGTGGTCCAGATACTTATTATTATTATTTCGGTCTTCGATCCTTTAACGGTGTTACCAAATTTCGTCTGACGTCATCTTGCGAAGGTCGTCCTGAATTTTCGGACACCCCGTTCTATTTATGAATGTAGGGTAATTGGAAGACGCTACAGAGCGGGGGTGGACAAACCGTGACGCATTAATTGCGTGATTAAATTATTCCTTTCCTCCCCTAAGCGAAGCAGATCCTATCCTCATCTCTATTTTTCAATCCTTAACCATAAACGTAAGAAGGTATAAAAGCTGCTCGAGTTATAGACGCATCTAAATTCGTCTGTGAAAATATTGGCGCAGGATATGCAAAAGGTTGACCACCCCTGGTACAGAGTTTCATTGAACACATGACACTACACGCATTGAAATTACTGACAATCATGAATGCACATTCTCTTCAATTCTACACGTATACAGGGGAATCTCATTAACCCCCGGACGGCGGACCATGGAGAAAGGCCCACTTTTAATTTCATTTCCTAAATTTTACAAATGAATACAAAGTAATAATTCATCGAGAAATAATAAATTCCAACAGGAAAATGAAAATCTATTCTTTATGACTTTGTGGTGCAAGTGGAAAAGAAAGTAGCGAAAAGTGAGCCTCATAAATTTCCCCGACTGATGTAACAACGGTGTAATCATCGTGATCGATTCGTATTGGAAGATTTAAGGAATTCCACGAGAGAAACGTAGTTTTCTACGTTAAACAGAATAAATTCTTACGATATTTGTCAGAATAATTTTGGAACAGGAACAATTTTCAGAGTAGGAAGTTTGTTTTCTACAAAACTACCCCCTCAGGAATGTTTTAAATTATTAGCAGCTGTTCTGTCGGATAAACAAGTTTGATTTCTTTTTATGGATACTAGAAGCATTTCAAATATTCTTCACACGTGATATTGTATGTCAAGATTAGTTGTTAGTCGAATACTAATGTGCAGTTTTACGAGGGAAATGCGCAGTGATTCGTGTCGGCCTTGAACGTTCAAAGGTTCTATCGAAAATCAAAATTTTTTATTTACAGTGTTTATTTTCTGTGAAGACCTCGGAAGTGAGAGTGGTTGCATAAAGGTACCGGAAACGGGAAAGCACCGTTGGAAAATCAAACCGCGTGACTTTATGCAAAATCAAGAGCATTACGAATATTACATTCCTTTCATCATTTTTTATTTTCACAGCCGAATACATATTACCCTGCAATAGGTCGGATCCAAAGGTAGAATCATGCTTCCAGAAGACTTTGAATCACCTACAACCATACTTGCTGAAAGGTGAGTAGAAATTCTCCAAGAAAATTTTATAGTAGTAGAATAATTTTTCGTAGAAAATAACTTTTGCACGAGGTAAGTGAAGAGCATTAACGTAACTCATTTTAGATTAATATTTAATTATGTTAATGTTTATATAAGACACCTCAGTGCATGTAATTCTATTCTAGTTGAAAACCTTATATAAACTAGACCTTTCCTAGGTTACGAACATTAATTTTCAATTTTATAATTTCCTTGATAAAAATTGGACGTGAAACAATTAACCCTTAACAGTTTTTAATTTTTTTTACCCACCAACAACTCCTTTATTCATTTACAAAATAGATCAATAAAATGTTGTATTGCAATATTAAAACATTAAAACATTCAGATTAAAACATTTTTAATTGTTTTAAAAATTGCGTTGCATAATGTCGAGTCTAGCTCGACATAGGAGTAGTAAGGGTTAATAAAATTAGAGGATAAATGACTAACAAAAATTGACTTCGCTCTAATTTAATTTAAATTTAATAGCAATAAGTTTCATTGAAATAATAGTAGATCAATAATTTTCATTGTATAGAATAACGATTCCTTAGGTATCCCTGAATTGGACCTACCCCCGATCGAACCCTTAATCATCCCCGAGCTTGGAATGGAAAATGGGCAAGGAGCTGTTCGTGTCAGAGCTTTGTTTTCCAATATCACGGTTATAGGGGCAGGAAATTATTCAATTATGAAGACGAGGGTAGATATTCCGTCGTATAGGATTGACCTTCACCTAGGGTTCCCGAAGATCGAGCTTCAGGGTCGTTACGAGGTGGTAGGGAACGTATTACTTTTCCCCATTCAAAGCCATGGAGATTTTTGGGCACTTTTTGGTGAGTTACCTTTTGCATTCATTAAAATCCATTAAAATTTAGCAAATAATAATTTGTTAATTAAACGAGCAACGATAAAACATTTGAAGAGGATTGCAAATTTAACCCTTTCTCTAGGAATGCCTTATTTTTAATGAGAAATTAATAAAGAAAATTAATTTTCAGGTGATGTACTCGCTATTGCAAGAATTCAAGGAGCAGAAGAAATAAGAGACGGTGTTCGTTACTTGAAAGTGGCAAAGATGCTGGTCGATTTTAGTCTGGGACGTGCAAGATTCCGTGTCGTCGACGAATTAAACGGGGAAAATGTGATAGGTCAAGCGATGAATCAATTTCTAAATCAAAATGCTAAAGAGATCATCGAAGAGATGAGACCGGCTGCCAGTGCGAGCATTGCGAAACACTTCAAAGACTTCCTTGGAAAGGCTTTGGTCAAGATACCATTGAAAGTTTGGCTCCATGACACGTAGCTTATTTTGACTGCTTCTCTAAATAGACGATGTTTTCGAGAAACAGCAATAGCATTGTTTTGTAATTAAGACGTGTTTTCATCAGGCTGAGTGATCGAAATCAAAGAATGTTGCGAAATGGTTTAAGAACTGTGATGATTTTAACACTTCGACGACAGTTTATTGAGATTATTAATTACTGTGGATATTGTCTGGATTAAAGACTCTTCAACCCTTTTGTTATTATTGTTGAAAATTTCATTGTAACATGTTGCAAATAAAATTCAATCGTAACGAAAGGGTTAGGTTAATTAGATAATTTGTACGAACCTTAATAGGGAAGTAAACTAGTATACCTCTCATCAATTTTTGTATTATCAGTGATTATTTGCACACCAAATACATGACATCACCAATATTTACCTAGCTATTAGCGTAGAATAAATAGAAAAATCTATGAAATTTTTAGAAAATATTTACGAGAAAGTAGAATTTCTTATTTCAGCTGATTAGTTCCATGATACAAGTTTCGATTATCAAGCGGGTGGGTCGTTTAATAACGCGAAACGTCATTGTAAATAGCAAGGGAAAGAAGAAATAAAGCAATAAATCATTCGATTCAAGTGGGTAAATAATTTGTCACGCATAAGCAAAGAAGATTCCAGATAATGATTGAAACACAAATTTCCGAGATAATAGAATTTTCTATTGTGCCGCATAATTCTAATGTTTCCTTGCTTACAAAGGTACACGAGGATCAATGATTACAGTAATAAAAAACAGAAAAATTATATACTTGATAAAATGAATGAAAAAATATAGAACTGACCTCATTTATCATTGATTCTTCTGTTTATAGTAATTCAAAGTAATTTCTAGTACGATTTACATATTCGTATATGAATTGTTCAATGCAGACAAGATGATAATTATACGTTCAAACATTGTAATAAAGAAAAATTCTTTAATTCGTTTCCAAGTATCCAACCCTTAAATTAATATCTAAAACAAGATGCAATCACTCGATCTATACATTCATCGATTATCTGTTACTATCAAAGTTCACAAATTTAGTTAGAAATTAGCAGTAGAGAAACAAAAAATAATGAATCATTCAGTCTTAAAATTAGCAACTTAGAAAACAAATTAGTTAGTCAATTTTTACATCACTAATTACAATAATTGCACTATAATTACAATACCATCCAAATGAACAAACCTAATTATAAATTAGCAAGAAAATGAAATGAATAGAAATGAATAGTTAGTCAATTTTTACATCCCTAATTACAATAATTGCACTATAATTACAATACCATCCAAATGAACAAACCTAATTATAAATTAGCAAGAAAATGAAATGAATAGAAATGAATAGTTAGTCAATTTTTACATCCCAAATTACAATAATTGCACCATAATTACAATACCATCCAAATGAACAAATCTAATTATAAATTAGCAAGAAAATGAAATGAATAGTTAGTCAATTTTTACATCCCTAATTACAATAATTGCACTATAATTAAAATACCATCCAAATGGACAAATCTAATTGTAAATCAGCACGAGAAACTGAAATATCATCGTCAAGAAGAATTCTAAAATATATCCAACAATCCACCCCTTAAATCTCATATCATATAAGAGAACCCAATCTCTTCCCCATCATCCCCAAGATTCATTCCCACCCCTAAATCTCAAACTTCCTTCGAATCCTATTTCAATAATTCACCCCCCATCAAAAAAGTGTGGAAAAATCATCTCGTGCCGATTCGGCTCGACTTGGAAAGCAGTTGTTTCGAAGGAACGTAACGTTCGAGTCTCGCAACGTAGTCCGATAATGAATTAGAACCATGGTAGGTCGTATCGTTCGACCTATGACCCGTTGTTTCTGTCTCATCACCGCTCGCACCCCTCGTGGGTGCCAGATTGGTCGGATCAAGCTGAAAAGTAACTTATGTCAGAAGCTGTTGGCACAGTCCGGTTGGAGTCACGCGTGCACACGAGGTTCTCGAAGGCACACCAGGACACGGTGACGCCTGGTTGCGTACTTGGTTTCGTCGTGATAACGGAAGTCGCGGTGATAAGTGCGCTTCGATCGCACAATTCCAGTCGACCGCTGCCGTTGCCACCGTTCCCGGCTGGTTCCTCGTGTAACACGCGCGAAAATTCATCTAAGGAAAGGAAGTTCTATCGTGTAGGGGAGACCAGGTGATTTGTGTTCAAGCATCATGATGGCTCAATTCACCAAGAGGCAGTGGCTCACGCTGATCGTCATCAGTCTTGCTGATTTCGCGAACGCGATCTGCGTTTCCCTTCAGGCACCGTTTTACCCTCAAGAGGTGAGCTGATTAATCAACCTGAGGACGACGAGCCCCATCAAATGAGTCCTAACGAGTTTACTCTTAAAATTTTCCAAGGTCTCGCCATCCATTGTTAAAAGCACACCTCGTTTCATCCCCGTTAGAAAGATAATTAATAAAAAAAATTTCCACTCTTGGAAAGATTGTGATATTCTTGATAATTTGTACCTTATTATAATGAACGTGTTGGATACTATAATATGATCTATCAAAGTTATTCCTGATATCTGGTAATGAAGTGAGAAAAACGAGGGAGGCGAATAATCTAAATTTCCAATCGTTTTTTCAACAGTACAAAGGGCAACGTTCGTTCAACAAATCGTCAATGATAATTTACGCTTACTCGATCAAATTGAAGTGTTTTGCGTGGAATCAATCGCGGTTGTCTCCTATATAAAGATCGTAACACGGTTAGTAATTAATGCCAAACCCATGATCAGACGAGTCATTAGACATTTAATTAATTGTGTTTTGCAAACTTTATCGGGCAAACGTTTTAGCAAAAAGAATCCCTGTTTCCATGACTGTTTACACTGTTTAATGTTGGCAAATATTAATTGTTAATGATTTATTTATGAATATTAATATAGAATTATTGAAAGGGAATTTTTTTTTATTTTCATACAAAAAGGAATTACTGGCCTTCGAATTCAGCCATTTGAAACTAACACTGTGGATTTTTCTTCAAATAGCTACGAATTTTTTTATAGTTAAATATACAAACGTTGTTAAACGATTGATACCACTTTGCTGAAAAATTTCTTATAATGCCGATTACGTCAACAAGATTCGAAAGTTTATCGATACCACGGATTTTTTCGAATATTTATAAATAAATCAGCTCGAAAACACGTAATCTTCTTCTCCTTCGAAGAAGCACCACGATAGCTGCTGTAACGGAGGATAAAAATGAAAAAAATATTGTCACAAATATGTAAATTGTTATTCTAAATGAAAAATCATGTAATTTCAATTTTGGCAAGAAATCAATTTAGTGCCAACTTTATGAGCTACAAGGCTAATTATATTTTGCAATTAATAAATAGTTCATTATCAAAACAGAATTAAAAATAGATATATTCTTGAAAAGCCTAATGCAACGAGCTTCGAATATTTATTAATGTAATTGTGCATTCATTTTCAACCAATTAATGAATCAACACCAACAAAAACAACAGCTATGTAACGCATAATCATACGTATGAGTGCAACGTCTTCGATAAAAGGAGAGAAGCTTATGTGTAATTGGTAATTTAGATTGAATTATTAATTGCACTATAAATAAACAATCTGTGGTTTATTTGTTGTTAATCGTATCAATATAGGTTCGAGTACTTTTTCGATGAATCATTCGGCAAACCAGACATGAATTATCAGTGACGCATGCAGTAGCATTTCAATTACAATTTTAAAATATAATTATGTAATATAGTTGCAGATTAAACAATAAATCTAAACATAATATTCTGTTCTTCGTAAAAGAATTTTAATAATTATTTGTGGGATTAAAAATTCTTTGTTTGGAAACTTTGTGATTAGCTGCTCAAGTTTTCAACCCCTTTTATAATTCTGAAAAATAATGAATCACCCTTAATTTTCCTTCATTCATCATCACTTAGAAAGTTTCTTAAGTAAGAAAGCAAATTACAAATTAGCAATACACATGGAACAATCTCGATAATCATTATCATTTGATACAACTACGTTGTCACCATTTAACATAATTTGTCTATCATCTGGCAACAGAACGTAATTACACATAATAAACTTGTAATCTATCGAAGTAAAAAAAAAAAATATATATGATTAAATGGCAATGGCAATTTAATTCTGTACACATATTCGCTGGATTTCACAATCTCTATAAAATTCGATGGCAAAGCTCATTATAATCTATCATTATCTCAGCCTAATTAACTTTAACTAAAAAATTTCTTTGAATTGATCTAGCACATTGAATGACAACACTATTCTTTTAAAAATGATTTCTAATTAATTAATTATTAACGTCCAGTACTAATAATTATGACGACACTATTCAACCCGCAAACCATGCAATATTCAATCTTTTATTAAATAGTAGTGTTCTAAATAGCGACAGTTCGTTCCTAAAAGAATTTCAAAATAGACCCAAAGATATCGTTTTTCTGTCAAAGAACGATAATTCGGTTTGTAAGGATAGCTGCGTGAAGTGTCTAAAGTTTATCAGGATTTATCTCGGCGAGTGTTAATTGCAGTCGAACGGGACGATAATGCGACCAAGTGCGTAATAATAACACGGAATCGTTTAACACTTTCAATCTCTAGCCGAAGAATCGGGGAGCTTTAAGGGCAATTAATTAATCAATGGAATGTTTTATTTGTTCACAGGCTGAGAAGAAAGGTGCATCCCCCTCGGAATATGGATTGGTCTTTGGGGTTTTCGAGCTGATCGTCTTCATAATCAGTCCTCTGTATGGACGATACGTGGGTGAAATAATGAAATATTCTAAAAAATAAATGTAAAATTCCACCTAATCGATGATGATCACCTAGCCTCACTTGCTTCGACGTTGATGATTTGCCTACTTCCAGGCGATTCTTTTTATCATGTTTTTTTTTTCATTCTCCACTGATGAAATATTCATTGCTCTCTAAAAAATGCTTATCAAAGACAGGAGACGTTTCAAATCGTCGAATGAGATCTGTACACAAAACTATAAACGTTTCTTTATCTTCTTGTAACTAGCAAAAAATAAGGTAATCGAAGGGACTGAGATAGTCTATCGCTTTTCTGGCCTCTATTTAAAGCTATTTAAAGCTTTGTACATAAAAAAGAAAATAGATAACGTTATTTACTAGGAGAATTTCTCTAACCAGCAACAATTATTAGTACGAAAAGAGTATCAATTTTCACTTCTGATTGATACTCAATCACGAGTATCAATGATCTCAGATTAATAAGATCTATCGTTCCTCTAGTTACATCGTATCGGGCCAAAGCTATTGTTCAACGGTGGTATCCTAACGACAGGAACTTGCGCTATCTTCTTCGGTCTACTGGACAAGGTGAACGGTCATTATCCCTTCATAGTCCTTTCGTTCGTGATTAGGATCATCGAGGCGATGGGAAATGCAGCCTTTCTTACGGCTAGTTTCGCCATTATCGCCAAAGAGTTCCCGGATAACGTCGCCACCACATTTGCCAGCCTCGAAACCTTCTTCGGTTTGGGTCTGATCGTTGGACCCACCGTGGGTGGTGCTCTTTATCAGGTAAGATGAAACACCTTGAAATTATTTCAAGTAATCCTGTTGAATATTTGAAAGATTTTATTTTAGAAATGACAAATTGTTGCGTAGGTTGGTGGATACACAACGCCATTCGTTGTTCTCGGATCAGCTCTGTTCATAACTGCGGTTATGACAATTTTTATATTACCAGTTCATCCTAATAACAATGAGGCTGCTCAGGATACGGGAGGTGAAATGATGAAACTAAGAATTTTTAATGCACGACGAAAGAAATTCATTTAATTATCATATTTTTATAGGAGTGACCAGAGCGTTAAAAATCCCAGGGGTGTTAATTGCCACAGCGTCGATAATTGCTACCAGTATGAGCATAGGATTTTTGCAGGCGACATTAGAACCGCATTTACGACAATTTAACTTGAGCCCCGTTATTTTGGGCTTAATGTTCGTCATTAACGGTGGCACTTATGCCATTACCGCCCCCGCGTGGGGTTGGTTTTGCGATAAGCATTTCCATCCGAAGGTAATTAACACAAACCTTCTCAAACGGATAATTTATTTTTCTTTAATTTAATTCAATTTGATTCAAGGTGGCCACTGTAGCCGGGTGTATGCTCGTTGTGGTAGGATTCTGTTTAGTCGGTCCAGCGCCGTTTATACCGTGTCAAACCACACTCTGGATGACCGTTTGCGGTCTCGTGGTTCATGGGTTGGGCATGGCTGCCCAGCTGGTTGCCAGCTTCACGGATGCCTTGAGGACATCGATGTGAGTCTCTAGCATTAATCCACTCCCATTTCTAATTACACATCATCTAAATAATTTCTAGATCCTACGGTTTCCCAAATAATCTGGAGACCTACGGTCTAATCAGTGGACTATGGACGAGTACGTTCGCCCTGGGTGCCTTTATCGGACCCTGTGTGGCGGGAATTCTCCTAGACAATACTGGCTTCAGAAACGGCACCATGTTCATCGTGATGCTCCATTTATTAGTGGTAAAATTGAATAATTTAAAAAAATTATTTCACCCCGTATTTTACCATTTTCATTTATCTTCAGGGTATAATAGCTACGGTGTTCCTGAGCAGTTGCACGGGTAAACGAAAGCCGTACACAGAGGTGGGTGCCTCGGACGACCTAAGGGCGCCACTGATCGATAGCAGTCAGTCGAGGAACGGAAGCATGCGATATGGTAGTCGCGGTCAGGGTGTACCGATCGACAGGCCCAGCGGCATGAATTCTTTAATCTCGTGCAACAGTTACTCGAACAGAGCTGGCGCTTGGTCCAGGGCATCGTACAGTGGTAGATACTCCCACAGTTACGGTTCCATCGAGGCTAAAAGGTACCTGGAGATAACCACGTGATGCCGATGGGTTTAGAACCGACGAACACCGAGGAATTAATATCTCGGACAGGGTCGTGACTACGGTACCTTTTCCATCACTGTCAGAAATCAGCAAAGTTAATCGTTATGTTTCTTCGATCGTAATGACTAATTTAAATCATCGTTTGAAGGGCTTTCACAGTTGCAACGTTTGAAGGAGTTTGATAGTTAGACGTACCATAGATTGATCATAGGTTTGAAACAGTATTCACCGAAGGCAGATATTATCTCGAACGAATACAATGAAAAATGTTGATTTTTAATTAGTAAATATACACGACCCTGGGATTGACTCCTTGATACAAAGGAGCTCTTGTGGAGTATATAAGAATGTTCAAAGCGATAGAAACCTCATTTTTATCAGTTTTTACTCATCAAAGGCGCCAAAGAAAGCCGCGATAGGATTTGTACATACACTCGCATATGCTCTTAGCCGTTTATACTGTATCGTAGTTGTGTGTCGCTCGTCATTAGATACCGTAGAATACGTTGCTCAACGTTGTACGTAATAAAAAGAAAGATTTTTATTTAACACGAAATTTTTCGTTTATTCAATTGTAAAATCCTTAGGGCTTTTAGCAACCGGCTGAATCATCGAAAGCTGAAGAAAAGTCCATCGATTCCACGGTATTGTTGCACATGCACGTGCACTTAAAGTCGCGTAAGAGTCAGACCGACGTGGCTATTGTTCCAAAGAATTCGCACACGTGCGTGGGTGTGTCACGTATGCGAGAACGTTATGGAATTTCGAGTGAACGTAGAGAAAACGTGTCGCGTTCGCGTGGATCCAGAGTGAAAATTATAATTTGAATTCAAAGAAAAGATGATCCTATTACCTCGCAGATGTCTCAGGTGTGAGATAATTCTGTAATTAACCGTTTGAGTTCCAAGCAGCGCGGTCGCGCTGTTTAGATTTTATGTCGAAAAGACCCAATATTGGGTTTATAACACCGCTATTTTTTTTTTTTTTTACCCCTGGGACTCAAACGGTTAAGAAAAGAATAAAATCGAGCGGTATTTCTGCAGATGTCTCAGGTGTGACATAATTTGGTAATTAACCGTTTGAGTCCCAAGCAGCGCGGTCGCGCTGTTTAGATTTGTGTCGAAAAGACCCAATATTGGGTTTATAACACCGCTATTTTTTTTTTTTTTTTTTACCCCTGGGACTCAAACGATTAAGAAAAGAATAAAATCGAGCGGTATTTCTATTACGTTATTTCGAAAGAAAAAGTGGTCGAAGGTAGCGAATATGGAACATAGGAACGAAAGGAAGAGGATTTGAATTATTAACGCACGTTGGGGTCAACGGTGTGCATCCAACTGTCCGTTGACGCAGTTTATCCCTTTTTTCCTCTCGGTTTCTTCTCCTTTTCCACGTGTTCCTTCAACGTGCAAACGCAAATTCCGCGGGATTGAACGTCTACAGTCGAGGAAGAAGCAGCACGGTCGAGGGCACAGCTAGATAATCATCTGATCGATGACTTTTTCCCTATCCTTTGTTCCTTACTTTGTACATACACCCTGTTTCTTACGTTGTTAAACAAAAGAATTTATTTTATTACACTTTTCGTACAATTTCTTTTAAACTCTTTACCATTTGTACGTTTACGTAATCAAATGTTACATACTGTCAGACGATTAAATAGTTGCATAAGCGTCGATGAAATGCATTGACAAGTTACGACGGTGATTTACCAGACAGGGGAAAGTTTACAAGAAACGAATGAGTTTATTGTTCGATTATGGCGAACCGTTCGGACCTATTGCGCCTAAAAATGTATTACTATGATGATTAAAGCGTAATTACGATGCAGGTATAAAGCAAACGTAATGAACCGTGCGACGAACTTATGTAACGAGATTTTCACAACGTTGTATGTATGTACAGCAATGTGTTACATTTTTTCGATCGAGAAACGTTACTATATTTCAATTCAACTGTTATTTATTAATTTGCAGAAATTTGCAATTTAGAACGAAGGAGATAATAGACAGAATGTTAAATTATTTTGCTTGTGAATTATTTAAAAATTCACCAGTCAAACTTACCAGTCGACAGAGAAAAATTATTCTTACGCCACTGGAGCGATAGGATTAGGAGAAGCTGCCATATTCACAGGTGAATAGTGCTCGGAATGAATAGGAACAGGTTCACAAAGAAGGGATTTGCCAGGTACCACTCGTCTCTCGAAAATCGTAGCATATTAGTTACAGGGAAATGGTACAGAAAATGGCCCCTCAAAAATTATCCAAACTGTAGCTATAATAAATAAAATTGGACACATTCTACTAGTAAAACCTTCCAAGAGATGAAACTGGAAACGAAAGAACCTCTTAAACCATTTTTTTTTTAATTCCACCTGGAAGACCTAATAAACCCGAGTCACCCAGCGACCATCCTTAATATAAAAAAAAAAAAACCCTTCTTACGCCATTGTAATAAACACCGACCGAACGGTGTGTCAGGTGAGTTAGTGCTGCCACCTGAGTAGGAAAATCCACAGGTGAACGTTGGTTCGTGGAGTGTTTTATTCGTGAAAACGAACAGGTCCACGTAAGAGGGTTGCCGGTTCTCCCCCCCTCTCTGCCGACCATTTGTCATGGTAGTGGAGGGTACAGGACGCATGCGTGGAACGGTCTGGGTCCCTAACCGAGTGGAGCGGCCAGCTCGGAGGACCCAAAGTGTGTTTCCATCGCGAGGGAAGGCCTCGGGTCGTGTTCGTCTCGTTAGTGTCCGGTTAGTCGTCAATTTTCCCGCCTTTCCATCCACCCTCGTATCGATTTTTCGTCGATTAAAATTCGTGCGAGTGAAACACGTGATCCCGGGATACCAGGGACTTGGTGAAACCTCTTTGAAAAACTATCCCCGTGGATCCTGGAACGATCTTGTCTTGTGTTTACCAGTGTGCTAAGTGTGATGGGGATCTAAGAACGCCGATGAGGGTGAGTTTATCGGTGAATATTTATCGTTTTAAAAAATTCTATACATTTTCACACAGTTTAATTATTCCTGTCGTATAGTATCTGAAATCCTGAAGATTCAAACGGTTTTATATATGAAAAGTCGTTCCGATTGCGTTCAGAAAATGTTCCCTACGGAAACGCGTTAAGGTCTAGGGATTAGAACCATTAAATTTCCCGGCGCACAACGAGATGCACGGCAACAAAGAAGGGTGTCTGGGAAGAGCACTGACCGGTGATTCGAATGCTTGATGCGGTGATAAAGCCACCTTCTTCGTTCTTAAACGCTCTTTGTTCGCCGGCGCCGCATAAAAATGAGCCGCGGTATTAGACCCCTCGTGGAAACGACACTCTAATTACGGAATAATTAATATAAAAAACGAGCAAGGTTTCTTATTTGCCAGTGACGCAAATGATGTAAACAAATAGAAGACATCGGTTTCATAGATAATTGCAGTAATTATCTATTTCTTAGGAAGATTAGAATTAGCATTAGACGTTTATAAGAAATCTTGTCGATATTATTTGAATTATAATCGAAAGAAAAAAGAAATGATATATTCTTCAAGAATTTCAAAGAAACATTGATGAGTAAAATTAGCGGTTGATCCGAATCAGGGTAGAGGAATGAATGTTAACGTCGTCCAACAAATGACTATGGTTTCGTCGTGTCTGTTAGAGGCAATCGGACGATCGGTTAGGGCATTTGAAATTGTGATTCCAGGCGTGTCCACGAAGGAAGGAAAGGTTAGGACGAACGGACGGACGTTCCTACGTGCACCTCCGTACACAGATCGAATCGTGCTAAGCTAATGCGAACATGTATTCGTTCGTATGTGGGTAGATGTATCCATGGAGGAATCTTAAGTATCCTTAAGTGTCCTGGGGCCCTATCGTGCCGAGAGAAAATCACCTAGACAACGTATGAAGTAGGGGGGAAAGCATTATGCTATTGGAACTGGAAGTCATTTCTTCTTCGGATCAAGGAGATTCTGAATTTATTTTTATTAGATGTTCTATTCAAATAATTCCTAATATAAAATTATTAATGATTTATCGTTTAGAGAGAAAATTGCCTAGACAACGTATAAAGTAGGGGGGAAGCATAGGTGTATTTCTTCTCCGGATCAAGGAGATTCTGAATTTATTTTTATTAGATTTTCTATTCAAATAATTTCTAATAAAATTATTAGTGATTTATCGTTCAGAGACAAAATCACACAGACAACGTATGAAGCAGGGGGGAAGCATAGGTGTATTTCTTCTCCGGATCAAGGAGATTCTGAATTTATTTTTATTAGATATTCTATTCAAATAATTCCTAATAAAATTATTCAGAGAGAAAATCACCTACACAACGTATAAAGTAGGGGGAAGCATTATGCTATTGGAACTGGAAGTAATTTCTTCTCCGGATCAAGGAGATTCTAAATTTATTTTTATTAAACATTCTACTCAAATAATTTCTAATAAAATTATTAGTGATTTATCGTTCAGATAGCGAGTTGAAAAAACAGAGAAAAATTTCATGTTTCAAAGAAGGCGAAAGAGTCGCACACGATTAGCCGCGAACGAAACCATAACTTGTCATCTATATGGTTCCTGTAAAATTTCGCCCGAATCCGGTCGAGTCTCGACTGGTCCACGGTTTGCCGTTCAATCCCATCCATGTGTTTTGCATATGAGATCGAAAGTGTGTACGTGACGCACACGCAGCGCGAAAAATGGGAGCGTGTGGGTTGGCCGTTGCCGCGTGTATGGGTAGCCATGAAATGCAGTCGAACCGGCTGTGGATGCATGCACCGTGGCCCGGCTGCACTTTGTACGCCCAGAACACACGAGACACGCTGCTCGTGGATTTTTTTAAAGATCCTTCTTCTTGCGGATCAGGAATGGGACTGGGATGTAAATAATGGTCGATTACTGCATTCGAAATATACAAATTATTGAAAACTCTTGAAAATTTGAAGAAATTTTAATAGAATGTTCCAACTAATTTCTCTTCGTTCTAAAGAAACGATAAAAAACCTTTCGGTTATGGAAGCAACGTTATCGCAAGGCACGTGCATAGAAAACCTCGTCGGACGTGTTTGAAAAACAACCAAGCCCAGGACGCGAGTGTAACGCAGAGGGTTAATTCATTCGTTTCGCGTTGTTCCACTGTTCTTGCACGGCAACGTGCAGAACGAATAAACACGAAGAAGAAAGAACGAAGAAAGGCTCGTAAAGCTGGTCCGGAGCCGTTGCACCTCGACCAACATCCACTATGCCGCGAACAATGCATCCTGACGTCACGTGGTTACACCTGCAACGCCCTGCAGTTGCATGTGCAACCACCCCATAAAGTACCCAGTGGTCCTTTTATCTCGAGAATGAATGATTTCTAAAGCAACACCCTTCGTGCACAATTCTAATCTAGAAAATGATGAATTTTCAATCGATATTATTCCAAATGATTTTGTTCCGAACGAAAGGTATTTTCATTCTGTAGGACAATGTTTTCGGGCACGACGATCGGTTAGACTTTCACCATTTAAAATTCGTCTGACTCTGAGAAGCGAGTCATCGAACAGCCAGTTTCCTCTGGACCGGATCGAGAAAGAGGCCTCGCTAAATACCTTATTACTTTTGAATTAACATATCTGGGTACCAAGGTAACAGGACTTTGGTGTTCGCACGCTCCCCGATTCTTTCCTCGCCATTTGGGTCATTATTTCGGTTCAATTTCGAGACTAATTGACTTTCTTATCTTTCTGTTATCTATTTTTGACTCATCGCTAACTGCGTTTACTCGTCGTTTCATTTACATTAGGATAATTTGATTTATTCTATTTGGAAAATTATCTTTCACTTAAACGTCTTGAATTTTCCAAATGTTAGATCAGAAAATTAATTTATTCCTCTTTTTTTTTGCTCTGTTTATTTGCACAAGGACTGCAATGGTGACATAAATTCGATGAATATATTCGGGGTCAACCGGATTCGAATGACACGTTTGGCCCAGGAAATAGAGCACGCGATAAAGTAATTAATTAATAACAGAGAGCAAACGGTTATTTAAACAGGAGGATTTTATTTAAAACGATTGAAAAGGTGTTCAGGTATTCGTGGAACGCGCGTTCCCAATTCGATTCGTCCCGATTTCCGCAGATTTCTTTCCTTTTCTCCGTCAACGCTTCGACAGCGTTCACTTATCTCGTAGAAATTCCTTGGACAAGTCGCAGCAATATGTTAGCCCGTGTCCGCAAAAAGTTTTCTCATTCTTCGTTTATTACTAACGTTATACCTAATTGAAGAAAATTGCAACGCGAAACGATTCGTTCCTTTTTTAACTAATCATACATATTTTCCTGTCAGCCGTTGCTTTTTATCGAAAACATTGATTGTAATACTAGAGAAATATGTAGCAAAGTTTATTCACCTAACGCAGTCACTTTCCGACCATTTCACCGAGAACAAACACCAGTAAATAACAATTCTTCCAGGTAAAACAGGAACAGGTCTCTGACGCGAGGATAGAAATTCAAGTGAAAAATAAAATTGCAGGCAAAACAACGATTACCATAATGAATACACGAGATATCTATTGAAAAGTCGATAGTTGCACTTCGAAAGTCACCGGTCGCGTTGATAGAAACTCAAATGAAAGCTGCTAAGTGAGTAATCAAGCAACGAGAGGATTTCTTCTGGCCATCCATGGGGCGCAACAGGTTTTTCTGTTGGCCGTATAGAAATCCTCAGTCACGAGGACGAATCGTGATCGACTAGCAATATTCGAAGAAGCCACGGTAAACGTTCGTTTAATTGCATCCCTCCCTGCGCTATGCATTTTTGCACCGATGCAATTTACTGCAGCGCCGTACGGCACCGCCTTAAGCACGAACATTCCGCGAACGCGTAGCCAAGTTATTTATTAAAAATGATAGACGCTTTGAAGAAAAATGAAAAAAAAAAAAAACGGAATGCGATTAAAGAGGCGAAGAATCACGTTTTTGGAGACCGATCTCTCCTCGACCGGATGTTTCCTGCAGTACCATTAGCAGTCAGGTTGCATTTCCCTGCGAACGAGGTGCAAAGGTGATTTAATCAACCTTTTTATCGTAACGGTAACAGCAAGGACGTTTCCCTCTATTCTTCCTCGTACCGGTACATCAAGCAACGATTATCACACGTACCGGTATCGCGAGCATACCGATACCGTTTCCACGGAAACTGGAACACGAAAGCCGCGGAAACTAAGTAGAAGAGATCTAAGAAGAACGGGAAGAGTTTGATTTGAACTGAGAAGAAAACGTGACGATTTCAAGACAATTAGTCACTAATTATAACAAATTCATTAGAATATCTTTGTATTGTTAATTTCATTGAAATTCCTTGTTGAGAATTCTAACCGGATTAGACGAGGCGTTTCACTGCAAACACGAAGAAAACGACCTCGATGATGTCACCAAAACGACATTAGGACGTCCAACTTTCATTATGATGGTATCCAGCTGTTGCTGATTAATTTCTTTCGCCATTTCCTGCGGCCACGATGCTTCTCATATTTTCATCGAAATGAAAATAGGGCTTTTTGAAAATTTTATTCTGGAACATCCGTAATGTCTATGGGTGGAATAAAAAGAGATTAATTAAATTAACCTTTCCATGGTGGAATTGTCGCGGTTACATCGAATCGTCCTTGACGATGCGGTCGGGATTCCTTTAAAGGTTGAGTCGAGCTTTCTCCGAGCATAAGTCATTTCGAATTCCCGGCAATCGCGACTGAACACGACTCGAAAGTGCAGTCGAATACCTGCTTTTTTCTGATAATTGCCAAGAATTTTCCATCTGCCACCTGGAGAATTCCTTTGTACGCCATCGTAATTTGTACTTGACCAATTTTTCCAAGGAAACTCTTCCTCGCTACGTTATTTCGTGTCTAATAAACATTACTCATTAAGTTCGCAACGGAGCTGTTTAATTAGATAATTAACGCCGAA